AAAATGCGCCTTCTTAGTAAATGGCCATGAAACCATGAAACGTTGCCGTTCGTGGCCCATCGACGTCGTCAAAACAGAACCCACACGTATAAACGCTCCCAAAATTCCTGGCACCTTCTGCGGGCTTATTTCTCATTCTTGATTTTACTGTTATGAACATGTGGATGAACCAAATGAAAGTTTTCAACGCAACCTCGTCCTCCGACATTCGCGGCCTTGTTTTGCGCAACACGGGGGGATATGTTTTCGAAGACCGGATCAACCCAAACCGTCGGTGGTGTTTCGAGCGAGCAGCTCCAACGTGCTAAACGCCCTGACCATCAACGTCATCCCTGGCAACATCCTCAACGTCCTGGAGCTGGTGTTTTGTAACGACGTCACTCCAGTGGCGTCATAGGGTTATCGACCAATCAGAACAGACGTCACTGTTGACGTCAGTTTACGACCAAGCTCGATTGGCGTGCGGCGTGCTCGGCCATGGACACCAGAAGTTCCTTCTGCAGAGCGCACGTATATATAGCATTAGATATAGTATAGTCACAGTAGTCATGCATGTAGATGTAGATAACGCCAATCAATCAGTTTTACAATTTCCTCTGCGTTATCAACTAACTAACTCCCTACACGTTTGCACAAAATGTCAAGGTGGACGGTCAATATTTGATTAACATTTACATCCCGACAAACTCAATCCAGTACCTGCAAACAGACCAAGGGGGCGACACGGTGGTGGCGCCACGTATTTTCACTGCCAACGCATCGATGCCCATTTCGATTTCGTCGTTTGGCGCTGGGTCCATTGTGATCGAGTCGTCAAGACTGGTTGCGAGCCGCCTCCTGGTCGAATCGCGAGGGTCCGGGCGCATTCAAGTCAACGTTCGACGGTCCATTTCAGCTGACAGCATCGACTTGTCCACGTCTGGGTTCGGTTCCATTGCCCTCGTGGCCCCCTCCACCACCGCCAAACAACTGTCTGCCGTGTCTAGTGGGTCTGGAAGTGTGTTTGTGGGAACCTCCGCACCAACCAACGCGACCGCGCTCGTGTCTCTCCATGCCACCACATTAGTGGCAAAGGCATTCGGAGACGGCAACGTGTTCTTCATGGACGCAGGAACGTGCCACGGGAACGACGTGCAAACCAGCGGCCATGGCAACGTGTACTTGCACCACGTTCGCTGCGAAAACACGAACGCACTCGTACTCGGCAGCGGCAATATGTATTTGACCACGACTGGCATGCTTCGAGTCCAAGACACGGGGCCGGCTCGGCGTATGTCGCAGAGGAACCCAGCGTGAAAGTAGTTGGCCCTCTGCTACCCATGCCTCAAGAGGTGCATGTCCCCCCCTACGCTCGTTTGGTTGTATCTGATCGATCCCCACGAGCCATCCATTTTAATCGCCAATTCAACGACGACGACACCGGCGATTTCGTCGGCCAACCAAGGGGTCCATTTGCCGATTTGGTTTGTATGCATTTTAGTGCCTTGGGTGGTGGCATTTTTCGTGATTGTCGTGCGCAAGATTCGTGCCAAACGTGCGATTCAAGTCCAGCTCAAGGCATTCACCGAAGCCACAACCCCTATGTCCATCAACCAAGTCGTGTTGCACTTGTAAATATCATACAATTTTTGTTGTTGTAGGTACCCATGATGTAAGCACTTCCACGGTACATCTCCAATATTTGTATAAAGGGGTTCTTGGTGAATATCCGCCACGACACAGTCGCCTGTAACCAGTATATTCCGAGCCCATCATCGCAATTCGTCGCGCCCGCAATACGTTGGCTCCTCAACCGTGCGGAGCTATCCAATTGCTTGTATTCCGAGGGGGGGCTATTCACAGTCAAGTTACGACTGCTTTGGTCAATAATAATACAAAGTAAGCACGTATTTACACGTTAAAATCATTCATCCACACACTTGTGTTGTTGTGATAAGCTGATTGGCACTTGCAGCGTCAGTACTCCTGGCACTTGCAGCGTCAGTACTCCTCACCAGTAGAGTATCCAATGAACGCGACTATTGAAGGAATAACAATGTATTTTTGAGTCGCTACTTTATTGGCAACGTGGCTTGCCTCCACATCGTGATAGGCGCCCCGCCATGCTTCTTTTGGGTTTCATGGCGCAATGCTAAATATAGACCTCCAGCTAGCAGTTACGGATTCCGTTTCAACATCGAGTGGAAATCATACTACCAACCTGTTTCAGCGTGATGGTGGCGCGCCATTGTCGAAGATTTGCCTATCGTAGTGACGTTGCCCCTACCGGTATAACAAATCAATGCAATGTCCGATTCAGAAGCATGCTTCCCCCTTGTCAACCATGCGGGCAATTGACAAGCCAGATCGAACATGGAGACGTGCTGTCCATTCAACCAAAAACTGCTTGCTACTTCGAACAAGTTGTGCTCAACAGGTGCAACGTTGGATTAGATCTTCTCTCCTTTTTCCTCTGAGCGCTAGACGATCGGACGGTTGGGTCGTTCTCACTAGTGAATTTGCCTTTACCAACCACATCACTTCTTGAACATGACTGCTCCTTGGCTCCAACGCGTGTACAACGCCACGTCGGGTGATCTTCACCGTCTCGTGCTTCAAAACACAGCTGCATACATCTTTGAAGACACTGTGAATGAGAATCCGTCGGTGGTGTTTCGGGCGACAAACCCGAGTCTGTTACGAGAACTGACAGTCAACGAAACCATCAACGATGCTGGTGAAGCCCTGTTGACCGTCGCCGTCGAGTCAAATCCTCGGGGCTTGCTGCGGGGCGACTACTTTATTGACGTGTACATGCCAACCCAGTCGCTCCAGCACCTGTACGCAGACTCGGACCATGACACGGTGGTCTACACCAACACCCTCAGCGTGGACGTGGTAGCCGACGTGTCGATCGTGGCGACCGGAGAGGGCACCATCATCGCTGAAACCGCCACCGTCGAGGCGCATCACTTTCGCCTCGAAACCCGCGGGGCCGGATTGATTCAACTCAGCGTTTTCGAGTCGCTAGTCGCGGGGGAGATCACCCTCGTGTCCGTGGACAGGGGGTCTATTGCGTTGCTCAACGGCAATACGACCACCAACTCGATCACGGCCATGACGGCTGGAAGCGGTAGTGTGTACGTGGGCGACGGGAGGGCCGACAGCGTGCTCTCGACGGTGTCGCTGTTTGGTCGAGTCTACGGCGACGGCGACATTGTGTTTGTCAATGCTGGTCAGTGCCATATGGGGCATGTACAATCGAGCGGAAGTGGAAATGTCTTTGCCAACTCTGTGGATTGCCACACTTCGACGGCGGTTGTCATTGGGAGTGGGGACGTGTACTCGAAGGCGTACAGCGTTCTGGACACGGAAGACGACGGAAATGGAACGGTGTTTGCAGACGTCGATGGCAATGTGACCGTCAGTGGACCATACGCCCCTCTGCCAGACGCAGTCCCCGCGCCATATTATTCGAGCTTTGTCATGCCTGACCACAACCCGCTGTCGTTCCTGCCCGAGCCCCCCGCTGGCCAAGACGCCCATGTTCCTATCACGTCTACAGGCACTACGCAAGCGATATTTATCTTAATGACGGTGGCCATGGTGGTCATCGCGGTGGTCGTGGTGGTCGTCCATAAGGTCAAGAATGCCCGACGCAGGCCAGTCACCAACGATCTCACGTTTGCCAAAGTGTCGACCCCCAAAGATACCAAAGTTCTATGCATGTAGATAACTAATACACTCCTATTTTCCACATCCGATTGGGCGTCCGCACTACATTTGTGTACTCTACATATGTACGTTTCATGCCCAGCTTACTTCGATCCCACTTGATACTGCGAGTTACTGGGTCAACATGCACCAATTCGGTGGGGAATAAATAGTATTCGTGGAACACTTGACGACCATTATAGAGTTTGTGTTTTACGGGAAAGTTGCATGACTATGCAAGGCGATGTGCTGTGACGTCCTTATTTTAGTCAGTGGCACACGTGTGGTCATGCTAAATGCAAAGTAGCCCGTTACAAATCGGTTTCAAACAAGAAACCAAGCAAGGCACTCTATCTTTGCAGGATGTGTTGCATCGAAACGACCAATGCCCCCCACCTACATTTGCCGCATTCGGTATCAGACCTCATTGTTCAATTCCTCACGACGTCCCCAACACACTTCTCGGTGCAATGAACACGTGGTCCGAGCCTGCCATCTTCAACGCCACGTCCACCAACGTCCGGGGGCTCAACCTGATCAACACGGGGGGAATTATTCGCGAAGACCCGGTGAATGCCAGCCCGTCAATCGTGTACCGGGCGAGCAACCCCGACTTAGTTCGAGCGTTGGTCGTCAATCAAAACGACGGGGCCAATGGGGACACACTTGAATTGGAATTGCTGAGCCAAAAAGACATTGCCGGCGACTACTTGCTCGAGATTTACATCCCGTCCAATTCGCTGCAATACATTCACACTGGAGACGGCGGCAACACGGTCGTGGGCCCCAACACACTCGTCGTAGACTCAAATCGCGACATTGAGATCAAAGCACTGGGCTCAGGCAGCATCTTTGTCGAGACTGAAAACATCGGGTCCAGTTTCTTCATGGTCGAGGCACAATCGAGCGGCGACATCCACATCAACGTGGACAACATCTTGTCCGCAGATGTCTTGGACCTGGCGGCGCAAGGCAGGGGGGAGGTTTCGTTGTTGGCGGGCTACACCTCCACCACCAGCCTCGTCGCGGTCGCGTCGGGATCCGGCAACGTGTTTGTGGGGAACCCTACCAACGACCGCGCGTCGCCGTCCATCATGACGACGGACCTCATCACAAAGGTCTTTGGCGACGGGAGCGTCGTATTCTTGACCGACGGGTCTTGCGCGTCCAGCTTCGTCCAGACCAGCGGCACCGGCAGCGCCTTCCTGAGCTCAATGACGTGTCAAGACACGGGTGTGGTGCTCCTGAACACGGGCAACATCTACGTTACCTCGACCGATTCGTTTGCGAGTGAAGATCGCGGCACGGGCGACGTGTTTGCTGCTATCGACGCCTTAACCACCAACGCCACGGGGACGTACTACCCCCTGCCCGACAATGTCCTCTTGGGGGCCCCGACCTATACGAGTTTAGTCGTTCCGGACCGAACCCCCACGACCATTGAAATCAAGGGCGTCCACTCCACTTCTCCAGACAAGCTCCCCCCCACCGTAGTTTCTCGGGGATCCAATGCCATTGGAGGGGGGTGCATTGCTGGCATTGTTCTCGCACTTGTCCTATTGGCAGCAATTGCGGGTGTGCTCATTCGCCGACGCGTCAAGGCGCGCAAGCATCCGCAAGTCAAACTGAATTACGTGACCGAAGTCGAGTTTGCACAATTGGCGACGCCGGCCGCTGCAGCCGAGAAAGTACTCTCCATGCAAACGGCGTAGATATACTGCAGTTCTCTCGTGTATAGTTTATCGTAAAGCTAATAATATCACTCTTCGTTCTTCCACAATCACTCGACGACTAGACCACGTTCGTTAGGAGCATATCTCGTCACAGGCATTGGTGCCATTTGTAGTGCCCACATAAGTATGTAGCACTCGGCAAATGAGCAGGGCTTCATGGCGAGGAGCAATATTGAGGCTGCACATATGTCAAACAAGTCAATTACGCGGTCTGCAACTGTCTGACAACCCTATATATCGACAGGATGCACTAGTGGTTTAAAGGCAAGAATTGGCGGGAATTTACTAGGTCCTTATGCTTGCTGTACCCCTGGGCGCCGCAGTGGTTTGAATGGAATGTGAATTTTGTCGAAATCCACATGCGGCTCACTCTGCATCAAGTGCCACGCGCTGTGGGGCATAGCCCTCTCCTACGAATACCGTGACCTTTTGTACTCTAAATTCACAGGTCGCACCTGGTGTGGGTTGTCTGGGCTCGCCACCAGCAGCGCAGCATTGCTCCACCGCCCCACCAGTCGTCGCAAATGCACGTCTTTCCAATTCTACCATCGCTCTCTCGGTTGAAAATGAACATTATTGCAGGATAGACACATGTGATATTCTCGTACATAAAAGCAAATCAGGGCCAGCTGTTGGGTCGACGCGTGCACTAATTGGCGGGCTAGCGTCGACGATAGCGCCTGTCGGTGCGCCAATTTGGTCCCCATGGAGCAGTGGGATGCTTCCGATGCCTCCAATACCGCACTGAGGTGGCTTACACGATCCACAGCAGTATTTCGCTCGAGTTGAGCCCGATTGCGTTGTTCAACGACCTGAAACAACGGGGTGACTAGTCAATTCCTCTGCTGAAAAACCAGAAGGCGACCTTGTCGGTGGCCATGGTGATTGCGGCGATGGTGGGAGCCCATGGTTGACATGTGGCATAAGCCAGTGCAAACTGTTGCAACGACGCCATCGCTAGCTTCATATCGCCCACTTGAGCCACCACGCGTGTGAGTGTGGCCTTTTTCTGTGTCTGCTGGAGTCGAAGACGAGCAATCTGGCTCGTTTGACAGTGCACTTTCAACTGCAACCAAGTCACTTGAGCCAACCACGTCGTTCGATCGGCGTCCCATCGGTCGCTATGGCGAGCTTTCCACTCGATGCATTGGTTCCGAGCCCGGCTGAGCTGGACGATTTGGACTTGGAGGTTCTACCTCTCGAAATGTTATTGCAACTTCAAATATGATCACTCTACTACTGTAGCTACCTACCTGGATTTGGTGCATGGAATCGGCGGTAGAGTTGGCTTGATGGACACTTGCGTCGACCTTGGATTGTACGGTTAGTGTGGAATGACACTACTTAGCTTGGTGAGTTTACCATTCGCGCGTGGCTTTCTTGAACGTCCTTGAGGTGCTGCCCCAGTGCAGAGACCTTTTCCACCAGCGCAGAGATCGATTGGTCCTACAAGTAATGAAGTTTCTTTCTCAAAAGACCACAACACTTGACACTTCGTACTTTGTCGTGCAATGCACTGTGAGCACTGCGCAGCTGGGCTTCGGCGGTTGCTTTGTCGGCCTGGACTTTCTCCATGTCTTTCGTCAAGTGTTGTATCTACAGTCCATCAAAAACTAGTGATGGCCACTGTACTACCTGTTCTTGGTCGACCTGACGTAGCCTCTGTAATTGCACCACTTCCGCCTCAACTTGTTGGGTCCTTGTCTTCTCTGCCACAAGTGATTCTTGGTGTTGGCATAGCGCCTACGATGCATATTCACTTAGTTGCCATATCGTCCGGACTGGTATGCTACCGCTTGAACAGCCTTGTCCTGGTCGTTGGTCTTATCCTCCAGGAGTTGAATTCGTTGCGCTTGACGTGTGAGTGTCGCGTCGAGTTGCATCTTTTCCACATGGGACGCCAGCAATTGCTGCTGCAGTTGCTTGGCTAGCTCGTGGCTATCGACCACCTTTTTCTCAAGCTCTAGAACTTGCACCGCTTGACTTGCACGACCAATCATGTCCTGTCGCCTCATCGACTCGAGCTGTGTTCATGGCTCGTCATAAGTCGACCGTCATGAGCTTTACTGTTAGAAATATATATACCTGCGTCCACTTGTTTTTGTGGTATGTAGCCTCGTCCTCCAGCACTTGGACTTTGGCGCGGAATGTGGTCGCCATGTCTTCGTAGTACGCTAGCTTTTCGTCTGCTTCCTGTACTTGTCGGTCTCGGTCTTGCAACATGCGGAAGATTTGCTCCGATTTGACATGTAGGGCGGTGATGGTGGTTTCCAGGTACTTCGCGTACAACTAACGTTGAAACATAAGAGCAACTCAATAAAGTCAGAGTCTAAATCGCACGGTGGGAGACGTCGCCGCGAAGGCCTTTCGAGCTGGCGCCGCAAGGTGCAGGCCTGACATGCGAAATGCAGTTTCATGTGTGAAACTGCAAAGCTGCTGAGAGTTGTTGCGGACGATGATGAGTTCGTTGCTTGCAAACGTAAATGTGCAAATTGCATCTCAAGGGATGTAATGTTGCTATCTAAATCAAATCGCTGTAGTTTCGTGGTTCACACTACCAATGGTGATTACTATCCAACGAAGTGGACGAATGAAGTCCCCCCGACATGCCCCCCCAAGGGGGGCGTGATGTAAAGGGGGCATCAGGGGAACGACTCAAACCTCTCGAGTTCAGTTGTGAAGAACCCTTTGACTTGAGATGAGCTCGTCACACAAAAGCGAGATATAAGGGAAATATATCTAAAGAGTAAACGACGTGTCCTGGTCGATTGAGCGCAATCTACGGGCCAATCACATTGTGATTGCATCCAAAAATAGAAAATCCTGGCCAGGCGGCCGTCATTTTGGGATCATGAGCGAGTTCGACAACGGCGTGCCGTCGCCGCTCTTTTCGTCGCCGTCGAAGCGAGGAACTCACCACACCCCCACGCCCTTCACGACAACCGAAACACGGTTCAAGTGGCAGAATTCCAATGCCAACACTGGTAACTATAACCACCATCAAGCACAAATTTATGATTTGACGGCGGGCTTATGTAGATGCGCTGTACAAACTCCCGGGAACTTTGGGGGGCAATTCCAAGAGCTTTGGCACGAGTACGCGTGACGATTGGGACCGGAGAAAGAAGCCCGGCAGCGGTAACTAAATATCACTTGGCCTCGACTAGTGTCATTCAAAGTGTATTGAATCGACTTTGGGGTTGCAGGGTTGGGGGCGTACGAAGCCCCCAAATCGTGCGGCAAACAGGTGTCGTCGGTCACTCGAACGGCGTCGGAGCTGTCGTTCAATGTCGCGCCCCGGACCCCGCTGCGAGACAACGCGACCCCGTCCCCCGGGCCCATATATAACATGCCTTGTGCGTTTGACAACCGCGTCACGAATGCGTTTAGCATGGGATCATCCTTGCGCCCCGGACTCCACGGAACTCTCATTGGGCCAGGGCCCACGACAGCTGAGCCGGGCCCAGGCACACCACCGAAATACGCGTCGCCTTGCGTGAACTCGACGTTTGGATCCGAGAAACGTATGCGGCCGTCGACAGTCGTCAAGACCCCTGGGCCAGTGTACGACGTCGAATGCACGGGGTTTCAGACTGGACCCAAGTCATCGTTCAGTGTTTCCCGGCGGTTCTGACAAGAATCGTATAACAAACAAAGCCTCTATCTACAGCAACCCTTCACTTCTTGTTAGTACGCTGCAGTGATATTGTCACTGTAAACGTTTGGAATGTTGACCAAAGGGTCGAGCTTGAGTTAACTTCCAGGTGGCACATCGTTTCAACTTGGCCTGTCAGCCAGCCACGTACTACGTCTTCACCCATGTTCATATCCAAGTGCAAAGTCTGTGTGATTGCGTATGCAACGTGGCCGCCACCAAAAATGTTTCGAAACGTTCGGAACGTGAATCACGTTGTTAAATCATTTAGAACTGTTTCTCAAACAGTATTCATACATTTTTTATTGTTTTGATTCCATATCGAATTGATACAAAATGCAAGTCGAATGAGTTTGAAATTTGTTCAAAACTTTGCGAGACGTTCGAAAACGCCGCTGTCGTCTTCCATAGATCGCAGTTGCGGATACTCCTCGTGCTTCCACCGAAGTCAGCTCTCCGTCATGTCGTCATCACCCGAAGTTGTACATGCTAACCCGCACACCGAGTACATGAAGCAGAGCCTATGCATCTTCGTCATCGGCGCGTCGGGGGACCTGGCCAAGAAGAAGGTACGTACACGGTCCAACTCCTGTCGCAGTATCCCATGAAGGGTGTATATAGACGTATCCGTCACTGTACGAGCTATACGTGCACAACTTCCTGCCGACACACACCATCATCTGCGGCTACGCCCGCTCGAACAAGTCGGACGATGAATTCCGAGCATTCTTGTCTCCGTTTTTGAAGTCGTCGGTGGATGTGGACGGCCGCAAGAAACTGCAGTTTCTAAACATGTGCGTGTACCGTCATGGCGGGTATGATTCCGTTGCAGACGTCGGTGCCGTGGCCGCGGAGATGTCGTCGCTCGAAGGGAGCACGGGACTTGGCGTGCACAATCGGCTGTTCTACTTTGCGATCCCGCCCAATGTGTTTGTCCCGGCGGGGACCGCCATCAAACACGCGGCGCTGTCCACGTCTGGTTGGAACCGCTTGATTGTCGAGAAGCCGTTTGGTCATGATCTAGCGTCCTGCAACGAGCTCTGCGATGGTACGACTCATTCCTTCCATGTTGTCCCCTACTAAATGTCGGACGTAGCGATGGGCGCGTTGTACGACGAAGACGCGATTTACCGCATCGACCACTACCTGGGCAAGGAAATGGTGCAAAACTTGCTGGTGTTGCGGTTTTCGAACGCCACACTGGAGCCGCTGTGGAACCGCCGCCACATTTCTAGCGTCACGATCACGTTCAAAGAAGACATCGGCACGATGGGCCGAGGGGGGTACTTTGACTCGTACGGGATCATCCGCGACGTGATGCAGAACCACCTGCTTCAAGTGCTGTCGTTGGTCGCGATGGAGCCCCCGGTGCGCTGCACGGGAGACGACCACGCGACGTTCGTCCGCAACGAGAAGGTCAAGGTGCTGCGGTGCATCGAACCGGTAGAGCTGGACGACGTTGTCTTGGGACAGTATGTCGGCAACGCCAAGGAGCCGGGGTACCTCGATGACAAGACCGTTCCCCCTGGGTCCACCACCCCCACGTATTGCACTGCCGTATTGCGCGTCAACAATGCCAGGTAACTATATGCTACGCATAGTAGTGTCGTCTATTTGGACAGTACGGCTAGTTAGTATACAGTATTCAGTCGATATCATTTGTATGGTTGAGAATGATTTTGACCAATTTTTAGGAGAAATTTGGTGTTTTTTGTTCGCTTGTTTTGAATGTTTTGGAGGGAAACGGCTGTTTTTGACACTGGAGGTTTTGGTCGAGAAGTTTGCCTGTTTTTGACGAAAAGTTCAACAAAAAGTAGATTTTTTTTATCTTATTTAACAGAAGCAGGGCGTGGTTAGTTGTTAGTCGTTTTGCGGGACTTTAGTTGGGTTTTTGCTGTGCGAGTAGTAGTTAGCTGTGAACGAGATGAGAGCTAACCATCAATGGATATTAGATGGGATGGTGTGCCGTTCATCATGAAGGCGGGCAAGGCCCTGAACGAGCGCAAGGCCGAAGTGCGCATTCAGTTCCGTGAGGCGGCGGGGGCGACGCAAATGTTTCCCAACATGGTCATCCCGCGCAACGAGCTCGTGTTGAGGCTGCAGCCCAGCGAAGCCGTGTACCTCAAGACCAACGTCAAGTCACCCGGCCTGCGCACGACCCCCATCTCAAGCGAACTCGACTTAAGCTACGCTGCACGGTACTCAGCTCTTCCATCCATGACGGAGGCTGACCCATATCCTTAGATACGCTGACACGCACATGCCCGACGCATACACCCGCCTCATGCTGGATGTGTTGCGCGGGTACCAGTCCATGTTTGTCCGCAACGACGAACTGCAAGCCGCATGGGCCATCTTCACGCCTCTTCTGCAAGAGATCGAAACCAAGAAGGTCAAGCCGTTGCCGTATGCGTTTGGGTCGCGAGGTCCCGTCGAGAGCGACGATCTGTCTGCCAAGCATGGATTCATCTACCATCAAGGCGACTACAAGTGGCAGCCTGTCACGTCCAGTCTCTAAGAAACCCTCTCCTTCTTCCTTGTTCTGCACCGCCACCACACCCTCCATCATCTGCATGTTCACGCTTGATTGTCGCCTCCCCTAAGCATCCACAGAGCTCGGTGTTGTTTTGAGCACTTTCGAAAACCAAATTTATTTATTTTTCCACCCATATTATCTTGTGTTTACAATATATTTATTCTACCTGTTTACACATGCATATTTATCGGGCGATTTGTCCGTTACTAATTGGATGTGTCCGGATAATGATCCTTGAAGTGTCCATATCCGGATTTATATTCTACGTCCGATGATTGGCCATTGTAATTTTTGCATGTTTCGGGTGTTGAGAAAAGCGAGTCGCCATGCCGCGATGGCGACGGCAGCGCTGCATCGGCCCTACGCCATTGGCCATCTTAGCAGAGCCTTCCCTGCAGTATCAGTACACCAACTCCGCTTGAATCACACGATGATGCCTCCGATTTTATCGACGCCAATCGACTTGGAGTCCGATTCGGACGACGACGATGACGAAGATGTCGATGGCCTGTCCGAGGACAACTCGCACGGATTCGCCAATGACTTCATCCCGCTCTTCCGCAACGAAGCTACTCCCAAGCGCGAAAAGAAGTTTCGATTGTCGAATAAGTATACTCCATGTCACGTCCATGACTACTCGACCGGCATGCGTAGGTTTGTCGACTCGTTCAAGGACGTACCGCCGCCGTTTGGGTTCAACGGACTCGGGGAACTCGTGTACATGCGTACGTACTCTCGTGACAAAGCCGACGGTACCAAGGAGCAATGGTTCGTCCATTCCTCGTCCGTATCCATGCCAACTTCCGTCGTCGCCCCATCGTAGGTACGAGACCGTGGAGCGCGTCGTCAACGGCACATACAACATGCAAAAGCATTGGCTAGAACACCGAGGTATAACCCTCATCTCAATACATGTATGTCTTGTCCAACTTGGCACACGCATCCGACAGGACTCGGGTGGAACGGCCGCGAAGCCCACCGCAGCGCGCGGGAGATGTACCGCCGCATCTTTGCCATGAAGTTTTTACCCCCTGGTCGGGGGCTGTGGGCCATGGGATCCCCCATCACCGAAGAGCGCAAGCTGTACGCTGCACTCAACAACTGCGCGTTCGTGTCGACGGAGGACGTGGACCGCCGGTTCAGCCCCGCCGAGCCGTTTTGCTTCCTCATGGATGCCGCCATGCTCGGGGTTGGCGTCGGTTTTGACACCAAGGGCGCGGGCAAGATCATGGTCAAGGGGCCCAAGCACGGCGGTACGGTCGAGATGGTGCACATTGCCGACAGCCGAGAAGGGTATAGACATCCCCGTTTCGAATCGGCACCATGACAATCAACATCATCCCGTGTAGATGGGTGGAAAGCCTGCGGATGTTGCTGGAAGCGTACTTTCTGCACCGCCCCGTCCCCGTGTTTGACTACTCGCAGATCCGTCCCGCGGGGATGGCGATCAAGGGATTTGGGGGCATCAGCTCTGGTCCTGACTCGCTCCAAGCCATGCACCGCACCATCATGGCCACATTGGACCCGCTGGTCGGGCGCCCCATGACGGTACACCTCCCCCCACTTGGTATCACAAACATACTCAACGAGATCTACGCAGGTGCGGGGTATCGTCGACATCATGAACCATATTGGCGTGTGTGTCGTGAGCGGAAACGTCCGACGCACGGCCGAGATTGCGTTTGGAGACGCCCATGACCCGGCGTACGTTGCGCTCAAGGACTACACGCAGCATCCAGATCGCGCGGCGTACGGGTGGACGTCCAACAACTCTGTGTTTGCGTCGCTTGGCATGGATTACGCGCCGATTTGCAAGCAGATTGTTCAGTACGATCAAACGTCGCTGTCGTTGGAATGCAAATGAGGACGAGAGATGAGATATTGTCCTTTGACTTCAAAAGTTAGTCATCTTTTGTGTGCTGATTTTCGCCTAATCTGTCGATCGATTCTTTCTTTGGCCTGCATTTTGTATAAAACTGTGGTGATTGTACCCACACTAATTGAAGTCTCACACGAATTTTTGACGTTGATACTGGTTTTCCATCAACCTGATTGGCTCATTACTTCGGTCGATTCTTGTGTACTGTACATTTATTATGATGGTGTCGATATATATGCATTCTCCATGTCTCGCTCCAGTTTAGAATAAACACATATATCTTTATCTCCGTTGTAGGAACGGCGAGCCTGGGTTTGCGTGGCTGCAAAATATGCAAGAGTACAGTCGCATGGACGGAGTCCCAGACCATCGCGATGCGCGGGCGGCAGGCGGCAACCCGTGCTTGGAGCAAACCCTCGAGTCATACGAACTGTGCTGTTTGGTCGAAACGTTTCCAGCCAATCACGCGTCGTTGGACGAGTACAAAGAAACGCTGCGGTATACGAACGAACGAACGGTTCAAGTGGATGAATGTATGAATGTATGTATTAGGTACGCGTACTTGTATGCAAAGACTGTGACGTTGGGCCAAACCCACTGGCCGATTACGAATCGAGTGATGCTGCGAAATCGACGCATCGGGTGCAGCATGAGTGGCATTGCGCAGTTTATTACCCAGCGGTACGATACACATTCAAGAGATCATATATCCATGGGTATAAAAATGTGTGACGCTGTAACGACGGGGTACGTGTAGGGGCCTGCATGAGCTCAAGGACTGGTGCATGCAAGGATACGATGCCATTCAAGCATACGACAAGACGTACTCGGACTTTTTGGCCATCCCGCGCTCCATCAAGACGACCAGGTGAGTTTGTTACCTGGTGGATGTAAACCAGTTGACGGGTTTGTGATAGCATCAAGCCGAGTGGGACGGTGAGTCTGCTGGCAGGAGCGACCCCGGGCATGCATTACCCAGAGAGCCGGTTTTACATTCGACGCGTACGGCTGGACCGGGGGTCGGAGCTGCTGCCGGCGCTGAGGGCCGCAGGGTACTATACCCCCCCCTAGCGATGATCGATCGACCCCCCCCCTTTCCCCCGTTGGAACTGGATGCTCACTTTGGCGATGTTAGGTACCACTTGGAACCGGCGGCGGAAGCGCCCAATGAGACACTGGTGGTGTCGATCCCCGTGGACGTGGGGGAGAACGTGCGGACGCTGTCGCAGCTGTCGGCGTGGGAACAGCTGAGCCTGGCGTCGTTTCTGCAGCGATATTGGGCCGACAACCAAGTAAGCTGCACGATCACGTTCGATCCGGTGCTGGAAGGGCCGCAGTTGGAGCATGCGCTGGCGTACTTTCAGTACCAACTCAAGGGCGTGAGTCTCTTGCCCAAGGTGCCGTTGGGGGCGTACGCTCAAATGCCATACGAAGAGATCTCGGAAGCGACATACAAATCCATGGTATCGGCCTTGTCCCCCGTGTCTTTCCGTGAGATCAAGACACGGGGAGGGCCCGTGGAAGTACCCGACCGGTTCTGCGACTCGTCGTCGTGTGAAATCAAATAAGTAAATAGATAAGTCGTGAGTACGCAACCACGTAGTACATACAAATTGCCACGTCATGTATTGAAATCGGGAGTTGCGTTCAGTGTGAAATCTCATTGCCTTCATACTTTGAAGTGTGTAGACGCAACGATAGTCCTCATGCGGCCGCTGGACCAAGCAGCGCTTGGATGTGTAAGTGTGCTACTTGTACCGTTTGTGCGGTTCTAGTCCAAGTGTAGAAGGTTCAGCGCCAAGTTCCACATCTGCTAGTACGTCAAATTAGTGCCCCTTGAGCGACCCACCCAACAGATAGAATAGGCATTCAATCGATGGATTTATAGGCTATAAACTGATGATATGGTTCCTGCATTCTATTTTTAGCATCCCCAACACTCAATACGAACCGGCGAGACGGTTGACGTTGACGGTTTTTATTCCACATGTCGTATAGTATAAACGATATACAAATATTACCATAAAGTGTCCGAGAGGGTAAATACGCTACCTGAATTGATATATAACCTATGGAAAATGACAGCCCTACCCCCAGGAATCTAAGCGTCCGGAGGTTACACGATCCACCATGCACCAGGAAGTGTGCCATCCACTCTGCCTTCTGCAAGAAGGATGTCCAGCATCACCATCGCTCCATCTACATCCACGTCATCGGAGCAGCGTAGTAACAACAACAATAATCCTCTCGGCATCTTCCGCCAATTCTTCGATTGGGGTCACAAGAAGAAGCAGGCAGAGAAAGCCGCTGCAGCCTCTCGTCCGACCTCGTCGACTATCGCCAAACTAGTACGTGGATGTCTCTCGCATGTTGGTACTATGTATCTCCATAGCTCACCAGGTGTTGCTCTCTGTAGCAACCAACATCCTCCAATGGTGCTGTGGTGTTGGACCAGCCTGGAACCCCCCTAGTACGCTTACAATCGACGCCGAAAAAGGCGGCGGCCGTGCTCTTCGACGAACAATACGAAGTGCTCAAGCACTTGGGCAACGGTTCTTATTCCCAGGTGAAACAAGTCACCCATCGATCCCAAGGCGGTACGTTTGCCGCCAAACTCGTGGAAAAGCAAGTGTTGTCGAAGACCGATCGCGTCGCATTGAGCCAGGAAGTGCTCATCTTGTCCAGGGTAGGTACATCGCTTTCCATCCTCCTGCCTCCATGCGTATCCGACCTCGGTCATGTGTATGTAGATGGACCACCCGAACGTCATGCGTCTCCACGAAGTCCTGGAAGACGAGTCCAAGTGCATCATGATTATCGAATGCCTCGACGGTGGCGACCTCTTTGACAGGGTGACTCAAAAGGGCAAACTCGCCGACGCCGAAGCGCAGGGCGTCATGGCCGCCCTCGTGGAAGCCGTGTTCTACTGCCACTCGCACTGCATCCTCCACCGCGACATCAAGCCTGAGAACATCCTCATGTCGTCAGCCGGGATCAAGCTGTGCGACTTTGGGTTCGCCAAGCAGCTCAACTCGGTACACGAACGCGCGACCGACTCGTGCGGTACCCCGGGGTACGCCGCCCCCGAAGTGCTCAATGGCCGCAGCTACGGGTTCGAAGTGGATGTGTTCAGCCTCGGCGTCGTGCTGTACATCCTGCTCTGCGGGTACCCCCCGTTCCCGATGAAGCTCCAAAAGCTTCGCAAACACAACTTTGAAGTGCTCTTTCCGCCCAAAGAATGGAACCACGTCGCATATTCGACCAAGGAATTGGTATATATATATATATTTATTATATTGTATTCAGTTGTGGGATGGTCTTGTAGATCAAATCGATGCTGGCAGTGGACCCGGCGCTACGCCCCACAGCTCTCATGCTAAAGCAACACCCGTGGATCGTCCAAGGCCGCCGCGTCCGCCCGCCCGCGACAGCGTCATCGGCCGACTTGCATGCCGCGTTCACGTCCGGCGCCGGCGTGTCGGCCATGAAGTATGGCCGCCAAGGCATCCCCCATGCAACATGTATCAGCCTCTGCCCCACCTGTCACATGGTGTGGTGGCGGCCCAAAGATCTAGATCGCACCACATCCATCGTCCACAAATTGTTTTCACCACGTCGGTCCGCCTTGAACTCGCCGCATGCCGCGCAGTGGGAAAGCAACAACTGCCACAACCACCCATCCAAGGGGATTTTGATTTCCGAGATACACCAGATCGTCCAAGGACTCAAGACGCCCGTGTTTGAACGGTCGCAGAGCTCGCAATTGGTGGCGGAAAGGTGCTGCTCGATCGTGACGGAGACCAGAACGCTCGACTTGGAGTTCCCGACCAAGCAAATGTGCGATGCCATCGTCGCCCTCTTCACGCAGGTCGTCACGGCTGCTACGCAACTCCCTAGTAACTAGTTAGTATATTATAACCGCCCAGCGTGGTCGTGAGCTTAACACACACATAACAGTAGTACCCATGGTCTCGTAGTGGATCTAGTACAGTATTAGCCTTGCTGATACGATACTCCTTATTAAATACTTCGAAGAACTAGTAATAGTAGTCACAAAACTAACTTGACGTCCTAGTACAGTTCCCTGGCATCTTGTACTACTACATACTCTATAGCTGCAAGGTCATACGGAACACAAGGTAACCTATAGTTTTTATTCTAAATGTAAGAATTGACCATATACTAGTAATATATATCCAAATATTGCGATATTTAATATACACTGGTAGTAAGCACTACTAATAGTAGTACTACGCATCCCCCACAAAGTCTGTATGTGGACCCACACTGTAGCTGCAGCCTTGACTATAGTATGAACGTCGGAGTAGTATAGTACTACTAATATGTAGTAGTTGTGGATTCAAGGGGGAATAGGTGTACACTGAACCATGGTATACTGTAGTAGTACTAGTAGTTGTTAAGGGGTTTCATGGATATGAGTAGTTACGACGACTTTTGCTTGCGCAACGCTGCGACTTGTGTCAAGAACGGCCGGTCCAGCGTCCACAGTAAGAGGGCAGTGACTGCGAAACAGACGCCGCCGATGACGACGTGGAGTGCGTGGTGGGCCAAGTTGGGGCCCCGGAAATGGGCTTCACTGGCGTATGTGACGACCCACGACACGGCCATCGCCGCGAGAACCACGGGGTGCGGCAGCGAGGCCAAGTAGAGCGACGTCCACGATGCAGCCGAGTCAGGTTTAAAGAATCGATGGATGTAGCGCAGGCAATAGACGACGCGGCACGCCATGTTGACGCAGTTGGCGAGCACAATGCCGACGGAGCCAAGGCCACAAGTGTGGATCAGCAGCACGGCGCTAGCGCTGGTGATGGCGAAGAAGAGCACGAGGAACTTGTTGAGGCGCTGGAGGGCGGCTTCGTCGCCGACTGCGTACACGAACGCTTCGCAGATGCCGTTCACGGACAGGAAGTACACGCACACGCAGTAGGTGGAGAGGACGGGGGCGCTGTTGTCGAGGGTCTTGGCGTACCCGGCAAGAAGGAAGAGCAGGGTACGCGCGTAGTTGGTGGCAAAGAACACAAACACGAGCCCGAGCAAGGTCATGCATTTCAACGCGAGGCGAAACATGTGGAGCGCGTCCGTCTTGGCGTTGCTGGTGTCGTTGCTCTGGGGTGAAGACGGCGATGTGAGCAACTTGCTGAACATGGCTTTGGCGGCGTCTTCAATCGGCAAAAACACAAGCCGCGGGGCCAGCGACCCAATGTTGAACGCTATCGCGTACTCGCCTTGCTGCTGCGCCGTCTCGAACGCGGATAGGACCAGCCGGTCGCCTTCCGTGAGCAAGTACTTGAGAATCGACTGAAATGTGAGCGTTTTCCAAAAGTGCAGCAGCGATGGCCGGACGCCGGCGGTGATGTGCGGCAGCAAGTCGGACCCAACATGCAGCGGGCACGACGGATCGGACAGCTGGCGGGCAAAGTAGTGCCAGTAGATGACGCCCTGGACGATGGCGAACGCGACTTGGGACACGCCAAACGCGATCATGCCGAGGTCGAAGTACAGCACGGCCACCACTTGCACCACGGCCTTGGCGAAGAAACCCCAGCCTTGCGCGTGGACGCGGAGGTGGAAGATGAGACTGCTATGTGCGAGGATGTACAACGGTTCCGTCAAGAATTCGACGGCGGCGCTGATGCAATACAGGTACAACGTGAGCTGGAACGACGAAAAGTCCGCTGCGTCCACAGAGTACAGGCGTGGTGCCATGAACGCCGCTGCCGCAGTCGTACATAGCCACCCCAAGCCAGTGCACAACCACGCGGTGTTGATCAATTGCCGCAAGCCCACTGTGGGCGCGGTCTTGCCGGAGGTCAGGACAATGCCAGGTTCCCGAAGCGACGCCAGCCGCAGTCCTTCTCGGACAATGAAGGTCGTGGAGAGCACTAGTTCCAGTGAAAACCCCACCCCTGCCACATGAGTTGGAAGGTGGCGAAGCGTCAGCATGTTCATAAGGAACGTGCCGCCGCGCTGCAGGAACGACAGCGCCAGCAGACGCCCGCCGCCTGACACCACCTTGTCCACAACACTCATCTTGACACTTGAAATGCAAGTTTGATTATCCGGATATCTGGATACGAGCACGTGGCAGCGTACAGTTAAGCATAGCATAGGACCTGTAGTATTCGGCAAGAGTGGTTCAAAACTAACGTTAAAGGCATTGCCACCAACATAGTTGTAAGCTTCATCGACCTCACGTCGGATCGTATCATCATCAATGCTGCCATGCTGTTGGACCTCATTTCTTATTCCCTCGATACAAGATACATGTAGAAAATCCACAAAACTGGGCATACGAAATCCCAGTGCTCCTACCAGTGCCTCGTCTTCTATCGAGGGGGCTGGAATCCGGATAAACCGCTAGAATTCAATTTCATATCAAGTACGACGAGGTTTATTTGGAGGTGGAGGCCAACTGACTGATGTTGGCCATACATTTCTTGTACTTCGCGATTTCATCAGCATGCTTAGCCGTGTAGCTCTCCGCACCGCCCGCTTGTCTAAGCCCACCGCCGCGGCCTTCCACACCGGTGCGGTGTCTTTCCTCTCATGACGTTCCTTAGCTCATGACGTATGCAGGCGCTTTCCGCCAACAGGAAGAAAAGAAGGACGGTGAAGTCGCCATTCCCGCCGACAACCGTAGTTTCTTGAACAAGTATGGCCTTGACGATCCTTTGATCTCGTTGCCCATCATTGCTGCCGTGTCCATCCCTGCCATCAGCAATGGCGTAAGTACTACCTAGATCGTCGAGGCGCACCCAGGCTGATCTTCTTGTAGTGGTATGAGTTGGGCGCTGAAACCCAACTGGCGTGCTGCTTTGCGTTGTTCGTCACGTCTGCGTACAAGTACGGCGGGGGTGCCATCGGTTCGTACTTCGAATCCCGTGCCGATGCCATCTTGGCGTACGTCCCTACCTCTGTGTATGAACATTAATGGCTCATTGGCTTGTTACAGCGAACAAAACGCCGTGGAAGACGCCAACTTGGCGTTGGCCAAGGAAACGTTGAAGGCGCACGAATCCATCTTGACCATCAAGAAGGACATTGCGACCCTCGGCGTGGCCCACGAAGAAGCGTTGGCGTTGCTCTGCCAAGTGCAGAACGCCAAGCTCCGCCACAAGACCCGCGACACGTTCGTGAAGAACTTGGACGCGATCTACCAATTGGAACAAAGCTACAACCAGGAGCTCCAAAACGCCATGATCGCGTCGGCCACCGCAGCCGTGCGCAAGACCATTTCGGCTGGCAAGAAGGAGACCAAGGCTGAAGCGTTCCAATTGGCGTTGGACATCTTGTCTGAGAAGAACATTGACGAGTCCAAGCCCGACGCCGTCGCCGCCGCCTTTGGCAAGGAGCTTCGCGCGTTCGCCGAACACTTGGAAGCCCAACAAGGCACGGTGGTCAAGCTCACGGAAGCCGAGCAAAAGGAATTGGAAGCTGGCTTGGACGCGTTCTTCAAGAAGATCGATATCCACGCCGGGGAACTCAAGACCCCCACCGAAGTCAAGGTGGAATTGCTATAAGTTTAGGGCGTCAATATGTCGAGATGAACAACTGTCGAGTCGCCAGTAATGCCATACGAATCATTGGACTGTAGTACACCTTATCTCTGGTCGAGTTATAACAAAGCCACGTCTAGTTATAACAAAAACACTTGCGGAATCTGCTCGGGCCCAAGTCGTTTCCGATACTTGGTCTCGCCGTTGTTATCGTCGTCGGCGGCTGTGGGGTCCATGAGGTTCAATGGCACCGTGCTGGATCCACAAAAGTTGGTCAGTCAATCAAGATGGGGGGAAGAAGGGTGCGCACCTGAGTTTGCGAGGCTTGGTGGTGTACTCGTCCTGTAGCCGATCTGGACAGTAAGTTAAGCGAAGTTAGTATGATATTACTAGCTGCAGTGATTGTACCTTTGTCGAGTTGGTTGATGCCTTTGGTGGTACGTGGCACGTACAGCGGCTCGCATCGATTCAAAGTTGCCACTTGCGTTTGAATGGCCGCGGCGGGCTTCTTGGCTAGTCGTCGTATGTACGAACCATTGAGATGTGACCAGGAGCCGTAGTAACAGTTACGACGAATGCGATACAGGAGATAGATACCTGGTCTTGCAGCGACAGTCATGATGGGAATGACTTGATCGTGGACACCAGACTTGGTGGCTTTGATAAACTTGGGAGGACGCTTGATGTTTTGCTGGCGAGTGGCCGCTTTGTCTGGGGGTGTGTGATCGTATGCTGTCGCTTTAGCCAGCTAACCAACCAAATTGATCGTCAAGATCAAGGAAGGCACTTGAATGACAGAAGTTACAGCACTTGTTGGCGAAGGATTTCCATCTCTTGGTTGGTCAGTTTGCCTTTGACACCCAGTGTGACAGTCGTCGGTGCCTTGGCGCCCTTTTGGCGCATGTCGTGGGCCTGGATAGCTTCCATCCCCCGCGAGAACTTGACCGCTTCCCCTTGACGCATCATGCACCACCAATGCCACGTCTAATTATAGGCTTGACTTTGAAGTAGAGCTGTATATATACCCCACGACCCAACACACAAATGCCCGTAAGTCAAGATGGTTTACTAGTACGTTACTACCGTTTTGTTTATTCGATCCATCGTTTGATCTGGACCGAATGGACTTGCCGTCCAACACAATCACGGTCACTCCGTCTTCGAAATGGACGGTCCGGGGCACAAAGATAACACTTGTAGGGACTTTATTGTCGCGTTGGGGCAAAAGGGGTGGGGCGGTCGTGGCTAACTTTAGCGTGTATGTGACACTGTCCAGGTCGAATGCTGACTTTGTGTGGACCCCTTGGACCTTCATACGGCGGGACGGGCGTATCCTTGTTTCCCGCGCCCGCCAGCATCCCGATCAGTGCTGCCCACCGCTTGGCCCCGGCTAAACAAGCTAAGTCCTACAGAAACCCACCTCGTTTTCACAACACAAGGCCAAGCCGAAGTTGTGGGCTACGAACCTCGAGGTTCCAGTGGTCACCACCGAGATTGCAGTCGTCAGACGTGTAGCACTACAGCGTGTAGCTTAACACGTTGGCTTCAAGAGCACTGATCGTGTTGTCCATCACGTTCACCTGCAATTGAAAAAGTCGCCGATCGCGTATGCCGCGCCATCGTTGAGAATATTGAACGGCACCCCGCACTCGCCAATCAGCGTCGGCGCCGACGCCGGCATGCACACCGCCGTGGTCGCTTTGATGGCGGCAGGTCGGACGTTTTTCCGACCAATCATCGGCCGCCGCGTGTGCAAGTCCACCGTGAACCACGACATCCACAGCCGCAAGAACAGCGTCACACCGTCGTACCAGTGTGTGACGTTCATGACCTTTCGATCGAGGCCGCTGGCAAGACACATGCCATGGGAAGGCGTCGGGGCGTACCCGAGTTTGAGATCGGTGGGCAAAAAGCGCGACTTGATTTCAATGTACCCCGCCACAGGTTCGTTCATCGTGCTTGCAGATATATATCATTTCGTTTGATTACGTCATCATCATTGATGACGTGATCATACCAAACCCCATGACGTGATCAAGGTCTGCCACCACACGCGCCAACTGCACCATCGAGTGAATATTGGTAGTGGCGCTGTAGAACGACTTGGACTGGTTCGTAATGATGAGCACCCCCGGCGCGACCCTAAAGCGTTGTCAATACGAACGATCTAGTTGGCATGTCAGGATGACTTCCTTGTTGCCAGCCCAAAACAGAGTGGCCACGGTGGCACATGCAAACTTGAAGAAAAGTTGGTGCGCCAGATCATCTTGGGGTAGTCATTGGCGGCGCTCGTGGTTTGACATATGCTGCCTTGGTCACGTCGAAGATGGCGGGATTGAGACCGAGATCGATCAGCGTCCACAGGGGTGTGATCGAGACCACGCGTCTTGATGTGGATCGATATAAAGTACATGCCGTTACGCGCGAGCGATCACGAGAATCGCGCGGACGTACGCGAGGTACTCGGTGTCGTAGATGCCAGTTCGGGCATGCTCGGTGGCTTCCCACGTCTCGAGGAAGTGAATGCAATTGAATCCCCACCGCTGCAGTAGGGGCTCGTGTGCTTCGTCGAGCGCGGCCGGATCACAAACGAGATGGACGCAGCGCTGGCTGCGGACGACGGGATCTTTGTGGATCCACCCAGGTTCACGCCTTTGAGCAGCACCACTCGGCCATCGTCGTCCACGAAGTTCCCATCTCGCAGCTCCAAGTGGTACCACGATACCACCATGACAAGCGATCGCGCCAGGTAACGTAGTGTCTTTTCCGAGAATCCATCGAAGAAGACGAACTTCAAGGTCTATTGGTCTTAAAATAATTTTCTTAATATTCAAAATTGTCCATACAAAAGCGATGTGCTTATTGAATCTCAGTTTTATATTTCCCGAGGTCGGGTTTAGCCATTATATTGATGTCATTTTGAGGCCACCTTCATCCGACGAACGTGGCGATGAATGTCTGGCAATGGATTGCGACGGCGATCGTGGTGCTCGTGGGCGGCTGGGCCTATGTCAATTCGAAGACGTCCTCCTCAACCACCGGTGCTGCCTCCAGCTTGAAACGCAAACCCAAGAAGAAGAGGTACATGCGTGGTTCAACTTGTGTTCCTTGTCTTGCCAAGCGACCTCGTCCTTGATGGTGGCATCATTCCTGTAGCAAGAAGAAGAAGCCCGGGCTTGACGCTAGGTAAGGACGCCTCACCTATCATTCGCAACGGCTTCATTACCTAGCCTGTAGTTTGAACACCAACGTGGCCAATCAAGGCAAGGACGACAGCAGCAAGTAGGCCCATGTTCATGCTTGTTCCCTATGTCCCCCTTACCACTTACCACCTCATGTAGTGGCGACGAAGCCGACAATGCATCCAGCAAGGATCCCCCGACGATCACCGATTATTTTGATGAGTCCGAGTCCGAGTCGGACGACGGCCTGTCGGCGGGTAAAGTGTTATCGCAAAAGCATTTTGGGATGGCCATGCTGGGTGGAAGTCGCAAGCTGCGGCCGACGGCGCCAGAGCTCCAGCTCCAAGAGGGTCAGCGAGTTGTGGCGCGGTTCAAGCAGCAGTCCGAGTGGTTCCCTGGCACCGTCACCAAGGTTCGTTCCTACCTCCGCCTTGTCATCATGAGAAATGATATGTTGTGTCCAGGTTCAGCGGGGCAACTTGTACATCATCACGTACGACGACGGCGAAGTCGAGTCCAAAGTGCCGATTCAGTACATTCGCGTGACCAACGAGTCGAGCGGGGACACCGGCGGCAACCTCGACGACGATGGAGCGGCGGAGGATGGAAGTGACTCGGAGAGCAGCGAGGACGCTGTGGACAATGAGTGGGAGGTGGTGTCAACGAAAGAGTACAAGAAGCGCCCGGTGGTTCGGGCGGCAGTGTCGGACGCGGTGGCGCATCCGTCCGGATTGACCAAAAAGCAGCGGGAAAGCCGGCGCAAAAAGGAAAAGCTCAAAGAGCAAAAGGAACTTGTGCGCGCTCAAGCTCAAGTACGTGTCACGTGCACAATATAAGAATTGCTTGTATGATATACATTCCGGGGTTGTTTCATATATATATATATATATATATATATATATTACAATACATATATATATTACAATACGTATATATATATATATTACTATTCAAACAATCGATGATGGATATGTGATGGGGTTAACCATATTTTAGGACACGGGGCTACACGCGCGATGGGGCGGCACCAAGAATACGTGGCGATCGTCGTAAGAATGTGTGCGTTGGCTATAACATAAACATGGAACAAGCAGTGTGTACAGTCGCGCTAGTTCACTGGGCTTTATATATTACAGTATTTACTAGCAGCACACGACAGTTGGATAATATAGTGGCGTGGGACCGGGATTACCGAAAGGGTAGGCGCTTTGAGAGGAAATGGTGATGCGGATTCGAATACGATGGCGCAGACTCGGGCAACAGGGTGGTTGCATGTGACGACGTTGTGGGATGCACGGGCGATGGTTTGATGGACCGACGCGAAGGCGGCTTGACGGATTTGCTGTGCCGAGCCCACACTTTTCTGTCTGGGGGAAGTGTAGGGGTAGTGGCGTGATTGTTAGGGGGGTGGTTGTTGTTGCCTCGACTGGGAGGACTCGGCGGGTTCGCTTCAACTGACAGGTCCATCGACTGAACCATCATCGCATTGCGGCCTTTGATGGCGTCGAGCTCGACGTCCCACGGGTTCTGTGACGACGTGCCACGTGTCGACACGGGGGCTTGCCATGTCACATGTTCCCCACCATACCGGAGAAACAACGAATGGCTATCGTCCACTGCATGATGATTGTCGTCATGTAGAGGTTGTTCCCTCGTCTTGGACGCCATGGTATCCCGAAACAGGTGGAGGATTTGCATGGTCCGTATACTTCGCCACGGTTGGTGGTTGTCCGTGGTTGTAAATGTGCACAGCACGAGTAGTTTGGCCTAACCAGTGAACAGTTATTCCCATTTCTATTTGAGTACACTGAAATAATATAATGCAAGGGAGGGTGGAGCGTAAACACCCAAACATTACACGTACATGATCGTCCAGGCAATCCTGCAGCAGCAGCGTGAGCTTGGACGCATGGTACCGCATCGAGATGTCGTCCCCTACGCCCCCCCTCTCCGTCTGGGCGGCTTGCCGAAGGTCCCCCAAGCACGAAGTAAACGCGTGGAGGCTGTTTTCGGCGCTGATGGTCGCTCGGATGCGCTCCGTGTCCTGCCACGTGCACTCCCGGCCGCCGTCCCCCGACGCCAGCTCCACAATCTACCCCCCCCCCGAACTTTTATCAAAACGAGTTCAAATGGATTCACATGACGGACCTGGAGCTTGGATTTCGTGGGCTCAGACGTTGCCTTGTCCGGATGTTCGAACGCCCGCACAACCGACACACACACCGTCACGAGGCGGTGGGTGAGATGTTCCATGGTGGGGAAGTACTGCATGAGGCGATCGAGGTTCTTGAGCCCTTCGGCGACCGCGATCTGGGCGTCCTGCGCGCTGCGAATGTCCAGCACCACCATTGGGGGAGACGGGTGGTTGTTGGACGGACAGCAAGCGTCGGAAAAGCTGCCGCCGCGAAAGAGGGGGGTGTCGTTGATGTCGTCCTCGCAAATGCTGAGCAAGTCGTACACGTGCTCGCTGTAGATGCCGAGGTAACTCAACGAGCAATGGATCGTCGCAAACCCAAAAAGTCCCGTGCACTGGTGAAACAGTTCGTTGAGGACTTGGGCTGTGGCAGATGTCGACATGTCATCATGCATGGTGTTGGCTTCAATGTTTGGCTGTCCTAGAATCATGGCACCAATGTCAGAGATCACCATACAACCTGTAGAGTTGGACAATATACATAATAGACAAAAAGATTGGGTACGCCGGAGGTACCTTCAAAGGTCACGACACAGGCGTTGTAGCCCGCCAAGACGCTTTGAATCGCCGGTGAAATGCTTTCGGCATTGGACCATCCACGCCCCCGGTTCGAATACACCTGGTCAAACTGCACAGTTAACGGCACCGAGTCTGGACTTGTGAGCAGGACGTCCCCTACAAGCAACTACTTCAGGACATGAAGGGTTGCAACCTGTGCAATGGTTTATATGGACCTGTTTCAAAGTTGGCCGTGATGCGGGGACTATGACTGGTGGTGGTTGTGTCTGGGTTGTTGTTGGTGGGTTTGCTGTCGTCGTCGGCCATCGTGAGCACCTGGCACACGAACAACGCATTGCGATGGACTTTCCACAGCTGTTCGTGCAAATGGATGGACGACGCCGTCGAGTTCTGCAGCGCGTGGCGGAGCAACTTGTGCTCGATGTGCGCGAGGTGGACGAACTGACAGGCGTTGGCGAGCTTTGTCTGGAGCAATGCGACGGTTGACGCCATCTCCGATTGCTACGACCGCGATGACCATCACGAATGTAGGTTTGTGTTGTCTGTACGAACCCATGTGACGAGGATGTCCTTGGCATCCCACGCTGCATGTTTCAGACCCCTTAGGGCCGTCAACGCAACGGTTCCCACAGATCGAAACTTGTTTTGGAATTGCGAGAGCTGCTGCAGCTGCATTCCTATACGTACGCCTGTGAATATTTGGCAGACGAAAAAGCAATCACAGAGGTCTAGGCGACCTTGTGAATGGAGGTGTTCCCGGGCACTGGCGCCGTACGCTTGGAAGGCCTTGGCTTCGGCGGTCTTGGCGGTCACCGTTCCTACCATGTCAAGCAGTGCAAGCTGAATTCTGTGTCAAGGCATCCCATCCACACACGGACCTTTCAATCCGTTGATTGAGCGCTTCAACACGGCTACTTCATCTTGCATAGCCTGCAAACACTCGTTGTCCTTGCGCAAACCATCGTTCGCGGCGCGAATGACCGCCATGTCTTGAACCAAATCGCCGCGCTCGACTTTGACAGCTTCGAGATCGGTCTGGCTCTGCACCCACAACGAGTACTGCGACTGGGCCTCCACTTGGCTTCGCCGCAGTTGTTCCTGCAAGTCGTCGGCATGCGCGGATACGCGATCGTACTTGTCATTCAACGCCGTCCACCGCTGGTCCGACTCTACGGCTGCCAATCTACCACGAATTCAAGCATTCAAGTAGGGTAACAAATAGCCACTTGCCAAGCCATACCTGGCTAGAACGAGCTTGGCTTGTAGCCCCTTGCACTCGTCCACTTGCATCGAATGCAAGGCGAGCAACTCGCAGAGTTTGGTCTCGGCGTGTCGCGCGCGGGATTTGGCTGCCGCGGCGTCGGTCTGTGCGGCCAACGCCGCCTGCCGCCAGTACTTCCGATCGACTTGGTCTTCTTCCGGCTCCTCTGCCTGTCGAACTTCGGACGCTTTCAATGCCACCGATGATGGTATCGTCGTGAATGGTTGCGCAGTGGCCTCTGCGGCCCCTCCATCGTCCAAGTGACTGTGGATCAACGCTCGAAGCGACGTGATTTCCTCGGTCAGCCGCTTTTGTTCGCTCGTGCTGTGCGCACGAAGGTCTAGTTTTTCATGCTGAAGCGCCTCGAGTTCTTGAAACAGCCTTCGGTTCTTGGCTTCCAAGTCCCCCGTGAACGCTCGAAGGGATGCCAACTCCGTGGTCATACTCACGAGTAATGCTCCAAGGGACTCGGGCTTGCCACGTAATAGACTTGAATACAGCTTGGCCTTGGCAGACCACCGTCGCCACCACGTCTGGATGTTTGTGGCCGCGATATGCAGGTCCATGACTGTAGCATTGTACGAATTGAACGACATCTGTCGACGGTGCGATGCCATGCTTCCCAAGCGACGGGGGGAGAAAATTCTATAAAACGCTCGCCAGTTTCATGCAGTCGTAAACTCGATTGATGTCATGCTCATGACTCTCAAATGTACAAACCTTACAGTTACTGTACGTAGTACTCCGGAGTACTAGTACTATGCACTTTGTAGTACCTATCGTCAAATTAACTTCGGCAATACTAGCAACCTTGAGTAAGAGTTATGACGTGGCATCGTGACAGCTGGTGTCAACACGGTGATGGCTTCGTCGTTTCAATTTCGGATACATTTTGCAAAATTCCGGATAAAGGTTATTTCACTCGTCACTCCAAAAATGTCGCCAGCAACGCCGCCTCGGCACGTGGTCGTGTTGGTGCTCGGTGATGTGGGCCGCAGCCCGCGTATGCAGTACCACGCCGTGTCACTGTCCAAGATGCCGAATACCAAGGTGACTCTTGTGGGATATGAAGGCGAGCGATGTGTGCCGCAGTTGCTGGCTCAGCCCAACATCCACCTCCGCACGTTTGCTCCTGTCAAAGTATCTCGGTCGTTGTTTGTCTTGTCGGGGCCATTGAAAGTGCTCATTCAGGTACGACGCTACCGCCACCATCTATGTCGTCCACCACTACCATGCCCCTGACGTGCCTTTGGTCACATGGATACATACATGCATGTATAGCTGTGTCAACTCTTCTGGATCCTCTTGTTTACCCTTGGGTCCATCGACGTACTCATGGTTCAAAACCCTCCAACGTAAGTCCAGACAGCTACATACTTGTACATAAATCATGTACCTCAATGATAACCACGAATCGTGATCGTAGGATCCCCACGCTGTGTGTGGCATGGCTAACGTGCAAACTCAAACGCGCCAAGTTTGTCATCGACTGGCACAACTTTGGCTACACCGTGCTGGCCCTGAGCATTGGTGAATCGCATGCTTTTGTCAAAGTATGACGACCGGCCACTATTCGCTTTGATACCATTTCTCAACGATCCTGCGTAGATTGCCACGACGGTGGAGCGCGTGTTCGGACAGCTGGCGGACGCCAACTTTTGCGTGACCAAGGCCATGCAAGGCTGGCTTCAAAACCACTGGCGCATCCACGCGACGGTGCTGTACGACAAGCCCCCCGAGTTCTTCAAGCCTGCCTCCATCGCTGAGAAACACGAGCTGTTCACGCGACTCGCCGACCAATTGCCAGCTCCCGTACGACGACGACGACGTTATGGATGTCCTGCTGCATTTCTCACCAGGGCGGATGTCGTACGTAGTGGGTCGTCCCATCTGGAAACACAACCAAACCGCCCAAGCCGATGGACACGAACGCGACGCTGCTGACCACCGAAATTCACTCGTACGTGTTCAATGCATTGTATATCTGTATTAGAAACATATATATATATGTATATTATAAACCGCATTGAACGATAGGTCTAAAACTTACTTATACTTCCTTGTAGGGCTGTCCACGATCGCCTTGACCGCCCTGCTGTACTCATCAGGTATATATATATTTATAATCATATTGCTACATTCCAATATGCTCCTCCTACCTAGCTCGACGAGTTGGACTGAAGACGAGGACTTTGGGCTGCTCTTCCGAGCGCTGGTGCTGCTTGATGCGAGGATCGTCGACGACCCTGCGTACCCCGACGTGTTGGTCGTCGTGACCGGCAAAGGCCCCCAGAAAGCCATGTACTTGAAGAAAATCCAAGACATGCAGCTCGTGCGCGTGCACATCACGACCATGTATTCTTTCGTCATACTTGTACCATTGTATTCTAATGCGCAGAGTCAGTTGGCTTGAAGCGGCAGACTACCCCATAATGCTTGGGAGTGCCGACGTGGGCATCTGTCTCCACACGTCGACGTCGGGACTGGACTTGCCCATGAAGGTGCTCGACATGTTTGGCTGCCAAGTGCCCGTGTGCGCCGTCAAGTTTGCGTGTCTGCACGAGCTCGTACGCCACAACGAGTACGATTCGTGTTATTCTTTCTAGTCGTGTACTCAAACATACTTAATACTGTTAGTACTATACTCAAACATACTTGTTATGGTGATAGGAATGGCATGGTGTTTGAAGACAGCGTCGAGCTGTGTGATCAACTTCAGTCGCTTTTGATTGGCTTTCCAAAGGTACGACATCGCCGAAGCATTCATATATATATATATATATATAATGGAAGGAATTGGAGTTGTGACAACGTTGTAGAGTGAAAAACTCGACCTGTTGCGCCAGTCGCTCGAAAGTGTCGAGGTATGTGATGCTTTGTGGAATACTGTATCTCAGTTTTTGGACGTTGAAATAGCATTGGCCAAGCAACTGGAACCAGCACGCCCTTCCGGTGTTCCAACGCCTGTTGGAGCGCGCTTAATCACGAGAAATGTGATGTGGGGCTTCGTATACTACACTACACGATCTGTAGTTATAACGCAAGATAACAATGTGCCACTTGCATGTCCATGGTGGCATAGCTACTCAACAATAGACGAGGTTGCTAAAGCCGTCAGTGTCCACTGATGATGCCCTTCAATTCAAGTATCACCGACCACGAAATAGCACTGGAACTACTGGTAGAATGACCACCCCCCCCCGGAGCACCTATTCGCAAATGCAAATCCCCACTACTACGTACTCTCCTTATCGTACAAAGTACAGTCCTCACAACCAGCCCCTTTTGAGCCCCATAGCGCCTCCTAGTTGACGATGTCGTTTGCCTGTCAACAAACACCACAATGCTAGCCACGTTATAAAAATACCCTTGTTTCCGCCGTGCGTTTCCTTCTCTTTAACGGATCCAATCAATGTATATTTTTAGTCTGCAACCACCATCCCCAGTAGTTGGTACTTGTCGGCCGCAGCCTCGTCGTGTACGATGCAAGCCGCCAATTTTGCGCCGTCTATGACCCCCCGGCCGCAAAAGGCGGCGCCGTCCCCCCGGAAGGCGCGCATGCTGAACCACAAGGCGCCGTCTGTGTCCCCCATCAAAGTGTCAGCGTCTTTGAGTCTGTCCAAGCATGCCCCGCACGAACCGGTGGAAGAGCCAGCGTTACGACCGAGTAAGCTCAAATGGGACGGAGATACCCACGCCGTGCGCAACTTGCAGAGCCACATCCACTTTGGCACGACCGCTGTGAGCGGCGTGGGTGAGATCGTCCTGGTGTTCGACGGCTACGGCATCCACCTGACGACGGACGAGGCCAAGAACCTCCTGTGTGAGTACGAAGAGAACAACGACCTGAACCTGCCGTACCAAGAGTTTGTCGACAACTTTGCACTCATGCTGCGCTCCAAAGAGTCGGGAAAGCGCCACGTCATCAAGAAGACCCGGCTCACGGAACACGTCAAGCGGCTGCAGACGTTCCAGCACGGTGTCATCCAGGAAATGAACGAGCTGCTCAAGCTTCGCCTGAGGGATTCGTGGTCGACGTTTCGTGAAACTTTGCGGGGCCTCGACAAGGACAAGGTTAGTGTAGTATTACTCGTAGGACTTCCTTCCAGTTTGCCAGGCTAGTACTAGTCGGATCAAGAGGGGGGGTGGGGCGAGAGGGCTGATGATATATTGACTTGATGTAGAGCGGGTTTTTGTCGGCGGAAGCGTTCTTGAAGGTATTGCGCAAGTTCAACATCCCCATCACAATGGAGTCGCTCGAGAGTCTCATGCTTCGGTACGACGCCAACGGCGACGGCATTGTCAACTATGCCGAGTTCATTGCCCAGTTTGGCGCGTCGTTTTCCAACTACAACGCCGAGCGGGTGGGGAATTCGATTCTCCAGCACACGGCCCACGACTTTAGCGTGGCGGCGGTGGACGAGAAGGAGCAGTCCAACTTTTTACGTGGCCAAGTGCGCAAACTGGTGGACGACAAGGTTGCCGCCACGTGGACGTACGACACGTTACCTTGTCAGAGTTAGATGACTTATGCAAAATCAACGTAGAAACTTGCGGGCAGCGTTTCTCGAGCTGGACGCGGACAAGAATGGGATTCTCACGCCGGACGAGCTCAAGCGCATGCTCATGCGGTTCCAGATCGACTTGACAGACGGCCAATTCCAGCAGTTGCTCGCGTGTTACGACACCAACAACGACGGCCAGGTGAACGTGGTCGAATTTTTCAATCACTTTGGCGAGGAAATCAAGTTTGGCGACGCGGTCACACCGTCGTCGTCCCCGGCCAAGTCGAAATTTGTGCTTGCCGAGCGCACGTCGCTGGTCATGGGCGAAAAGGTGCACCAGAACGACCTCCCCAACATCAAAGAGCACTTTTCCCGCCTCGAAGATGCCACGTGGCACGCCATGTACCTCGATTTTGTGGACGCGGACCTGCAGAAAACTGGGTGGATTCCCCGCGCGCAGTTTTTGCACATTTTGAGCATGTACATGGGGGAACTCCCGAACAAGAACATCCTGTCCATCTTTCGGTCGTGTGGAAGCCACCACAATGACCTGATGAACTACCGCGACCTGGTCAAGGCGTATCGCCCCAAAGTGATGGGGCTGTACGCGCCACACCCGAACAAGAACACGATGAACGCCCCCAAGCAGAGCCCCACCGAGTACCTTCTCATGGAGACAAGCATTCGCGAAAAGAGAAGTCAGATGGAGATGGGGGTGTGGAAAATGCTCAAGAACGAAGTGATTGCCGCCGATGTCAAGCGCATCGGTCGCGTCACAGCTGACTGCTTCACAAGCATCGTCAAGCACCACATGCATCTCCGGGACGAACAAATTGCGTTCTTGTGTTTGTTTTACGAAGACAAGGCGAATACCCATCACACGTGCTCGATTCGGTACTCAAGTTTCCTCACCGACTACGACACAGCGGCGGACGACGACGGGTCCCTGAGAGGAGGGGGGTACACCCGCGAAGACGACGAGGACGACGACGTGTACATACCACCCCACATGCCCCCGCCGCAGCTCCGCTTTGGGCGCCCCCCAGACAACTCGGTCAAAGCAGCCATCCGCCAGCACCTGTCATCCATCGAAGCGGCGCTCCTCCTCGCCGACACCGACCTCAAGGGCATGATCGGCCGAGACGAGTGGGTCGGTATCCTCCACGACCACCACATCAAATGCGACGCGAGTCAGTACGACGAGCTGTTTGGACGGTACACAAACGCGTCGTTACAAACTCTGCGATACCGTGAACTGCTCTTGGACATCGAGTCAGGGATCCAAGGTAAGACGGTGGAAGGAGGGGGGTTCGGGGGCTTGGGGGGGCTCTCGGCGACGAGCGGCGGGGCGTCGACAGACATTGCCGGAAATGGAGCCATTCGAACGCTGGACGAAGCCAAAGCGATGCTACGGCACCACTTGACTTCGTCCGCGTCTTCACAACGTCGTGTGTATAAGTACTTTTCACTGGTCGACACGACCAAGTCGGGTCAGCTGCCGTACCCCGAAGTCCGTCGCGTGCTGGAGAAGATCGGGCTCGTGTTCGGTGACATTGACGTGTTCACGGCGGTGATGTCGTACTATGACGTCGACAACACGGGGATGGTGCCGTATTTGCAGCTGCTGCACGCCAATGGCGGCAAAGACCCCGACAAAATGACAGGCCTGAGCGACTTGGCGAGCAATTGCTCGTATTACAGCGCGATTTCCATCGCCCCCAAGGCAGTGGCGTCCGGACCGCGGCGTGCCCAACTCGCTAAGTCCCACGAGATGATCACCCAAGTGATCAACCACCACGTCGAGGACGGCAAGGCCGCCGTGGGGGGCGCCATCGACGCCGAAGACAAGATGAAGGCGCTGCTGGCGAAACGGTGGAAGACAATTCTCAAGATGTTTCAGCAACTGGACACGGAAAAGCGCGGGACGATTTCCCAGGCGTCGTTCAAAAAGGGTAAGTTTTTGTCATCAATGCTGCATGCAGTCGTCACGTGTATTTATTCTAGTCATGGACAACGTCGGGCTCACGCTGACCTTTGAAGACGTGCTGCGGATATGCAAAAAATATGACTCGGACAACAGCGGCCGACTGCAGTACCATGCGTTCCTAAAGCAACATGTCCAAGGCAAAAGTACTTTGAGCGAGTTCGCGCCGTTAAAAATGGACTCGAAAGAGGTCCATAATCTCCCGGCGTTGAGTCCTCGCAAATCACGGGTACAAAGATTGTATGACACGAACGAACTGACGACAGCTTCAACGATCATATACACGGATTCGAAGCAGTGCTTTCGATTGTAGTTTTGGGCGATAAACTGATTAGTGATGTTGCGGTGGTTGTAGGTGCCGGACGACGTGCGCGGCACCCTCAAACAAAAGTGGAAGTCTGTGTATGCGTCATTGAAGAAGCTCGACGCGACCAACTCGGGGCGCCTGAGTCCGCAGCATTTTCGCCACTTGCTCGAATGGTTTGGCATCACCCTCACCGATGACAATTACTACATGGTACGTCGTCGTTCGTTCGTCAATGTCGTTGTGGCTCATGGTGTGTCTCCGCTAGTTGCTCAAGGACTTTGACTCGATGGACGACGGCCATGTAAATTACAACACATTCATGCGCGCATGTTTAGAGTAGGCTCTAGGAGGATATATAAACACGAGTTCACGCTTTTTGTTAACATAACGTAAAAAACCAGTTTATGATAACTTTTTGGGGGGAATTCTCTACCTTTAGGACTATTTAGAATTCGAAAATTTTGAAGCAGGACGGAGATATGCCCATGTTTTGAAATCAACTGAAAGTTGAAGTGTGTCATAGATTGGCATTTTACGTTAACGTAAAAACCCAATTTACAGTTAAGATAAATTACCAATTTATGATAACTTTGTATTTGGTGAACAACCCATAATTAAGTTCTTATGTCCGTGGACAAGGCTTGGAGTCCTTGGAAACCGTTATGGACGCCGAACCTCAGTCGTGTATATTTTAACCTTCCTTTTTGTATGTAATTGTGAATAGTAATTCAGAGGTTCACTGTATGATTGTAGTAACTTTTTTACTCCTGTTAGCGAATGCTTAATACTATACTAGTACATGTATAGTAGTAGCGAACACTGTAAGACTACGTAATGCATGCGTGTAATTCGTTTTCATTTGGTTGAGTCGTTTTGAAATGTGTCTTGCTTGCTAAAGGTCTCGGGCTCGAGGATTCGGGCGACGTGGGATTGTCGAGCGGCATTTTCGTAGTTGTTGGACTGGTGCGAACTCTCGTCCGTATCGACACCGTCGTCGGTGACGCTGTCATGAGGCTGTGACATGGGCCACAAACTCACGGGCAACTTCTCCAGCAACTAGTCGATTGGCAGTGGTCAATAAGACGAACGACATGGGTCGTCTCCTTACCTCTTGCAACGCCTGGGTCGAGTACATCTCCAAGCCGGCCAAATGCGTCTGCACCAATTGGATACACAACAACGGCAACGTTTCGAGCGGTTGCGATTTGAACTCGCTGCAGCCCATCGGGTCGACACATTGCAGCCATTGCAAGATGCTGTGCAGCCCTTGGTGCATCGCTACACACCAAACTCAAATGAGTACACCACAAGAGCAAATATACCAAATACCCGTGACAATCGCTTGGTGGTAGTGCATTTCTTCCCGGGCACTCTCCTCGTTCGCTTGAGCGACCCATAGTTCGTCCTCAAGCATCCCTTTGACCTTGCGCTGCGCGTCCATGACTTGATCCGATCCGCTACACAACGTCTATTCCATGAATACAAAACAACCACAAATACGTACCGAAGGATACACCAAAACTGACAAGACATACACCCCAACAACACATGATACCATCTGATGAATACACTACAACCAACAAACGCATGAATACACAACCGGCGCAAATAACACCAAATCAGCACACTACTACTGTACAGTAGTACTGGTATATTGTACACAATGACCACAAATGCCACCCTAAGCATACACCCTCCACAATCGCACAAACGTTCATGGATACCCCACAACTACCAATAACACTAATATATATTCGAATGAGTACACTACAACAACCATGAACACAATAAATTTGGTGGTTACCACGTGCGCAGTTCGTACACCTCGGCCTGGAGCCGCGCATGTTCCTTATCCAGCCGCATGTGGGCCGCCACGCCGTCGGCGTCTAGCTGCCGCAGGACCTCCATGTCGTGGTCGTGTTGGACGAATCGGTCGAGCAGCAGCGTCACGTCTGTCTCGCCGGTCTTGTCCACGAGCCAGTCGAACTCGGCCTCTCGACTCGTGAGCGCCGACTCCCTCAGGAGTAGCAGATGTGTGTCCATGCGACTCAGCGACGGCCGCGCGTTACCCCCATGGGGGGACCGGAACGTCATGACCAGATTCCGCCGCTTCCGGTCCGCTTCGACGCGCCGCCGGTGCAACTCCTGGCTCTGCTCGGCCTCGGACCGGAGACACTTGAGGGTTGCGGCTTGGTCGTCCCGCTTTGCGCTTTGGTCCAGCCTACAATGCATATAGCCCAGTCAATTGCTAGTTGCCAACACATAAACTCTTGTGGGGGCGGAGGGGGTTGTTTCCGACATCATCAATCGTTGGTTGATGAAAGTAGCATCATTCTAATTCTATCAGGCGAGAGAGAGAGGGGGGGCGGAGCAGCATCGTCGCGTGATTGACAAAGAAAGGGTGTACCGTAGCTGGTCGAGTCGTTTTAGGGTGTGCGCTGCAGCGTTCTCCAACGTGTACTTGCGACTGTCGAGCGCGCGCCACCTGACACATATCATGTCATGTCAATAGAATGCAATGACGACTTAAGGCTTCAACGAGCTCGTGTCGTTCTGAACGACGTACTCCTTTTCCACCACGAGAGTATGGTGACGGGTGACTTTGGTACGGGCGACGATGGCGGCGGCGTCGAGCTTGGTACGCTCCAGCATGTGCTCCAGCACGCGCTTGTACTGGCGGCACTTGTTGCTTTGGTCCTTGTCGTGGGCGATTTGGAGTTGCAACAGCCGGGTTTGGCTGGACAGAGTGGTGGCGGCGGATGTTTCAGAGCTCGTGGCGGTCATTTCCTTGGACAGGAGCGCCACTTGGCGGTGCAAGTGACTCAGCTCGACCATCTTGGAGTCCCGTGTGTGCTTGATGTCGTTGAAGACTTTGTAGGCGGACGCTGTGACGTCGCGCTGCCGGATAACTTCTTGTTTGGTCAGATCGATGCTCACTTTATCCACTTCCCCCGTGGGGCTGAGGGGCCCCAACGATTCTGTGGCGGCTTGACTCTGGATCATCAACCACGCTGACGGAGGTCGGGGTCGTTTCTTCTTGGCGTGGACTGTTGCCATGGACGAAGGCTGAACAATGGCGGATTTAGGACGAAGTTTATTGGCCAACAGTTTGGCGCGTTGTAATGCGTTGGACGTTGTCGTCGAGGCTGTGGAGGTGGTCAGACGAGTAAACTTGCCAGGATTGCAGGGCGAATGGAGCTGTCGTGCTGCCGTCGGTGGTCGTGATGGTGGATGCATTGCAGCCGCTTTCTTGGTGGCCAACACAGGCGGCAATCCACCTGCACAAGTGGCGTCGCATCGATCTACATCCACTTGGTTGGATTTGGGCTGTGATTTCATCTTGGCCGCTGTGTTTGGCCTCGGTTTCGTCAATGGCATCATCGCCGTCGTCGTCGCCGCCGCCGCCTCGGCACCTCGAACCTGGTCGTCGCTGGCTGCTCCTTTACCATTAGCGTTGGGTGAGGATGCAGCATGGCGTGGTCTTATGGGAGTGTGCCCGACAGAAGGAGACATTGGAACAAGAGTTGGTCCTATTATGGATGGAGGGGACCGGTGCTTGGGCACGAGCATTGTGTTGGCTGAAAACGGCCGAAGTGGTTTGGTGGGTGTCGCCGCCGCGACCCTCGCCAAGGCGGACTGAACCAGCGGTGCCATGATCGTGGTGAAAGTACTGACTTCCTGATGATTTCGAGCTAACTCATCGTCGTCCATGCCGGCAACTTACCTCCGCATGCGCGAGTTACGCGAATTTCTAAACGGTTTCAGCAGTTACAATTTCTTGCCGACAGGTACGAGTCCTGTGAAGTTCGATTCGACTAAGTCCGTAGTTCCCACACAACACACCACAGAAACTTTCGCAACATGATCAACGTGCAAGAAGTCGAAGCCAAGGTGACGGTAGGTCCACTGACCCTGGTAGCGGCGACGTGACCTCATGACGATGGTGTAGGCGCTGGAAGGTCGATTGGGTGCTGTGGAAAGCTCCATTGGTGGCGCCGTCGGCGGCAGCAGCAGCGACGACCTCGTGGCGTTGCAGAAGCAGCTGCTCGTAAGTTTGCGCGGCGTGCGCTCAGCATTGCGGGACGAGGACAAGGCCCGTGCCGCTTCGCAGTCCACCTCCGCGAGCCATGAAGCATTGCTGGAAGAGAACGCTGCGCTCAAGAAGCAAGTAGCCAAGCTCAACTACCGCATCGAGCACTTGTTGCGCCATGTCCCTCAACCTGAATAGACAACACGAACCCGTACATTCATTTCGTGTTAATACCGCGAACCGTCTCGTCTGGATGTGTTGTTCAGGATCGCCGTGTTCTCCGTGAACCCGTGCAGCACCACGAGCCTCGTCAGCGCCGCCACGCGCTCTTGGTTCAAGTACAGCGTCTTGCCTCGGCGGAAATGCGCGTCTTCCTCGCCATTCCGATCCAAGTAGACGCTGCCCCAGATACAGCATCGACCGTGGCCAAGCAGCAGCAGCACCTACACATACACACTCATGGGTCATCGTTCCTCATAGTCGATCGATCCGCCGCCGCCACTATACCGTGCACGCGCGCAAGAGCAAGAAGCACCCAAACCCGACGCCGCACTTGAGTGCATGCGTCGTACACTCGCCAACTCCGTCCTCCGTTGCACAGCAACTGCTAAAGCAACACACCAACGCCTACCCCAGACATAAACACACACTCACGGCCGTCAGATGTACGCCATTCCCCCTCCTCCTCCATCAATCCTTCCCTCAGCATTCAACATGCAAAACATTTGCATCTGTAGTAGCAACTCTAGATAGCACGACTTCGTTACCCCGCACAACAAACAGAGCGCTGGATGGGCGGGTACTTGGTGGCAAGTGGAGCACCGCACGGGGTTCTGGCAGTACTGCAGGTAAATGTGTACGTATAACGGGGGCAGCGGCTGCAGGGTAAACGCAGTGGGCTGCCTCCACACAAGTCTTTGCAAGTGGAACCGTGTGGCTGAATCGGACGGATGGTCTAATGCGTCGAGTAGTGTTGCAGTTGTGGACAGAGTCGCTAGGGGCGGCGGTACGCCCACAAAGCGAAGCCATGCGTCCATGCTGTTGGCGTGGCCAACCTGTGCAGGAGCAGCAGCTTCATCATGTAGACGAGGATTCGGGATGTTCAACGCGAACAAGAGTACACCTACTCCAACCAACAAATAACCCGTCAAAATGCAAGCAAGCAACGAACACGGGGGTACCGAGTTGGCGTAGTGTGGAAGATAGCGTCGAGTAGTCGGCCGTGACGTGGCAAGCCAGCAGGGCGTCCTGCAACGTTGAAGCCAACGCCGCAGCTTTGGCTTGGAGTGTATCGGCCCTGGTCATGGCGTGCAACACAACTGCCACCACGTCAGTGCCAGCATCCTCCACTGCAGACTGACTTGGAGCCAGCAGTCCAAGCAGATGCCGCAGCGTCAGTTGAGAGGCGGCAGGAATGTGACGACGTAAGAACGTTGTCACAGATGAGTCGTCGTCGTCCCCACATGCAGCCGGCAGCGCCAACTGTCCATGCATAAGACGAGTCCCAAACAGTGGCTACCATGTACACAACGCACGTACGTACATGCGTAAGGAACAGCGTGTGCAGAAAGAGCTCTGTCAGTGTCTGCTGCGTTGTGTGGGGTTGGCACGTGTACTCGTGCACTTGGTTGGCCAACGAGTCCAAAGCAGTTTCGACCAACTTGTCGGGGGCCGAGTCCATCTCCACATCGTCTTCACAATATCGAATAGCAGCACCTTGCAACAAACAATCTGCCGACGGAGCGGACGAGTGATGGTCGAGGGCCACGGGTACGAGGGTGTTGCATAACCGACGACAGACCGGACAGAGGAACTCGGCGTCGTCGCGGCTCAGCAGCCGCTCGTCGTTGGAGCTGTATAGGGACGCCACGTAAGCCCAGATGCATGGTCGGTGGACGACGTGGCCGCAGAGTCGGATGTGGCACTGAATGTTGGTCTACATCCCCGTCCATCCATCAAGTATATATATACACTAGTACATGAGGGGGGAACGACCTACCGAAGCAAGCGGCGGCTGCGCCAGCGTTGCAATGTTGGACGGTGTCACACATCCCATATAGTGCAGGCCGTCGACTTGGTCTGTGACGTGGTCGTGGCAGAGGGAGCACACGTCTGGTTGGTCGTCCAGTGTAACACTGGATGGAACAATCGTCATGTGATCGAACGCTTCGTCGTCCGAAGCAGTCGAGTTAAACAACAAGGGCAACTTGTCGGGGGGGACGTCCACTTGATTGATAAGAAACGATTGCTGCTGGGCTTTCATCTTGGCGAGTACTTGGGCCTGGCGCTCTTTGGCGGATAGGGGCGGTGGCGACGACGACGACGGACGGGTGGATGATGTGACGGTGTCCACGATTGACGAGTTGGAACGCGCGTCGGTGGATGGACACTGGTGGTGCACATTCGTAGCCGATTGAATTCGATCGACAATCGACTGCACTAGACGGTTGAACCGAGAACCCAACAAGGCCGAGACCAGGCTCAGCACTGACGACGACGACGACAGAGACGAGGACAGGTCGCACACCAAGTGGTCCCACCATGTATTTCCTGCGACAACGTACACATCAATCGTCTGTTGTCAAGTCGATGCGCTCCTTACTACTTAGTGGTAATATACAAACACAACGCACCTGCAAACTTGGCCGCGATCGCATTCACGTGGGGATGGACGGTCGTGTACGGGGGCGGTGTCACCTGGTGCGGCGGCAGCACCGTCGTCGCCATGTCCAAGTAAAACAGAGCCATTTGGACAAGGGATTCGTCCTTGGGGTAGTCGCAGAGGACCCACACGATGACCGCAAGCACATTCCGACACGCCAAGATGTGTGTGGCCACGATCGCATGCATATTTCCACGGGAATGGAACGCCGGCGCTAGCAAGTGCAGCCGTGGACGCAGAATGAGGTGGGGATCGTGACTAGTAGCGTTCTGGTCGCATAACTGGATGTCCGTGGCCGTGTAGCTCTCAAAGAGGGGGCACACCAGAGCCCATGACGACGGATCTAACACGTAGGTGCAGCTGCCACCGGCACCCCCTTCCAGCTCACGCAATATCATTTGGGGCGATCTCGAGTCACCTATCGGGCCAGTCGACGCCAGCCGGCCAACTTGGGCCAGTACCCGCCCGATAATGTCTTCATCCTCTTCGAATGTGTCGGCTTTGACCTTTTCCACCAGGCGCAAGTCGCATTTCGCATGCAGTTCCGTGCGTGTCAACGGCCCAATGGCTAGCCAGTGGACAACGTCTCGCACCTACACCAGAAAGCACAGGGGTTGATGATCCACACAAGCAAGACGATGTGATACGTGTATATATATATATATATATATACATATGTATTGTAAATTTATATATATAGATATATTGTCAAGTCGATTACCAATCAAAGCACAGAACACGAATCAAGTAGCCAATGAAATCTTCCACTCTTCGACCAATTCAACACCGAATTAGTATGTGACTGAACTGATTAGTGTGATACTGGACGATCTTTCATACAAAAGTCAGGACAAAGAAGAGTCGATCGATAGATTTGGCGAATATGCACAAAAGTCAATCCAATTTTGGGTAAAAGCACAATATATATATATATATATACATACCAGCAAGTCCCACGGCGACAAGGCGGCGATTTTGGTCGGGTCGAGCGCGACTTGAAGCAAGAGCTGGAGCCCTTCGACCAGCATTTGCATATGTGTCGTGACGTGGGGCAACCACTGGGAGAGGACGAGCGTCGTGAGCGCACTGGGGGGAAGCGCGGCGGCGGCCAACTGTAGCGCAAACAAGTCGTTGTGCAGGCCATGATACCGCCAATGTCGCGAGTGATAATGCACCACCTGATGGAACATGCTTCGACCGTTCAGCACCCATGCATGGCATTTGATACTTCGCACAAACAGGTGGACGTGGATTGGATGCAGCACAAGGCGAAACCAAAACTCGCGGTCTTGGCGTTGCAGCAACGTCCACAGCAACTCGTGGGCGTCTACACAGTAAGAAGCAAATATAAATATCAAACGACATATTGTGCTTTCCAGTGAAATTTCATTGTGTTGTATTCTCGTTGGAATTTGAATCGATTTGATTGGCTACTTCAGATGAGCTCAAAATTATTAGCCAATCAAAATCCTCTCAATGAAATTCAACCAATCAGATCGATTGTGGATCGGTTTGGTCGGCGCGATTCGATTGCACCCCCTCCCCAAATTTGTACTATCAAATCGACAATATCAAGTATTGTGAATTCGCCATAAACTTCCAAATCTCGCGTGGTTTATTAATATTATTGAATGCCACTGGAGTTCTGATTGGTTGAAAATATCCTTGTAAGAGCCAATCAAATCCACTCAAAATTGGATTAGCCAAATGGGGCAATGTTTCGTGATTTCGATTCGACGGGGTCTGGAAATTTGTACCGAATAATCCACAATAGTACATATACGTTTAGTATGTGCTTGGTAACCCAGTTTCGTTTACAAATAATATTTCAAACCATCAGCAAAAGGTTGTATACAAAACCAAAAGTCCCGACTACATTAGGACTTTTTCGTGTTTCTATAAGACTTTTTCCTTCTCTCGGCTTTGCAATCAATAGACCATGACCACGATATCATATAGATCTATTGGAACCAGACACATGCTTTGAATGATCTTATCGTACCAAATCGATGGGCTTCGTCCAAGAGACTGCCTAGCAAATGGTGCAGTGGCAAGTGCAGGCTCCACTCCTCGTGGACCCGATACAAGGCGTAGAAGTCGAGTTGGTGCTGGACATTCAAGACCCCGCTGGCCTCGCACTTTCCTCGGCCGTCGGCGTCCCACCACCGCCGCATCTGGGCAACCACCGGGTTTAGCCACATGGCTACCACGTCGCCCTTGTCGATTGAGTTTGCCAATCTGTGCTGAAATGCATGCACGACATACTGCCACACCAGCAGCACTTCGTAGTCCAATACAAACGCTGGTTGCCACGAATCTGACTCGAACTCGACGTGTCGCCCGGCTTGCTTGGTCTGGCCGTCCATACATTGCATTGTGGTGAGGATGTCCAGCAGCGCTTGGTAGACAGACACCCGACCCAGCTATGGAGACCACCATCCCATGTTTAGGGATACATCGATCGATACAGCAAAGTATCAAATATATGTATATAATATAGATAAATCCTTAAAAAATATTATACTCGAAGTAGGATATAATATATATAATTATTTAGGTAATATATTTCATTTCATCATCGACTTTACAGAAGTAACATATACATGAAAGTTGTACTAGAAACACATCAATAATCATGCCCGTGATAACTATATAAATATATATATCGAGACGTAGGAAATATAACAAGAATATGATTTATCTATAAATATATAATACTACATTGATCATAATATATATTCCATCCCAAACAGTCTTCCCAGAAGGAACATAGATGATATGGAATATAGTACTAAAAACACATGGCAATATTCATGCTCATAGCATATATATATATATATTCTTGTTTATATTTGTACCTGGGTGGCGTGCCACGAATGTACAATCGTGCGTGCGCAAAAGTCGGGGTGGACCAACAGACAGCGCAATTCCGAGCAGAAGCGCGCGTACACTCGCTGCTTGATCAGCATGTGACCAGTCCGAAGGGTGGGGCCCGCCGTGGCTCGGACCACCGTGGCCATCTCTTGAAGCGAGCAATACGCGAGCGATTCACTCAGAGTCATGGCAGAGTTGGTGGTCATGGCAAGGCCGTGGAGGGTGCGGAGTCTACGTCTAGAAGTTACATCTACAAATGGAAGAATTGTGCTATCCGTGTACTGATGGGGCATGGCGTCGATGGCGTCCACCTGTGCGGAGCTGTGGAAGAGCTGGCAAAAGAGGCGATCGATGTACCGACTGAGGTGGCGTCGGGAACTTCCCTCGACGGTCGAGTCCCCCAAGTACAATCGTGCGTAAAACGCATACGCGTCCAGGAACCGCAGGGAAAATTCCTTCTTGAACGGTTTGTCCATGAGGAGTTTCAGGTACAACACCCCCACGGCGTCGCAGCTGTCGACGGGCAGCAACACGCCAAACGTGAGCCAGAACGCCAGCGAGTCCGCACTATTTAATCAATGAGCAGGCGCGATTTGCTGAGCTAGTTGCACACGAACGAAGAAGCAATACAAGCACACGACGGACCTGCCATCGGCAAAGGAACGCAGACCATGAATCGGTTGTAGGAATCGCTCACATACAGCCGTGCGGTACGGGACGCACGTTCGAGCAATGGATTGTAGCCACAAAAGACTTAGCGAAAATCGCGCGAGGAGAGATTGACTGGTCGAAGAAAGCTCGGAAAAGGAAGACGAGACGCGGGACTGGAGCCGCCGACGGCTGCCGCCTTGCTCGAGATGCGTAAAGGTGTTGGATTGATGGAGGTTGTCTTGGATGGTGTTTTCTTCGTAGATTTTGAAAACCACCAAGTTGCCAAAGTGCAATATCGCGTCCACGGCCACATGCAATCGCGTGGCTTCCAACGTAGGCAGCTCGACAGGCGCGCCGACGCCAGCGGTGTCCTGATGCCGAGAACAAAAACCAGTCGCCTTCCATGCCAGGTCGTCGCCGCAGTCGCAGCACCCGCCATAGCTACATCGATAGATGCGGTAGTCGTGGTTCTCATGCTGGGCGGGATCGAAGCAGCCCACGCACATGCAACTCGAGTCTGAGAGCCCGCATGTTCGGCAACGGTACGCAATGTGGTCACCATTCCACACCTCTTCGCACTTGTTCCGATTCACGGGGCCGTATAGTTCGCTCCGAGACGCTAAGAACTCTGGCATGGTCATGTGCGTGTCGTCGACGAGGTAGTACTCCAACACCTGGAACAGATTGTGCACGCCGTTGTCAGAGAGAGTCATGAAATTGGACGTAAAGTGCACGCGCAATGCGACGTCGCTGTGCGAAGCATCACGCATGGCGTCACGGAGTGTCACATACGCCTCCTGTGGCGTGATAGCATTGCCATTCAGTCCAGTGAGCGGCGGAAGCGCAGCAGCATCCATCGCCACGTCGTCGATCTTACGCGAAACGAATCCACCAAAATGGTCAACCTTCTACTTCGAACCTACTACATAGTACTACTGTAAGTTAGTATTTTAATACTAACTATTAAAATAGTAGTACAGTACCAGTACAGTAGTTAGTATACGTATACAGTACCATTCCATGCCAAAGTATCAAAACAGCCAGGAAAGGGCGAAAAACCGTCGAAATATTTCAACTGTTTTCGTTTTGTGGACAATTCGTGTTGTGCTTTGGCCAAGTTTTACATTCGATAGCAGGAATATTCCGACAAGATACTCATTCCGACACCCCATTCCGACAACGATTCTATTAGCTAATCCTAAGTAGGAAGGGTATAGTGAAAGCGTTAGGGTTCACACAAGCACCTCGAATGAAGACCTACTTCATCCGTAGGGCAAGTCTTTCGTAGGTATGGTGAGGGTACCATGAACTAAGGTGCAATGCTACTTGCTCACATGTAAACATAACTACAACGTTATTCCTCATGAAGGGCATTCCTATATATTTAGCAAACCTAATTAGGATTAACTGCCGAAATGTTGGAATATGTCGAACTATTTGGTGAACTTCACTACATTTGACAGTGAATTTGTATGTGAGGTCAAGATATTTCAGTTCCATTCCGACAGAAAGTGTCGGAACAAGAGAATTGCGCTAACCCTACCCATAAGTGACTTTGATTAGTCAAAATAGTGTAGGATACATTACTACGACAATATGATAGGTTGTACTATTAATAGTAATAGATAATAGAGACGATTCATTGGCCAAAATAAAAGCATACAAATACTAACTGTAATGAGGTCGAAAGGTTGATCATATTCATGATTAGGCTTATCCTTGATGAAATTGGCATCTCATGCAGCTTCCCCCCAATCGTATTGTCGTTTTACCCAAAATTTGGTTGACTTTTGTGCTGATTCGCCAAATCTATCGATCGATTCTTCTTTGTACTGACTTTTGTATCTAAAGATCGGCCATTTCCACACTAATTTCAGTCACATACTAATTCAGTCTTGATATGATAGAAGAGTGGATTTGATTGGCTACTTGATTATTGTTCTGGGGTTTGATTGGTCGATCTTTGATTGTGTGCCGATTTGGTTAGATCCATTCGAATCGACTTGACTATAATACTCACGTTACCATTATTGTGCTTTCGAGTGAAATTTCGTGTTGTGGTGTGGTTTGTCGTTGGAATTTAAATCGATTTGATTGGCTACTTCAGATGAGCTCAAAATTATTAGCCAATCAAAATCCTCTCAATGAAATTCAACCAATCAGATCGATTGTGGATCGGTTTCGTCGGCGCGATTCGATTCCCTCCCCAAATTTGTATCAAATCGACAATACATGAATCCCCTTCCTTATGCTCACTCCAATACAAGACCACGCACGTCATACACTGATCGGCGTCACCTATATTGGCAGGACGAAGATGGAGTTTACATGACGGCAACTACCCTCAGACAACCAACCACACTATTTCCTGTTTGATTTCTTCACTTTTCAAACAACCGCAACGTCTGTCCAACCTTGGCCAATGTCCCGCCGTCCGGAAATACCACGCGGATCTTACCCGCCTTGCCAAAGAGGGCTTCAACATACCCCACCTCGGCAGCATCCGTCGCGACTTGGGCGCCAATAAATTCGGCCGCTTCCTCCGCCGTCGCAAACAGACCAGCGGCAATCACCGACGGGTTGGATCCGTTCGCGGCGGTCTCCCCCTTGAGCCGCTCCACGAGGCCCGTCCGGCACTTCTTTTCGCACTCGACCGACGCCAACAGCGCCGCACTAGTGCTACCCCCCTCTGATTTGTTCCCTCCAGTCAGCCCCTTGGCCTCCTTGAACGTCGTCGCAGATCCCCCTTGATCGTTGTAAATCGTCGGGGATTGCCCCAGGGAGCGATCGTGTTTGTCTTGAAACAAGATCTTGGTGAACCGAAGCACCACGACGTCCCCTGGGACTGCCACGTCATCGTTTGGAAACACCGCGCGGACTTTGCCGGCTTTGCCGAACGGTCCATCCAGCTGCCCCACGCGTTTCGTGCGGACGTTTTGCACGCGGAGGCCCCGGAACACATCCCAGTTGGTCTCTTTCCGAAAGAGGTCCTTGACAATTACCACGGTCGGGTCGTCCAGTGTCTTGTCGACCACCCCCCGCCGCTCCTTGACCTTGCCGATGCGGATAGACGTCGCCACGTTTTCAATCACGGCGTCCACTCGCCCGTGAAATGCGATGCGGCACACGTGCTTGTTGACGTCCGTGTCCAACCGAGAGCACACGACGTGACTACGCGGAGGACAGAGCACTTCGCGATCCAGTTGGAGCAGCACAAACACGACACGTGGCGTCGAAATCTCGGCTTGGTCGGAAGAGGTGAGTGGGTCCAGCACGGCCAAGTACGAGTACTCGACCGACGGGTCGAACGTTGGAGGAGGAGGGCTAGTACTGGCAGTAGTACTAGTACTAGTACTAATAGTACTAGCGACATGGGCCTTGTGGTAAAAGTAGGTGGCTTTGGCCATCACGGTGGTGTGCCCGACCGTGACGTGCACCTTGGTGCCGCTGGCACACGGCAGGGAAAAGAATCGGATCTGGTGCACTCGGAGCACAAGATTCGACGAAAACGATAAGCTGTGGGGGGTAATCGCTAGCCCCCGTTCCATTGCCGAAGCGTCTAGCCCGTGGACACGGATCGCCTACAAAATAATATTTATATATATATATATTGTGAATTCGCTATAAACTTGAAAAATTAGCGTCTAATCAATATTGAATCGCGCTGGAGTGTGTGATTGGTTGAATATACTTTTCCTTCCTGTAAGAGCCAACCAAATCCACTCAAAATTGGATTAGCCAATAGTGTCGATTCGTGAGTCGATTCAGTGGCGAGATATTCGATTCGACGGGGTCTGGAAAGTTGTACCGAATGTACCACAATATATATATACAAATATATATATTCACATGGTAGTATCAAATCACAATTGAGCAGTTCACACAAGTAGAACAAGAAGGGGGGAGTTTCAGCGGCGCGATGTTCAAAGTGATTTTAATGCTTGCACAGGATGATGCCACGTCATAGACTACGACGTACCACGCGATCGCCTTGGATGGCTTTGTCCACTGACGCATGAAACATCTGCAGCGACTTGACCTTCTTCTCCACTCCAAGCATCGGCAATGCAATTGTATCGTTGACTCTCAATTGCCCGCTCAACACTGGCAGAAAAGATGGATTTGAGAGAATAGGCGAAGCATGCTGGTCGTACCAGTGCCAGTGAGCACAGTGCCTTTGCCACGTAGAGGAAAGCAATGGTCCACGGCGTACACGAGTGGTCCGTCCGCCGACCGGGCAGGCACGTGGAGGTTGCTTCGCATCGCTGCCAAGAGCGCCGGCATGCCAAGCGGGGGTCGGGTGCCATCGGCGTCGCCAGAGGACACGGGTACGATCGGGGCCGCATGCAGCGTCGGCGACGTCGAAAGAAAGTCGCGGATGGTCTTGGTCATGGCGGCGATCTGGGCCGGCCGCGTCGCGTCGGGCAAGAGATCGACCTTGTTGAGCACGACGAGCACGTGTGGCGTCGAGAGCTCCGCGAGCACCATGGACTCGATGGTTTGCATTTGAATTCCTTTGACGACATCGATGACGAGTAGCGCCATGTCGATGATATGGGCCCCGCCGATGACAGTTTTGATCAACGATGCGTGGCCGGGGCAGTCGACCAATGTGATTTGCGCGGCATCGGAGGATGCAACATCGTCATGAAGGGGGAGAAGGAAGGACGAGAAGCCGAGGTCCAACGTGATGCCTGAAGTGGAGTTAACACCCAACATGGTGGAACGGGAAGGTCGCACCTCGCGCCTTGCTCTGGGGGTTCTTGTCCAAGGCTGCCGTCGACAGATGCGTGCTCAATGACCGGACGAGACTGGTCTTCCCGCTGTCTGCTCATGCAATCACGTCATGTCAGACCTCTCGAGAGGAAGTTCGTCATCTACCCACCGACATGGCCCAGAATGCCCACATTGACATTCATTGGCCCTTCCATTGGCACAGACGAAATGATGATGTATTAATATTACATGCATTCTGGCTTTTTGCCGAATTGAATAGTGAAGATACGGCATAAATCCAAGTAATGTCGGTATTGTAATGTTAGTTTCGGCAATCAATATTGACCTTCAACATGAAACGTTCAACTGCACCGCCCTTCAAGCGTTCCATTTGCTGCTTATCATGCGGTGGCTGGTAGAACTGTCGGTTGACCATCGTTTTGTGTATTGTACATTGCAATAGACGCCAAGTCTCTAACTGCGACCATTCTGCACTTTAACCCATGGTAGCATTACCGCTTGCTGTCACTCAAACCCTTGTTATAGGCACCGCCGTTTGGAGCTCGGTGGCCGCAGCAGATTCCGCCTGTCCCCACGTCCATGATCCACATAGTCGCTTGGCGTCGTCACTCTTGGCCTACACTGGCATGGACACCCAAGACGTTCTGCACGGAATTGCCTTGCCAACATCCTTGTCCACATGCGTCGGGTCCCTCGACGCCGCAACTCTCATGCAGGCGGGGTCTGTCATCTTGGAGACTCCGACCTGTTTCCGCGCCCTGGATTGGCTGACCACGTTGTCACAGCTTACACCGTCGGCGGCGGGTCTACTGACGCCATCGTTTTTCGATTCGTTGGTGTCCAAGGACATTGCTTACTTTGACGCCTTGTGTGCACCTATGCGCGACGTCCTGCCGTGCCTCCGCGGAGCACTCCTGCCTATCCTCATGCCCGTCTTGGCCTCTCAACCATGCTGCGCCGCGCTACTGGACGACTCCGCCGCTCAATTTGGAGTGTCCTTTGACACGTTCGTTGTCGATGCTATCAACCACGTGGCGGATGTGGTGTGCTCGACGCAAACTCCTGGGTTTAACGACACATATCAGCCGTGCGGGTACACGCTGCTGGCGTCGGTGGTAGCCACGTCATCCAACCGGTTGCAGCAGTTAGTTTGGACGGTGCTCGATGCGCTACAACTGCCCAACGACCAAGGGGCCTTGGCTGCAACCGGTGCGCCTATCACGACCACGAGAAATACATCGACAACGCTGTTCATGGCACCCATGTTGCCGGATGCATGCGCGATTCCACTCGACATTTTCTTGGGCTGGGTAAGGCTGCTGCCCATTGTAACATCCACGCCAGTCAGCGCAGACTTGACGTTGTCGGCACTGTTTGAAGACGATCAGTGTGTTCCTGGAGGTCAGCTCTTGCAAGCGTTAGTCCAAACGTTTCCAAAGGCCATCAGCGACGACCTGTACTCCATCGTCGGCGCATGGATCACCGACGACACCACGTGCTTTCATTTAGCCAACGGTTACACCACAGGTATCGATCGATTTCAAACCACTGTGGACACCTTCTCCCAAACCCTCGACAACGACAACCGGTAGCGATGGTGCCGCCTGCCTCATGGCATCCAGGATGTGTTTGACTGTCGATAGAATTAAGCCAATCCAAAGCAACTCTAGGATCGATTTTATCCAATCCGTTCTCGCTACATCCGGGCATTGGTACATTTCATAATCATGGCAACTGACCTCGAGTACAGTCGCGCGATGCTAGAAGCACTGGCAACAACCAGCAGTGACGACCTTCGCCAAGCTCTCCAGGACTTGGCTTTAGTACGAGGTGACCTCAAGCAGGTAGCGACTTCAATCGTTCATCGGTTCCCGTAACTAACGACTCGAGCAGCTTGCATTCGGCGATAGTATGGACCTCGCGTGTCGACTGGCCATGGTGCTCGGAACCCTCTGCGTTGACAACACCGACGCCAGTGTTCGCCTCATTGATGTCGCTCGATCTCTATTGATGTCGCTTTTGGAGCACTCAAACGGCGTGTTGGCGCGGTCGGTACCAGAGGTCTTCGAGCGATTGCTTGACGCATTGGCGGTCACCACGACATCCCAACAGTCAGTCTCCGCCCACGTACGTTGAGCCAATGGACTCTCCTGTTGCCATTCCCCCTTCGATGTTGACAGTCTCACTAGATGCACATGATTCTGTTTACAACGTTGAGCGTGGCGTTGGAATGCGTCGGCTTGCCAAAGACAGACCCCTTATGGCACCGCCTTGACCCTGTTCTCGATCCCATATTCGCTTCCATTGCCACCAAACCCAATTCTTCCAACTTGAGTCCTTCTACAGCGCCTTGGCGTGGCCTACTCGACGACAGCCATGACGTGACAGCCGTTCGCGACATCCAGACTTTCCTATCCTCGGCGGTATCTGCGACCCAAACTCCGCTGCAGACACAACTCTACTCGCTTGGACACTGGGCCGCCCTCTTCACTGGCGTGTGTCTCTGCCTTACATCTATCTTCCTTGGTACTCTCGGCACCGCTGCCCTGAACGTTGTCCTCGGCGTCGGCACCTCCATGATCGTCTACTGCGTCCACACGCTGCATTCCTCGTGGAACCAGTCTCGTCGTCGGCAGTCTCTACTGCGAGTCGCGCTCCGCCGCTGCGAATTGCCGTATACTGGTCCGGAATGGTGCCATCTGCCACCGAAGCCCAAGTCGGCGCCGTCCTCCGCGAACCAGCCGCCGACCTCTGGACCCTCTCGCCGCCTTGCAACCATCGACGAGTATGCAGATGATGATCCCGTCGAGCGCAAGCTGAAGGACCTTTCTTCGTTGCCTCCTGTGGACGCTTCGCTCTTGGCTAGCCTCAACCCGTCGGAAATGCTTGACGCGCTGCAGCGATTGCAAGCGCTTCTCGCCACTGCCGACGTGAGCCCCGAGACGAGGGCAAAGGTGGAACGAGGCTTGCAAGTGTTGGAGCATATCCAACGACAGACACCCGAGTCCCCCTTGGACTAGTAATAGCCCCTCTTGTTGATATAGTCACGATATAGATTTGGATACAATAACCTGTGAGAAATAGAGTCCATACAGTATGTGGAACTGTCCTTGGCTATCTACGTCTACTTTGACCTACTTTGTTTCCCGATATATTTTGTGTTGTATTCAAAACCCAACAATCGCTGGGCTTCAAAATACAATATAAAACAAAGTTTAAGGGTCATATTGCAACCTTTGTTCGATGTAGCCAATCATACTGCTTTCCTCCCCCTCAAATTGGTGTGAAATGACGTTTGGGATACTGTTTTTGTTTTAGCCAATCATATTGCAACCTTTGTTCGATTTAGCCACTCATACTGCTTTCCTCCCCCCTAAATTGGTGTGAAATGCACCATTCTTTCAAACCATCATCACACATGTTTCTTCAAGTGCATTGTCGTTTAACCACGTCACACTCACTCATCCGACGACCGTTCAATCGATTACTGCGCCGCCGGGCCAAACGAAAACGTTGTGTTGGCTGTTGGGTCAAAGCCAAACTGGAAGCGGCCGTCCTGCACGCCTGCGCCGTCCACGTCGTCGTCGCCTTCGCCTTGGAAGAACCGCTCAATCAATCCCAGCGCCTTGTTGTAAATGTCTATCATGTGATGTTATATTGTATTTCTACTCTCGACATGTCTTTTGTACCCGTCTGTTCGTGGTACTGCAGGTTCTCAATTTTGGTCACGCCGTCGCAGTCTTCAATGACGCTCACAAACGCATTCACGTGCGTGCCGTCGGCTTCCCCTTGGCGCTCCCCCGCCGCGAGAATATTTTCAAGCCCTTCCAGCGCCACCGAGATGAGCTTGGGCTCGGGCAACTCTAGCAGACTGCACAGCGGACCCACGCATCCTATGAATCAAATTCTCGTTGCGGACATATATATATATATATTGGCTTGAATAGAATACAAAATACCCAGATGGACGAGATAGCGAATTTGCTCTGCCGACCCCGACGTAGCATTCGACACGGCCCATGCCGCTTCCTTCTTGATATCAAAATCCGCCTACGTATATAAATATAATATATAATATCTATATATAATATATATAATACATATATATATATATAATATATATACACACATTTGAGAAAATAAATCACATATAGGTACAGTAGGTACGTATAAATCTCGACATTTTTCACAAATAGGTACATTAAAATTGCACCGAGACCATACAAAATGGTCCAAACTGTTCAATTCTGCACATATATTTTATGAACCTAAAAAAAACGTGCACCAACACCATGTAAACACGTGTCAAATAGGTGATATCAAGAACACTTTCGATCACATCGCTTAAGATGGAATATTTCCCGTAGATGACGTACCGTGCCAAGGTAATCGATGAGCACGGGGAAGATATCATGGTCAAAAATCGTCTGAATCTGCTGTGCGTTGCCCGCCGTGATGTTGGAGACAGTCCAGCAGGCTTCTTTGCGGATGCCCTTCTTGGGCGAGTGGAGCAGCGCCGTCAAGCACGACAGCACGTTCAAGTTGAGCATCACCTGTAGCGCCATACACGTCATCACTCACCATCATCATGCATCATTACAACCAACCCATACCTGGGTCTGAATGTCATCGCCAGTCACAATGTTGCCCACTGCCCGCAGCGCCGGCGTCTGGACCGACGGCGACGGGTGCATGAGCAGCTCGATGAGGCGCTTGCACACGCCCGCCTCGATCACCGCCTGGATCTTCTCGTTGCCGCCGTCGCTCAAGTAGCTGAGCGCCCAGCACGCGTCCGTGAGCACCTCTTCGTCCTGGGAGAAGATCAGCTGCGCCAATGTCGACAGCGCCGGACGAACACTAGTCTCCACACCATGTAGCATGAGAGTCATGAGAAGGAGCATGAACAGATAGGTGTGGGGACAGTACAGGTCGTAGGGCGGGGCGGGCTTGCCGCGGCAAAAGTTACTCAGCGTCCATGTCGCGTTGCGCAGCATTGTGGGCTTGGAGTTCTGCGACAACTGCTGCGTCAGCGGCTGCAGCGCGCCACAGTTCAGCACGACGTCGCGACACTCGGGGGAGTCGCCGGCGATGTTGCCGAGCGCCCACACCGCTTGCTCTCGGACGTCCTCGTCGTGGCTGAGCAGGAGTTGCGTGAACACGGGCACCGCGCCGTGCTCAATGACGATACGCGTGTGCTGGGACGTGCCGGATGCGATGTTGGTGAGGGACCACGCCGCCTCGAACTGAAGACGCGGGTTCGCTTCGAACTTGAGGAACTCGACAAACACGGGCACGACGCCAAGACGGATCACTTCTTCGATCGGCGGGTTTTTCTCTAAGAAGGACATTGGTTCACGTCATGACGTGCATGTTGTTCCTGAGGATAGAAGTGGTGGGTACCGATGGAGAGGAGCTTCCGGAACTTGGTCACGGCGTTCAGCTGCTTGACGGGGTCCGGGCTGTGCAGGTCCGAGCACATTTCGGGCAGCTCGTTGATCTACATGACACATTGGTAACGTGGAGGTAACCATGCATACGTTCTTACTCGTTGCTGCAAGTGGTTGTCCACCGCATCCGTTGGTGCGGAAACATCCATTTGCCCGCCCTACATCACGGGGTTTTTGATCACGTGTGAGCAGGTCTCGTGGCTTACCGCCATGCGCCGCTTCTGCTGGAGTTGTTCATCGCGCTTCTCCTTGCGGATTCGAACTGTGGTGTCTTCTCGTCTGCGACGGATGTCCTCGACGTCGATCCCTTTCTTAAAGTTGCGCTGTCGATCCTGGGTTGCCATGATGATCAAGTCGATTTTTTCTAGCAGCCAAGAAGTCGAAAGAAACCATTTGAAAACCCATACTTGGATTCAGTATAGGATATTTTTATAATGTAATTAAATACCCTTACTAGAATCAAGTTTAAATTGACTATTTAAAACCAACCGATTCCTGCAATTTGCAAAGCAAGGCAACAACTCGATCAAAGACATCAAGTGGACATCGCTTAGTCGCCGACGCTTAAACGATGGTGTTGGGGGAAAGCCTGGGTACGTCACCGCTGCTACCAGCTGCATGTGGGCTGGACGCAGCTTTGCGGGACGCACCAAGCGACTCGAGCGCCGAGAGCAACACCGCCGACTGCTGCGCTTGATGTTGTTGCAATTGCTGCATTTGCTGCATGAAAATGATTTGGTTTTGCTGGGCGAGACGGCTTTGCTCTGCCAGGAACGACATGATCGCTTGGTTAGATTCTGCCTGCACGTAGTCATGTTAGTCGCCGCCATTGCCTCCATCAAGGACTCGTACCAACGTCATGTCTTTGAGATCATACTTCTTGGCGTCGTCAATGATAAACGACGTAGGATCCAAGCCCACTTCGTCCAACAACCCTGGGGGACGCAGTGGCGTCAGCCCGAGCTCGTTGAGTTCGACAATGTCGTCGAACACCAGTGGTTCGAGCCACTCGCGTAGATGATCGCGCTCGTGCTATGGATTCCGTCCGCATTAGCCGCAACCCGACAGACGGATTACGATGGTACCTGGTACTGGAACAACAGTTCGTCCAAATGACGGCGGATTTCATTTGGCTTCCAGAGCGCGAGTGCAGGTTCATCGTGTTGATGCAGGTGGTCGAGGTAGAATGGTTGCCACTTGGGTCGTTCATCGCGAATCGAGTCATATTGCTTACGAATGGCCAAGGATACGTGTACGCAGGCTTGGGTTGCTTCTGGACTCCTGAAGGTCATCATAACTCTGGGTTACTACGGCATCATACGCTGCTCGACCGTACCAAAGGCTCTTCGACCGCTTGACGGTTGGATCCTGGGACGACTTGGCTTGTCGTCGGAGTTCCCGCAACCTGCGCTTCTCTTCCTTGGCCTTGTTCTCCATCATTCGCTTCATGCGTTTCATGTTGCGAGCGGCTTCGAGCTTGGCCCGTTCCTCAGCGATCACTTCCTTGGAGCGATACGGCCCTCGCTTCTTTCGGCCACTCTGGGACGTGGCGTCGCCGTCGCTGGACTCGGGCTTTCGTCCATCATCGTCGTTGTCGTGGTGACGATGGGAATGTGGCGCCGGAGATGGCGCTTCGTCGTTCTTACCCGAAGTCGAATTCGTGTGTTCCATCCTAGAAATTCCAAAACCCAGAGGGGAATTTTGCCAAAACGGAAGTGGCGGCGAAGCGAAGGGGGAAATATGGGCCAAAAACAGTATACAAAGTTCAAAATATTTCGAAATTCTACCGATCAGATCGTATTAATATTCATTCACATACAAAAAGCATGATACGATTTGAACATTCTGAATAGAATGAGATCCCTCGATTGTCGAACTTAATGTCCATATCTGGTCTGTATGTTAAGTAAGTCGATGCCAATTTACCTTGGTTTAGGAACATACGACGCATTTGCACACAAGACAAGCACGACATGTTGGCGCATGTGTGTCACTTTCGAATAGGGAACTGTACGTACGTACTACTTCAAGCACTAGTATACGTATAGTGCTTAGAACTGGTACAACATCTCAATCGACTGTGCTTGACCTTCTATCGGGTCGTACATATTATCAACCCCGTCAAGCCACAGACTATAAGGTTACCCGTCATGTGAACGAATTCTTGAAATGTGGTGAATAAAATACACCGTTTTCGAACGTTTTTCCGCAAAAGTGCGAAATCAAACGTCAAAGTGCAAAAATGGCCAGCCAATCGAATCGCGGCTACCGTAACGGCACGTACAAAAGAATTCACCTTCTGCCGAATTCATGTTTTTGCCAGCTCACCACCTCCTTGCGCGCGTCGTAGTCGGCGCCGTCTTGGCCGTGCCGACAGTGTACTTTGCCACTGTCTTGTTCCCTGCCATTCGTCACGTGCCCCTCTCCGAAGGGTTCAGCCACATCCGCTCGAATGTCTGGGCGACGTCTGCCTTGATTGATTATGTTGCTGGGCTGAGCTTCACGCTGCCATACATGTGGTTTCGCTCGCCCAATTCTATCGTGGGTGTCCTTGTTGTCTTGCTTTGCACCACGATGGGCAATGTCGTGTCGGTGGCTCTGTTCATCGCGCTGATCTGGACAAGTCGAGGAACCCTGCGTCAAGCGGTGCTGCCGCTGGACCATGCCTTGCATGCGCCGAACACGAATACGTGGGGAGTAGTTGTTTACCAATGGATTGTTTCTATCCTGGGACTCATCTACTGGGCGTACCTTTTCTATGCCGCGGCCACCGAATCGGTCCCCGACGGCTGGGCCTTCATCCGTTCGGACACGTGGAGCTATGTTACATTGGTTGATGTCCTCACTGGCATCTCCATGGTCGTCACGTACGTCTTGGTGCGCGAACTCCGCGACGGCAACATCTTGATCGCGCTCTTGTGGGTTCTTGGCTTGCTCTGCCTCGGGAACGGTGTGACAATCGTCTACCTGCTTTACGTCAGCGCGGGGCCGATGGCCGGTCGGTCGCTGCAGGAAGTGTTTCTGTGGGGCGAAGCGGGGCCTTCAAGTGAGCGAGCTCCTCTTGTTAAGGCTCACTAATGTCGTAGCAGATCAAGACACCGACACGTGATGCCTGAAGCCTACCGATTGACTAGAGCATACATCGTTCACGAAACAGCAATAACATACTCCAGCATCAATGTTAATTGCACGACTCTTGAAGTGTTACTACGCGTTAGACTTATTACTGATCAACGTTTTTGGAGTAGTCATCGTCAGGAAGACTCAACCACCGGGCTTTCCACCTTGTAATCGCATTATCATATTTCAGAATGTACTCTACTACAAATAGCCGCCGTGGGGTTGCCGCAGACCCGCGAGGCTACAACTGGATGGGCTCTTTGCACGAAAAGTCTTCGCAGGACCCATCCACAAACAATCACCACAAGCGTCCTTCGCTTCGACGTGAAAACCACAGTTTAATATGAAGCAGCCTTTCTTTGATGGATTAGCCTAGCATCAGTAGTGCTCTATAACTCCATTAAGTAGGCAATCATTGTAGCAGCACCCGCTCGATGGCCACGCACTAGACGCGGCCCACATACGGCGCGTGCCGGAAGGTGCTTGAGATAGTCACCACGCACAGTGACGCCATGTGCCATACGCCGCGCCGAGCACCTGCCACACACGGACGACGATCTCGTTGACGTGGTTTTTCCTGAATGAACACGTCGTCCCCGATCGACGAGCGGGAGTAGAGCGACTTGACCGCGTCCTTTCCGGCTTTAAGCTCGCCGGGAATGACCGTCAGTCCCTGGCGCATCACGAGACGCTCCAGTGGCACGAACAACAACAGCGTGTCCTTGGGCGACGACGACGCGGGTATGCTGGGGGACTTGGGGGAGGTGGCTTCAACCCTGACTTTCCCGACGACGATGATGACGACGGAAGAGGAAGTTTGACGGGGGAGCTCATCGTGGGTGGCGGGAACACGGAAGAAGTCGACGGAATTGACGTGGCCGTTTGGGACTTGAGCGGGGTCGCCAGTTGTTTCAGCTGAGACGACTTGTACATCGACGAAGGCTCGCGCGCTAGTTGGCCAAATGGCGTATATCGTTGTTTTGGCGATGTGGGTTTGGAAGCCGACGGGCAGGACAAGTTTGCTTTAGGGGATGGCGCCGCCGTGCGTCCGCCTCGGACAGGCACATTCTTTACGAGAGAGGAAAAATACGACGACGAGGACACGGCGGCGGCGGCAGGGGGTTTGGTTGGTTTGCGTTCAACGTCCCCACCTCCAAACGCGGTGGTGGCCGTGCGGGCGGTTTGACCGTATCTATGTTGGCTGGCACCATGCCCCGACACCCGACTTGGACGGCGTCCCTTCCCACACTCTTGAACAACTCGACCAGGAGCAGCTTCGCCTTGTGGCGCACGGCCGTCGACTTGTCCGACAGTGCGTCGATCGTGGTTTCGACCAGACTGCGTAGATCCATCTTGCCGGCAACCGTCTGCGTCATCTCCACGGTCCACCCGAGCAACTCGGCGCGGCCGACGGGGTCTTGAGCGCCGTCGTCACGAACGGCAGCAACGACTCGAATCAACTCGTAGACGCCACATTGCCGTGCACCACACACTTGTGCATTGAGTACAGACACGCGCGCATCGCCTTCTTGTTGTCCGCCACCCCCACCACGAGGTTGGCTAGTTTGGCCATGGACGGCCCCGCACTGGCAACCACGACCCCAATCACGTGAACAGCCTTGGTCGTCAAGTTGGCGTTCGAGTCACTCAGGTGCGCCATGAGCGACTTTGTGAGGTCCACCACCCCTTGGTCAACTCGATCGACAAGCCCACTTCATAGCAGATCCATTGGTCCTGTTCCATCGCACCCAGCCGCTTGTTCCACGCCACCCATCGTTGGCCATGTCCGCCAAAAACTCCTTTGTGATCTTGGCGCTAACGTCCACACGGCCAAACAGTGACCCCAAAGCACCTCCTTCCTCCCCTCCTTCCTCCACCATTGTACTACTAGTAGTACTGGCCACCTGAGACACCGCAAACGAGGTCGGACTGAACCCCATACATTGTTCATGAAACAACATTACTGTAACATCACCCGCATCAATGTTACAGTAATTGCACGACTCTGAAACGTTATCACACGTTAGACTTGAATTACTGGGATACTGTATACTATCGGAAATTGTTTCCAATGGCTTTACATGTACAGTACTACGTACTAAGAAGTACCGTACTATTAATAGTAGTACCGTATGTATTTATTAATTACTGTAATGTTGGTTTGTCTATTGATTGCTACAGTTGTGTCTTTTCGAAATCATGGCAGGATCACACGTTTTCAGTGGGATTCGCTGCTCATTGCTGGGCAAGTAACCTTAACACTACAGTAACACATCAAACGACAACGTAAAGATCTGCAGCTGAGCGCTGATGTTAGTACAGTACTCAAAAGGTTACTGTACCCGTCGGTATGCTCTAAGGAAGGTGAACGCGCATAGCGTAGATGGGGGTCAACAAAGTTAGGAAAGAGCGGTGAGTACACTGAAAAAAATACTACTAACAGTAAGTACAGTCATCCCCCGATTTTTGCAAACTACATATACTGTATGTAATAATATCCTGTGTAATCCCAGCGTATCAAGTTTGAAGGTGGGGGATTATCAGGACAGAATGTGTGCAGGAGAGACGGTTACACCATGTTTACTACCGCGATAACTGTAGTATGAGCGAGTGAAACGCTTAGAAGTACATTGTTCATTTTCGATCATGCCTCTTTCCACGCAATCCACCACCGCCCTCCGCTGTGGGTTTCAGAACTTTGTCGACCAAGCCAGTCCTGTGGCATGCAAAGTCGTGTTTGGCGTCGTCCCTGAATGGCTGCGAAACAGCGCCTTGTACCGAACGTCGCCTGGTATGTTCGACATTCCGTCGCTCGACCCCAAGGCAAAGCATGAAACCATCCGCCACTGGTTTGACGGTCTTGGTGTGATGCATCAGTTCAACATCCGATCCGACGGGTCCGTGAGGTACCACAACAAATTGATTGCTACGGGGGCCCTCGAAGCTATTCAGGCAGGGGCCAACCCCATCCTCTTTGGACCCCCCCTGGATCCATGTGTGTCGATCTTTGGCAAAGTTGCGGCGATGATCAACACGGTCGTGTTTTCCCCCCACGCCAAGCCCGAAGCCTCGAATCTGAACGTGACCGTGTCGAAAATGCCCCACTCGCTCGTGCCAAACACCGTTGCCGTCAAGAGCGACTTCAACATGCTGCAACTGGTCGACGCCGACACGTTTGAGACCAAGCGCTTTGTCAAATACTCGGCGTATGACGACCGCCTCGGTGGCGCAGTGTCTGCCGCGCACGAAGGTATGCTCCAACAAGCACACATCGCTGTACACACATTATTCGAGCTAACATTATGGTAGAATACGACCCTGTGACAGACACGTATTTCAACTTGAACATTGACTTTATGGGCAACCACACTGCCATTTTCAGCTTGGACAGCAGCGGGGCCGTGCGCGAAGCAGTGATCCACACCCCCCGCGATCGACCCGTGTCGTACATCCACTCGTTCTCGTCCACGACCAAGTACTTGGTCCTCACGACCCCTCCCGCGTTTGTGAACGGCCTCAAAGTCCTGTACGAGCACAGCTATTCGCAGGCGCTGACGTGGCAGCGGGAGAAGCAGTGTCTGTTTTACGTCGTGGACCGGGCCACCATGACCCACGTCGCGACGTTTGAATCGACCGACGCGTTCTTCTTCTTCCACTCGGTGAACGCGTTCGACGACGGCGATGACATCGTGCTGGACATGATACACCACACGGACATGGACATCATCCACCGGCTGAACGTCCGTACGATCCTAGAGGGATCGGCCTTGACAGCCCCAAGCCGCCTCGCTCGATTCCGCCTGCGAGCCGTGACGTCCCACCCATTGGAGCCCCCGAAGGCCAGTCCGTCGTTTCCAAAAGTCGAATTGCCTCAGCTGTGGAACACCCCCTCCAGCGTCGTGGAGCTGCCGACCATCAACGAACGATACCGCCACAACAGTCAGTACCGATTCGTGTACGCTGTAGGCACAAACAGTCCCCACGCAGCGTTTTTCGAAGGCGTGGTCAAAATGAACTTGGACACGGGTGAAGAGGTGTGGTGGCTTGCCGGCGACGGGCAATTCGTGGGCGAGCCCATCTTTGTGCCACATCCTCAAGCGGAACACGAAGACGACGGCGTGCTGCTGTCGGTCGTGCTGGACGGCATTGCCAACCAAAGCCACTTGGTCGTATTGAACGCTCGGGACTTGTCCGTCGTGGCTAAAGTTGCAAGTCCAGTCGTCGTCCCCCTCGGTTTCCACGGCATGCACACGGCCAAGTAGAGTTTTCATAGCCATATGCATTCATGATACGACCTGCGTCGTCCACATTCATTTCAAGCGTAGAAGAGTCCTGTTCTACAATATAAAATGAATTAGGATATTCACGACTAGTTTGGTCGAGTTCAGTGTGCGCTCTAAACACAATGTCTAATCGTCCGTGGTTGTTGGTTGAAGTAGCATAGTAACGTTAAATACGAATGAATGGTCGTGGCAGCTTCTTTGAGTCCAACTGCAAACTGACGTGAACCAAATACCACACAACATTGGTTGAATAAGCTGTAGTTCACAGCCTCCACGAAATCAACCTCCACTGGTGACGACCAAGCTCTGGGAAAGCTACAACCACAATCTTCATGCATATAATTCACACCGAAGAGTAGTGTCCCCTTTACAAAACGATCATCAATTGTGTATATACTAGTCATCCTGTCCAATATCACCGGTAAAACAGGACGGCAACTTGACCTGTTTCTTTTTCAAATCGACGAGAATATCGTGGATACATATTGCCGTGCGGAGGGCCATCCCGTCGGCGCCTGCATTGCACTCTCCACAATGATGCAACCCAAGCACAGTGTGATCTGTCGACGCCACCACAGGCGACCCCGACGACCCGCCGATCGTGTCGGCCATGTACCCCAGCTGGCGCTTGCCGCACTTGTTGGTCACATTCGCGTCCACAATCACCGCGTCGTGGCCGCTTTTCAGCCGCGCGGCTACTTTGGCGGCGGTCCCGTCGGGGTGTTGCGGGACGTAGATGCGTTCTCCCGTGAGGCGCGTCCAGTTTGCCTTGTCCTTTCGTAAGGGCAAGTACGCCACGTTCAACCGTTTTAGTTGCCTCCGAGCGTGAGAATCAAACCGAAGCAAGGCATAGTCCAGCGACGTGTCCACGGCCACCAGCGTCGCCGACCCCCGCAGCAACAGCTTGGGCGGACACCCCAGCGACCGACGGTTGCATACGTCGTCGCAGGTGGGGCTGGCTGCGAGGAAACCAAAGTCCGTCGCGTCCACTTGTGTTTGGGTGCGCACGTTGTGCTCGTTGGTGAGGAAGTACCCGCTACAGCCCACAAGGAACCCCGTTGCGTACTGGGCCACCGATGACGAGCTGCCCAGCATCACCATGCGCGCGAGGCTACGCGAGCTCTTGTACACTTGTGGGTCGGACTCCTTGAAGCAGGACGCGGGCCGCCAAGCGGGTGCGGCGGACACGCAGGCTGGGTTCACGAGGGAAGTGCCGTCGGTCGAGCTCACCCGAGCCACCCCTCGAATGTACGACCCGATGGAGATCCCGAACGAACGATAGTTCTTGGACGACTGATGTTTCTTGTCATTGTTGGCCTTGTCGGGGGTGTACGTGACCTCAACGGCATCGCCCATGAGTCTGTCCGAGTAAAACGACGTGTCGTCGTGGATTGTAGTCGTCGGTCGATGGCGGCGACGGCCATGGCCTTTGTACACGACGGTGGTTTCATTCGTGGATAATGTGAGGATATCTCCAGGAGGCAAATCTAGCTTGGAGAACCGAATGTAGATGAACCGAGAGTTGGAATATGCCAACTTGATTGACGTGGACTCGCCGAGGTGGATTGTTCGGTTGTACGTCTCTGCGAGTCCTGCAGATCCCGTGCTTTTGATCTCAGCCGACAAATCTGACTGGATGTCTTCTGCACGTCCAATGGATGCCACCACCGAGGCCAAGACCAGGAACAGCGGCGGCAGCCTCATCTCAATTAGTCAATAGATGGGTTGTCAGTGTCGTCGTCCATCGACAATATATCAGATTGAGCGAGCCAATCAAATGCGCAATTACTTCGAAGTAGTAATTGGTAAAAATATTGTCAAGTTGGCTCGTAAATGGAGTCGCCAGTAACGTTAGAACCGATTAACGTTAGACTAAACTCTTTGTACTATAGTGAATACTAGTACAAGATATATTGCCAAGTTCATTCAAAAACAGTTTCATTTTTGAACTGTCCAAATTTGCGTGAGATAGACAATATTTCGACATGATTTAACCGTTACACTCTCGTTTGCAACCGCAACTTCGACTCCATCCAAAGCTCAAATCGGTCCTCGTACCCTATGGTACATACAGTAACCTGCTTGTAACCTACTCCAGATTAACACATAACGAGGCTTTTCACAAGGCAGGGCAAAGGCGAAATAAATCCATTCTTCACAGTATTCGTGATATGTGGTACAGTCGAGTATGGCACTTGGGAGTTTTGTAACTCCGTTTAGGAGGATGTAACCGCCGCATGAATGCAAACAATGACCCACCGATGTCAAGCGACGTTTCATTGGCTGATTCAGATCCAATGCAATTTGATTGGTGAGAATTCCCTTCAACACTCTGAAACGGCCAGTTTTGCAATGGCGATGACTTTGGCCTACGATGTCGCTCGCGGCGCCTGCGCCGCGATATGGCTCGTCCTCCACATGTTCGTCCTGTTCGTCTACCAGACTGCCACATGCACTCTGCGTCCATTCAGCCGGGCCCACTTTCGGCGTGCGATCGGGTACTCTACATGTCGTCCTCACTGCAGCACATCCATCTTATATCCGTCCCTTCCTGCAGGAGATGTTTTGCCATGTACATGGAGATCATAGCGTGCTGCTTCCATCCATGCGATCTTGTGGTGTCGTAAGTTGTTGTCTTGACGACATCCATGATCGCTTCCTCCGGACATATTCCTTATTGTAGAGGGAACGTGCCCACAGATACATCAAAACCCATGATTATCCTTGCCAACCATCAAGTGGATGCCGATTGGTGGTATATCTGCGAACGTACGTCGCATATGACCCTGTATGTCCCTTCCTGATCATGAATCCTACACCACAGTGTTGCGAGCACATGGCGGAGCGGGCAACGTGAAGATCGCCATGAAACACACACTGCGATCGCTGCCTGTGTTGGGGACCGGCATGTCGATGCTGGACTTTCTCTTCTTGCGTCGAGACATCAAGGTCGACCGCGTGACCATTCAGGCGTATATGCAGAGCTTTGTGCAAGACAACTTTCCGTTCTGGCTGGTCTTGTTCCCCGAAGGCACGACAATCTTCACCGAGTCCGTGCTCAAGTCGCACGAGTTTGCCACCGCCCAGCACCGCCCCGTGCTGCACCGCGTCATGTTGCCGCGGTCCACGGGTCTCAAGCTCATGCTGGACGCGTTCAAGGACAGCCCCGTGCAGCCCACCATTTTGGACGTGACGATGGCGTTTCCGTCCTACTCGGGCGAAGTGCCTACGTACGAAATGGGGTACGACCGCCATGTGGACGTGGACTTGCCGTCCATGAAGAAGCTCTTGATGGGTCATGGCCCGTCCAAAGTGCACTTTCACTGCCGTCACTTCTCCATGGCAGATGTCGGCGACGACGTCCAAGCGTTTCTGGACGCGTTGTGGGTCGACAAGGAAGCCCTTCTCAACGAGTTTATTCAGCACCAGGTGGGTATCGTCGTTTCACGTGACAGACTGTTTGAATTTGAACGCAGGGCTTTGAGTCCAAGCAACACTCTACGCGTGTACTCCGGCCCACGGTGCGTTCATGACAAAATGTGTGCGGATAACAATAATAATGAATGGTCATCCACAGGCGTCGTGGCAAGCGGTGGGTCGGTTGTGGCTCGCCGGGGGGGTGTCCATCTGCTTCTGGCCGATGCTACTTCCATGTACAGCGATCTATCGCGCACCTTGGATGTGAACATGTGGCTTCGGTAGGCTACGTACTGGGCACCGTGGTTCGAAGTGCTTTTAGCGGTACCAAGGTCGTGCCACAGTCGATGGCGGCTTATTAGTGCGCACAAGGACGTCCAGTCTGCGTGCTCCGACTGCATTGTTAGCATGTAACTGAATGAATACTAAGGTCAAGAATGAGTTTACACTGAGATCGGGTCGCTCTGATGTTGGGGCCACTTGCAGGTCGCCCTGCAAGCAAGGCGTTAACAACGTGCACATTCGCTCTTCGCTGGATGGATACGATGGTGTACTTGGGATGACACATGTGAACCATTCAACGTAGGTACAATTATTGACAACACCAACGTGGACGTGCTCATTGTATGCCACCACCCGATGTTTTATCGAGTACTTGTACCCCACTGAAACAACATGTAGGGATAAGTTATCTACCGCTAATTCGGTTACACTTCGGTTTCACCTTGCCTTCCTTCACACAGCAAATCGCGACGATGGTAGGTCGACCCGCCAGCTCACGGCGTCAGCCTTCGGCTAAGGCTGCCGCCCCCCCTCGAAGCTCTACGTCCTCGTCCGTGTCCCGCGAGCCGAGCCTACCACCGCCACCCATAGTCAAAGTCTCGGTTCGAAATCTGCGGCTTCGACGAGGCGGCAATATCACGTACAACTTGAAGATGGCCACGTGTTTAATGAGCGTGCGTATTATTGATCCACATTACCCCCAGTAGACAAGTTGAGCTGCGATTTGTAGAGACAAGAAGTGGTCGTGTCGGTGGTGTTGCCAGAGTCCGTCCACGGCATTTCCGTATCTCCGTCCGAGGTCCGATCCTAACTAACGACGCGCCTCACTCTAAAGGCGTAGGTGCTGTTTACTCGGTCCAATTTCCGCCAACCGCAAGCCATTGCCGTGCACGCGACCGACACCACCGACTTGCTCCGGTTCTCGATCCAGCACATTCCCACGTTGACTTGGTTATTGGGACCCGACCAAGAGGCGGCAACTGTGGCGCCTGTGGTCGTGCAGGTGATGCCCAAGCAAGCGCTGTTTGTGTTTTGTTTTGGCTCGGGACTGTACGGTCGACTGGGCGTGACCCACCCCTTCGACAAGCGCGACGCCAGCGCATGTACACCTACCCCACTGGGCACCAAGTGGCTCGTGCCAGCGCAAGTCGCCTGTGGCAAGGCCCACACTGCCATCATCGATGCCAATGCCCATCTATATTGCTTTGGTGCGACCACCAGCACCTGCTAAATGAACAACACTTGTGACTGTCGTGGGTAGGGCGTGGCAGCGAAGGGCAACTGGGGCAGCCGCATGTCGATCATGTCAAAGCCGCGTCGGTGGTTCCCAAGCTCATGAACATGCTAGTGTGTTGGAAATACCCGTTATCCTCGTCAATTGGAATCATCTCAATGTGGTGCTTTTGCTGTAGGTCACCCACGTCAGTTGTGGAGCCAACCATACGTTATGCATCGTCAACAACATGTGGGCGTATGCATGGGGAGACAACTCTTCAGGCCAGGTACTAGCAACCTTTACGCCAACGAGGATATCTGATGCAGGACTTGTAGCTCGGACTGAATTTGAAAGCAAAGCACCACCGCACCCCCAGTCGAATACACCACCTCCCCGACGTGCGCTCTGTCGTGTGTGCTGGGGACCATTCGTTTGCACTCATGGCTTCTGGGAACGTCTTCGCCACGGGGTCCAACATAGGTCGTCCTTGCCATTTCCGCTTGTCCACACAATAACCCTCTTTTGCACAGCTGGTCAGTTAGGGTTTGGTGACACCACGACCCGCGCAACCTTCACACAAAACCCACACTTGACGCACGTGCATCACTTGGCGTCGGGGATGTATCACGCCATCGCCCATACCAAAGCCCCCCTCGCCGTGGTCGTGTGGGGGTGCGGCGGCAACGGACGGCTCGGGCTCGGCGACGTCGAGTCCAGGATGACGCCAGCAGACCTCACGGTGTGTCTTCAACCCTTTGATTGCTTTATGCCGATGTTAATGTGTCGTAAACCAGGACTTTCGAGGCACGAGAGTGTTGCAAGTCGCAGCTGGGGGCACCCACTCTGCACTACTCACAGAGGTATGGGACTATGATAAATTGGCATATATAGGTACAGGTCATTCTTAAACTGACCGACTACATCCGACAGGCGGGGGATTTGCTCATGTGGGGCGGCAATGCGTACGGCCAAGTGGGCGACGGCCTGTACAGCGACCGTTTAGTGCCCCATCGGCTGCACATGTTTCAAGGCAAATTCGTCCGTGCCATGTACACAATTCGATACAATGCAAGCTCCAATTGTCATGGGGACACTTGTAGTTCATTGGGGGAATGGCATTCCGTGGCACTCGTGGACGATGCGTGTGTGTACGCGTGGGGGTTTGGCGAGGAAGGCCAGGTGAACCCGTTCCAGCCATCCGTTCCTGACGCTATATTCTCAACATGTAGCTGGGATTGGGCGACGATCGCAGCTCGAGTTTGCCCCTTGTGGTGAACCCCCTCTCGGGCACGGCCCCCGTGTCCGTGTGCTGTGGGGGTGCCCACACTGTCGTGGTCACGACCCTCGAAACGTCTTGCCGCACGCAGCAAGAAAAGGACCGCCAGGTGCCTAACATTCGTACTTGTGCCTTTAATCACCAACACGTGTTTGTGTAGTTTTCCGAATGTGCCGCCACCCGCGAACGCCGGAGGCTGACGTGGCGCAAGTCCATGCAGTGGAAAGGCAAACATCCAAGTCGGAAGCGCGGCGTCGACATAAACCGACTGCTGCAGCCCGCCCAACACATAACATCGTCGCAGGACACCCCCCCGAAGCATCAACCGGCCAAGATGCCAAGTCGACCCCAGACCGCGCGGCCATTTCGAGACACCGTCAGGCCAATTCACGACGACGCATCCATGAATCAAGTGATGAACCACGTCGTGCCGTGGAGGGAGCGTCCGCTGACATCACGAACGTCGCTTCGAACGGCGTTGCGGTAGAGTCCACCCTCCCCCCGATACCTTCGACAGTTGAATAACATTGGGCTGTTGGTACGTGTAGCCAGGAATTTCACGCAATAGCCATGCTCCAGAAACCAGTGTCGACACCATCCTGCGCCAACTCGGCGTCCACTCGCGTGAGTGCCGCCCTTGTCGCCCAGGAAGCAGCCATGAAAACCAAAACGATGCTGGCGCAAGTCGATCCATTCGACACGTCGCTGTTGTTGGCCTGTAAACACGACCCCCCCAGTCGACCAAAGGCCTCACAGCCTCCACGAAACATCGTACAGCGGCGGCCGCAAACCGCGCCGTCGCGACAGTATTATGGGCACCCCCCTTCCAGCGAAACAGCAACACCCCTCCACCACGACGACAGTTTATCTGCGTTGCTCGACAATGACGACGACGACGACAGGGACATCGACCATGTGTTGTCGCAAGAAATGCACTGGATCGACTAACAAGGCGACACACAACGTGTAGTACATGTTAAAACGTGTTACAACTGGGAGGGCTTTGGGGGCGTCGTGTCCAAGGGAGCCGAAGTCGGGGTTTCACTGGTAGAAGCGGGGGTGTCCACAGGGGCTGCCGTCGGGGCCACAGGCGTCGACGAGGACGGTGTTTGGAAGGGGAAGGCCGTGGACGGGAACGCCGTGAGGGGGTTGGGCACATGCTGTCCCACTTGCTGCACCACTTGGGTGGTCAGCGGTCCCGCCAGAGCCGCGGCTGTGGACAGCAACGACTGGATGCCAATGCTCAACATACCCGCCACATCGTGCGCCTAAGCCACTCGCATCAACATCAACTGCATGAGATTGCAATCGTCGTACGTTGTTGGGGATGTCGCCCAAAGCAATCGCTTCTTCAATGCGGCGATCCAGAAAGCGCCACGTGTCCTCGTGGTTTGGCGACTGATCGGTCAGCATGAACAATTCTATGCACAAAGAGGAATCATACAGAAGGGTATTGTGATGGACACTGCATAAGGAGGGAGATAGATATCAAAGCAGGGGAAGGTATACCAGTGGCTGTGTACACTCCCGTGAGCACCGCGCGCTTCGTGTACCTGCAACCGTAATGAGGACATGAGAGTCATTCGTTATATGCCTTCGTACCACGACACGTCGGTGGAGCGGTCGCCGGCGTAGACCCAAATGTCGTCTACCATTTCCGCCAGCTTTTTCACCGTCGTGGGTGCATTTTGGGGCAGCGCGCCGAGGGCCATCGCTTGTGGCCACACGCTGATGTACGGCGCCAGGAGCTCCAAACGGAATCGAATGCCGCGCTTGAGGCGGTCCGTCACAGGCAAGTCGATGGTTTCCGCGGCCAGTTTGTCTTGGACCTTGTGCTGAAGGTCGTCCATGAAGTATTCCACCAACTCGATGGGGCCACGAGGAAACATTCCGTGGGCCACTGACGGATACCCGGCATCGCGGGCCCCGCTGCCCAGGGAGTCCACGCTCCATCTACAAGAGTGTTTTGTGATGAATATGGGACGAGGTCCAAGGGCTTACCCCTTGGTCTTTACGTGGTCGATTGCATGCGACAAGATGATATGGCTCGGATCTTGTTGCTGGGTAATAGACGCCGCAGCGGTGGCCTGCTGGGCCGTGCTGAAGCATCGAGCGACCAATGTCGCGCGGCGAGAAGTTGCTCGTAGCATGTTTGTGTTGCTAGCAGAATTCCACAAATTGAGTCCATTGAAGTGCGAGCCGTTACGGCCAATTTTATTGTCGAAAAGAATAATATTTTGATCGTACTCTTCCATTCAATATGCTACCTCCAGAAATAAAATAGTGCAAGTGATTTTTCCGGATACATGAGGACACATATCCGGTTCTCATGGTTTTTGGAATTTTGGCTCTATCCGACGATGCCGATGGCCGTGCCTGAGGTAGAGCCCATCATCCATGACAGCATGAGCGAATGATCGCTTCATGTGGTAGGAATCCCCGGAAAGCATCAACCTGCCACGACTTCGCAGAGCCGCAGGAACGAGCTCAGCGCCCAAGCTTCAGATTCCGCCGTATTTTGCATGGGTAGGCGAAGAAAAACCGACATTTGCTAACTCTGTGGATGCAGGACAAATGGAACGATCAGGGTAGCCATGTGCGCCAGGCTTCACCAGTAGGTAGCGAGACAGAGGTAGGATATACATGCACCGTGCGTAGTCATCTCATCACGATGCCATGTATGACACCCACGAACAGTCGCTCAAACTACGAGCCAAAGCCAACTTGGATTTGCTGCATGAACGCAGTGCCCGCACGCTGCAGTTCATAAAGAGTCGTCATGCCAACCCCACTGTCGTGTCCGACGTGGAGAAGAAGCGCTTGTTGTGCAAGGAAAACATCCAGGCGTTGCAAGCGCAGTTGGCGACTCCGATCCTATCGTCGGTCCATCGTCATCCGCCCGTGACTCGGTCAGCACTTCGTAGCCACAGCAGTTCCGACAGAATCCCAACGAAAGGGAACAAGCATGTGCAGTTTGCCACCACCGCCGACGAGCACTTCATGACTGTCCCCGATGTCAAGTCGACCCTGGAAACCCACTTGAAGGCTCGACTCCTCAAGGCAAGAGCACCCCCCGCCACCACCCAGACAAAGAGCCAACGTGAGACACGATTCGGCAGTACCCTGCGACGACTTTCGTCCAAGCGGCACCCACAAACACAACGTACATCGTCCATGTCACAGACACAATCAGATGTCCCCTCTCCCAGCCCACCATCGGAAGGGGCGGTGTCCGCCACTCGTCCTCGTCGACTTCGCCGGCATCCAGCGACGTCATCCGCGCCCGACTTGCCACGCCGCTTTGCGTTCCTTCGACCAGCTCCTCGCAAGTTTGTGTACTTCAAATCCCCTTTGGTGGTCCGTGCGCTCATGCATGTCAAATGTCCGCATATTCTTATGGATGGCATTACGATGCTTTGCAGGCGTTGCCTGGCGATAAGCCAAATCAAATCAACGAAGCTACGCCAGTGCATTCTGGTGTGGCGATTCGACGACGACGGCGGCGATACCCACGGCGATTGGAGGTCTGTCCTGATTTCTCCGAGACGAGCGAGATCTTCCTCTGAGTGTGTAGAACCCCGTCTTTATGCACCCAAGGTACCCTCCATACAGCTCGCTTCGTCACTACACGACAGAATACCACGCTCAATTTCGCCCCCCGCATCGTCGCCCCCAACGCTTGCTCCTCAATTAGCCATACACTTGATTAAACGATACGTCCCCTGCTCCTCTGTCATCAAACAGCAAAGAACAATTCCACCAGTAACGTTACTAACTTTGAAGCAAATGTTGTCCAGATTAGTTCATAACGTTAGTAAAGACGAGCTGGGAAGCAATACATTGCCATTGAGTACACGTCTATTCTTAGTCGACTCTTAGTTTGTCATGGGCGCTGGGGCGTCTTCATCTACCCCGGGGCTGGAGGCAATGCCAGAGCCTCAACAAGCCCAACTTCGAGCGACCTTTCAGGTACTCGTGGCGGCGGGCGTGTCGGAGGCGGATGCGGCCGCGCAATTGCATGCCGAGGTCACAACATCGGCGCTGACAGTTCAGATAGACCTAACGGAGCTGCCTGCTGCAGTGTCGTCGGCGGTGGAACGAGGAAAAACGCCCCTGGTGGTCGACCCCAGCGGCAAAGCTGCGACGTTCTACAGCTACAGACCGGTGACGGTGATTGATGGCAAGGCCATGGCACTGGACAAGAGCATGCGCAAGGTACCCGTGCTGGAGGTGCTGGACGGGGCCCGACAGAGGCTCGTGGGGGCGCTCAAGACGGGGGTGCCCGTGGTGATCGCCATGGACCAGTGCGTCGTGGACTTCGCCAACACGTTCAACGACGCCGCGCTCGTCGCGTCCGGCACGGTGACGCACGATCCGTCGATGCGTTGGTTTCCAGTTGAGTTGCTGTTTCGACGCGCAGGTATCATCCTATCTGCGCCTATGACATGGCAGCAACTAGGTACTTTGAAGGTCATGTTGTTGGTGCGTGTGTACAGGCAAAGCCATCGTGGGCGACGCGGTGTTGGAGTCACTATATCGACAAGCAGACAAAGCCGACACGGCGGGCGTGGTGAGCTGTCGTAACAAGGCCGAGTTTTACGTGGTGCTGCTCACGGCGTTTGAGCCCAAGGACTTTGAAAAGTACCTTTTCGGCAACGACATGGGGCTGCTACGACCCACGTCCATGTACGAGTTTATCGTGGTGAATCAAGACCACTTTCCAAGCGACAACGATGATTGATAAAACTGTCTAATAACAACCAACTTGCTTGATTCATTCAAGGACAGTTAGCCGAACACTTCCGCTAATAACAACCAACTTGCTTGATTCATTCAAAGAGGAAGTGTTCGGCTTCAGAACGATGGGGACTTGAGTTCTTCGTAGCTCAAGAGAACGGGAGTTTCTCGGAGGCTAGCAGCGCTCGCATGCGTCGTTGCAGGGCGTGGCTTAGGGCGACATCGTATGAGGCTTTGCTCGCAGCGGAGCGTCGACGAATTTACGACGAAGAAAACCTTTATTTAATGAAATTAAATATCCTTTTGAATTAAATCTAAAATTAATTGATGAATATTTTAAGAATAATTAATATATATATTATATTTATATAAAAAAATATTTTAATAGAATAAATAAATATTTGTAAAACGATTTATAAAATCTGAAATTATTTTAAATTCATGTAAAATATTATTGTATTTTATTTTTTTAGAATTGTTTTTATTAATAACTTTTACTATTAATAGTAGGACTTTAGATTTATTTATTACTAAAAAATATTCCAAAAATAGGTAAAATAATTAAATAAAATAATAAGTCTTGCATAATATAAAAAAAATGGCGAATAATAATTTAGAAAAAAATTGACTCATTTTTCTAATATCTTGTTCATCTCCCATAGCATGAATAACCGAACCTGCTCCAACCACACTCAATTGAACACATAATGCAATGGAGAAGGAGGTACACTGCCAGGAGGGGGCTCGGATAGATTTGTCCTGTGGATAAGTATCATTTGCACTTGCAGGGGTTGGATACATCGAAGACGAAGGAGGCGAGGGGGCGTCATGGAAGGGAGGGGCGGCATGGCGCATATTGAGCGCATCCATTCGATCTTTATAGGCACGACCCGCTCGCTAAGTCATTCCGTCAGAGGTTTGGAAGGCAGGTGAACTGACAGTACTTGGTTGTCCAGGAACTTCTGGCGGGCAATGTCTGCCAGCGACGATGGGCTGGGGTGGTTGATATGTTGGGGCGGCGCAGCTGGGGGTGGGGGGTGATAAGCAGGTAAGTAATCATACAAGGATTTCTTGGAAGATGGAGTAGCATTGGGTAGAGTGTCTACTGGTTGAAATACACTCGGGAGACGTCGAGGGAGCGTTGGATTTCTGGGTACGTCGCTGACGATTCGCATGATGTACGAATTTACAAACGCATCGGAGATGATGTCTGTCGCCGACGGCCGGTCCTACGATGGACTTGAGCAACCGAAAGACGAGCTCGATTGAGGGGGAATCATCTACCATAGGAGATTTCGAAAGCAATTGCCGCACCAACGGTCCGTTGCAAGTCTGGATGGTAATGCGATGGGATGGTCTGCCTGAAGAGCGTTCGTCACCACAAGCGGCATCGTCCTCGCTTGAAACGGAGATGTGAGGGCTACGAGTTCGTACAAGACGCATCCTAAGCTCCAAATGTCGCTCTTCGTATTGTAGTCTTCTCCGTTGCATATTTCAGGGGACCTGTCATGGGTTTAGGCACAACTGGCGAGCGAGCGATCTGTAGTACATACATGTACAACGGAGTGCCAATTTGAGTTTGCGCGGCATCCAACGTATGATCCAGGGTGCGTGCAATCCCAAAATCCCCCAATTTGACAATGCCGTCGCGGGAAAGAAAGACATTCTAATGGTACATTGAATGAGTGAAACCATCGTTGACACTGTTGGAATCATTGTGGTTTGATGTCTCCACGAAAATGAACGTGATGTACTGTACCACCGGTGCAAATGACAAGCCTACCGATGGAGGATATGTCTGCTGTGAACGTACTCGACGGCCAAGCACAGCTGGATGAGCAAGCGCATGACTTCGGCTTCCGGCACCGGCTCCCCTCTACCAAGCAATGAGCCCCCCCAATAATTCATGCTGTTGTGGCGATGGCAATGCACTTGTCTTTTTGGTCCGAAATGAACGCTCCGAGGTCGCCACCATCAGCGTACTCCATGAGCAACCACACCGCGTCCTTGTCGTGCAAGCACTGCACGTATCGGATAATGTTGAAGTGATCCAAGGATTGTAATAAGTGCGCCTCGTCCAAGTGGCGGTCTGGTCCCGACGAAAGAGCAGCGACTTGGCCACAACCAAGTCGTTTGTTTGTGCCGGACCAGCAGCGCCTCGCCGTGGCTGCCGCGCCCCAGTTCCTTGACCACGTCATATTCATCCATGCGACGTTTCGTGATACTGTAATGCTTCAATGATGTCACCACTTTACTACGTAGTACGTGCGACTGTGTGGGCTCAATTGAATCGCTGGGTTGTACTGGACATACAGTATCAAGACTCGTCCCCCAGCTCCACCCTATCGCTGCTTGGAGTTCGCAGTCAAATTCACGTCAATGTGGCTCTCTTATCCGAATAAATACACATTGTGTTAACGGCACTTAGCAGTAAAAACATGGTGGCTACAGCAACATTTGCCACAATTCGTCCCACATACACGACGGTTTGCATGCTTTGAGCTCGATGCGAAGCGACGTCGTGACTTCCTTCATGGACAGCCGTTGGAGTGGGTCCACTTCCAGCATCATTTCGATCAGCTCCATCGTCGACTCCGAGAACAGCGCGTCCATGTGCCACAAGTTCACGAGCGAATGCACGCCGTACGCTTCAAGCATGACAAACCGCTTGTCGGTGCGGCACGGCCGTTGAATAGGCGGCACCCCCGTGACCAGCATGAACAGCATGACCCCGAGGGCCCACACGTCTGCTTTGCACGGGTCGTAGTCGTCGCCAGCGTAGACTTCTGGCGCCATGTACGGCACCTTTCCTACCGGTTCGTTGCATGTCACTGGTAATACCACAGCGAGCCCAAAGTCGCAGACTTGGCAAGCCCCGTTCGCATCCAAGAGGATGTTTTCAAGGGTCAAGTCGCGGTGGGCCACGCGTTGTGTGTGCAAGTGTAGGACAGCGCTAGCGATTTGGGTCATGTACTGCAGTGCCGTGGACGACGGCAGCCGAGTGTGTCGCCTCAACTCTGCAAAGAGGTCGCCGTTTGGACAGTAGTCCAGGACCATGTGTAGCATGTTATCGACGTGGAAGCTCCGACGCATGCGAAGGACGTGGCGATGTCGAGGTAGGCGAAGATGCAACCGAGCCTCAGCCATCGAGTCGCGGGTGGCCACCACACGTTTAACGACAACAAGCGCGTGGGCAGCGCGGTCCCGGCACAGCAGGACGCTGCCTTGGACCACAGTGGCCAATTCAGTCTCCACTTTGAACTGCATAATCGGAAATACTACGTACTGCTGCATTGTACTTGAATTGACATAAAAGATTCTTTCAGCCTGATTTGGCAGGGTCGTATCGAATCTGAGATTCCCAAACGTGGATCCCAGTACTGTACTGTACTGTACTGTGTACTTCGGTACTAGTTCCTCTTGCATTTCCGGTTCAAACTCGACGTCATGCAATTTTGCTCGTCGTTGTCGTGGCTTCACTAAAGTCCAAGAGGTAAGACTTCGCCAGGAGATCTCGACGTCGGTATGTGGTCGCTTGGTGTAGTTGCCAGGTTTGGCATGTGAAATTCGGTGTCACTAAAGTACACTGTACAGTAGTGGGATGCTGTACCGGTACTCGCATTGGTACAGTTGTAGTACGACGTACGATGTACTGTTGTATCAATAGTGTACTACGTATGATGTGATAGTACTGTAGTACTGTCTGAACTCGTGTTGTGCGGTTGGTGGTTGGATCGTCATTCTCAAGTTGAATCCTCGCCAAGAATAATGTGACTGCCGTCGCGGGGCCAACGTTTGCTAAAGCTTGTCCAACCACATGTAGCCGCACCACCATGTCATGAATGTAGGGGGTGCCGTCGTCTGTACATTGCCGAAAGCATGTCTGAAAAATCGAAGCCCGGCGATCAGCGAAACACAACGTTCAATTCTGTATGTTGTTGCGGCGAATTGTCGTGGCAGATGCGAGTCATTCCATGAGAAGTACTACGTAGTATGAGACCCATTCTGACTTCATTTAGCGACCCAATGCTGTTTCGAGCTAGCCGAACCTCGTGTTGTTGTATGAAGATGAACGCATCAGAGTCGTGCATTGCAGTCTCTCGACACTTCTGGGAATCACAGTTGGCGGCTAGATGCCAATACCTACGTACTAACTACATGAAACTTCTCGATCCTGGTCCAACACTGTCAGTGCCATGACTTCAAGGTAACGTTATCCCAAATGTCACGACATAAAGAAGAAGGGTGGAGGCTCGGGCTGACAGTCTCTTGCAGACATGCACTGCGTACATAGTCGTCTCAAACGCTCACTCGCAGCCACAGTGCCATGTCCATCAATTGTGCTAAGGCGAATCACATCAAAGCATGAATGCTGCCCGGCCGACACAGAAGCCGACATCAATATCACTGAGCCGACATCTCGCTCGGACAATGATATCCGTATCCGGATACTATGGGGTTGCAATTAAATTGGCCTTCAAAATTATGGCTACAAATCTCAAGATAATTCAATGAATTCCAACCAGCCAGTCACACCGCGGAAGAGGCAATCATGAAGCGAAGGAGCGACGGCCGCGCCTCGTCCATTGTGTTCAACCTGCGGCACCGGGAGCTGCAGCACGGCTCTCGACCTTATGGACGTCATTCATCTGCATGTACACCCACATGGAACTCGTCCACGATGAACCCGTCCCAACACGTGGAGCTGGATGCGAAGCGTCCGTTGTTGCAGACTTTGCGAAGCGACAGGCAGGACGTGTACATGAGTCATGGCGACACGTACGAGCATCAGATTCCTCCTTTCCACGTTGCATTCAGCGAGAAGCGGATGCATGGCACACTGCTTGCGGTCGCCGACGAAGAAGGTTGGGTAAGCTTGTTTGCAACCCACGACAGAAAGCCGAGAATGCTGCCACCACACCATCAAGCGTGCGACCACGGTACGACGAACACACGACTTCAACACATGTACCTCATGGACCACTTCCGCTGAATGCTCCATGTAGAGCGACCCGTGTCCAAGTTCTCCGCCCACCAAAACGCCATTTTCGATCTCATCTGGTGCAGCGACGACGCGCACATTGCCACCGCGTCTGGCGACCAGCATCTCAGCGTGTGGGACGTAGAGACGTCTGCAAAGTTGTGCCACTTTGAGGGCCACACGATGAGCGTCAAGTGCGTTCGGCAAATGCCCGGCAACCCGAACGTGTTTGCGTCTGGGTCGCGGGATGGCAACGTGTTCTTCTGGGACACGCGGCACCCGTATCGCGCCGCGGGCTCGTCGACTTCAACTTTGGTGCAGACGTTTCGACCTGTGGAAAGCTGTCTGCGGTGCCACGACTTTTACTCGCCGAGCTCGACCTCGACGGACCGGCGCAAGAAGCGGCGGACGTCCATCCCCAACGCGCAGCGCAGCGTCACATGTGTCGAATTCACGGGCGACGGACACGAGCTCATCTCGTCCGGCGCGGTCGACGGGTACGCGTCCTCCGACGACATGCCCAGCATGACTCGACGACGATTGATATTGTAGCATGGTCAAGTTCTGGGACCTGCGCACGCTCACATCGGACAACTTGAAACTCACGCGGTCGTTCAGCTGCTTGAACCCGAACGGCCGTCGGTACGGCATTTCGTCGCTCACGCTCGACCACACCAAGACCAAGCTGCTCGTGAGTGCCGCCAGCAACGACATATTCCTCTATGACCTCCTCCGATTCGCCTCCACTGACCCCGTCGCCACGTACCACGGCCACAAGAACTCGTCTTTTTACGGTACTTTGACGGCGTATCTCATATCAACACGTCATCTCAGATTGCCCTTTGACTTTTGTTCATCGATCGATTCTACTTGGCTTTTGTATGCCAGTATCCCACTCATGTTTCAGTCACACACTAATTCGGTGTTGAATGTGGTCGTGGATGATTTGATTGGTTACTTGATTCGTGATCTGGGTTGTGATTGGTCGATCTTTGATTGTCTACTGTACATCATCTCATATTCATGCGAGTGTGTGTTTTTGCTTCTAGTCAAATCCGGGTTTAGCCCAGACAGCAACTTTATCGTGAGCGGCTCGGTGGACCAAAACGTGTACATTTGGGACGTCCGTGCCGACGGGGGGGGCGCCCCCGCCGCGGTCCTGCGCGGCCACGAGGGCGAAGTGAGCAGCGTCGCCTGGTGCAAGGCTGACTTTTCCAAGATCGCGTCGTGCTCGGACGACGGCACGGTGCGCGTGTGGCACATGGGCCGCGACCAGGATGCCGACGCGGCGGAAGGGGAAGCGTCGTCGTGCGGACGGGGGTGTGCCTTGGGGCGGGCCAACCCGCTGCCACCACTTTCATCCCCCGCCATCCTCCACCCATCGACTGCTTCGATAAGTCCCCCTGCAGCAGCAGCCTCCGTAGCTACGACTGCGCCAGCTCATCAAGGGACATTGCATCATTTCTGGAGTAGGACAAGCTCAGTTTAAGGGAAGAAGCAACGTTATTTATACAGCATGATGCCAACTGGGAGTCGTTCTTGCCAGTAGTATCTACTAGTAGTATGTAGTAGTACTAGTAGTATGTAGTACTAGTACATGCAGCAGCCAGCCACACCAATCCGCCATGGGGTGGGTCTTGGCCTTCGGTGCCCCAGGGTACGGCGGCCGCTTGTCCGTAGCCGTCTCGCTGGCTTGCGCCATCGCGAAAGGCCGGAAGTGCCAATGCGCTAGACCGCAGCCGCGGCGATCGGAGCTGGGCCGAGGAGTGCGTGTACTTGGTGACCAAGCCCGGCCAGTGTTGCTCAAGCAACTGACGCATGCTCTTGTATGGGATGCTCGGCTGAGCGCCGCGCCATACGAACAGGTCTGGAGCGACTACTACTAGTAGATACTACTACTATTGTAGGGGCCTTTTGGGATGATACCACGGGCATACAAACTACATACAAACTGTAATATAAATATGAAATATTGGGAATTTGACAGTTTCGAAAATAGTCGTAGAAAGAACATGATCTTATCTTCAATTTGAACTGATTTACGCCGATTTTGGGAAAAAAATGCATGAAATATTGACAAAATGGCACGGACTTTCAGCTACTGAGGCTCCTTTTGTCATTAAACGTTCACTTACTTCACTCAAATAAGATGTATAACACACAAGGGCTTAAATGAAGGATTAGATACTGTGTTGTGCGGAGTAGATGGTGGAGAACGATGTGTGTCGATCGATGGAGAAGTTCCTGCCTTGCGCTTGATGAATTCATGAACCTTGGTCATCCAATAAAACGATGTGTTAATGGTAATTATAGCCAATCAGTGAAGCCGAATCAGATTTTTTAGTAGATACTAGCACCTACTAACACATTTTGGGTGTTGATTTCCATCGACACATCTTCCGCGCAAATTTAGAAGGCGACGGTGACCCTGGCTATTCATCACGTCAATGCAACACATTTCAAGTGTAGTCTGAAGAAATATTATTCGAAAGAGGCGTTGAAATTGCTTCAGTAATAAAGAAGTTACAATGACCATCTTCCCAAAAGGCCCCTACAATAGTATGGAGTACTATTAATAGTAGTAGTATCTACTAGTAGTATGGATGGAGTACACATACAACCACCCTGGCGGCAGCAAGAGCATGCTTACTCGATGGGGGATGTCAAAAGACATTTATGAATTAGTTCCACGGCAAATCTTGCAGGATGTCAAACTTAGAGGCGTCTTGGATCTTGGAGTGGTTGGCCGACTTGGGCATGACGACAAAGGACGCGTCCGTTGCGATGCCGCACTGGTTGTCCTTGTTCCGGCTCATGAGGATGTACCCGTCGAGGCCCCATCCCGTGCCCCACGAGTTCTTGACCAGCCAAAAGTCCTTGCCCTTGTAGTTGCCGTACCCGACGGCCGACACGCCATGGTCCAGCTCGTTGTACCCGTTCTTGCACAACGACCACGAAAACACCCCATGGCGATACAGCTGAAACAAAAAGCTTGACGCGTCGATGGCGACGGACGCCACGGCGTGGTTGGCAATCGCCCCCTTGAGCGCGTCTTCGTCGCCCGACGTCACGTTCACGTACGACGTGAAGTGGCCGATCGCTTTGTCGTCCTTGGCCAAACACTTGCCGTGGGATTGCGCAGTGTACGGGTAGTCTGCTTCCTTTTCGAGCTTGCCGCCATGGTTCTCGATGATTTCAACGAACCCATGCGCCATTTCGCCACCGTGGCTGCAGTCGTCCGCCCCGCCGTCCACGCAGTCTACGAGTTCTTGCTCGGAAAACGACTCAAGGGTGCCGGTCGACAAGGCATATGCGCTTTCGAACGAAGCCACTGCAGAGAACGCCCAGCACGACCCACATTGGCCTTGGTTCTTCACGGGGGTCACCACGTTGTGCTTGCGCCAGTCCCACGCGTCTGGCACGTTATCGTTCTGGTTGCGGTACGTTGACGTCGCCAGGCTGGGCGCGCCCGAGCGTTTGAAGCCCAGCATGCGCTTGTATTCGTCGTCCGTCAAATCCGCCAAGTCTACACGTAAGCGATGATAAATCATGTAGTGATGCACGTAGACTGACGTACGGTTAAGTCCCAAGGCAAATGTGTGCTCGCCAGAATCGTATCCTCGGTTGTGTTCTTCGATGCGGCGCAAGTTGGTTTGGAAGGCCTTGAAACGCTTCATCACTAACGGATGATCGTCGCCATGGTGTCGGTAGTCCTTGTCGTAGTCGGCCATGTACTGCACGAAGGCGGCAACATCCCTCAAGGACGCAACAGTTTCATCGCCGTTGAACGCCGCATGCACAATGGCGACGGCGGCGGCAAGAACAATAGTCTTCATGGTGGTCGCACAGCGAATTCCAAAATGAATCCGATGAAATAAGTGGGGTCGAGAAGGGCCGGCGGGTGAAAGAAGCGATCTTTCATTGATTAAAACGTAGTACGTTATATAATATAGACGTCGGATACACATCACCACAACCTACATGCATACTTGAAACGAATGCTTCTAGGTCATGACGACCTTGAAGTTTGTATAACGTGCAAGGATCGAATAAAACGTATTTAGCGTGTGACATGATTGAGTCGCCTTTGCTGATCTTTCGACAATCATCGTTTTGATTGGCCTATCTATTGTCTGATCCTAACTTTGATTGGTCAGCGCTCAAAATGATTGCGAATCAGCCAATCCGTAAGCAGTATAACCCCAATCCCTCGAAGGTTCTAACCAATGAAAATGCTGCAATCTCGTCCCCAAACGTGGACGAGGCGTCCTTCACAGATGAACAGACTGCTGGTGCGACTGCAACCTCACTTTCATCGCCGCTGCCTGTTGCTCCAACGAAGCATGGCCACGGAAGCGGAACGCGCTGGCGCAGCCGTCGAGCCCAAGGGCTACGAGCCAACCCTCTTCGATAAGATCATCTCCCGCGAGATCCCGTCGACTGTAGTGTTTGAGAACGACAAAGTGCTTGCCTTTCGCGACATCAGCCCCCAAGCCCCCGTGCATGTGATTCTCGTTCCCAAAGTCCGCGACGGGCTCACGCGCATTGCCAATGCGGAGGAGCGCCACAAGGAGATCCTCGGCGAATTGCTGTACACGGCGTCCGTCGTGGCGAAGAACGAGCAGCTCGATGAAGGGTATCGCATCGTGATCAATGACGGTCCCCGTGGATTGCAGTCTGTGTACCACCTCCACTTGCACATTCTCGGCGGTCGGACGCTCAGCTGGCCGCCTGGTTAAGCCACTTTGACGTCTCTCCTGCCTTGGGCATGTTAACCCTACTGTTATAATAGTATAGGTTAATGTAAGTGGCGTAGTGGCAGTAATGTTATTTTCAAATTATCAGCCCCTATTATTAATGTTCCAAACAAAAAGTGCAAACGACAGTAACGAAATCTTCGAAATCACTTGTAAAGCCGCGCGCCACCATCATGCTCCGCGACGAGTGTAAGCTTCTCATAGTGCTACCTCTGCATGCCATGTGCTTTAGCCCGGCCTTCCTCTTCACACCTCGACCGACGTCCACGCTTGCGCTCCTCGTGTACGTTGCGGCGCTAGCCACAAGCGCCGTCTTCAGCGCTTCATCCGTTTGCAGAGCGCGATGTCGCCAACTCCACATTTGCATCCTCTCGTGGTTGTACTCGAGCTTGCATGGCGCTACGATTGTCCTTGCCCTCTTCTCCATCCGCCACTTCCTCTACCCGTTTCTATCCACGACATCCTTCCAGGACAACTGCCGCTTGTCCATGTCGCTCCAAACCAACGCCGCGGGCCTGTCCTGCCCGGACCTTCAAGCGTACGCTGCCACGTCCTTGGTGTTGCTAACCGCGTCCGTGGCGTTGAGTGCATTTGTGCTAGTCCTGGGCCACAGAATCTCAACGAAGCAATCGATAGAGTACCGCCGAGTGAAAAAGGAGATCGAACGACACCAGCACAACAACACCACGCCTTCGTCGACGTCATCGTCGGACGAGTCCATGTTGATCCAGCAGCATGCATAAAAGGTCATTGTAACGTAAGTCACCACACCATGCGTTCCTGGTTGTCGCGTCTTGTCGAAAGGCCAATCGAAAGTCCTCAGCCCCCAGTGTGTCTATAAAAGCCAGTACGATCGAGCTGGTTGGTATGCTTCCAATTCATTTGAGGCTCGCTGTTTTGGTCATTTCCCGTACCCTCCTGACAAGAAACCCAAGCACTGTGCAAGACGACGATATGTTGAGCACTTTTAGAGCGTTATACCGTGTGCAGTATGATTTTTTCCTGGCAAATTACTGTAACCACAAAAACGATAGATCTCGATAAGGCGAATCGAATATGTGGTTCCAATTCACAATGGACGAAAAAATGACAGAGCTATTTTAGTTTAACCGAATGGATTTTGGCCACCCCATACGTCTTGACGTTTGTATGGGCCATTTATCCGTACACTTTATCCGTACGTTAGATTGAGTTTAACCTATCATTATCCAAGGTTTAACCTGGCAGACGCTCATCCCTAGTAGGATTCTATTCACGCCATGATAAAAATGCGTTTCCATGGAGCACGTTGATGACCAAATCACCAGCGAAGATGCGACGACGAAGGATTCTGTCAACAATCAGCTGAAGTATAAACTCATCCGATCGTGGAACATTGCGATACGTTATAGGCATCATCTCCATCGAGCTGATGCCTATATTCGTTCTAATATGACCATCTCCGTCACCCTCCAGCGAAATACGTACAGCGACGACCTAGTGACCTCGATGATAACACTCATGGCTCAACTGCATACGACAACTGTGTGAGCGATGCTACTGATTCCTTTCATTTCACTTTTATTGTGGGCACTGTCTACCGGTATATCCATCCAGCAGCAAATGAGCCAAGGCCTTTATTATCTCGTGCATGGCATGTTCACTGAGGCTGGTCGATCGAGAAAGGGGGCGACTAAGCTTTGCGGGCCTTGAGGAAGCGCGCCAGTCGAGGGGTGATCATGAGGGTCACAGCCAGCCGCACCGGCTCGGTGAACTTGGTCGCGACCCATGCGATGAGGAACGAGCCAGTGGTCGGACTCACGTCGGGCACGTTGAAGTGCGCACCCAGTCCCATCGACTTGGTCCAATCGGTCAACTTGTTTGTCGCTTTCACAATGTTGAACGACTCGTCGTCGCTGCCATTCGTGTCGTCTTTGTTGGAAGGCGCGGCAGTGGACAGCAACCCCGTTTCAATCGCAGCAAACATGGACCCTAACGTGACCACATAGACGCCAAGATACGTCCCAACGCCGACCCAGCCATACGTGTTCCAGAGATCCTTGAATTTCTGGAGGGGGCCAGACTTCGCCACCGCGGTCGGAGGTGGTGTCGACGAAGGAGGGGTCGCGCTCGTACTGGTCAAGCGAAGTGACAATGGTCGCGGACGCACCATATTGGCCTTAATCGAAATGCGAGGGATGCCAAGAATTTGGTGGACAGACGGCGCGCGGGTCGACGAATTTGCCGCTATCAACGGTGCCGCGCATCGACGATACATGCCCACCGCACCAATTATTGGATTTGATTGGATAACGTTTTCTACCAATGAAGTACGTAGTTCAAAGGTATACTACAGCTGTAGTATTAATTAATACTACTTCCTCTGTTCCAAAATACTACTAGTAGTACTATTGTGGATATTTTTTACTGTGGCCTATACTTGGAAATTGTATTTGAAGTTGAACTAGGATCTGATATATTTCTGAGAATTTTAGTATTTTTATTCAAATTCACATTTTTACGACCATCTGGGTGAGGATGTGACCCGCACGCAGTCAAGGGAATAGAAAGCATAAAGCAAAGATCAAATCGAATAATCTTCGAGAAGTAGACCTATAACGTTATTATGAAATACAAATGCACAAGGCTTCTATTGACATATACTGTTTTTGTCGCATAAGGCCTCACGATACTTGGCTCAGATTTCAGATCATTCAACGCAATGTTTAGCATATTGATGGAACTATATTAACAGTGTAAAATAAGTTTGCACAAGCACCAGGTTGATAAGATTTGCAATAGCATTGGCTATAACAAAGGAATAGATGCATTCATAGTGGTTATTATTGACTTACTCGCGAGTTCGTAGTGCTGTTGTTCATGTTTGTTCCCCATGGTTGTGTAGGAAAAAGCGCTCCACGACCAGGTCTTCCGAATCTTGCAACATAGATATCTCGGTATGCAGAGTGATTTAGACGATTTGGAGGATAGCTAGCTATATCTACGCATCAATACGAGTCATTTGAGTCTACAATCTCCACAATCGGACCAGAAATGAATGAATGGCGGAGATTTAAAGTAAAAATATCTGATTATACTTTCTCGTATGTTGTCGATCTCATCCTCGACTTCGAATAAAATTAAACAAAAAATACATCCTTGTTCGACATGGAATAGGCTACAAAACAAGCCTAATTAGGGACAAATAGCCTGTATACTTCATGAACCAGAAAAAGCAAGGTGAAATAAGAGGCAGTTTTGTATGCAGCGCATGGTGCATAAATAATTCTGAAATTCCATAGTTTCAATTAAATATACTTCAAGTTTGTAATGTTGATTTATATTTTTCAATTGCCTATCTGCGAATTCAAAATTGTCCAATTAGTCCAATCAGATGCCGTGAAATCACGAAAATCGCTGCGTAGATTCATCACGCCCTGTTGCGATATATTTATTCTACATTTGTGATGGCGGTTGATGCAAGGAGCATTGAGATAACTATGTACCTGTTGGTAGCTGTGCTGTGTATGAGAGCAAGATCATGTGATGTGGTATTCAGGACTCGGTCAATTTGAACAGGTCTAGACTTCAGTAACATCACCACTTGCCTACTAACCCAATGAATGCGGTCAACCCTCATTCCACCATCCAGTGCCGAACACCTCCCTGCTGATGTGATCACGTGGTTGCACCACCGCGTTGGTCCACCAGAGCCGCCACGGCATTGCGACCCAACCGAGCGCACAACATAATGTTAGCTGTAAGGGGAGAACCACATTGGATGTAGTCGGAGTGAACTGATCAGTGCACAATTCTCGGAGCTACATCACACAAAGCTCTACAAAATTCAAGTGTCCAAACAGTTCAAAATTGTAACCACTTCTACCAGTATTATAGCCAATCGTGTGTAAGAAGCAAGGTGCGATGGACTCTGATTGGATATATTGGATATTAAAAAGGAGCAGTCGAGCCATTATTGTGGGACGGAGGGAGTACTACGTAGTACTACTACTGTACTACCACATACTACTAGTAGTTTGTCACCGCCACCGCGGTTCGCGACTTGCCTTACGAAGTTGTCGTCGTGTCCACCTTCAGTAGCTGAGCTCATCCATACTCACAACCACGCAGTGTTGTCCTTATGTATTCTCTCGCTGCAGCCATCGGCGCTGGTAAGCAAGAACCGCATGACCACCAAGATGCCTGCGGCAGGTTGTGTGCCATGTTCTAGCTAGAAGATGGCAGAAATCAAAGCGATTGAGGTGTGTTTAACGAACGTCTGTTCAACTAATCACACATTACAGTAGTAAGCGTCTTGCAATGGTCTGCTTTGTTGTTCTTAGCTTGCCTTCTCGGCTTGGCACGTCACTTGCCACGCCCAATTAGTAACTAATGTATACACACTCAATGGCCAAAGCAACCGAATTCACACAAGGCCAGTTTCTGAAGTATTGCTTGCACAACCCATGCTTTGAACTTCTTAACAGACAAAAGCGTCCTGTATAGCTAGCTAGCCGACGGTGGGGAGCTAGAGATTGCTATATACGCGAGCGACCACTGGAAACGTGACTTCCACGAGACCATCGATGCCAGCCGTGACGATCTACGCCGATGGCATTAGAGAAGACAAGTGAAGTGGTAATGAGGTCCTACATTGCCAGGTTCAACAGGTCCCACGCCTTCGGGGGTGCCAGTGATGATCACGTCGCCTTCCTCCAACGTCATGATGCGGCTAAGGTGTCGATGAGCTTTTGGATTATGGATGGACACAATTGCCTGATGTGGGCGATCAAGAAAGGGATCTTGTGCACCATGTCGCGCGTGTTGCAGCGTTGGCGCGGCACTCCGTCAACATTGAGCCACAGGTTCAAATCCTGGGGGTCGGCGACTTGGGCCGCAGGAATCACATCACTGATGGGCAGAAACGTGTCGTAGCACTTGGCGCGGGTCCACGGAAGGCCGCCTTTCTTGGCCGTTGCCTAGAAAGAACTCTGAACTGAGAATGAATCATGAGACGATCAGCGTACGTACTTGCAGCTCGCGCGCCGTCATGTCGATCGTGAGGACATACCCCGCGACATGCTCTCGCCACCGACTTTCATCGATGTCATAACCCGGCTTGCCAATGACAATTCCAAGCTCGACTTCGTGGTGCACCGATCCGATTCCAGGAGGCAAGAGGATGGACCCGCCTTGGCCAACATAGCTCGACGTGGGCTTGAGGAAGAGCACCGGCTCCTTGGGTGCGTGCAATGCTCCCATTTCCCGCGCATGAGCCTCGTAGTTCTTGCCAATAGCCACCACCTTCTTCCTACGTGTACAGGAAGTCCTCCTTCGGATCATCATGGCGTAGTGCTTACCCAGCCTTCAGAAGCGCATTCGATACGAATTTCGCCATAGCAGCAAACAAACGAATGTGGCGTTCGATTCCATAACCGGATACGGGATGGATTATCCGGTTCCTCGATGAATTATCAAGTTGAAGTATTTTTAGCACGCAGCCACACCACACCACGCTCATGCGAGTCTGCGATGGCAGATCCATCAACCAAGCCAACGGAAAGGGCACCTAAGGTCACCGCACATATAGGCCAGCTGAAGTTCCGTGGCGCTGGAGCAGCTATCCGCTCCCTCCGCAATCTGCATGCACCGAAGAAGCAGACCACCAGAACATCGTCCAAGCCGTTCGTCACGCCGTATGTCGGCCTGGACACGAAGATTGTTCAGCTGTGCGAGTCGAACGTGCCGTTGCGCCGCCGACTGGCCCACTTGTCCATGGTCCACGCTGACGAGGTTGACGGTGATCCTGAGGACGATCTGGAGCTGATTGGGGGCGACGGCCTCAAGGACCCACACGAAGACGAACTGTTGGCCCTGTTGCGCAAGCAAGATGGCGCCGCATCTTCCTGTGTCAGCCACCCAAGCATCCAACGATCCAAAAGCGCGCTTGTCTTGCCGCGTGCCGTCGACCACGATGTCGCAGATGCGATTCAGCACGACTTGGTCACGTCAGTGCCGTCTGTATGCCATGAATCAATCATCATCGTTCGCTCTCCACATGTCTAAGTGTCCGTTACGTACATGCAGGTACAATGGACCGCGGCATTTGAGATTCCATATCTGCACTTCAAGCGCAAGCGGCGGGGGTCGACGTTGAGTTCTGCGCAGATGTTTCGGTCGTTCCTGTTGACGCCGGCATTTCGGCAGATGCACGCGGCTGCGTACGGCACGATCCGATTGGACGATGATACGACCGGAGAGTTTGCCACGTCACATGACGACGTGGACACGACACAAAAGCGTGGCCTCCAGAAGCGGTACACTTGTCCACTACGATGATGGATTCTCTCACGTCGTACGATGGGCTCAGGTTTCAAAAGCTCGCCAAACCCATCCGCGAGTCGTTGGAGCTGTCACTGTCGTCGCACATGCTGACCACGTTGGAGCACATGACGGCCATGTACACGGCCGCCCGCCGCGACTTCTTGGCCGGCATGTCCGTCTATTCCAAGCATGAGCGACACCAAAACCACTTGGCCAAACACCAAGCGGCCGCATTGATGGACAAGCGCGACAAGCTGCGGCAAGACGTCGAGCGCACCACGCAGCACTTGGCCGCCCTCGCTCGATTGACAAGTCCGAAGTCATCCAGTCAGACGTTCCACGTCACGACGCCACGGGTACCCGACTTTCTCAAACCCATGACGAAGCGACCGACGAAGGAAGAGCAGCATTCGCCTGCGTGGAAGCACATCAAGGACAGCGAGCTGTGCAACACCACGCGGAGCTTGCGCGCGTCGGTCGCGTATGCAAAGGCCATCCACACCGACGGTGCGACAACAACTCCAGCAACATGTGGGACTACATTAGTCTTGATGTCGTAGGGATTGGTGGCGGCATCACCACTGCCGCGATCCTTGCAAGGTACTACGCATTAGATCACTCCGTCGTGGGGGGCTTACATGCATCTGCGGACCTGGTAGACAGCACGAAGCCATGGCGGGCTACATATTGTACATCCAGCGTCTGTACCGAGGGCATTTGGCCAGGCGCTTTGTGTGGGCGCTCAAGTGGATGTGTGTCATGTGGCGGCACATTTTCCTACCGGACGACGGCCCCGACGGTCATCCGGTTGGTGGTGCGGCCTTGGACCGTGGATTCCTCCGGCTAGACGACTTTGAAGCCATGCTCGAGTACTTTAGCTACCAACCGTACGACCCCCCCCCATCCATTGTTATTACTGCGAAAACGTCATTGAATAGTACTACAGTAGTACTACGTGTTGAAAGTCCTCATTCGAAAGTACTCAATCCCTACTATTGTACTACGCGATGAAAGTACTCAATCGTATATCTCATGACTGTCTTAGGAACCCCGAACGCACATACTTGGCAGGGTTTGCCCTGACAGTACCACCGTCCCGCCTTGGTCCACAGTTTGTCGAATACAAACGATTCAAGCGGTACATGTGCCATCTATTGTCACCACCTTGTTCGTCGTCACCACTTTTTATTCATGGGGACTGCTAGGTACTGGCATCGGTTTATGTATCGACCGATGGGTGCCGGGGACCGAATCCGGTTTGTGCTGTTTGTGCGCAATCGACAGACGGTCGTGGCGGCGATGGACGGCAAGTCGCGGATGGACAATGCTCAGTCGTACGGAGGCGGCGGTGGTAGCATGGAGGCACTGGCGCAGTGGAAAAAGTATTCGTTGCTGCAACAGCAGCAACACCCTCAGCAACGCAAAGGAACTAGTGGGGACGACATCGTAGACAAGTACCAGAGCCATTTGAGCTCGTTAAACGACGAAACCAAGGCCATGGGGTTGCGCGCCAGGCGGCAGCTCTTGCCAAAACACGAGCAGCACGCGCGGGGATGGAACCTCGTCCGCCATGTCGTCGAAGCCAACACGATGCGCCAATCTAAGTACGAAACTGTCCAGCATTTGGTGTCGCACCTGCAGGACGTGGACGTGCTGGACGGCCGCCGACGCATCAGCACGCTTCGAGAAGACATACAAGCTAGCCAGGGGAATGAAGAAGGAGGGTCGATGATGAAATCACCGACCAAACTGCAACAAATCCTCCAAAGACTCATTGTTGCCGTGAAGGACGCGCGGGACTTGGTCACGTATATGGAAGACGTCGGACTCGAACCACACACATCCGAACTACAAAGGAGACTCGAGGACCACGATACGATGCCGCCGCCAGCATGCCTGGCCCGGCTGGATAAGATCAAACACGTTAGGGGATACACCAAGCTCGTGGACCTCCTTGACCGCCAGCACAGCTTGAACCAACTGTTCCAAGACTCGTGGTACGCGTTTAGCAGTCGGAAGACAATCATGGGCGCCGAAGGCCGCAAAGTTGTGACGTCCACGCGGAACTACGTGCTCGAGTCCATGCAACTGCTCAGCTTGGTGTGGCGGCAACTCCGCACGGCGGCGACGTCGTCCGTGACCAAAACGGGAAGCATGCGCAACCTCCACATTATGAAGCGGACGGAGCAGTTCCATGGCCTGCTCATGGCATACGACATCAACATCCGCAACATGAGCGTCGTGCTCGAAGGCTACGACGATGACGCCGCCACGTTTGGGCCGTTGTCATAGTTTTTTATTCGATTGTAGAACAAACGACCGAGTTATCCGGATAATTTAGCCATTGGTATCTGGATTTCCATGTCATGTGTGCTTCTATCGAGGTGCGGGTGTGTGCGGTCAAGTTTGGCTCGGCACACGAGAAAGATACATCATGGAAACGACATGGAAAGGTACATCACGCCGCACTCTCTCCATGGTCCTTCGCGACATGGTGACTCAAACTCCATCCATCATGTAGAGTTGAAGAAGAATCTCAGCGTGATTGAGAAGGCCGTGAATGCAAACCAGAAGGAAAAGCTCGCGCGGGTGTTCCGGACGACGACCGCGGTGCGTCGCGGTCTGTCTGCCGTCGAACTCAAGCGTGCGATCGCAGAAGTGTTAGCGGAGGACAACGAAAGCCGTTCGTTGCTGATCAAGTATGTCTCGTTGGTCAAGCCCGACGAGTCCGACGACGTGGACATGAACGCCGGCGAAACCGACCCGGTCGTGAACGACGTCGAGAAGGACGACCATTTGGACCGCAGCGACTTGATCGAAGTCGAGATCTACTTGAGTCTGCTTGTGATCTCGAAGCTGTTCAAGGCCCAACTCGGCCGCGAATCCCAGGCCCTCACTGACGCCGTCCGCGTGCGAAGTGCGCAATTCAACCGTCGCAGTCTCGACATCTTCGCCTCGCGGGCGTTGACGTACTATGCGTATGCCCATGAACGCTTTGGAAACAACTACGCGGGTATCCGTCCCGTCTTGCTCGCCGCGCACCGCACGGCGTGCCTCCGCAGCGACGAGATCGGCCAATCGACGCTGCTCAACTTGCTTCTCCGCAACTACCTGCACGAAAACCTGTACGACCAAGCGTTCAAGTTGGTGTCCAAGACCACGTTCCCCGAGGCCGTGTCCAACAACCAGTTTGTCCGGTACCTGTACTACGTTGGTACGACCATTGAACGTTCTTCGTGGCCCACTGGCTAAGCAACGATGTAGGCAAGATCCACGCAGTGCAGTTGGATTACACGGACTCGTACACCAAGTTGATGCAGTCGATCCGCAAAGCGCCGCAAAACACGGCCGTGGGCTTCCGTCGCACCGTGCACAAGCTGGCCATCATCGTGCAACTTCTCATGGGCGAAGTGCCCGAGCGCAGCATCTTCAACCAGGACGAGTTCCAAGTCGCGCTGGAGCCGTACTTGAAACTCACGAATGTACGCACACAACCCTACAGATATATATCTCGAAGTGCAGTATAAAGTCTCACGGGTATATCGTCAACCCTCTTTATATACACAAACATATGTGCAATATAAAGTCTCACGGGTAAATACTCGATATAGGCGGTGCGTTTGGGCAACTTGGAAGATTTTACGACCGTGTTGACGCACCACGCGGAAACGTTCAAAACGGACAAGACGTACACTCTGATCTTGAGGTATCAAATATATATACTTGAGAAGACGATGGAGATAAATATGAAATATTTGATATTATATATATATATATAAATTGGCATGTGATAGATTGCGCCACAACGTGATTAAGACGGGACTTCGTAAGATCAACACGTCGTATTCCAAGATTCGATTCACGGTACGATTGTCTACGAGAATAATAAATATAGATTTTAAGATGACAATTCCTAGGACATTTGCGCGAAATTGGCGCTCGACACGCCTCAAAATGCCGAATTCGTCGTGGCCAAGGTAGGTGTTCGTTGTTGTGGTCAACGACAGGTTATTCACTTCGTCTGGGGGTGGGGATATTGCATCATGTAGGCCATCAAAGACGGCGTGATTGACGCCGTGATTGACCACAAGAACGGGTGGATGCAGTCCAAAGTACGAATATCTCGATGGAATATCACTTAAATGGCTGAGAGAGTAGGAGACGGTGGACGTGTACGTGACCAACGAGCCCCAGCAAGCGTTTCACAAGCGCATTACGTTTTGCTTAGACGTGCACAACGAAGCCGTCAAGGTACGATGATATTACTGTGTCCATGTAACCAAGGGCATGTGTGTATGTAGGCGATGCGCTACCCCCCGGGGGCATACAAGAAGGACTTAGAATCGGCAGAAGAGCGCTTGGAGCGTGAAAAGCAAGAGGAGGAGCTGGCCAAGGAGATCGAAGACGAGTTGGACGACGGCATCTAATGGCGCAGACACACCGGCGATGGCGATGGACGTGATAACAATTCCCATAACACGAAAAGTACATGCTGCGTATACATGTATGGCGTAGCTGGGATGGACTTAAAGAGCAAGGTAGAATGCGATGGATGGGATGGATCGCACGTATAATAATAGATATATGCGAATTGGATTCTTGTTAAATCACTTCGGCGGTGGTTCCGTGCGTGGCCTTGCCGGTCTTTTTCTGGAACGAGTTGTTGCCGCGAACGACGCTCGGCAGCTCAGCGTCGCTCAAGCTCTTCTCGCGCACCAGACGCGCGTACTCGACCGCGTGCTTCTTGGAGATGCGCCGCCCCAACACGAGCATGTACACGGACAGCCCCACTTCGAGCGTCAGCGTCATGAGCGCGACGACAGTGTACCCCTGGAGCTTGAGACATCCCGTGCTGGACAAGTTGTGGTCCAATGCGTTGGTGAGGCAATACTCGCTGAAGTCGACGCCCGACAGGAACGGTTCGAGCAAGATGGAGATGGTCGCCACGGTCGTGGCAATGAGCCCGATGTGGAGGACGTAGAAGAATTTGGACCCGTGGCGCTGCAGGGCGTTGATGCATGGACAGCATTCCCGCAGCGTGTACAGAAACGCGTACGTGACCGAGAACAATGCCGTGATGAGGTAGAGCGAGAGCACGGCGAGGCCGACTTCCCTCGTCACGGCGATCGCAGGAAGAATCGTCAGCGCTTGCAGACTCAGGACAATCAGCAACACGCACTCGTCCAGGATGATGCACATGGCAATAGATAGCTGCTTTAGTCTAGGGCTTGTGCGAAACTGCCGACCGCACCGTCGTGGTGGTCGCGATGATGTTCTGTGGATTCCTGAAACAGCCGCGCTAAAAATAGATTCTCCTAATGTACGTCAAAGAAGTTACATTAAGCTAATGTACACAATCGGAAGAAGGATGAATCCGGTTGTGCCGCGAATAGTATCCGGATAACACTCGTCGATTTGGGCCCCAGGAGTCGTCGCCTACCGGTCGAACGCAACCGACACGTTACAGTATGGAGATGAGGAGGACGCACAGTTAAGTTAATGGAGTGATTGATATTAGGCTAGTTATATTATACACGCATGGTGGAGAACATTTCAATGAACGATGAGCAGTTGGTGAGCCCTTGGATAGCGACCCCCAGGCGCTCGAAATCGGCGCGTTCGTTGTAGATTTGGGCGCTAATGCGGACGTACAGGCTGCCTTCGATCGGAATGACCTTGGTCGCCAACTGATAGTAATCGAGCAAGATGTCCATGACAAAGCAGCACACTTGGCACTGCTCGTCCGCAGTCAGGGGTTCGCCGTTGGCCTTGACTGGCCATTGGATCGGCAACCGGATCGCGCTGGCAAACGGCGCGCGCTGCCACGGCGGCAGCAGCGCTTCGGTGCCCCACAGCGACGCCAAGTAGCTCGACGCCCAGTCGATCAGGCTCTTGTTGTGCGCACACACGCGGTTGTAGCCTAGGTTCTGGTAAAAATCGATCGCTGTGCAGATCGTGAGGTAGTTGGACTCGTCCTTGGTGCCCTGGACTGCGAATTCTTCAATGAACCCTTGGTTGTAGCTCAACGAGGTCACCACGGGGCGCACCATCGACTGGTGCTCCTTGTCCACGTACAGGAACGACGACGACTTGGAGCCGAAAAGCCACTTGTTGCATGTGCCCACGTAGAAATCCGGCTTGAGCTGACGCAGGTCCAGCGGCACTTGGCCGGGCGCGTTGGCGCCGTCGACGAGGACGGGGATGCCGCGTTTCTGGAACAACGGAATGAGTTTGTCCAGAGGAAGCACCAACGCCGCGGCGCTCGTGATGTGGTCCAACACCGCCACGCGGGTGTTGGGGGTGATCGCGGCCGCGAGCTGCTGGATGAGCGACTCGTACGATTCCAAAGGAAGCTTCACGTCGACAACCTTGAGCTCCACCACTTCCTGTGTCATGTAGCAAATGTGGCGCAACGTATTGAACACACCAGGGTACGTCGAGTTCATGCACAGAACTTCGTCGCCTTCCTGTAGATCCATGGAGCGGAGCACGGCATTCACACCGTGGGAAATGTTGGGCACGAAGACGACGTCTTCTGAGTCCGCGCCAACGACTTCAGCGAGTTTTTCGGCCGATCGTCGCAACAACGTCGGGAGTTCCCGCCGCAGAAACCGATCAGGGTTGAGTTCCATGCGGTTCACAAAGTACGACTGCGCGTTCAGCACGGGACGGGGGGTGAAGCCACACATGGCCTGGTTCAGGAATGTCATGTTGGGCTCCATGTTAAAGCAGCCGCGGGCCGAACTTCCGAACGTCAACTGCTGGCAATAGCTGCGGTCGGCGGGCGTGAGCAAGGAGAGTGTGTCGAAGTTGAGGGACCCATCTCGACACGGAGCCTCACATTCACGCAGCTGCTGCTTCGGCTGCGGCGTTGCTACGGAATGTGGCGCAGACGGGATGCCGCCGGATGAGTGGACTGCTGCCTGGTGCATCGATCGTGTGGGTGCGTGAGACGTCGATGGAATGGATAATGAGGAGCTGTTTCTTTGTAAAATTTCGGGCATGTCCTTTTTTCGATTCGTGGAATAAATCACTTGATCGTTGTATCGTGGTCCAGATTTAAAATAACATTTGACATATCGTGGAAGAATAATTCGACGATAGTTGAATATCAACCAATCAAAACGCAATGTTTCGAGTACGCCACGCTTTGATTCGCTCGAAACCCAGCCAATCACCATTATGAATGTTCAAGAGTCATGTCCAACTTTCCCGTTGTCCAATTGAACCAGAAAGCAACCGCCCGCCGCCGCACCGCCGCTGTAGTGTCTCGTCGTGGGCAGATAGACATGCTGGTGTTACATGGCTCCACAAGCTCTCTCCGTTCCTGATTGTGGATATCTTGGGCGCGAATCCGACCTCTGTAGGATTGTTAACCCTGTGGCATGTACATTGTGTCCGCCGACGCGCCTATGAGAACCGAGCATTGCCTGGTGTCACAAGCACTGGTTGAAGTTCCAGCTGTGGGAATCAAGATGCGGCCAGAAAGGGCAGAGCGAAGTCCACCCTTTCTCCAAGATCTGACCTTCATGACGAGGACATGGGCGTCGATCGCCGGTTACGTCCGTTTCGTCGTCGTCCCAATCGAGAAAGGTGACCTCTCACAACGCAGCATTGCCCTGCGTCACTTTTCGTCGCGACAACTTCAACTTGCGCAGCAATCTCCACAAACTAGGACACCCCCAACACAACCATGTCACAGTGTGCCAGGGAAAAGAAGTCAAGTGCAAGCGGGACGGCATTCGAGTGAGCTGCGGCGGCGGCGGCGGCTATGGCAAGGGCGAGACGCAACGTAGTGTACTTTAGCGCTGTGGACAGGTGTGTATGGCCGTTGTGGCGTCGATAATGATAGGTAAATGAACCAGGAATGCATATCAGTCGCGTTATTAATTGTCTGTGAGCAACGTCAAATAAACAAGTGGTTTTCCCTGTGAAGAATCAATTGACACTACAGTACCTATACATACTAACTAACGTATCGTAATCCACGTGTAGTGAATGTTAGTACAGTACAGCAACCCTTGCTTCATTCCCATTCTCCATACTATTAATAATTCAGATCCTTTTTTCAGTTGTGTGAGAGGCAGGCCAATTGCTTACGTCCACGCCAGCGACGGCGCTCGAATTTTCTCATCGAGCTGTTATGAATTCATTGGGTGTACGGGTAGATTTCAGACTTCGTCAGTAAGATTAGTAAGGACACAACAGTGTAACGTTGGTTTGGCTTCTAACCATGTACATTATTGTAGACTTGCATGCTATGCATTGGCAGAATTGAGGCATGTCTGTGGTGTCAACTGGCAACGTTAACTGCTACTACTATTAATAGTAGTACCTCAGAAGTACAGTTCAAATACTGTACTAGAACGACAGTAGTATGTAAGCTTACTACGAAGTACTAGTACGGAGGACTTACTAACGTTTGTACTGTACGAGGATTTTCCCCAGGATGGATTGGTGGGATTGTGTGACGTTTCACGAAATAAAAGATCTCCGGTTATCGTCCGGATAAGCTGGACATATGCCATTGGCTAAGGGCCGAGGACGAAATTATAGACCAATAGACAGCGCGCTCCAATTGCCGTCACAACTTCACAGTGATGGAAGCGGCGACGTTGGTGGTGACCCCGTTAGTAAAGAACGTGGACAAGATCCCTGGAATCCATCCGAATGTTGACGAAGGCCAGACCGATGACGACTGGGAAATGCCGCTGCTCTTCATGACCCACATGCCAGTGAATTTCATACAGAACATTGACGTGGCCGCGATGTCAACGTTTTCCGCAGAGTACAACGACGATGGGTCTCAAGACGAGTGTGAGCCAAGGACGTCGCCCCCAAAGGCAGGCAAGATCCAAGAGAAAGGGAATCATCGAGCGCAGTCCCGCAAACAGTCGAACCCGTACGCTAAGCCACGAGTCCGAGGAAGTGTGTCAGACCTTCAAACGAGCTTCTCTGCCTTGTAGAACAGCCATCATATTTATGGAATACAGGCCTGCTTATATCCCCAGTGCTTACAAGTATGAGACAATGGAACGATATGCTGGGTAGCAAGGCACATCCCATTCAATCCGTTAAAGGTGATGCAAGGTATATTCCGTCGACTGACAGCGCTAGGAAACGTCGCATTATAGGTTGTGTGGTCGTTCATCTTACTACCATTCACCACATAGTAGTAATCACTGGACGCAAGCGTTTCTTTCTATCAAGGGCATCATCCCTTATTCAAGGCTGCGTAATCAAGATCGAAGTGGCGTTGTATGTGGTTGGTACATATGTATGTCGATCTTTGGTTGGCAAGATGCGACGAGTCGAAAGGTCACGACCTCTGTTGAGACTTGAGCCACGTCAAACGACAAGTACACTTGTAGTTCAACAAAGACTACTCCGAGTAGTACTAGTATTACGCACTAGTACATGTTTACTTACACTGTTAACGTTATCGCAGGTCGAATTGCAGGACGAATGATCCATGCCTAGACAATAGTCTGCTTACTAGTTAGTATACCCCGTGACGGAATCCATCAAAAACGAAGTACATCTCCTCCATTGGAGGCAGGGTCATTTGCACCAATGGTTTGTACATACTAACTTATCTCCACCGCGTAGAGCAAAAGCTACTACTATTTTGGTCGTTTTTCCGGATAATTTTACCTTTTTCTGGTAACCGGCAAAAAGCCGGAATACTCAGTACTACGTAGTACTAGTAGTAAAAGCTATTTGTGGTCCAAATAGCTCCTTTTCTTTGCTGAAAAAGCAATTTTTTTGCCGGATAAAAATCTATTCATCCGGATGTTCGAATAGCTTTAAAAATAGATAGCTTTTAGCTGTACGCGGTGGAAATGCTCTTAGTAGCTGCTATGTCTATTACTTCGAAGTACACTAGTATATCACAGTATGTATCCCCGTGGGCTCGATACTCTATTATGAATCCATTTCTATTGAAAAAATACTAGTACTGTACATCGTCTTCATAAACATGACGGCCAACAGAATTGATTGCGACGGGTAAAATAGGTTATGATATTAAGATGTGACGGGGTGCGATGACCAACTAACTACAGCTCGCCCGTCAAAACGTATTGGATGTTGAGCATGGACACGAACGCCAGGACCAGGCTCACGGCGGTGGCGAGCTTGTTCTCGGTGTCTTCGACCGACTCGGGGAGCAGTTCGCATATCGCGACGTACGCCATGGCGCCGCCTGCAAACCCCAATCCACACGGTAAAATGGGCAAAAACGTTTCAACAAACAGAAACGACGGCACGGCGAAGATCGGTTGCGGCAAACTAGTTGGTCGAATCACATGTTAGTATATACTAAGTAGTATATCCCCATTTTGTATCGCAGGTTGGTTGGTAGTACCTCGAAAACACACACCACAAGACGGCTGGAAGGAGCTTCAACCCTCGTGGAATCAAAACCAAGCAAATCTACCAACAGTCAACAGGTTAAGCCCGAGTGGCGTCATTAGACGACGTACGGCCAGTCCTTCGGGGATGTTGTGAATGGCCAACGTGAGAGACACCATGAGTCCCCGTCGGTCGCCGCCATCGCCACCAAACGACACCCCGACGCCAATCTGTCATGTACCAGAGAGGGTTATATATATATATATATAATGCCTCTGCGATCAAGAATCACACACACATGACGTACGCCTTCCGAGATGGAGTGCAGCGTCATCACCGCCATGATCAGCAGCGCCTTGCGGGCATCCAATCCTATGTACATCGACGAATTGAGTACGGAAAGGTAGGTCGCTCTAGCTAAATACCATCGAGCCCGCCCAACTTGACATCTTCGTGGCCATCGAGCAAGATTTTGGTCACCTTGATGAAAGCAACGCCGGCAAATGCACCGACGAAAACCCGCAAGTTCACAGACACGACGTCACGGTCGTGGCTTTTGACGAGGTAGCCTTCGTATAACAAGCAGCTCGTGGCTGCCAGCATCATGCCCGCTGCGAGAGCTACGGGATCGACATACGTAAGAGACCAATCTCCCATGGAAGGACGCGTGTACCGTTGCACACGCCGAGCCAAAACTTGTCAATATCCTTGACCCACAGAAACGGCAACGCTCCGACCCCAGTCGACACGGCAGTCAACCACCCACACCACCACACGTAGTGCCAACTTCGAATGCCCCCAGTGTACGGGTAGCTCGCGAGTGTGACCGCGACGAACGCGGCGGCGGTCATGTACTCTGCTCTCCACGACCGCGATGACTTCTCATCGGACGGGGTGTGTTCGTGTAGCTCGACCAAACACGCATCTTCCTTGACGTGCGGTGGCGGCAATTCTGCCTGGACAAGATCGATGCTCCCGACATGACATTGTCGGCCGACTGTGACCTGTGGTGTAACTGTACCGGTCTCGAGACCCATGGCTGGTGGCTTGGCTGGCGTCGCGATGGCGGTGCTGCCGGAAGCGCTGCGTTTCCTTAACTGCGCTATTGTAACGAGCGTCTGCTGCGTGCGTGCGGTGCCTATACGCGTGGGGCGTGCCGCAGTCGAGAGTACGTACAAAAACCTGTCGGAAGGTTAAGTGACGCTTTTTCGAACGCACTTTGGCAGTGTAGTTCCTTTCACTTGGACTTTGTATTCTCTCCCACGAGGACGACAGCACAGTTGGGCAAGAATTGGCGAATTATTTCAATAACTTTTGCCGTTTCGCTCAAAATATTTGAACGCATAATCCACGTGTTACGACTGTATTGTACCACGTGTGTTACTGTATGTCCCGATGCGTCAAAGAATCAAAGTCGAGTTTTGACAGGTTGGATCGATTGATCCTTGTATTAACAGTGTAAAAGTGAAATAACGTTAATCTCAATTATTAATACCTACTACTAGTATTAATAGTAAGTCCTGTACTAGTAATACGTACTATTACAGTAATCGATATTAATAGAATGTAGTACTACTCAGTATACTAGTATACTAGTACTAGTAATAGAAAGAATTTCTTGCACATGCGACAACCACCATACTAGTAACTCGACGATAACGTTATACTTCGAAGTATGTACATAATTCGATACAGTAACTCTGTTAAACAGGCAGTGTTCTTTGTATGGCTGAATGTACTAACTTACTGTAACAGGAAACCGCGCGAGCGCATGAGAAACTGGAGCGTAAATTCCAGCAACATGTAAGCGATGCAGGACGACTTGGCGAGTCATATGTAGTGGCTACAACATTTAAAGTCATACTATAGTACGCTGTTGGCCGGAGAAGTGCCGAGTACATGCATACCAGCCAACGTACTAACGCTAACGTTTTACAGTCTTCTATACTACTACGTAGTACTACTGTACTAGTACTAGTACTTCGAAGTACTACTCAGTAGTACTGACACCAAAATCAGACCAGTATTGGTGGATTCTGATTGGTCCGTTCAACTTTTGCTACCATTATCCGGAATTCCTCTTGCTTTGGATATGATGTTCTTCCATTCAGTATGCCTATACTGAAAACTGATCAAACCTAATATCGCGCGAGCCAAGGCGAAATTGGTTTGCCGCTTCGGCGCCCGTCCAGCAGTTGAACCCATCGAGAACTCATGGACAAAAAAGCCGTCACGCTGGATGCAGAAATGGTGATCTTCCGAGCCGAGTGCCACGTAGCTCAGTGCAAGTCGAACCAGTACCAACCATACCTTCACAGCGGTCCGCAACGGCAAATGCCATGTGTCGTGCAAGTGCCCAAGAACGCGTTCCTGTGGGACTGGCGAGAAGGCATCATGGGATTTAGGGATTTGGACGATCCGCAGTGCGTGATCAGTCGTTGTCGATGTGGCTACGTGTTCAATTGCGTCTACTTTCACAAAGGCGGTAAGAAATGTGCCATCATGCCATCACCTTCCTTCAACGCATCAACATATCTTAGGCGACGGCAAGGAAAAGTGCGCCGTGGCGTTAAAGCTCATGGACAAACGACTAATCACACTCGAGGGCGACGACTTGGAGGCGGAAGTCCGGGCGATGCGCATGCTGCAGCACATTGGTATGGATTCGGCCCTGCGGAGTCGGCACGCCATTCGATGGGAGACGGCCGAATGTCCGTACAACCACTACATCGCGACCGAGTACATCTCGAATGGGTCGCTCATCTCATACATGCACAAGCGCTTTGGCGAGATCCGATCGGACGTCCATCGCTACCTCGGCGCGCGGGCGAACCCCGTAGACGCCGGCAAGCGCGTCGGCACGTGGTTCCTCCACGACGTGGTGCTGCCGCTGTTCCATCAGATTCTCTGTGCCCTCGCGTACATCCACACCCAGAACGTATGTCATTTGGACTTCGACCCGTACAACGTGGCCGTGGACAGGCACCGCGTGGTTCGGCTGCTCGACTTTGGCAGCAGCCAGCTCATGGACGGCCGCAGCTCCGTCGGCGGCGGTCGCGACTTTCCCCAGATCAAGACCAAGCTGCTTTACAGGTCCCCCGAACTGCGCAAGAACAACCGCGACCGCGCGACGTACCAGCGTTTCGTCGCCCACCGCCCGCCCCATGCGACCTTTCGTGACGAGCAAAAGCTCATCCCCCCTGGCTTTCACGGCGCCAAGTCGGATCTGTTTTCGGCGGGGGTTGTGGTACATATGCATGCCTTGCTCTCTATTTTGTTACCTTTTTGTGATGGTTTGGTGCGATGTACTTAGTGCCTGGAAATGACCATGTTTGGGTTCAATTACGTTGGGTGCACGGGTCCAGCGTTTGTGAGCATGCAAAACCCCCAGTACCGCGACCAGTTTTACGCCCATGTGGCCAAGCAGTGCACGACCCAGACCTGTGTCTTTTGCGCCCACAACCTGCCCATCCCGCCCTTCATCCTCCAGACCATCTCGAAGATGATGGCCCCCAACCCCGCTGATCGCATCCACGACGCCGTCGCGCTAGCAAGCGAGTGGAAAACAAACTGGGACGCCCTGCTCCACAAGGCCAACGACGACGTCTCACGGCAAGTGCAGCACCACCAGCAGCCGGCTGCTGCTGCTTTCACACCATCCCCCGTCGTCGCGCGACCAACGGGCTCGGCTGCAGGACAGCCCACATTTGCCACTGCCTGTTGAATCAATAACATGGACTTGACACGAACACAATGGGTGTGTTATTACTATGTTGTCGAGCTATTCAAACCGTATATGTGGCTCGCACACAGGGTTTACACCCTCGACTACTCGTCCCCCCCACACAATTTACCAGCACTTGGGCTCAAAAGGATGATTGAAACAATTCATATTTATTGGTTGGTAAGCTGAACAAGCGACATTTGAGATTCGTGATATACAGTATACCCAAGTTGGCCATGTTTGGTTGTTTACAAGTCAAGCGGGGTGGTTGGAAACGTGTGCCGTCGGGATGGGCGGCGAAGGGCGATGGCCTACTCGTGTAGAACCAACATGAGCGCACGAATATGACAAGTGTTAGAGGCAACTGTGATTGAACAGTGTCAAATGGTAGGTTTTGGCGTGGAATGATCTTGAAATGCTGTGCAAAGGACAGTGACGTTACCTTGGGAAGTGCGGGGGGAGTCTTGGGCTGAGGACCGCCAGGATGCTGAGAGAGCTTGAGAGGTCGTGTTAGCATGGATTGGGATAGCAGTCGTAGTAAATCATACCCTTGATGTGGGAGCTACGGGCGTGGTGACAATGGTCACTTGAATCCGTCGGCCAGAGGAAGGCTCGGGGGGAATCAATGGTGGAATCAGCGGCATCGACAACCCATGAGCAAGAGTTCGAGGTTTGTGGAGGTGCGCTGGCAAACATGTTGGTGGTGGATGTGTGGTAGAATCAAAGGACATACTAGTGGCCTTGAGCACGTTTGGTGTAGATGCTGAAGGGATGCATGCGGTGCTTGAGCTCCAAGGAATGCGCGGGGCGGGAGAGCGAGTTGGAACATGTGATGCCGGCAGAACGAGGGTCGAAGTGGGCATCGGGTGGCAAGTTTGAGAGCTCTGGTGCACTACATTCGTGGAAGTACTCGGACGTGACTTCAACGCTTTAGGCAAGTAGTGGGGCTGAACGACACTTGTGATTTGGGCGGACGAGGCTCGCCGTCGCAGAGGTGAGGGGTTGACGACAAGGGTTACCGCCTTCGCGACGGGTTCAGGAGATGCCGTCGGCGGTGGTCGGAAAGTTGTACGTTCTTTCCACAGTACAAACGCTTTGCACGACTGCAGTGCATGTTGAAACCATATTTTGCGCACGAGCGACCGTAGCCTGCGCCGTTTGCTCTCCTCTTCCCCGTGGACATGGGTTTGGAGTGATGATCCTACCCACGTGAGGTCGGTATGCTGGGTCGCCGCCTCCAGTTGATTGCCCTCTAGAAGTGCATGATTCGGTTGCTTCTTTAGCCGCTCCAATTTCACTTGAAGGGCAATGTTCTGCTTGGTGAGCTTTGTCACGACCGCCGCGAGGTTCATCGTAGAAAGTGTTCGGCATTATTCTGGCGGTTTCATATTTTGACTTCAAGAATTATTATTTTTGCGTTTTTTTCACCAAATCAATTTAATTTCATTTACAATTGGTCCCATTTTAATTGAAAAACTGCGATCGTTTCGGAGTGCGGCGGTGCAACCGTTGATTTGCGGCAAACACGTCGAGGACAGCGTTGTGGTCGAGGTCCAATGCCAGCTCGTACGACGTCTTCCCATTCTACCGCACAAGTCATACAGTACATGGGACACGGGACAACTGTACCATGTCGCGGATATCTTGGTTGGCGTTGTGCTTCAAGAGCAGGTCCACAATACGCGGTTGTTTCATCTGGACAGCGAAATGCAGGGCAGTCTCGTGGTTCTACGCGACAATTCATTACATCTCGATTGTACATGTTGACCATGCAATCGAACCTCGGACAAGCAATTCACGTTCACGTTGTGCAGCAGCAAAGCAATCACTACGTCGTCGCGACCGCTCATGATGGCAAAGTGCAATGGTTGAAGGTTTCCCCCCTACAGCAAGCACACGTGAAGTAGGATGGGTATGAGAATTATCCGCATGAAGGATGCTTACCTCTTCCATGCTCATGAGATGTGCATCGGCGCCTTGCGTGAGGAGCAAGTTCACCATGTCAATGTTGCCATGGTAACATGCAATGTGCAGCGCACCTCGGCCCTCCTACACCACTGTATAAGCGCAAAATCCGCCACCGTTGGATATGTGTACTTCGTTCAGCTGATTGATGCACGAGTTGGCCCCCCGCCACAGCAACCACTTTGTTACAATTCGTCTGTTACCGGCTACAGCTTGCACAAACTTGACGAACAGCTTGAACTGCTTGGCGGTGACGGTCGCGGCGGACGGAAGACTGCATTGCGTCACGTTGAGCAGTGTCTGCGGCATGCGGACTGAACTGCGCCGTCGTCGACGCCGTCCGTGGACTACCGCTCGCACTCGCGCTGAATGAAGAGTCTGTTGAAACGATTCTTGGTGAGGTGGCAGAGAGCTAGCTAAGGTACGTACTTAAGAAGTACATAGCATCGAGCGTTCTGATTGGTCCATTTTCAACTCGACCGTTTCACCTTTGATCTCACAGACTACAGACGATGGGCAGCGCTTGCAATGGGGTTGTCAGTGTCTTGACCGGACTGGGATGTAACATGATGCATTCCTGCGGCATGCAAGATGTCTGGGAGGCAAGCTGTGGACCTGGCTACACGTGTGTTCCTATCCACTCGGCCACAACCTGGCTACACGTCGAACACATTCGTTTATCCGAGCCCCAGGACTCTACAGTACCCTTACCCGCAGAAACGTCACAATCGTTGCTGGCCATAGCAATGCGTTCATTAGACCAGTACTTGTGTTAATTGTATGTACTTCAGCTGTAGATAAGTCGACATGTATGGCACGTTCCGTCGTTGACGATTCGACATCGCCTTGCCAAGAACCTATGGCTATCAAAAGGACTCATCATCGCTTTCGTCGTCATCGAAGCTCTGGAACTCTTCCTCTGCTACTGGCATCTGTTGCAACTTGAACAGCGCAGCATGAAGCTCTGACGACACTTTTTTCGGCAAGGCAAACGCCGCGTCAACCTCGTTGGACGTCTTGGTCGTTGTTGGCAGCCCGACGGGCGCATGATCATGGCCTTGCACGCGTTCTTCCGGAAGCGGTCGCCGGACAAGCACATCCTACCGGGAACACGTCAGCCACCACCACCACCACTCCACCATCCATCCATCCCCTTTCTCGCCAATGCCTTGTCAAACGTAGGACGGACGTACTACCTGCAGTTCATTCACAACGTGATCAAATGTCTGCATCATCCTCATCCCGGTGTCCATCGCTTCATCATGGCGCTCCGCCTCTCGACCCAGTTGTCCTGTGCTCAGAGCCGTAAACACCTGAGTAAACGCCTCGGTCGTGTCGTCTAAAGCCATCGACGGCCGTTCCTGGTTTGCATCTACATTTCTTGCTCACTAAGCAACCCGACAATCAATCTAACACACCATCTACTTGATCCGAATCATCGGGCCCCGGGTTGTCCGTGGGTGTCTGTGGGTGTCGCCCGTCCTGCTGTTTGTAGAGTCAGCCAACCACCACTGGCCGTACATGATGACATCAATATGTCTACCGTCACGACGCCCGCCTGCCACTTTGTCCACGTGGCAGTCGCAGCGGCCAGCAGTTCGCCCACTCGCGCCACGCACTGCCTCGTGGTTTCTGGATCATCAACACGACTGTCGGCTGCAAACAGCACGGCCACGGCCGTCTTGAGGGTGTTCCCGAGCATCTTCTGCTGTTGTAAGTGATGACATGATGACGATGATGGGATTGTTGTGGTGGCGGACGTTCGAGACGCTTGATCTACTTCTGGGGGGTCCACAGTGAGGTCAACTTGCTTGGTGGCGTCATCGAGGACGGCCGTGGCCTGCTGCAGCCTGTCGACCCACAAAGCAATCTCACGAAGAACGTGCGCCAACGACTGGTCATCGTCAAAGGACAAGGCTGCTAATGCCTGGTCGAGGAACTGCATGGTCGCGTTGTGCTGGTGGGATAAGGCCATGAGTAGCAGCGACGGATGGCGGCTGGCTTGGGGCTCGTGATGGGCCAGTGGAAGGGGCGGCAAGTGGCCAGAAGAGTTGGAGTGTGCTATGGACATGTAGATGGCGTGCAACGTCTGACGCAAAAAGACACACGAGAGGTGGGGCGCGTTCTCGTTGGCTTCCAGGCGACCGATGGGAGGCATCCATTCGTCGTCCAAGAGGTATCCGCGCTGGGCTGCGGCCGCGGCTTTGATCTGGCGAAGCACTTGGTTGCATTGGTGCTACGGACGAAGCATAAGCGTCGACATGGACACGTGTGACTTGCACCTGCAGGTCGTGCTTTCGCTGGTGGACGAGGGCGATTTGACTGGCGAGGAAGCGGCACTGACGGCGGCAGGTGACAAAGTAGAACAACATCACCTGCGGATGTCCAGTGTGGCGTGTTAGTACTGATACACGACCGTGAAGGAGCAGGATCATATCTCCTTACCGCCAAGTCGAACAAGGGAAAGAGGACATGGAGAAGCGTGAGACCCGCACCGATGAAACCTACGGACTGCTGCCATCCTAGCCACGATGAAGGAGCACTTGTTGTGATAAACGTCGTTGTGATGGCTGCAAACAAACTTGCACTGCACACGAGGTGACTGGTTCGGTCTCGCACAATTGAACGGAACGACGAAGTCAGGCGATGTTGTTGCAGCGGAACCTCCCCGAAGCTACGAGGGGAGGGTGTAGGTATTCTCGTCGCAACGCGCTTGGACTTTTGCACTACGTGTGCGAACGCCAAGTCCTTAAGCATCTCGGCCTTGGTGTGGGATGGAGCGATTTGACGGATGGCAGCTACGACAATAGGCAACACCGTCTGTAGGACCTTGGTCCTCAAGTCTGATGTGATGGAAGGCGCATGGAAGTGCTGCGCCTCTGCCTCCTCATGCGGTGCATGATCCACAGAGCTCAGATATTCGTCCAGCGCGGACCGGCGGTGGTGATGTGTCTCGTACATTAGGACAGACCAGCATTCGTGATTTTCAATCTCCGGACCATTCTAGAATGCCGAGTGTACGTCATTTTGAAAATATATCCAAATCAATAAAATACCTTGAAATGGGTATTGCATCATTTATATTCCTCACCCTCCAATAATGAAACACCTATCTATGATTGGTTGAAATAGAAATTTACTTGATTTTGATTGGATGCAGGTCACATATTCTGAAATTGTATCCGCAAAGTTCACACTCGTTGCTGAGATAACTGGACGCGGGAACAAGCAGCGCCGTCGGATACGTTCATACGACATGTCTAGCAAGAGACGCCGCACCGACAGTCCTTCCAAGGAGGAGGTTGAGTATGGCCATGTGGATGTTGCCGCGTCCAAGGTCGTTGCATTGCTGCCTACCGTTGCGAACGAGCCGACCACGGGCACAATCATGGACGGACCAAAGTTGCTGGCCGAGTTGGACGAAAAGTACACGTTCTTGGCGTCGTTGCTCAAGGAGTTCCGCGATGAATTAAACGTGCCGTCGACAACGCCTATTTCGTCCGACCAAGGCTGGTTCTGGTTCATGGAGATGAAGTTCCTCATCACGTTCCTGCAGCAGATGTCGTATATGGAATTGGCGCTGTCGTCGACAAAGCCCGACTCGTTGACGCACTTTGCGGCGAACCAAGCGCAGAAGAATCGCGTTCATCAATGCGACCGCGACGAGATGATTGCGCGGTTGAATTTCATGGAGCGGTTGCATGCGTACGTGTCGTGCGTTGGCGTGGCGCGGCTCGCGATCACGTCGCCGTTGCCTCGGGTACGTCGTCGTGTTTATTTCGTCCATCGAGAAACCACAGCTACAACACATACATAGGTGCATCGTTTAGCGACTCAGTACGACCTCACGGCCAAGGAACTGGACCTGTTCCAGCTCATGGTGATCTTCCAGGGCTGCCAGAGCACCACCGTACGCAGCCAGTTGATTGAAGAAGACGTGAACCGCAAGATGATGATGTTCCAGCGCTTGGCGTGCATCTCCGAGATCGACCTGGAAGAGTTCGTCGACGACACCCGCGTGCACGTGAAGGAAGGCACGGTGATCGCCGAGCCCGACAACTACACGACGGTGCTATCGCTGTCTTCGATCTGCGTCCGCGTGTGCCTTGGCCGAACGCTGACGCCCAACCACATGCTCAAGGTGAGCCAGACAGCGCTCGAAGATTTGCTGCGCGCCGAAGGGTGTGTGGTGGAGCAGGCGTTGGAGTTGGGCGACGACCGCCGGCTCGTGGGCCATAATCATACCAAGCGACACGAGGCAAGTTGCCCGAGTCCGTCAGACACCAACCCCCCGTCGCCCCGCGGTGACGACATGGGGTTTGAAGAAGACGGGGTAGTCAATGGTGACAATGACGACGACAGTGACGACAATGATGACGAAAAGGACGAAGACATTGCATCGTTTATTGGCACGTACAAGTCGACCAAGCCGCGTCGACAGCCTAACCAGCCTCATCGGCAGGACAAGGCGGCGGATTTGACGGGGGACGCGAGTTCGTTTGAACCGTACAACCCACACAACCAGCTCGAGTACTTGGAAGATCGGTTCCAGGTCGTGGCATTTGCCATTCGAGCGTCGGGCGCGAGGGTCAAGGACCAGATGAAGGAAGCCGGCACCAAGCAGCCGTGGGGAGAAAGCTACGGCAATCCGATGACGGCGGGACGGCGGGAACTCAAGGCCAAGCAGCGCGTGCAGGATCGCAAGGTCATGAATCGCTTGTCATTGACGCGGTACGTCACCCGCGGCTGTCGTCGTCGTGGTCGCTCACGGGTATATATATATGTGTGTGTACAGGGCGGGGGAGATTCCACTGCCGCGATTGGAAGAGATGGCAACCAAGTTCAAACTCAACACGTTTGAGCAAAACGTGATTGTGATGCTGATTGGGAAAACCATCTCGCCGGTACTAAAGAACTTGCTCGAGGGGGTCGACACGTCCGCCGTCCAGCGCATGGACGAAAGCATCACGGTCAACCAGATCCTGAGCGTGTTTTGCGATACATTTCAAGAGCAAGTAGCGCATCGGGTGTTCTTTTACAAGTCGGCGCGGTTGTTACAGCGCGGGTTGGTCAAGCTCAATCGAGGGTACGACACTCAATTGTTGTTGATGATGCTATCGAAAAGACGTGGCTGAGTTTTGTGAATCATGTGGCTATTGTGCGTGAAAATAGGCGGTGGCACTCGAGTGGCGGCGATCTCGTCGACCAGCGCGTCGAGCTGGACCGCCGCGTGCTGGATTGGGTGGTCGGGCTCGATACAGAAATCAACGAGCTGGTCGAGGGAAGCGACCTGTACAACCCCAAGGTCCAGCTAAGCCAAGTGGTGCTGCCAGACGAGTACAAGCAGACAATTCTGTCCACAGTCACCGCGTACGAGCACTTTCGCACGTATCGCAAGACGAGCGGACTGGATCAGACGCTCACGTACGGCACGGGGCTCGTGCTCCTCCTCTGTGGGGCCAGCGGCACGGGCAAGACCATGACAGTCAACGCGGTGGCGCACCACTTGAAGAAGCGCGTGCTGTTGGTGGACTTTCCGTCTTTGCAGGGCAAAGCCAGCCAAGACCGAGGGTACGTACGGTACATGAGCGTTGACGAGGGGTATTTGACGTTGATTGGATCTTGTGTAGCGGCGAGTGCGACGCCGACTTGCGCGGGTTGTTTCGGGAAGCGGACATGAGCAATGCGATCTTGTTCTTTGACGAGTGCGAGTCGATTTTCAAGCAGCGCGAAATGGGCGGCGACCGGCTGCTGAACGCGCTGCTGACCGAGATGGAGCGGTATGAAGGCATTGTGTTTCTTGCGACGAATCGGCCGTTCGACTTGGACGAAGCCATGCACCGCCGCATCACTGCAGTGTTCGAGTACAAGGCGCCCGACCACATCCAGCGCCGCGAAATCTGGCGCGTGCTTGTGTCCGACAAGCTCAAGTGTTGTCCAGAGATTGACTGGGAAGCAATTGCCCTGAAATACGAACTCTCGGGGGGGTTCATCAAGGTATGTACGCGATAGCCAGCGGTTGTCGTCGTTGAATGTGTTTTAGAATGCCATCTTGTCGGCGTTGCTCAAAGCCATTGGCCGCAACTCGACGGACCCTGTGATCAACCACGACGACATTGTGACGGGGTGCGCGCTGCAGATGCGCGGCAGTCTGCACATGAAAACATTTGACCATCGCGTGGTACCCACAACTGGACTGGACGCGCTGATCGTGGCAGACGCCGTGCGAGCGACGCTGGCAGAAGTGGTGCAGTTTGAAAAAGCTCGGAACGTGATCTATGGCCAGTGGAACTTTGACTTTGGCCTCACGACCAAGTACAACAAGAAGAACCAAAAGGGCATCTCGGTGCTGCTCATTGGGCCATCCGGTGTGGGCAAAATCAGCGCCGCCAAAGCGATCGGGTTTGAAGTCGGCCGGCCACTCAAACTCGTGCACTTTGCCCAACTCCAGTGCGACTCGGCCGCCGACACGCGCCGCGCGCTGCAGTCGACCTTTGACGACGCCCGACTCATGGACGCCGTCTTGGTGCTGGAAGGCTTTGAGATGTTTGGCATGGACGTGCACGGCCAGGTCGACGCCGACTCGCCGAGGTTCCGCGTCGAAGCGCAGCGGTTGATGGACATGGTGGACACGTTCCCTGGCATATCCATCCTCGTGGCCACAACCGCGTCGTCCGTGACGAGTCTGGACCACGAATTCTCGCGCCGGCTCAAGTTTTTGATCGAGATGCGTCCGCCCACGGCGTCGCTGCGCACCCTCCTGTGGCGGTCGTTCTTTCCCCCCACGGCGCCCCTCGCCCCCGACGTGGACTTTGACAAACTCGGCATGCGCTTTGAACTGTCCAACGACGCCATGAGCAACGCCGTCTTCCGCGCGGCGGCCATGGCGGCCCTGCGGCCAGAAGCCACGCGGCGCATCACGATGAAGGACCTTGTGAACGCGGCGGAGTTAGAAAAGAAGAAGGGGCGGAACAACGAGATGCGAGATCGGTTGTTTGTGTAACTTAACAGCGATATAGTATTACATAACTATACACATATAGACATAACGTGGGGAATCACAATTGGCCACAAACAGCAACGCAGGTAAGTTCGAGGGTGGGCAACCAACCTACCTTGGATGCAACATGACGGGGTTAGCTAGCTGCTTCGGACAGGGAACTACGTACTACTAATGCTGATGAAGTACTCACGGAGCTCCTCTGTGGGGCTGTAAAATGACATCAAAAGGTAAGGTTGAACCAGGGAAAAATGACGAGGGTGGCGAGTGGGGTGCGTTAAGTCGAAGTCAATGTCAGAACGACAACTAAGGAAACGTGTGGATATGGTTTTCACAACGTGAACGTGGGACGAGACATTGGTAGTTTACACGAGCTTAAACTGTTTCACGAGACGGTTGTTGGTGATCTCGTGCAGGTCAAGCACGGCGTCGGCGCTGCTGCGCTTGGCCGTGGGTGGAGAGATGGAAATGAGGCTGGATATCGACGGCAGCAACACGGCACCTCCGCGCCGATGACCAACGGACGATAGCATTGGCACGGATGGTTCTACTGACGGCACTTTGGCCTGAAGCGTCGCCGACGACGTGGCTGGACGCAGGACGAAGTGGTCAAAACAAGTGCGAGCAGGTGTTGGCCTGGCCTCTTGGGTCGGCGTTGTGAACACGTCCAGCCTTCGGTCCTTGGACGAAGTCACGGGAACAGAGTGTGCGCCGAGATGACCTGGCGGCGGCAAGCAGTACCCGGATAGCCACCACGCCTCGTCGCCACTTTCGTTGTCGTTGACGCCACACCCAGCCAATGGTGGCGGTGGCTGCATGGAATCTGCAGCCCGAACCACCACATCCGGCGCCTCGTCCACCACGATGCGAAGGTCCACGCGCGGACGATTGCTCTTCTTCGTCATGAACCGGCGCCGGTCGGTGTGTGTGAGTGTGAAACGACACGCGAGGAGGTGAGATCTATATTTTCTCCCATCCGCACAGAAAAAGAGCTGCTGACAGTTTCACCTTTCTACCATGATAAGCAGAATGTGTCGGGTCTGCGCACCATAGCAAGATGGCGTTCACGGTATATATGACGCGTGCCATCGATACGTAACGTTATGCTGTACTGCCGCCGCAGCCTTCCGTTGATCCGCTTTGAATTGACCCGCGCCAAAACCATCAACTTGAACTTTTCTGTGTCGACATGACGATTGCATGAACAGCCGCGAGAGGTGGATCTTACGGATAATATCCGGATGGTTTGCACTTTCGAAACGGCACCCCACCTATGGCGGGGCGCAAAAAGGCCACGCCGACGGAGAAGTCGTCGCGCCCTGAACTCGTAGCTTTTGTGACGTCCGTGGCGAATGAATCATCCCCAGACTACCGAGCATTGTCGGCCAGACGTCCGTCCGCATTGAACGACATCATCTCGGTGTTGCGGAATGGGGCCAACCACATCCATGAACGCGGTAACATGCATCGACGAGGCCAACGAGGTTTTTCATGCCTGTCGTAGCGGTGGCTGCACGTGCGCTTGGGCTTCTCATGGACCGTGACGTGGCGCTTCGACAGCGCATGAAAGTCGATTCGGACACGTTGGTCGATTCGTTGCTTCAGATCATTAATTCGTGTCGACACGCCAAATCGCAGTCGACAGAATACCGAAAAATGCACGTGAATTGCTGCTTGGTCATCTCGATGGTCATGGACGGTACGTTGCAACGCTACTGAAACAGACGTGTTGAAGGAATCTCGTAGCTCCGCGGGGCGACCATGCTGCGGTTGGTAGTGTCGTGGCGATCAATTCAGACCTGCTGAAACTAACCGCCCCACCCGCTCCACTCGTCCACCCCCCCCTCAAATCCAAGTCGTCCACTCCATCTTCGTCCCCTTCCGCTGCATATTCCCCACCTACAGTATCGACGGCGCCCCCCTCTAGCCCATCGAGAAACCAACACGACGCAGACTCACCCCCGCGCACCACCACAAACAAGATGTCCAGGGTAGATCGCACCCATTGTTTCGATGCCTTAATATCGGCGTACATGTAGAAACGAAGTTTGGCCTCCACGAGTACGACTCCCCCTTCGGACACGGGGCTCGACCTCGTCTTTCGACCTCCGACCACGAGTCGACACCGGTCGGCCCATTCCGGACCCCGCCCCGTCTCGATGAAGTCAGCTTTTTCTCTCTCCATCCAAACGTCATATGCTTGTCCTAGGTCTGTCCTCTTTGGTGACGAAGGGCGGGTCATGGGGCTCACCCCCTCTGGCGATAACCTCCCCATCTACGAGTTCAACGCGACCTTCTCCGGCTACAGCGTTCCCAACGTGTATTTCCCCTTCCATCGCCCCAATACGTCAGCCGGCACGCCGCCTCCGTCGTACACGAGCCGCGACATGATGCGCCCCACGACTATCTCGAAACCAAGCCGCGCCATAAAGTCGTCCCACCAAACCCACGCATTGACATCTACCCCCAACATCATCTTTCCGTCCAAGTTGTATCGGGACTCGTTGCAGTCCAGCCACCGACCGCGCCCGTTTGTCATGCCACCGGATTACATGCTGGACATGCTCAAGACCAACCAAATGCCGCTTTCACTTCCGTTTAGTCGCCACAGCACATGCCGAGCCGACTCTTCCGACAGGTGCAAACCGAAGTTGACATGACAAAGCATACAATGTTCATGTTCAATATCGATAGTCGCATTCAACCGACACCATGGGGTGAAGTGAATCGCGTTGTCCTCGGTACGTCTTCACAACAACGGCATCATCATGTCGTTACCCGTTGGGATACATTTCCTAAAGCCACAGATCCCATGACTGTAGGCACAAGTTTTGCAAAATACCCCCAGCTACAAAGTATCGCGTTTATTGCCGAGCCGACGACATCACGTGAACAAGTCGTGCCCTATAACAACGAGAGCAAATGCATCGGTGGAGGGCGAACGCACGATGAAGAAGACGACAACAACTTGGACATAAACAGCGTCGCATACAAGAGAAGGCGACTGCTGGCGATTTTGCACGCCCCGATTGACTCGACCTCCGACATGCAAACCCTCGCCATCAAGGAACACACGACCATCATGACAGGGTTCAGCCTCACGCTGCATCAACTGCACGACGACGAGCGGTCCATCATGACAAACTTGAGCCAGACGATCTTGGAGCAGCGAAACCAGCTGCCGCTCAAATTTCTCTTCGAGTTACCGGGGGGCATCGGGTACTGCCGTGACCGGCTCCAGACATCCATGGCGCTTTGGGTCGAGGAGTTTGAAGTAAACCAGCAACGAGCAGCGTGGCTGCAGTGGAAGGCGCTGGTGGAAACGTTTCGATTCAAGGATCGTATGGGGGATTTTGTCCGACAGGCCGCGTTGAAGCGCATGCGGCTGGCCATGGATCTAATGGTTAAGGCGTTCGTTCACAAAGGATGGGTCAAGTGGGTGTTCACCACCCAAATCGACATTTGGTACTGTATGACTGGAATGTGTCTGTCTGCATTCCAATAAGCTACTTAGATTGACCTTACTCAATATGGGTACACATCTACAGGCACTTTCGAGATCGACATGCTCGCAAGATCCAGCCCCACCTGCGGCGCCACTTTGCCAAGAAGGCGTTCTTGGCAAGTCATGATGTCAAGCCCGTGGGGGGGTGCTTTACTGACATGTTCTTGGCGCCGCCCCGCCCGAACCTTCCGTTTCAAATCCCCCTGCGCGTCCGACTCGAGCGGCGGCAGCTCTGGTTTGCCGCCATCGCCGTGCAAGCGCCATACCGTGGCCGGCGCTTCCGCAAGTTTATGCGGACGCAGCGCCTCGCGGCCACGAAGATCCAAGCCGCGTCTCGTCGGCGGCAAGCGCGGCTGAAATACGTGGCTGCGCGGGCCAAGGTAATTCGTCTGCAGGCGCATATCCGCCGCCACCTTGCGCGCAAAGCGTTTGTTCGACTCCGCAACGCCACCATGATGGTGCAGCGCAACCTTCGCGGCCGCATGGCGCGCCAATTCGTACGTAAACTAGCAAATGGAGGACAGTGTTGTGTTTGCTTCATTCTTGTGTTTGTTGTGGATGAAACCAATAATATCGTGGCTGTGTGTAGGTGCGGTTGGTGGTGCTCGCGACCCGTCGCCAAGGAGAATGGCGATGGCAAACGGTGCAGCCCCTGCTTCGGCTGGCGCGGGGGCATCTAGCCCGGCAGCAAGCCCGGGCTATCCGAGCATATCATGCCAACCGGCTGCGATCCGCCCTGCTCATTCAAAAGGCATGGTACACGTACAACAACGAGTGGACGACGTTCCTCCTCCTCGGGTGTCTAAGGGAGCGCGAAGTGGACGAGAAGCGGTGGGAGCGGGACCTCCACCTGTTCCACCGGCACCAGAGCGCTGCACGCATCCAGACCGAGTTTCGAGCGTTCGTAGCCAACCAACGACACACGATGGCGCTTCGGATTCAACTAGCGTACCACTGCCACGTAGCTCGACGGGCGTTGGCGCGGCTGAAAGCGCGAGTGATTGCCCACCGGCGGATCAAGTGGTGGTTCCGCGCCCACCACGCCCGCCGCCACCGCCTGGCCACACGGATTCAGTACTGGTGGCGCAAGGCGGTACCCGGTCGTATGCTGCGCCATTTGGCGTACGTGGCGAAGGTCATCGAGGCCATCGAACGAAGACAAGCTCGAGTCCGAGAGTACAACGCCGCCACAACCTTGCAAGCCATCGTGCACGGTATATAGTATGGTCCACACGACACACAATTCTGTCCTTCTTTTTCAATGCCTCGTCTCCAAACTACATATACACGATGATATTGCCAGTCCAAACAGTATTTGGTGGCTGTGGATAGGGGTATGGATACGCTATCGCGTGAAAAAGACCAAGAGCGCCATGGTGATCCAACGAAATGTGCGACGGCGGCAGGCGCAACAGCTGGCCAAGAGACTTCGCTACGACCGCCGCGTTCGAATTGCTACGGCGTGTCTCGACACCGTTTACCGCCAAGTACGACGCCTACACGACTACAACGTCATCCCAAGTAACGTGATGTACTCACTGAATGGTCGATTAGGTCGTGTTTCGCGTGCTGGAGCGTCGCAACTTGCAGTTTCGAGCGTGCGCTACGCAAATCCAACGGTACAATGTGCAATCTCATGCACGGATTTACGGTATACAACGGGTATGGTCGTTATAGAATGTACCGGGGCCAGAAAACCCGGCAGTCCCTGGCTGAGCATTGGCGCTGGCTGGACGAGCGGACGCGGATGGCGCGGCGAGTGCAGCGCCTGTGGCGCCAAACGGCAGACAAGCGGTTTGCTAAGCGGTTACTGACCCTCCAGCGCCGTCGGGTGGCGAATCCATTCACAGCCATCTCGTCGCTTTCGGCCGTGGTGGACACTGCGATCGAGAAATCGCTGGTGCATTTTGACCCGTACGACCTGCTGGTGGGTCTCACGCTTATCGGGTGGCTGCGGCGGCTCGGCCTGGACGAGTACTATGACGTGCTCTACCAACACGGGTATGTATGAACTGCCATGTCATATATGCATCGAGTCAAATGTATACGAATGCATAGGTACACGACCACAACATCGTTGTCAAGTATCACGGACGAGTTTTTGCAATCGACGTGTCAGATCAAAGACAAGGATACCAAGCAGCTGTTTCTCACGGGCATGCGGTACCGGCAATGGCAAACTGACGTTGTCGAACAGCGAAAGGTCGTGGCCAAGCTCGAGAAAGCCGCCGCACGACTCGACGCGCATTTCCAAAAAGCGCTCAAGGGATTAAGAGAGCAGCAAGGTGTGGTCCTGCGGTGGCAACACAAGGCGGAAAAGGCGCAGGCGGAGGCCACCGAGTTCGCCCATCCCCCCAAAGCCGTCCGGCGAAAGCTCCAACGAGCCCAAGTCGCGTTGGCTGCCGCCGAGTCGGCGCTCGAGGCGTGCGTGAAAGCCAAGGGGGAAAAGGAAGCGGCGGCGGGGGCCGCCAAGGACAAGTGGATGCAGGCTAAAGCTGACTTAAAACCGATGGAAGCCAACGAGATCAAAGCAGTGTTTATACGTCAAGCTGCCACATATGTCGACTCGGCCGAGGTATGTAAAACTGGTGGTTTGTGTAGCTTGGTGGTGTCATTTTGAACTGGGTACTAGACAATCAAGACTCTGTTCTTGGACTACTTTCCCAACATGGACTTTCGCGCCGTACGTTTTGTCGAGTCGCTTCACGACAAACCCGTGACACTAGCACAACTGGTCCGGTTCTTCGGTCGCTTCACCACGATTTCCGACGTGAAATTCAACACGGCGTTGCTTACAACGTCCCCCCACGACGCAGAAATTGCTACCCACGAGCACAAACGCCTGCAACTTTGCACCGACGTCTTACAGTTCGCGGTCGAGAGATGTGGTGACCTCCTCCACGTGCCTATCCTGGGCATGATCGACCCACGACAGGCGCCGTCGGATCTGTCGTCGTCCGTTCTGACAGTTGTCCAAGGGCTACAACAAACCCGAAGCCAGCCGTTGCCCGAGCGGCCACTGACCCTGCGCATTTGCTTGGCGGAGCTGTTGCAAATGGAAGCTTGTGCCATGAAGGTGCAGCGCCTGTGGCGAACGCGGCAAGGCCGGCATATGGCGATAGCATTACGAGACCAGCAACTCCGCAGCCATCTCGCCGAGTCGTACGCGGCCGAGCGGAACCGCCAAAACGTGCGAAAGGTATGGGAAGACGACCTGAAGAAAGCTCAAGCGATGCTACAAGCCAGGACAGACGCTGCCCGCGAGGCGGAACTAGTCGCGGCGTTGAGCATGACGCTGCGCTTTGGGTACTCGCAGGAATGGGACGACGACCACCAGGCGTGGTATTACATGCACATGTCCACGGGCGAAAAGCTGTGGGATCGACCGAGTTTCAACCGCGACGAGTTCAAAGCCGTCCACTTGCTGCAGCGGTTGGTCCGGCGATACTTGGGCAAGTGCCGACGGGTGGCGTACAAGCGGTCCCTTGACCGATGGGCCAAATATGAACGGGATAAGGTCGTGTGGGACGCGCAATGGATGGACCGCAAGCGCTTTGTCACGTTGCGAATTGGCGACATCCAGACTACTACCCCGGCTACCATCGTGACGTGGCGACATGATAGTAGCCATCCATTCTCTCGTTCTGCTTTGTCAAAAGGAGCAGTACTACCCGCCATCCCATCGACAGCAGACACGTTGAACGCGTGGACGACGCTGTTGGAGCAGGCGTATCACAAAAGCGTCCGGAAGGATCACCTGACGCACATGCTGCTGCCAGTGTACGCGCGCCCCCCCAACGCCCACGCGGCGGCGACGCTCGAGTTCCTGCGCTTGTTCAGCCACCTCCGCGATGCCCTTCGCCCCACTGGCAGCGTGAAGTTGTCCATGGCGTACACAAAGGTCGACATGCCGTTCGGGTGGTCCGAGGTGCCACAGGACACGGTGTACTACCTCCACGAGCCGACGGGGGCTGTGAGTTGGGACGTGCCAGAGTTCACGTTTGACGACGAGTATGCCGCGCGGAAGCTCCAGTCGGCGTATCGCATGTTCCAGGGACGCAAAGCGTTCAAGCGGATGCTGCACACGTTCTCGTTCGTCGACTTGTTGCACGCATCCATCAAGCATGGCGCGGGCGTCGGGTGGGTTGGCTTTGGCCTCGAAGGCATGTCGCTTCCAGTGTACTTGAGCCGCGTCGGTCTTGTCAAGCAAATCCCAAGCATTACGAAAACGAAACTCAACATCGAGTCCTTCTGGACCGTTCCCGACGACAAGTGGTTGGGGCTTGGGGTTGTGTGGTCGAAGGAAGAAAAGGCGCTGCTGGCCACCGCCCCCCGCCCGCCCCTCGGTGCCCTGAATGGAGACAAGCACGGGTTCCACATCCTCCCCACGGAAAAGGTGTTGACGCAGCTCCTCATGGCCCACTTTACAGGCCAACAAGGCCGAGTCCAGAGCATCGTCCGGGCGTTCCGCGACCTCCCCTTTCCCGTGTCATACAAACAACTCGAAATGTACATTCGGGGGTACACGGGGCGACCAGCGCAAGCAGCAGAGAACGTGATGGAGATTGTGCCCCACGGCAGCACTACCATCGAAAACGAAGTGGATTTGTACAAGCTCTTCCGGCATGCGTTGCGGAGATGCGCCATTGTCGCAACCAACCTCAAGCTCAACCCCCTGGCTAAACGACTCGACCACGTGCTTCACGTTGCCACGTCGATTCTTGGCGTGGCTTGTGATTTAAAACTCGCTGTCGCAGCGACCCCTCTTTCCCTGAACGACTTGGCCTGGGTACGCACGTTCGAACAGTTATTAGTATTTATCCTCCCGTATGTACAGTAACACGGTGATTTTTAGGTGGGCCGGACCTTGCCCTGTGTGAAAGGGTTATGGGAAAACAACTTTCGGCAAAGTGGCAAATTGACAGTAGCCCAAGCCGCGCTGTGGCTGCGCCAAGAAGGCGTCGAGTTCATGCTGCAATACATCCGATCAACGGTCGCTGTCCAGTCGACCTACCGCATGCACGTGATCCGCAAGTGGTACATGGTGGTGGTGGCGCACCGCAACTACTCCGCGCTGACCATCCAACTCGCGTGGCGATGCAGTCGCGCCCGCTCCGTGCGGTCGCAGTACCTTGCCGAACAAACGTCCGACTACGAGCAGCACTACGTCGAGGCGAGTCAGCTGTACTTCTTCGTTTACGTACCGACCCAAGAGCGCATCAACGTGAGCCCCGTCGACGCGTACGGCGCTCCCATCGCATACCGACCGGTTGTGTTGGATCGCGTGACGAGGAAGTTAATCCTGGCGTGGCCGTGGCTGGCGTCGTCCAATCAAGCGCCGGATGTGGCGGCGGGCAACGTGTTCGAGTCCAACGTCGTGTGCTCGGTGTGCGACAATGAGCGAGCAAGCCGAGTCTGCGACGTCTGCTGCACGAGTCGTGGCGACTACATTTACTATTGCTTTGCGTGCTACTGCTCGGCGCACCCCCCCGCGCTGACCTGGCACACGTACCAGCCCCTCAATCGGCTTCAAGCGCTGGCCCTACGATGTGTCGAGTGCACGCGGCTGAGTTCCCATCGATGTTTAGTGTGCAAAGAAGACTACTGCGACCGATGCGTCGCCCGGATTCACAGCAAGGGCAAGAGAGCGACTCACTTAATTGAACACTACGAGCCCAAGAGTCAAGTGTGCATCGAGTGCGAACAACGCGTGGCACTGAAGGTTTGTACGGTGTGTGCCGACGCCTTGTGCGAGGATTGCGCCAGTCGAACCCACGCCCGAGGCAACAAGGCCAAGCACGTGATGGACCCCCTCCTGCAGCCCCTTCCCCCCGGCTCTGAACACTGCATCCAGTGCAAGAGCCGCGTGGCAGACCGCACCTGCCGCCACTGCGCCGGTCCCGTGTGTCATGTCTGCCTCGACACGTCGCATCCGGTAAGGCCCCCCGCCCGTCTTTCGTTTTGTTTTCGTCGTCGGATTGTGTGACGTGGCGCGCTGTAGGCGCTGTGTTTGGACGCCCAGTTTGAAGCGGCGAAACGAGTGCTGCTTGGCGACAACGTGTGCGTGGACTGCGGCAAGCCGGCCGACCGCGTTTGCGAAACCTGCGGCGACAAGTACTGCAGCGTGCGGTGGATGGGGAACCCAGGGTGCTTTGAGCGCTTTCACGCCAAAGGCAAGCGCATTGAACACGTGGCAGCGAGCCTCGACGTGCCGCCGCTGGTGCTGTCGCCCGAGGCGTTGGCCCTCGAGAAGAAAGTGGCCGCGCACAAGCACGCCATGCAGGCGGCCGCGGACGTCGCCGCCAAAGCACAAGAGGCCGCCGAGATGGACGAACGGCGCCAGAATGAACGGGTGCAGAAGGCGGTTGCTGCTGACGTCCAACGCGCCAAACGATTGGTCGCGACCGAAGTCCCGCCCCCCGAGTCGTCCGACGTCTCCGCGACGACCCCTGAGCGCCGCACGGTCGTGTTCCGCAAGCCGAAAAAACAGGCCCCCCGATGCACGACGCAGGGCTGCACGGCCGAGGCGCTGCGGAAGCTGCCGTTTTGCCCAAGTCATTGCACGGCGCAGAACCTGCTGGCCATGGGGCACGACGCCAAAGGCGCGGCGAGGATCATGGCCGAGCTCGAAAAAGTCAAAGGACGCCACGCCCACGAAGCCGAATTCGGCGTGTCGCTGCTGGAAAAAGTGCGTCGGGAATTCAAAGATATGGCGTTCTTAATCAACGAAAAGTGATCGACAAGGGCACAAAACCTTCTGCGACGACGACGACGACGACGACGACGACGATGGGGGGCCAAAGGCTACATGGATCTCTAGTACTACTACATGGATCTCTAGTACTACTTGTTGATTTCGAGAACAAACAAGCCAGCGATCATAAGCTAGGGGTATGAATAAATATAGAGTCGCGAGGAAACACAATATGGCGAAATGACGAGGGGGGGAGGGGGCGATGGATTATATTGCTGTTTTAAGACGCAGCATGCACGAGGCTGTTGAGTACATCCATATCGTTGTCGTCGTCTTCTGTCGTCGTGGTTGGTTGTGCGCCATCGTTGGCAGATGCGACATCGTTGAGAACCACTTGTAATTCACTGTCTGGGTCGTTCTTGAGCTTCAAGTAGGCGCGCCAGTCGTGGGACAGGTTGGTCAAGTCTTTACAAAAGAGCTTGAACTGGTCCACTAGGTCTTTGCCGTCGTCCGATTCCAACACTTGCCGGCCTTGGGCCACAGGTAGCTCTGCAATCGCCTTGAAAGAATGTGGCTGCACCACCACGGCGCACTTGATCCATCCAATCCAGACCGACTCGTCCATCGTCCACACCTGCCGCCCCCGGAGGGTTTCCAAGCACGTGGCCGTATGCTTTCGGAGCTTGTGGTGCATCTGCACGGCTTGGATCATCGTGCGCAGCGTGTACTTTGGGACGGGGGACTCGCCCACAAGCGTCGACGTGACGGCCGTCATGACGTCGACGGGAAAGGCCACGGGGTGCTCGAGGCAGATGCCGATCGCTCGAAGGATGCGCTTCTGTTTTTCGTGTTCGTCTGGGATGTGGTGCAGCGCCAAGAGGAACGCTGTCGCATCCACTTTGAGCGGGATAGGTTTAAGCAGCTCGTGCATGACTTCGACCAGTCGTGGCAACGGCAGGTCAAACAGTGCCGGAAGGATCTCCATGACGCGGTCGGACGCCAAGTCGGACGCGACGGGCACGAGCACCGACACGGCGTCCGGAATCGCGTGTTTGTGGTCGAGGTACAATTGAACGAGGGGCTCCACGAGGGTCGACGGATCTTTCGACAGCCCCGCGAGCACCTTGACCACGTGGCACACAAAGTCGAGTGCGTTTGGGGGAAACGCCGCCAGTTGGGCCAGCACGACCGCCTCGCCTTCTTTCTGCCGCAGCAGCTTGATCAGCTTGTCCACAGACACAAGCAGCACGTGCTGGACTTGGGGGGACGTGGCAGCGTACGTCGTTACAAATCGAGCAAACAAGTCTGGCCGCTTGGCACACAGCCCCAGAAACAGCTCCATGCGCTGCAGCACTTGGTCTTCGGTCTCGGGGCACCTCGCAAAGTCGTGCTCGTCCTGGAGGGACTTGGCATGTGCCATCAACAGGTCATGCATGTCTGGCGACTGGATTTGATCCAAGTAGTACGACCGTCGAGGGGACGACGGCACGATGCCTGCCGAACTCGCGGGAAGGTGGCGGTCCAGCGCTCGGTCATCTTGTTCCAGCTTGATATTGACGTCATTCGACGGCGGAGGATGCTGCTCGGGCTTGATCAAAGTGTCCGGACCCATGTCCACATTGTCGGCGTCGGCATTGGCATGGTCATTGTGGGCGGGTTCGAGACTGGCGTCGTCGGGTGGAAGGCACAGCGATTGCATGAGCTGAATCGCGTGGGCTTCAATGATGTGTTGGAGGTTGGGAAGGGGGTAGATCTGGTTGGCAAGGCATCGAATCGTGGGGTTTCGGATGCTTTCTTCAGCGTGCGTAGCATAGTGCAGCAGCACATGCAGACACGCTTCTTGGCCGGTGGTGCGCTCTGTGATAAAGTTGCGAAGGGCCACCACGCCCATGGTCACTCTGTCCTTGTCATTCGGGTTGTGGAATTGCAACGACAGCAATTTCAGGACATCTGGCGACAAGCTCGGAATGTGACCCAAGATGGTGTAAAACAGCTTCTTGTCGGCCGCGATCTGCGGGTCCAACTTTGTGCGGACGAGATTGCACACTAGGGAGACAAGATGGAGGTACACGCGAGGCGGCGGCGGCGGCGGACCACGTGATGATGGGCTGTCCATGGTTTCGTACAAGGAAGTTGTGTATTCGTGGTAGAGCAACGCCACGGCGATCCCGTGCCGTTTGTGAACGTTCTCTGCGACAAAGTCCAGCACGATTTTGTGCGGTTTGCACTTGTCGTCGTCGACGAGCCAGCGGCTCGTAGCCAATCGGCACACGAGCGCTTCTCGAACCGACTCTTTACCGCTCACGACCACGCCGTACTCGTTGCTAAGCAACCGGTGGATGGTCTGCGTCGCCATCTGTTTGCACCAATCGACGGCCACGGGCTTGATATTGACTCGAATCGCATTGTACTCCCTCGTCACATCGTCCTTGGTCACGGCGATGATGGGCTCCACGAGTGTCTTGGCGTTGGCGCAGATCATGTCGGTCACAGCCTCGAGCGCGTCGTCGTCGAACACCCGGACGAGCGACGGCGGGACCTCCTTCTTGTTATCGCGGCCGCGCAGCCGCGGATCCCGCACGTTCTTCTTGGCGGCGGCCTCCTTGATGGCCAGCACGGACGACGGCGTCGCCAGCCGCGACAATATGTTGTGTATCCGGTCCTTGAGGCCACTGGGGGTGTGCAGGAGCTCGAGTTTCGATGCGCCGTTCAGGGGGGGCACGCTCGGCAGATGCGCCATGTTGTCGAGCACAAGTCGAATCACAGACTCGGTGGACATGTTGGCCACGGACTCGACAGACGCCCCGGGTTCCCGCTTGGAGCGCTTGGCGAGCGGCGACTCGAACGTCATCTTGGCCGCGTCGCGCTTGACATTCTTCAGGGATGCGTCACTGGGCGCCGACACGTACTTGCGGCGGCGCTCCTTGGACTTGGTCAAGGCTTTGAACGCGCGCTCCGACAAGTCGAGTGTCATGAGGAACGACGTGATGGCGTTCCGGTGGGGCTCGGTGGACGGCAGGTGCAACAGTTTGAGCAGATTGGCCTTGACGGTGTGAACGATCGTGTCCTGCGCGGCGGGCGCGAGGCGGTCGATGACGCCAGAGATGCCGAGTAGCGCGGGCACGACAATCGACACGAAGCCCGGGCGAAGCGCGGCGACGAGGCTTAGCGAGTGCACCAACGTCACAAACTCCCGTCGGCCAAATGCGAGCATCGGGTTGTCTTGCAATCGATCCACGAGGCTCTGGACGATGGACAAGCTCAGGTCGTTGACAACGTCGACACGAACAAACGCGTGGTTCGACGCGATTGTGCCGAGGTGGACCGCGTCCGGCTGGACGTTTGACCGCGCCGGATCGCGATACACCGAGTCGAACGCGTGCGAAAAGTGCAGCGCGCAACTCTCCAGAATGCGGATGGTCCATAGCACGGCCTCGGCGTCCTGGAACTGGTGCAGCGTCTGCCGCATGACATGGATTGTGCGCACGAGAAAGTCCCACACTTGCGGGTCATACGTGTCGAGAGGTTGGGCCCAGATATGGTAGATCGTGCCAGGAATGAACTTGTCGAGGACTCTGAGCGCTTTGCGAATCGACGACGGCCCGGCGTTGATGGTGAGGACGCTGGAACACGCCTCGAACAGCGCGTGCCGCGTCAGGGCGAGAATCGTCGGGGTTTTGATCTGGGGATTCTTGGCAGGCTCCATGATGTCTTCGATGAACTGCAGGACAAACTTGGCCACCGCCACATTGCGCTCGTTCGAAAACGGAACGATGGCGTCAACCAGCGCTTTGTACTCGGGAATGGACCGGCCGAGGTTTGGCGAGCGCTCCAGCACAATCTCCTTCACCCGCTGCAACAGATCCACTTTCTCTGCTGCGTCAAGCGACATGTGCGCCTGGTTGATGAGCTCCATGACCTGTGACATCGCTTTGGACAGCAGCCTCTCACGTGGTACTGGTTGTTGTTCGGGCCGTGGTTGAATAAACCTCTCACATTTGGTTTCAACATGAAATTTAAGAGGCACATAATCTTAAATAGGATTGGGGCCTAATTCCAGGCAGGCGGGGCTTTCGGACGAAAATACTTTCTTCAATACTATTTTAATAGTATTAAAATACCAGTATGATGTCCATAATATCCACTACCATTAGTGTCCTACTATTAATAGTACTACCGATAGTATACCGTAAGGATTCAAACGATATTATTATTGACGGTGTTTTTTCACGCTCCAACAACTGAGCTATGGAGATCATACTATAACTTACTGCAATTAAAAAATGATACTCCAAGCGTTTCGTTATTTTATTATTTTATTCGATGGGTACATATTATTGTTGAAAAGTACTGGTAACGTTAGTAGATGTTTTCTACTACTGCAGTAGTACGTCATTACTGTAAAGTTAGTAGTACTACGACCTACTACGGGGCAGCAAAGATACACGAGGAACTGTGATAAATTACAGATAAATAAGACTATCAGCGTGTTCATGCGCATGCGCTGGGAGCTTCAAAGTTGAACCCGACAAACGCATCGTCGTCGTCCAAGTCGCTGAAATCTTCCATGCTCAGGCGGTTGCCAACAGACATGCGGGTGAATTGGTCGTCAAAGTTGGTTGCGTGGAGGATCGACTGCTCCGACTCGCATGGCGAAATGGGCGGCGGGAGGGCGCCGTGGGCCATGGCCTTCCAGTTCCACCCTTCAAAGAACGGATGGTCCTTCACTTCCGCACTGCCCCGCTGGGACCCCAATCGCGCACTTGGTCGAGGAATGAGCAGCGACTGGATCAGGTGCGCCGCGTCCGGCGACACGTGACTGGGGATGGCAAGGGGACTGGACCGGGCTTTGGTGTACTCGTTAGGCGAGCTGAACGAGTCGCTGGAGTTGTACCAGGGCGGAAGCCCCGTGAGCATCTCGAACAAGACAATGCCGAGTGACCACCAATCGACCGCGGTGCCGTACTCGTTGCCTGTCCACACTTCCGGCGCCAAGTACTCAAAGCTGCCGCACATCGTCGTCGTGCCATGCGTGGGTTCGAGGATGCCGAACTTGGCCAAGCCAAAGTCCACGAGCTTGGCGTGCCCGTCGGCTGTGAGCAGGACGTTCTCGGGCTTGAGATCGCGGTACACAACTCCATGGCGGTGCAGATGCTCCAGGGCGAGCACGAGTTCGGCAATGTAGAAGCGCGCAGCCCCTTCAGTGAAGTATCCGCGAGGGCTGGCCTGAATATGGGTCGACAGTTCGCCGCCAGGGCAGTACTCCATAACGAGAAACAGACTCGACGGCGTTTGGAATGCCCAATGCAGGTGGACGAGGCCTGGATGCGCCGTGCCGCCCAAGACATCGCGCTCGGACCAGATCTGTTCGGCGTTTGCAACCGCCTTGAAGACGATTTTCATCGCAAACAGTTGGCGACTGCTTTTCTTGCGGACCAGCAGCACCCGCCCCATGGAGCCTGTTCCGATGACTTTGAGTTTTTCAAAGTCGCTCACGCGGACGGAATGTACAGGAGACGCCGGCGCAGATTCGCAGGACGTTATGGAGCACGTCGGAGAGAAGGAAACGCGTCGATTGTATTGCATGGGGTGTCGATCTTCGTCCAAGCACAGCTTCTCGACGTGTCGGCGCTGGAATCCTTCTGGAGTGAAGACGCTCGGCAGTTCGAGGACAGCCGACGAAGAAGCGACTTGCTTCCTCGGTCCGCGGGTCGTGAAGGCTACGAGGGATCGGACACGCGAGGACGATGGCTTGGCGGCGCCGCGAGCACCTGCTTGTGACTCGACGTTGCCCATGTTGAGAAATCAAGTTTGGAACACGACCGCCATGCAAAGATCCTGATGATTGGATCAAGCCGATAAGAAAGAATATCAAGAAACTATCCAATCCGATGCCTTAAAGGTCAAATGAATTATTTTGATTGGACAAATATATATATGATGATATTTTTTCAGCAAGACGGCCTTTTGATTGGCTCGACAATGCTGAAATGTGGGCGAAAAAACTGACAGCTGATGGTCGCACGATCGCATCCAGCGAGCAGCCCGGGTGAAGACATGTCGTCCGTACGTACCGTTGTGTATAGCCGTTGGAACTCCAAGTAGTACTAGGTAGTATAGCCTTAACATTACTCAGCGATTGAGATATACTACTACGTAGTACTATAAATAGCTTACTAACGTTATACTGCTGTTCCATTCGCGACTGCATCGTTTTTTACTACTACACTGTACATACCGTGTATTGTATATCCATCTAGACTTCTCTATGGTATTTTTTCAAGAGGTGGACTAGGACGAATAAGATGTGTTAGAGCTTCAACTACGGTAAGTTAACTTTCACTTAAGGTGATTCATGTAATTCCCGGCCAGCTTGGCCTACTTTCTGAGTGCCATAACTCGTCACCCATTCATCCAATGAGGCTGCGAAAACATGCATTTTGAAGATCGTGACGAGCATTATAACTTTATGCAGGTCCCATCATTTGTATCGCATGGTCAATTTGTTCGTCGAATTTCTAAAATTGAAATTTCCCTGTGTGAATTTAATTCCCGGCCAGGTTGACTGTGAAGATGTTTTGGCAAATGCAATGCTTTCTCAAATCTAGCCAATGAACGTCCTCTATTTCGGAATAATTTGACTGAAAATTGAATATATTTCAAAATATATCACAAAAATATTTTCTGTCTGATACTTTTGAATTGGAAAGTCACTTGAATAATGTATACCTGATTTGGGTGACAAAATTCTCAGAACCTCTTAATAATGATATGTATAAAGTATTCAAGTAATTAAATTTAGAAGTGCAACTAATATAAAAACTGTATTACATGTTGGACAAGCAGAATATTAAATCTTACAAGTATGTGATACAAGAGTACGTAATTTTGTCCTATCATCGTCCATGGATGATTGTGATTGGCCATTTGCTGGCCGGGAATTGCACGCTGGCTGGGAATTACATGAATCACCTTACATTAGAGTCCGTTACAAGTGATTGGAATCACACTAATTTCTATCACACACTAATTCAATGATGGTGACGGTTTCCTGCAATCTGATTGGCTAAATCCTTCTCCAGTTTAGAATAAACACAACAATACAGTATTAACTACTACGTAGTACCACAAGACAACTTTTGACATACAAACTTCAGTACAAAGAACCGATGGATGGATTTCACGGATCAACACAAAAGTCCAAATTTTGGGTAAAAGGACAATACTGTACCTGTGTTGATTAGCAGTTAACCCGCTCGGATGGGAAGCTCGTCCCTTGCATTGTATTAACTATTTGTATGTCTAGAGCGAATTAGGATTATCCAGAAGCAAACGTGGTCAGGCTGTGAAATACCACTTCATAATTCAGACATACTGAAAGAAAGTACTTTGAAATATAATGCATGGTGAATAAAAATTAGTATTACTTGTAGTTGGACTAGTATTACTACTACAAACATTGGCGGTATGGTCGTGAATGACGAACGAAAATGTCGCCGACACCCGCCTCATGGCGACATACAAGAAGTCCAAGTTCTTCTATGAACTGGACAAGATCTGCGCTGTTCCCAAGCCATCTGGGGAGTGTGCGGTGGACCCGTTTGATGAGATGCTTGCGAATACACCACACTTTGCATCCATCCATGCTTTTGTGGAAGAGTCCCAGCGCGAGGAGGAGGACCTCGTCGAACAGATTGGCATCGAAGAGCCCCATCCATCAGATGCACCCGAGTTCTCTTCTCCCCAGACCCAAACGCTGCTTCTGCCTGTCACACAGACTCAAATTGTGGCCGACATCGTCCCTGAAACAATGCTTGATCGTACTTCATCTGCGTTGGTCGATGGGAAATCGACCTCGAACGACAAGGTTGCCTCCGACATGATGGAGATCGTACCTGAAACCAAACCAAGCGAAGGCGAAGCCGCACTAGCTCTTCCCCACTCCATTCCTGTTGCAATTTCCCCGACCACCGTATTGGAACCCCATGCGTCGCCACCAAGTGCCCACAACGACGACACTTCCACTTCGTTGGACGAATCCTCGATCGTGCCATCCATCTCGTTCCATGTCGACGACAGCCGGGACTTTGTCGGAGACGCGTCCAGCTTGTACGTGAACGACAGCTTGGCCGCGTTTCCCCCACTTCCACCCACTCCAACTGACGATCCGCCCACCCCACCGACCCAGCAGGCCGTCACCACCACCACCTTCCTTCGTCCTCGCAGCCGTACGATTCCTGTCGCTTCCGCCGCCGACTATTACGACACTGACCACATGGCCGAGATCATTCCATGTTGGCTACTCGGGCCCCGTTGCCAGCTCCACGACCCGCACCTCCCGCACCCCCAGCTTCTCTTTTACATCCAAGCGCTGGATATGTTTCTGCATGCATCCTCCACTCCTTCCTTGTCGTATCTCCGCACGGCGGTTGTCGTGGCGCGGCGGGTGTTTGTCGAGCTGTGGCACCGCCACGTCCTCACGACGACGTCCTCCTCCTCCGATTCGGTCGTGACCTTTGACCTGGAGCATTATTTAACCCGCGGCAACACCCTTCCCGGCGTCTGCACCCCCGTGTGGCGGTACTTAGAGGCGCAATGGCACGTCCATGAGGGCCGCGTACTGCACACGACGTCGTTTTACGCGCAACCAGCATCGGACACCCACCAGCAGTCGCCGCCCGAGTCCCTTCGCCCAACCATTGAAGCGCTCCGAGCCATGCAATACTACGGACACCGCCACGCCTGTGCCTCGTTGAAGGCGCTGGTTCCGCACTACATGCAGCAGGCCACCGACTCGCGCCTCCAGTATCGGCACGTCGTCGCAGCCGACGACATGCACTTGGCATTGCGAGGCCTGCAAGCCAAGCTCAAGTGCCCCGTGATTCCCATGGGAGCGTTCCGACGTGGAGGGGTGTTCTTGTCGGTGCTGGACGTGCTGGCAATCATCACGTCGTCTGTGACATCGATCGTGTCCCTCTTACAGCAGGTCAAGGTCCTCGAATGCGATACCGTGCACGTTACGTCGTCGCGTATCGTCGCCCCCATTCGCTTCAAAACGCATCACATACTCGTGGACCTCAAAGTGTACGCGCAACCCGCCGCCAGCTTCGCGATGCTTTACTTTACCGGTCCGGCATCATATGTTGCGTCGACGCTGTTGGCGCCGATGATGATGGAAGAAGAAGGGCGGGTAGAGTCGAGAGAGGTTACCTTTGACCTCTGGTACACGTGGCTGCTGCGGAAACACGGAGCCGACGTCCTGCACACCACCGTCACGGACGAAGCCAGTGCGTGCCGAGTGTTGCAGATTCCCTACAACCCCCCGAAGGATCGGCTGGTGTAACAACTGTTATAATTCTATTGATTGGTTGTTATAACTTTTATATTCCTCCGCGTTTACTTGGGGGGCATGCGCAACGCGCCGTCGAGGCGGATCACTTCGCCGTTCAACATGCGGTTTTCGATGATGCTTTGCACCAATTGCGCGTACTCTTCGGGCTTGCCCAGTCGGCTCGGGAACGGCACGGTGAGACCCAATTCGTTCTGCACTTGTTCAGGCAGCCCCGCGAGGAGTGGCGTGCGGAAGAGCCCTAAGTACGTGGACGTAGCACGTTCAACACACATGCAGGACGCTAGGGGGATGGGCACCAACCTGGGGCAATCGTGTTGACGCGGATGCCGCTGGTAGACAGATCGCGGGCAATGGGCAACGTCATACCGACAATGGCGGCTTTGGACGCGGCATACGCAACTTGGCCGATCTGCCCGTCGTACGCAGCGATGCTTGCCGTGTTGATGATGACTCCGCGCTCGCCCGCGGAATCACCCTTCGTTTTGGACATGCTACAAAGATAAAATGCATGTGTATGTTGAAGATTGTGGTGTTAGGTACCGTTCGGCGGCGAGACGGATCACATTGAAGGTGCCCGACACGTTCACGTTGAGGACGTTTTGAAATTGATACAACGGGTGTGCGCCCTTCTTGGACACGGTGCGGGCCGCGACGGCAATCCCAGCACAGTTGACAGCGATGTCCACACTCTTGCCGAACGCAGATTCCGCCAAATCCAACGCCGCAGTTACTTCTTCTTCGCTCGTGACGTCGGTGGGGCTGAAGTGGGCGTTGGGGCCGATGTTGCGCGCGACGTTCTGCCCATCACTCGTTGGCAAATCGCACAAGATGACCTGAGCGCCAGCTTTCACGAGGCGCTCCGCCGTCGCGCGTCCAAGGCCTGAGGCAGCACCCGTCACCAATGCCACACGGTTAGCAAGGGACATCTTGAATTATGGGAGCGTTGGGGTGGTAAGCACCGCCTCTGATTGGTTCAACTGGAGACTCAAAAACGTAGGGCCAATTTGACAGGGGGTGGAATATAATGTAAAGTTTAATTTATATTAGATATTAGTATCAAATATTACATGCTTTTAGAATATTTGGCGAGCCAACAATGGATTTTAGAAGGCGAACATTAAAATGAAGTGTGGAAATCTGGCCGTGCCGAATAAAATACATGGGGACCCCGCATTGTAGCGAATCGATTAAATAAAATTTGGTATTTTATTGCGTGGCCACGGAGCCTGGTGCGAGGGTAGTGGAGAATGGAGCAGACACTTGACGGAGGTGCGAAGCAACCGCCTTTGTCCCATGCCTTCCAACATGGCGGTCACTCCTCCACCACGTCCTATCCGACGGCGGTAGATAGTGGGTACCGTCCATCGGGCAATGCTCCGGTGACCAACAAATACCACTCACCACGCCACGGTCACCATGAATACCACAGCAACGTCGACAGGCATCATGCAAAGGCGAAAGTACATACGACAGAAGGTGGAGTGTACTCTCCAGCACAAGCATCATTGCCACTGCATCACAATCCCAACAGCGTTCAAGCTCCGTACAATCCTACGCTGGTGACAGCACAGTCGAACAGCGACAGCCGATATTTCAATCCCAACGTTATCAACCCGCCGTTACCTCCACTCCCTCCACCAAGTCTTGCCTCCGCCACACCGACTTCATATTCCAAACCGTCTCCTTCGGACGCGTACCATCGCCCTGCCCAAGACGCATCATTGACGTACCCCCGTCCACACCAGACTTACCCTTCGAACCAGCACTTCCATCCGTCCTCCACACCATCCACTTCTTCGTCATCTCAAAGCCTGGAATTCGTCAAGTGCCAACGATGCGGCGACAAAGGACATATCGCGCCACCCTGTCCCACGCGCCGCCCGTACCATCCGTCGTCGTACTCGAAGCACCTGCCCCCCCGCACATGCAAGTATTGGTTGAATGGCAACTGCCACAAAGGGGACGACTGCACGTTCGTGCATGGTCTCGTGCCGGACGCCAACGGCATGGTGTATCCTCCTACCCACATGCTCCGCCACCAAGGAGGGTACCCCCCCATGGATCAAACGTTTTATTACCCCCCGCCCCCCATGCCCCACTACAGCTACGACCCAAATGCCCATCGCATGACGCCGCCGCCCGACGAAGCGCTCGAGTACCACCCCCCACCCCCCGCTCAGGGCTACGGTGGCGCTCCTCCGTACTACCCGTACGACAACTCGTACTACCCTTACCCAGGTAGTGTTGTTGTTGCTGCCTCGTGTGCTGACGTCTAGTATTACTAGGTCACAGGTCGTTGTATAGTACCCCACCGCCCGCGGCGGCCACGTACCACCAACAGCCCCCCCCTCCTCCTCCTCCGCTCCATGTTCCCTCCCCTAACTACCCCACGTCGAAACCATACAATTACTACGCCCAGCCCCAGCCCTACCATCCACGGCAAGGCTACGCGTCGTTCCCTGCTGACCAGTATGACCACGTCGAGTCGTTTGCGAGCTCCGACGGCACTACGCCGTCGACGCGTTATCAAAAGGACCTCCCTTCGACCGCCGACCTGCAGCCGCTGCCATCAACCCCTTGTAGTCCCTCTCTTGTGCCTGCGCCTACTGCTGCTTCTGATGCAACAGACTCCATGGCTGCGCTCACGATTGAAACAAGTTCCTCCGAACAGGCTGAGGGCGTCGATACCCGATCCAAGTCGGTGACGTCGCCCACCGAAGCCACGACCAAGGCGGCGGATCGGAAAAAGAAGAAGAAGGCAACATCCAAGCCACCGCCGCCGCCGCCGGCTCATGCCGAGGTGCCCGTGACGGCCAAAGGGCTGCGTAATGACACGGGGGACAACAACTGTTTTCTCAACGTGGTCGTGCAAGCGTTGTTTCACTTGGAGGTACTATGTCTTGCTTTTACCCCAAATTTGAACCAACTTTTATGCATATTCGCCAAATCTATCGATATTCGTTGACTTTTGTAAAATACCCCTCGACTAGGATCACACTAATTTCATTCACACACTATTTCGATGATGTTGCATTGGGTACACTTGATTCCCTCGGCCAGGATCACACTAATTTCATTCACACACTATTTCGATCATGTTGCATTGGGTACACTTAATTAGTGTTGTGGGTTTTCATTGGTCGATATTTGATTGATTGTCTGTATGTCTGCTACTTGACAATATGAAGAAACGTCGGCGTCCTGTATGTATATCCATCCCACATATGAAGCTCAAATTAGTGTATGTTATCTTGCAGACGTTTCAATCGCGATGGGCCGACACCGCGAGCCATGTGTGTGCGGGCGGCGGGCGCTGCGTGTATTGCGCGTTGGCCAGCGTGTTTGCCCTATTGGGTCGATCTAGTACGCCCACCACGACCTCTACGACTACTAGTAGTAGTACTAGCGTACACGAACGGCAGGGGGTGTCGTCGGACGCGTTGCGCAAGGTTCTGAGTGCGATTTCGACGTCGCCGTTGCCGGCTGCGGAGGAGCGGTACAAGGCTGGGTCCATGGATGACGCCGCCGAAGCCCATGAGACGATCCTCCGGTCGCTGCACGAATCGCTTTCATCGGCGGCGGCAGCGGCGGCCGCCACTCCGTGTCCGTGCCTCGCGCATGAAGTGTTTGGGCTGTGGGTGGGCGAAGAAGCCGAGTGCGGCCAGTGCGGGATGTCGATGGAGACGCTGCCGTACGATGCGATGGTGTTGCATGTCGCGACAGAGTCCATCAAGGAAGTCACTTCGAAAAAGCACAAGACCCACCAGCGCGCGTTTGACGATGTACTGGCGACCGTGTGGGCGGCGGCGGGCAGCTCGAAAAAGTGCGCGCGGTGCCGCCATGACAAGGTGTACGAGTCGCGGCTGCAGCTCAAGCAAGTGCCGCGGATGTTTACGGTCGGGCTCACGTGGAAGAACAACTCGGCCAATGTGGCGACGCTCAAGGCGATTGTGGCGGCCATGGAACCTTCGATTCGACTGGGCCGGTGCGACGATTGAGGAGGATGGAGGAGGATGCAGACTGATGATGATCGTGTAGGGTGTTTCCCAACATGGTCGCGGAAGGACGGCTGGCTGGTCCGGACCAAGGAAGCGCGACGCTGTTGGCCATGTACTGCTTCTTTGGCCATCATTACATGGCGTTCATCTACAAGGTGGCGACGCGGGAATGGTTGAGCTTCAACGACACGGTCGTGCGGCGGGTGGGGACGCAGTGGAGCGACGTCCAAGCCGCGTGTATCGAGGTAGGATGAACGACCAAGTGTGGTGGCGTCATGGAGTCGTCGATATGATTGTGTAGAACCACTACCAGCCGTACGTGTTGTTCTACGACGTGGCGCCCCCCCCGACGAAGCTAGGAAACCAAGAGACTGTGCTGCAGTTTACGATCGGGGACTTTGTCATGTCAGTGGCGTCAGAAGTAGACCGCGAGAACTGGAAGACTAACGTGGATGATGTCCATGCACCAGTCGACCACGCCCCGCGCAAGTACCACACTCGACAACAGCAGCATCCTCCACACTACCACCCCAAGTAGATGATATGTTAGGAGCCCGATAGACGCATGCTGCACGGCAACCACCCCCACCCATGAGACCTCCCTTAATGAACTCTGTATTTAAACCCCATCTCCATTCGTGTCGCGCCGCCACAGCCGCCCCAATCTGTCATGTTGGGTGCAGAATTCTGTGAATGAAGGACAAATTCGACCCAATCAGATTGGATATGTCTAGCATTTTATCCAATCAGAACGTCGTATTTGCTATACCGCAACTGATCTCGAACATTCCTGCTGTAGGAAAATGGAAAGTTCCGAATCACAGGATTCTCGCCAATAGTCCAATGAAACGCGAGAAAAACCTGTGATTTTAGCCAATCACATGTAGGTATTTCCCTCGTCGGAGAAACGGACCAACTCAAAACAAACCGCATAAGCCAATTCGCACTGGGTAGATCGACCAACCTCCAAGATGGCGCGAAGACTGGCAAAGGTAGATGAACGCTTGGTGGACATGGTCTTCATCATGATGCCTCGTGCGGGTGGTGCTTACATGGATGGTCATGCCGTAGGAACTCGCGGAATTCAACAAAAACTCCCCCGAGTGGTGCACAGTTGGACCCGTCGACGACGACCTTCTGCACTGGAATGCCATGGTGGTCGGACCTGTAAGTTCAAACTCCGTGCGCGGAGGTCGTACTGACATGTTTCTGGACGTAGGAGAACACCCCGTATGCTGGTGGCGTGTTTAGCATCGACTTGGTGTTCCCAGCGGAGTACCCCTTCAAAGCACCGAAGGTAACGGGTGCCTTGTCGTAATGCACTTCATTGACCTTGTGCTATGGTATGTCTAGGTTAAGTTCTTGACACGCGTGTACCATCCAAATGTGAAGTCGCAGAGCGGTGAAATTTGTGCCGATATCATCAACGAAGTAAGATGATGCTTGCCATGCTCTTCTCCTTTGAAGAACTGTCGTCACCTTGGTGTTAGAGCTGGGGGCCGACGTTGAACGTGTTGCATTGTTTGACTGCGCTGAAGCAAATGCTGGAGCAGCCCGACGCAGACAATCCGTTGGAGCCGGAGATTGCCAAGCAACTCCACGGCAGCCGCGACGTGTTCAACGACACGGCACGAAAGTGGACCAAGGACTTTGCCTCGTAAACAACATGTCTCCCGATGATCCCAATCGAATGATCAAGCGCGCCGACGCATATTGCTAGCGGTCGTTTGTTCGTTAAAATACACAATACCCTTATGTACTCGGTGTCATTCGCATTCAAGGATGCAGCGGGGTACACTCCGCGCATCGTTGGTCGCATGCAGGTGTCGTCTAATGGAAGGATGAGAGTTCACGTCCGCCGCTACTGACCCCCTGATGCGGCGACGATGGTTTCTTACTCTCTCCCACAAGTGTGTGTTGAAGGTTTTCAAAATAATATTGTAGTTTAGCTTACCTTGAGTATGATAGTTTGAAAACACTTATTTAATTATTTCCGAGTTTGCCTAATTAGGCTATTTCCTGAGGCAATCGGCCCTGTCTTTCTTCGCATTCACATTAGCACCTGTATTGGTTTCGAGGTTGGCACATCTTTACTCCCAGCATCATGGTGCTGCAGCCACAATTGGACGTCGATGAGTTCCCGCGGGATAAAGCTGCTACGACGAGGGCAGCTGGAGGCGCCGTCACTACGTACGCCACGACCTTTCAACCACCCGACTGGTAAGCGACTGCCGCGTCATGTTGAGATCATATGTGGTCGACACACTTCCTTGATCGACGAGACATGTACGTGACCATGTAGGATTGTGTACCCGAGCGAAGCCAGTTCTGCCGTGCGTTTTGATGTCATGCGTGCGTCCAAGACATGTGGCGTGTGCGAACTTGGCAAGAAACTCATGAGCATATTTGGTCGGGAGCAAGATGGCAGCGACTTTGTCTTGGCCAACCCGTCCGTGTCTCGGAAACATGCCGCGATCGTGCACTGCGCCAAAGGCGGAGTCTACGTACGTCAGACCCTTCCATCTCTCCATATCGGTATCCTCAGCATCAACTGAAATAGATCGTGGACCTCATGTCCCGCCACGGCACGTTTGTGGGCAAGGCCAAGCTGCCGCCGCACGACCCGACGCTGCTGCACGAAGGCGACATCGTCACATTCGGCCAAAGCTGTCGGACGTACGTGTTGAAGGGTGTGGATCCGTCGGGGTTGAGTCACGCACCCAAGCGTACGTGGCGGCGGCTATCCCTCCCATCATTCTTCGGCAAGGATGGGAACAATGGTGGTGCCAAGAAGGCGGGTCCATCGCCGCGTAAAAAGTGCTCGGACGTGACGGTGAAACTCGTCCAGAAGATCTGCTCCGGGACGCTGACCGACGACCGCATCAAGGACTTTGCCAACCACGTGTCGGAACTAGATGGCGAACATGTCGAGGTACGACCCCTGAAACGATGTCGCATGAGCTAAGTATGGCTGGGGCAGGAAGTGGCGTACTTGCTTGTGGACAAGGTGCGCGTAAACTCGAGTAACGCCCACCGTGTGGTGCTGGCCTTGCTGGCCGACAACCTCGGCTTGAACGAGTTTGAAGCCAACTTGAGCACGATTGTCCAAGTGTCGCAAACCAATCTCAAAGCCCGCAAGGTATGGTCATTCGATCACTCATATCATCATATATATATATATTCATATATTCACGTGGTGAAAAATAGATTCTGCAAGTGATTGCAGAGGCGCGATTGGACAGCGGACCCAAATCCACAGTCGACAGCGACGACAGCGACGACGACGTCCAACCCGATGACGGCGGGTACGCGCCGCCGGGTGCCCCGGACGAATCACCGTACACGCCGCCAGTGATTCCGTACGTCCCGCCTGCCAAGGCATCGTCGGACGTTGGTCCGTCGTCGGCAGCCGACCAGCGCGAGCGCGTGCTCAGCGATGAAGGCAAGCGGCTGTATTTGTCGGCGATTGGAGCGACAGAGTACGCAGGAGACGAAGAGAAGGAAGCCGCCGCCGCCGACGACGACCTAGAGGACGAGGCCGGCAGCCGCTCGGGGTTTAACTTTATGACCGCGGCGCCACCATCCGCCTTTGGGTTCCTCTCTGGCGGGGACGAGGACAAGGAGGACGACGATGACGTGGCAGCCGCAGCGTTCGACGTGCCGCCGGGCTTCTTGACCGACCCATCCATGGACCCACAAGACTTTGAAAACTTGTGGCAAAGTGCCACTGCCTCGTATATATGTGTTATATATATATATATATATATTCAAGATATATATTCTAATAGTGTGCTTTGGGGGAGGTAGGGAGGAGTGGGCGGTGGATATCTTGCCCTCGTTCGACACGGACTTTATGGAGCAGTGCGTGGCGTACCTTGGGCATGTCAACATCCTCGCGAGCGGGGTCGTGGGGGGCGTGCACAAGTTTTACTACTACGCCGAGCAGGTATATATATATGTGACTCAGGCTATTGTCTAGATACTAAACTCTTGTGGGTAGGCTTCGAACGGCACGATATTTATGGTGGAGATTCAAGTGATTGAAAGCGTTGGCGAGCTCTCAGCGACGTTCAAGTGGATTGAGCTGGGGCTGCTGTATGACGACGGCCACTTGTTATTTATCCAGTTGTTCAAGGACTGCTTGGCGCCGTGCTACGTACGAGACCATCCTCGAACGGCGGCGTTGCTGCGTCGCGCCAGTGCCGTTGCTCCGACTCGTAACGATGGCGAAGATGAACCGATAGTGGTGTCCTTTGAAGAGTCTTTGTTGGCGTATCCAGAGCTCGACCCGGCCTCCTTTGAAGCGCTCTACTTGGCGGCTATCCCCATGTACGTACGCCTATCGACTAGTTGCCTCATTCACGTGTAGATCCGAGCTCGAAGACCCGGAGGGGCGAGACTTAACGGGTACGGACAGCGTCATTGCGCAGTTTCAGGCCAAGCGGTTGTTTTGCTTGGCGAGTGGGGCGATGGAATCTATGGACAAGTTCTTTTTCTACGCTCAATTGGTACACATTCCATAGGTACTAAGTAGTACCCTTGGCTAAGACGATGTACTTTGGATGGACAGGTGCACGTCAAGTGGCTGTTTTTCGTGGAGCTATCGATTTCGAGGCCAGATGGCGCGATCACGGCGCTGTTGAAACTGCATGCTCCCAACGCGTCGGAGCGCGACACGGACCAGATCGCGCCGCTTTTCGTCGCTTTGGTCGAAGCTTTGCTGGCAGACTTGGAATAGAATCAAGTAGTTCGTTGTTGTTAGTTGTAATAATACTACCTACATGTACAGACATAGACACACTCTCGTTGTATCATCGGACCAGCGGCAGCGTGTCGTGAATGAGGTCATGCACGTTGTCGTGCGGCGCCACTAGCAGCGGAACGTTGACCTGTCGTTTGCGAAGGGTCAACATGGTGCCCACGGCGGCACCCACAGACACCAGCCCCACAAACACCCACAGCACAATGGACGCACTGGCCGCGCGGGGCATCACGGACACGCGAACCAACGACGTGGCGAAGATTGGGGCTTGTGACATGAAGCCATTCTTGAACAGAGCTTGTAGTTTGGAGGCGGCGGGAAAGGCGGGCGCGGTGTCGGCCACGTCGAGTACGACCCGCATCGACGGGATGCCGGGTACTGGATCGACGCGAACGATGTAGAGGCTCGTGTCTAACGCAGCGCGGTTGGGCTGCTTGGGGTAGGCCGTGCCGTCGGCGGAGGTGAATTCCAGCGACATCAGGGCCATATGCACCGCCGACACGAACTCAAACGGCGAAAACGACGACGGCAAGACGCAGGAGGCAGTCGACATGGACGATGCCGCTGCTTGGCACGACAAGATCACCTCGATGCGGCTGAATGAGCAGTCGGAATCGCTCGAGCACGTTCCGGTGCAATCTCGCATGCCGTAAATGCCAGAGCACTAGACAAAGGCCCAGATGATAGACTGGTGTGTGTGTGTATATGTCGTACGTTGCAGCGATTGCCGTAGAGAGGGTCTAGGGAGGTGCACGGCTGGTCGTTGGCACACGTGTATTCGTATCCGTGGGCACATCCAGTGTCAATGTCGTCGACGATCAGCGGGATTCCGTGGGCGCGAAACGCGACGGACGACGCATCGTTGGTGCCGACGTTCCGCCCGTGGTACGCGGGGTCGCCACTCGTCGCCGCGAATTGCACGATGAGCTCCGAGTGTTTTTTTGGCACGGTGGGGGCGTAGCGTACCGTGGACGACTCGTTGCCTTCGAAGCCGGCTTTGTACGGCACTGTCACGAACACGTATTGAGGTACAAACCACAACTCGGGAGTAAAAGTGAGAGACGACGGCTGCATCGACACGAGGCCTGGTTGGGCGGAAGGAACCAGCAGCCCCACCGACAGCTGCACGGTCACGGACGCCGTGGGCTGTGAGTCCAACACGACAGAAAAATTCAAGTCCTGCGAGCTCTTTTCAATCACTTCTAGAGGCGCGGGGGAGACAGTAAACCCTGGGGAGTCGTCTTCGGTGATCGTCGCCGTCATTGTGATCGAGCCGGTGGAAGGAGTTTGGGTAGGGGTGACATGGTACGGCCAGGTGGGGTCACGGGCGAGGGTGTCTGACACGACGAAAGTGGTGACGTTGTACTGGTAAGCTTGTGGTAGGGTGGTCGTGGATTGAATGGCCACTGAAGGAGACACTGCCGACTCGTGGAACGTGGCAGCCGTGTCCGCGCTCCAAGTCGTGTAGGTGCAGGTGGCAGTCCGGTTGCCGACGCCGACATTGTCGTCCACGGCAGCGAGCACAAGGTACTGCGCTTGATTCCAATTGCTACAGATTGATTGAATGGGAATTGGTACGAATATATTGATTCTGGGACCTACGACGCATTGAAGTGAAGCGCGGTGGGAAGCATGGCGCTGTACGAAGCGTAGCCGTAGACGCCACCAGTGACTTGATGAAGGGAGGCAGCGTTCTGGGACCCATTTCGACCGTCAAAGCCAACGAGATAGGTCGACATCAAAACCGGTGAGAACACAACTTCGGCCAACGGCTCACTCAGCAGTCGAACGGAGACGGAAGCAAGTGCACCACTCGCATGAGTCTTGGATAATCGGGTGATGTCAACAGATCCGCCTTCACGCACTACGTCGCCCCATAATTCAATGGACGACACGTCCACACAATGGGTCGTGACATCGTAAGACGCTTCGATGTGCACGGCAAGGTATGACAAGATCATTGCCTCGTTCAAGTCCATAAACCCAACCGCCGAAGCCCCAAATTGGGTGGTTTGGCGGCCTACGAACGTCCACGTCGAAGCATTTCGAGTCAACGACTGGTCACTTGTCCAGAGACTTATCGTTTTCACGGCTCGCACCGACGCCACTGGTAGCTCAACGTGCACTTCGCGAAGGCGAAATGTGGGCTGTGGGGGCGTCACTGGCACGAGTAGCCACGCCGACCCATTCGCAAAGAGCGGAGCCGATGGGACCAAGCAGGTCATGTACGGGGTGCCTTGAAACACGCCCACACACGTCGTGTTCTCCTGAGTTTGAGCGTTCCAACTGCACCATATTGGATTGGACGGTTGCCATCGCCCGACGGTGGTTGGAATGGGGCCTCCAGGGTATACCGACGCGCCTTCGGCCAAGTTGACGGTCGTCGTAGACATCACGACCCCCGCCTCGTCGTCGTCGAGCACGGTCAGCGCCATCGTCGTTTGCAAGGGAGATGTGCATCCACTCGTGGCGCAGAGGCCCACTTGGGGGCTGTCGTAGTCGGGGTCACTGCTAAACGAAGTGTGGGAAATCCCTGCAATGCGAGGACCTGTCGCGACGTCGTTGTTTATCACGGACACATGGACGGTTTGCGCATCTTGCCATTGCCCTGCCGTGAAGAGAAGTTCGTTGCGGCAGATGTTGGTGGCGCTGGTGGGGCGGTGGTCTGCTACGATGGGGTCGTCGGTGTCAAGGCGAAGTTCGTTGACGTCTGCAAGAAGGCTGCTGGGGGAAGGAAGGTAGCTGCCGATAGCAACGCGGGATGCCGCCATGGGCACTTGGAAGACTTGAACGGACAGTAGTGTAAACGCTGCGTTTTGAGTGTCGATGCGGAAAGAAGTGGCTTCCACCAGCGCGGTCAGGTTTGGGCGATAATACATGGACAGGGGATCCACGGCGCCGGTTTGACCATGGACATGCCATGCAAGTTGGACGGAACTGAACGAGTCGGTCGTGACAACCGGTAGCGTCGTGCTTGTCACCGTGTTGGCATCTTTCATCAAGGTCAGGAGAATGGACGACGACGACTGCGGCATCGGAACGACCATGTTGACGACAATGGATTCGATAAATCGAGGTGCACTCCACGTAACGTCCCACCATGCATCCCGAGTCAGTGCAGTGGGGCCTCCAGCAAGCGGTTGCGATGCATTCACGTTGTCAGAGGAGCTTTGGGACGCGATTTCTTGTCGGGCCACGTTGACCAGCCCTGACGCTGTGAGCTGGACATGGGGGCGCAGGGCCTCCATGGGGTGGTCCAGGGACGCAAACTGGATTTCGTCGACGTTCTCGTACACAAACGACGTCTTTTGCAAGGCGACCAGGGCAAAGGTAATGTCTGTGAGGTCCGTCGCGTTGGTGTTCCAAGCAGCGGTCACGTCAATATCGATCCACCCAGGAGATGACGCGTACGCATTCAATGTTGCGTTGAACGAGCCTTGGGGAAGGACGTCGGTGGAGCCACAGAGCGACGTCGGATGCACAAAACCAAATGAGGTGGCAGCTGGCAATAACGATGTCACACACGCACCATCACATGACGATTCATTCCACGATGGTGGTGCGGGGGGATTGAAGACCCCGACTTGGACGCCACCAAGGCCGCGATTGTCCCCTCCCATCAATCGATAGAGGCGCAACAGTGCCAAGCCGACGCGAGGGCTTCCAGTGCGTGCCACAACGCCCGACCCGCGAGAGAAGCGCAAGAGCGACACTTTTTGAATGCTCGATGAGTTGGTGCTATCGGAGCTGTTGGTCGCGACGAGCAGGATGGAACCATTCTCCAGCGAAATCGACGGCGATGAAGATGCTTTTGAGGCGCTGACGTCGTCCAGAGGCAGCACGACGGTCGTATACGGGACGGCAGTGGAGGAGGAGTTGTTTGAACGTGACCCAATTTCCCAATGCATCGGCTCACTCACGACCCTCACGGTGTAATCCACGACACTGTCGTCGGAACCGTTTTCATAATATATTGCCGTGGTTTTGTCCAAGGCGATGCCAGAGGCAGGAAACCCTTCAACGTAAAACGCCGAGGATTTCGCAGAGTAGAACGCGTCGGTGCTGGCACTCGAAATGTCCACACGCGTTGTACTTGACGTCGACCCAGAATACGCGACTGTCACGATGCCTCCACTGCGCCAAGTCGATGGAGTGAGTGTCACGTTCCATGGAGCTACCACAACGTCAGTGCTGGCAGGCACGAGTGTCAACGTCACAGCCGCTGTCGGCTTGCTCGACAAGGCTACAGTCACCGATGCCACGTGCCCGTTTTGCCTGGCACATACAAAGTTCGACGGTGTATTCACAGTATGTCGAATCTACCACCACAGCATATTCATACACCAAGGTTAGGGATGTCACCAGAACATTGGTTTCAGGGTGTACTGTACCTGCTCTGGCACGACCACAATGGACGCATAATCATTGTCCAACACGAACGCGTTCAAAATGGGCGACGAAGGCGCGGTTTGCACGCCAAACGTCGACGCATCCCATGGAAACGCATGGTGGTCGTTGCCTTGATCGTAGTCGCCTCGACGCTCCGTGTACACTTGGCTGCCGTAGACGACCCCCGAGCTTCCCACCGTTTGCCGTGCCCCGCCGTTGTACCTGGCGTCGGTGCTTGTCGTGACATGGGTGACATGCACGACGTGGACTCCTTGGGCCACAGCATCGTCGACAGCCGTAACACCCACGGTTTGTGGGACATTCCAGTTGGCCGTCGTGAACACGACTTGGGCCACGGACAACGCCACTTGAGGGTTGTCCACTGTTAGTTCGACACCGACTGGAGAAGTGGGGGCCGCATTCAGCACGATTGAATACGTGTCAGATTGTCCAAGCTCGGAGGTCGAGAGGCTGGCTTTGCTGATCAGCACAGCAGGGTCGCCGTCGTCTTGAATGGTCACTACGGCGCTGATGTAGTTGGGTACGAGCGCACGTGACGCGTCCAACGTCATCCAGCTGGGACTCCACTCGATAGGGTGTTCGTAATCCAAGCCAATGTGGGCGCCGCCTTGGACGTTGCGCAAGAGAACCTTGAACACGCGATTGGGAGCTTCATACAGGTCATTGTTTTGCTACGGTGGATTGCGTGTGAAATATGATGCTTTGACCAATAGTACTCTATAACGTACGATCGAAATGGAGATTGTCTTTTGACTTTCGCCGCTGGCAAATGTCAACGTAGTCACTGGCAACGCCGTGTAGTGCTGGCCTGCCACGGCTGTGCACGGACTCACGTGGGTGCATCGAAGGTCTGACACGACGCCGTAATCAAACCCGTCGTCGGCGAGTGATAGACCAGGCCTGACCACTCCACTGTACGTCAGCACGTCCACAGTAACGGTACCGCTGGTGTAATTGTTGATGCCTACAATTCGGTGAACCAAGACCTCGTGTGACTATATCATGCGACTTACCCAATGGATCCAGCTCGCCCGAACGTTTCAAGAGTAGGTTCACGGACGCTGCGCCTTCGGACACAGTGTAATTGGACGTGTCAAAACTGAATGTGCCGGCATCGCGGTCGTCAACGATATAGACGACGGTCGTGTCGTGGCCAGCGGCGATGGTCGCGCCACCCGACACTGCCGTGAGACGGATCCAAATGCTCTTGAGTCTCGGGTCATACACGGCGTTGTTGAAAACGGAGATGCTGAAGCTCTTTACGGTTTCTCCGTCTGCCCAGCTCATGACTTGGCTTGCGTGCTGGTAATCGAATGCCCGACTGCTCCCTTCCGTGGCGTTTCCACCCGCGACCGTTTCCACAGTGAGCAACACCGGTGCCACCGCCGATGTCGACATCCCCACGGTGCGATTGATCCACACGATGGCAGTGCCGTTGTCTTCGCGGCATATTGTCGTCGACGCTGCAAACTCGAAAATGCCGGCGTCCCCTGCGTCGGATATGATGACGCGTGTCAACGGGGCGCTACCAAGCTGCCCTCGATCTGTTGGCGCCACTAATTCCAGCACAAAGAAGAGACTGTAGTACTCGTACGTTGCCGTGTGGATGATGTCGACTGTCAAATTCGCCATGGTTTGGCCATCTGCAAACGTGACGACGGGGCTATCCAGGACAAAGTTTGTTCCCACGATTGCCGTGGTGAGAGCTTGATTTTCCAGCTCGTATTCAAGCGTCACCGCCCCGCAAGCGCCACCAGTCCGCATGACAGGGATATGCACAGTCCCGTCGGTCTCCAAAAACGTAAAATTGTTGCTCGCAAACGAAAATGAGCCCACGGAACCAAGGACGGCGACAAACGAGCTCGCACGCGCCACGTCGATGGATGTTCCCACAGTAGACGAGCTCAAGTACACTTCAAAGTAGGTCGTATAGGCATGTACACCAGATGTAAGGACTGGGATAGTGACGGTCTTGATACTGTCGCCTGGATTGAAAACAATAGCAACGTTCGATAACGCAGTGTAGTCGACGGTTGCGTTCGCAGAGAGCGAGAGAACAGTGTACGGACGAGTGGATACCATGACGCTGTCAAGGTTGACCAGGGCCGCCGAAGAGGTTCGCGTGATGGAAAGGACGACGTCTTTTGCCCCACAAATGCCAGTCGTGCATGTGACTTCGTAAGGTTGATTGATCGAAGAGAATCCCTCGCTGAAGCCAAACGACGTCGCTGCTTGAACCAAGCACACCCCCCAGAGAGCTACGGCGACACATCGCATCGATGCCCCAAGCCGCGCCATCAGCCGCCGCCTCGTTTCGACGGTTTCAAAGGAAACTTCGATGCGAAACGACGTTATCCGGATGATCCAAGTAAAAAGAAGCATACAGTACATCGAAGTACTGTACTATTTATTGGTAGTAAATTTATGTCCTTTCTGCATCCGGATATCCTGGGAAAAGCGCGCGCGAAATTCAAACAAGGTCAGTTTTGGATTTGTGACCTTGAGCAACAACGGCGACATGCATTGCGCAATACCACCAAGCGCGGGAAGCCACTCGCCGTTCGCGGCATACAGGGGAGACAATCTACCTCCGTGGGTCGACATGTGGGACGACATGGGTCAGCTTGCAGACGTGTCCAACATTTCGTACGACAAGGATTACATCGTTGCTGTTCCACTCGACGCTGAAGGTGGCAGCCAAGACAAAGGATTCGAGTTACAGTTGTGTCACAGCGACGTATTCTCGAGTCAAACGCTCAGCACGACAACAGGATGCTACTCCCACGAAAGTGATTGTGTTGGATTGGGCAACAGCAAGGTTGTACTGGTATTGGAGCGATTTACTGGACTTTGAATAGGCCCCCCACACCAAAGACATCACATGCGTAAATGCAAAGAGACCTGGAAATCTTCATCAGACATCAAATCCACCGCTCCGAATTCCACTCTTTCGGAAAGCAAAATTAAAGCAAAGGGATGACTATGACGATCAAGTATGTAACCTCGAGCTCTGACGAATGAAATTCATCACAACGTTGTCGATTAAACTAGGACGATGATTTCGAACCCACTCCACCGAGCGAATCGCGACGAAAAGGGATGAAAAGTCGAGTTGGTGCAGACACACCAGTCGCGAAAATGGGCTCAGCGACAAAGCAAAGCAAATCCAATGCAAAGAAACGAACTGGCACCATGATTAAGCCCTGCCAAATGCCTGGGTGTGATAAGTCGTCTCGATCAAGGGGTTTATGCAAGCGTCATGGGGGAGGAAAGCGATGCTCCGTCATCAACTGCGCCCGCAGCGACCAAGGCGGGGGGCACTGCATCAAGCACGGAGGTGGTAGGTACAACCTTATTACCCGCAACCACTTGTGTTGCCCTAGGGAAACGCTGCTGTATTGTTGGATGCAAGAATTCTTCTCAGTCTCGTGGGCTGTGCAAGACACACGGAGGTGACCATTTCCATGCCGACCCGACCGTAACTATATTCGTAGGCGGACGCAAGACATCTCACTCCCGTTTGGCGAAATCTCTGGGAGGTTCGAAATCTGTTTTCAACGACTTTTACGAACCCAAGTCGTAGTTCACGGCTAGTGCGTCTATCTTGGTTTGTCGTTCGTTTCACTTCACCGTCAATCCGTACGGGTAAAAGCCAAGAGTCTTCCGCCTCGACCATGTGCCCACTTGTGTGAATCCACGCTCCATAAATACAATAAATACATGGTTGACTCAGGCTGGCGTTCCACTGCCATCCCATTCCTCCGGTTGTATGTCAGCATTTTTTTACGTGGCCGTTTGACCAGTGCCTTCGTCGCAGGTCATGGCAGAAAAAGGACATCGCACACAAATGCCTTGAAATTGGTAGAGAATACAAACATGATGATAAACAATACATTGGTGTACTAATACAATGTTGTTCGAGAACTTACAATACATTAACTACTTCGTTTTAGTATGGTTGACCCTTGCAGTGTACGTAAATGTACGTTTTGTACGTACGATCTGTACTTTCCGCCGAGAAAGATACAACCATTCACTCGGCCCGTGAGAGCATGAGTGGCGCACCCGTGCAGGTCCTGCCGTTGGATGATGGCGCGAAGGCCGGCGACGTGCAGATCACGTCGAGTGTCCCGGTGGAAGCTATGGAAGCATCTCCCGACGTTCATACAGTGGCCATGAGTATGCTTATCCTGAAGAACACTGCCCTGGAGCGAACGGCCGCGACTGGTGTACATGTCTCTCCAAATCACTCGAAGAACGACGACTTTCATGCCGGTGAACACATTGTTAGCGGGCAGGTATCACCCTCTTTTCATCGCTCGACTGAGGCGTCTCACGCGGCCAACAGTCCGTCATGGGATGAAAGCACGACGGACGACCAATCCAACACATGGGAACAATCTCAATTGTACACACCGACACAACTGCAGGCTTCCGCTGTTTCGATGGAAGAAACGAAAGCAAAAGAAAAGTCCAGGAGGAGATATGCCAAACGGTCCCCCGTCTTCGTGTTTTGCCAAGTGTCAGGCTGCACCAAGGCCGCAACGAACGTCACCAAAGGGCTGTGCACCAGCCACTTCAAGGAACGCACAGAAGACACACCTTCCCACGATCGGCACACGTTTTCCATGCGAGAGAAAGTTGGCGACTTGTTTGTGTGCACGTACCCCGAGTGTACCAAAGGCGCGCGGTCAAAGGGTTTGTGCAAGCGCCACGGCGGCGGCAAACGGTGCAGTGTCTTTGACTGTCCACGAAGCGATCAAGGCGGCGGGTTATGTATCAAGCACGGGGGCGGTAAGCAACCGTTTAGTACTTTTCATGTCGTTTATGGTACTGACAAATGTGACGACGATAGGACGGCGGTGTGGGGTCGAAGGATGCAAGAATTCGTCCCAGTCCCGCGGATTGTGCAAGCGGCACGGTGGGGTTCGGGAGGATAGGGGAAAGTAAGATCGCTCGATCGTGCTACGTACAACTAATTTTATCATGACATGTCTACACGGAGTTGGGCTTTCCACCCCCGTTCCTGGCAACCGACCGACTCGATGGATCATGGATAGCTGTGCCTTCGACTCTCGTTGATGTAACATATCCAATGTGTGGACGACGTAGGTATATGACGTCCCGCGGTGTCGCAGCATCCGCATGCCCATCCGTCGTGCCCGTCGAATGCCGCATACAGGATTAACTACATGTAAAAAGTTGTATCCAGAGAGCTGGCGATGATGGCCGTTGCATCACATGGTCTAATTGGTACTGTAAGCTGCTGTAAGTGATGTACCTTCAACTTGTGCCGAGCCTCAACGAACAATGCTGTTCCTCACCGTTATTACCCCAGAGGAGCTGAAATGGCAGGCGCTAGCAGCAGTTTTCGAGCGTGTACATGTAGTCCAACGTAGTATATCGACGACGATGATGCATGAAGCCAGCCAGGCTCGTAGACAGGACTTGCGGAAATGCGGTTGTCGATGCAACGACCAGGATGGCTGATTGTGTGCGGAACATTCTCTCCCGGTGGGCCAACAACGCTCCACATGACGGCCACGTATGTATGTAGCATCAACAAGCAAGTCGAGTGATTCACGATGTGAAGATCACAAGTCGTGTCCATCTTGCCACGTGGACGTGTGACGACCGAATGACGACAACGGGGGATTTCCCTCGGGGGAATCTCGACGGGGAAAAGCCGACATTGAAACTTCAACAACGTCGGTCGATTAAGTCCGTCTTTACATCGGACGAATTGTATGGTGACGTATTAAAGGTAACCTACTGAAATGAAAAGAAAGATGCATTATACTACTAGTACACAATACAATGCGTCCAAACTTCAGCATCCTACCGCTTTACAACTCGAAAATAAATGCCATTTAGAATACTACATGTTGAAGTTTGAAGATGTGTATACAAATGTCAAGATGCAAATGCGCACTTAACGAGGGTTTGTCCCATCTCAAGTCCATTACATACTCCCCGTGGTGCCAGGGACGCCATGTGGCGTGAGATTCTCATAAATAATCACCTGGCCAAACTGTATGGACTTACCACCAATTTAAATGCTGGGTGGGAAATACGGATAAGAATCTCTACATCCGGAGTACATATCTTCAGGGGCGTTACGGAGATGACCATTTTCTTTCCCCACCAGTGTTCCATTTTGCTTGCCGCACACGCATCATGCTCCACGTTAGCCGACTCCTCCGCTCCCGAGCGCCTTCTTCGCTCGCCCGTCAGCCTTCTTCGTCGCTCTTGCCATCTATGGCCACGCGCGCCTTCACCTCCAAGGCAGCGACCGACGACCAAAGCTGGATGGGCTATGGCTTTGGCGCCGCGGCCCTTCTCCTTGCTAGCGGTGCGAGCATGAACCAAACGGATAACTGCGGAATTGTCGGTGTTGTGAGCAAGCACCAAGAAGCCAACACCTTCTTGTTGGAGGGATTGACAATCCTTCAAAACCGCGGGTACGATTCAGCGGGCATGGCTACATCCAAGCACGACGGTGGGTTGCCCATCACGGTGACTAAGTTTGCGTCGGTGCAAGGCACAGCCGACTCTATCAATCTACTGCGTGAAACGAAGGATGATCATGCGAAGAATACGGTCGGCATCGCCCACACCCGATGGGCGACGCATGGCGGCAAGACGGACGAAAACTCGCATCCGCACTTGGACCAGAACAAGCGTGTGGCGGTGGTTCACAACGGCACCATCACCAACTACAACGAGCTCAAGAATGAACTCGTTGAAGCTGGCGTCAAGTTCTCGTCGCAGACCGACACGGAAGTGATTGCCCAACTCATTGGCCAAATCATGAACGAAGGTACGACACACACTGCATTCCAATCGTTTGCATCGTGAACTCACACATGTGTGGCGCAGGCGCCGACTGCTTGACGGCTACCCGCTTGGCCTTGGGCCGCCTGGAAGGCACATGGGGGCTGTGCGTCATGGCGCGCGACGAACCTGGGAAAGTCATCGTGGCCCGCAACGGGTCGCCGCTGTGCATTGGCTACGGCTCCAACTCAATGTACATTGCGTCCGAGACGACAGCGTTCACCCGCCACACGAAGCGCTTCCTGTCTTTGCAAGATGGCGAAGTGGCCGTGGTGAAAGCCGACACGGCCGAATTGAACCCCACACACCCGGACGACCTCACAACGTTGCAGCGCTTCCCGACTAGCCGCTTGGGCACGGCGCCCGACGTCAAGGTATGTGACTCTTTCCATCATGTTTCGCATTGTCTGATCTCGACATATGCAGGTCCGCTTGTCGCCGGCGCCGTTCCCGCACTGGACGATCCGTGAAATCATGGAACAGCCCAAGGCCGTGGCCTCGTCCCTCGGGTACGGCGGCCGCGTGTCTGATGACCACGTGTACCTCGGTGGACTGGAAGCCGAGAAGGACAAGATGCTCAAGATCAAACACTTGCTCATTTCTGCATGCGGGACGTCGCTCAATGCCGGCAAGTACGGCGCCAAGATCATGCGCACATTGGGTGCGTTCGATTCCGTGTCGGCCGAAGACGCCGGCGAATGCACGAACGAGCGGCTGCCACGTCACGACGGCGGGTTGTTGGTCGTGTCGCAGAGTGGCGAGACCAAGGACGTCCACCGTGTGCTGCAGCTTCAAGGCGCGCAAGAGATGCCCATGTTCAGTGTGGTCAACTCGGTGGGGTCGCTCATTGCCCGAACCACCAAGTGCGGCGTGTACCTGAACGCCGGACGTGAGAACGCGGTTGCCAGCACCAAGGCGTTCGTGACCCAGGTGACCGTCCTCGGCCTCATCGCCGCCTGGTTTGCGCAGAACCGACCCGAGTCGGTCAACCGCGGCAAGTTGGACGAGCTCATCCAGTCGCTGCACCGCCTCCCCATCACCATCGGCATGGCGCTGCGCACCCGCGCGCAATGCATCGAAGTGGCACAGAAGCTCATGCCCAGTGAACACTTGTTTGTGCTGGGCAAGGGCTACGGCGAGCCGATCGCGTACGAAGGCGCGTTGAAGATCAAGGAGATCACGTACTTGCATGCGGAAGGGTACTCTGGCGGCGCGTTGAAGCACGGCCCGTTCGCGCTCATCGAGGGCAAGGAAGGGCAGTTTGGCCCCACGCCCATCATCCTCGTGGTGCTGGACGACGAGCACGGCCACCTCATGAAGACGGCGGCGGAGGAAGTCCGCGCCCGTGGCGCGTACACGATTGTGATCACAGACAACCCGGCCATGTGCGAAGGCATCGCCGACTCGATCATCCCGATCCCCAACAACGGCCCCATGACCGCCCTCCTCGCGAGCATCCCGCTCCAGCTCATTGCGTACGAACTTGCTGTGAAACGAGGCATCAACCCCGACGTCCCGCGCAACTTGGCCAAGGCCGTCACCGTCGACTAAATAGTATGACCCGGTCCGAGACGTACAGTACTCAACTAAAACCATAATAAAACACAAATGCATGTGTATCTGTCGTAGTGCTGTACACTGCATCCCATACTTTAACGTTGTAGAATACATACAACACAATCGGGAATATGAACATACAATGCCAATGTTTTTGTATAGTATTGTACTGGATGCCTTGTACTCACAATCACTAACACCCTTTACATATTAGTTGTATTATTTGAGGTGGTGCTGTATGTACACTTGTACTACAATGTCTTATTTACATCGACGGAGCTGCGCGTGGGCAGCAACGTCCACGACGGTTTAGTATCTACAAGTCGCTTCACCTATATACACCAACGATGAGTCACAAACAGGATAACCAGTACGCCCCGACCACTTCTGCCACGTTGGCCGACGTAGGAACAGGGTACGACCCAAAGCCGCCGGCGCATCGCTTGGGCGGGTTCACTCCTGGCTGCGTCATGTCCGCGAGGCGGTGGAAGACGAAGTCACGCAGACGTCGAGCCTCGTCGAGATCCGTGTCTCTTTTTCGCAGGCGGGCGCTGGCTTGGTTCAGCTACACATGTCAAGAATCATTGATTTGGTTACAGCGAAGCCGCGCAGGGTCTGTCGTGTACACACACGGGTGTCCCGGTCGTTGAGCGCGCCCTCCATTAGTTTCTACGTAGCTCGCCTTTTTAGCAATACGAAAGCGGTAGCAATAGATCACACGTACGAGCTCATCGTATAGCGCACTAATTTGATCGTCCGCCGAAGTGCGAACTTGGGCAAGCTGCCGATGAGCCTTCAAGTACCATTACAGTAAGTAGGTAGTACACACAGGTTGAATGACATGGACAAGGATATGTGAACATGCAGTACCTCGGCGAGAGCTGCCGCCATTTCGCTGGTGGCGACTTGGGCTTGAGCGATGCCTTCCTGGGTATCTTGCACCTGTGTCATTTGCGCATCCAGCTGGAGCTGAAGAGACTGGATCGTGCTCTTGGCTTGCGAGCCTTCTCGCTACATCAAGGCACGTCGTTCCTTGTCTTGGTTGGTTGATGATCGATCGGTACGTACCTTGAGTTGGTTGTGGAGTTCATATACGGTCACATCCAAGTCCTACCACACACACACACACACGACACTCTGGTACAGCCCCAACGAGAAAAAAGCAATTGACGCGTCGAAGAGCCAACACGTACAGCCACTTTCTTCTTGAGACCAGTTGCTTCGACCCGAGCGGCCTCGAGCTGCTCTTGGGAATGTTGCAACTACCCACCCAACCTGTTACTGCATCTAGAGATTAGGTAGTACACGACTAGTGTGTACATTTGTGAGCGCTTGCCGTAGCAACGTGTGTGTTTTCGCGAGCTCTTTGCTCAGCTCGACTTCGCGGGGCTCTCGGCAGTGTCGACACACCACCTGCAACTTCACATGGTACATGTATGTGGCTGTCGGGCTGTTTGGTTTTACCTGGCGCGGGTGCACTGCTACGTCGCTAGTGTCCGATTTAGCCGGCAGGCGCAGATCTTCCAGCTCCCTCTTGAGTCTCGTGAACGGTTCGGACTTCGCGGTGTCGACAACGCCGTCCGTCCCTCGTATACGTTGGGCACCGATCAAAAACGGCACTTCCCGTCGTCCGCCTTGAGGTGTAGCAAACGTCCACTCCACTGTCATGTCGTCTACGATCATATGGCGCTGGTGGCGTAGGTGGTCTACGACTTGCAGCGTACTCTGCCGAAGGATGGCCTCGATCTAAATACAGTAACCATGTCGGCACGAATTTGTCAAGCCAATCCACATGGTTGCCCACAAGACATGTATTACATCGGCAGGAGCTTTGTCTTGGCCGATGCGAGTGATATCCATTGATCGAAGGTAGGGCGTTTGAATGACGTTGACGGCCTTTTGATGGTACCGCGCGACGTACCGCCAGTTGCCGCGCGGGGCGTGACACTCCTGGAGACAAAATCGTCCGTGGCCGTGTTTGCGAGGAATGCTCAAGTTGGGGTTCAGTGCCATCATGTTGGACTCGCGAAGGCACAGCGTCCGCACCAGCGCATCCAGCGCCGCCTCGTTTAAGAGCTCTACCTGATTGTCCCAGAGCACGGCCAAGTCGGACGCCCCACGAGCCGCCGCCAGCTCTTGCAACCGCAACTCAAACAACATGACGTTGGTGTGCTGAATTTTCTTCTTCTTGCGCACCACCTGCATGGTTCATGTATGAGTGTTTGAGAATGCGGTGACACCACAATATATAGAGGGCAAGCAAGGGAACCTGCTCTGATTGCATGACAAAGTACCAGTCCACCATCACCCCTTCATCGTCGATGAACGCCGTCTCCGGGATCTGCACATGTATCGCGTTATGCATGTGCTGCAACACATAGTACGTGGCAAGGCGTCGACCCTCGACGTCTACTGGCGGCATTCGCGGGTCCAAATACCCAAAATGTAACCGATTTGAAGTCAGTTTCGTACGAATGTAATCGATACGTTCGGTTCCGTTACGCCAAATACTGCTGTAGCAGGTACACATGTACTGTGTATGTCTCTCGACCTACAATTAAAAAGGCAGACTATGACTGCGCAGGACTACTACTACGACTAGTACTACTACTACGTGGGTGGATCGTACACACGAGGCTACTTCGATCCTGCACGCCGCTCCCTCCCAAGTCGTTGGTGTCGACCAGCTTTAGGCCTTTCAAGTACAGCGTCAGCATCCCTGGCACGACGATGTCGTCACGCACGTCCTTCGTTTCTCGAGACCGTTTGGTCGTGAGTTTCTTTGCAATGGCGTGCTTGAGACTTGCCACGGATCGGGTGGGCGGTACTCGGTACGTCAGCGCGAGGCCCGCGGGAAGGACCACAGTGATAGCCATGGGCTTGACGACACAGTCGTCAGCAGCTCCCTTGTCGGAGAAGTCGGCTGCATTTGTCGTTGGGGGTGCATCAACATTGCGGGATTGGTTGGGGGCGTCGCTTGTAGTGAGCTCGACGAGCCGCGCGTTCAGGGCTTTCACTTTGTCCAGTCCGTCGGGCTGGTTGCGAAGCCACTGGAACGGATCAAAGGTATTTCCCGGCACACGTTGAAGCGAGGTCTCGTGGCCATCACTATCCAAACTACTATGGGCATTGGAATCGCCATTCGATTGTGGGTAGACCTGTCGTCGGCGTTCCTAACGTTGCGCTTAAGTCAACTCTAGACGACTATGCAGAGCCTATAGAGAATATAGTACCACGACGACGCACTTGCGGTATTGGTCTGCTGGGGCCAGCACGTCCGGATTCGGCATCCACCTCGGTACTCGAACCACCGACGACTGGAACCCCACCACCACTCGCGGCGGTTCCACCTCTTCGGTCCACGTCGACTGCGCGTCGTACGTAGCGGCGCTCACTCCAACGGGGGTAGAGTGCGAGACCAAGTCCGTGCGATGCCCTCGGGGGAAACTAAATGCTACGCTGTCCCCATTGATTGGTTTCGTGGGTGAGGGAGGGGGGGGATCAGGAAGTGGGGTCATGGTGGAGCGAAGTGAATTCTTCCGTCGACGAGGAAGAGGTCGAGTGGTGGCTTTGCAGCGGCGGGGGTCCGAGTACTTGTTGTGGGGCCACAGTGAGGGGGGAAGGGCGGATGTGGATTGCGAAGTGCTGAACGGTCCTTCGCGGTAAGTTTCGTGTGGCTTGACATATTGAGGCTCAAACAAGAGCTGACGTCTCGTGGTCGTTGAGAACGACGACGTCGGGAGCGTGGTCGAATGTGACGAGGCAGAGTGTGCGTGGGGTCCCAGCGTGGACGCATTGGCGGGGTCGTACTGGCCAGGACCAGGGCCATTGAACTGGAGGAAGAGCGAAACTCGTGAGAAAGGCAACGATTAATATTACGTGATTGAACGGCACCTGGGACGCCAGCGTCACGACAGGATCGACGTACGAGTGCGGAAGATGGAGCTGGTCCGCCATGTCGACTTCAGACACTTGCCAGTCGACCTTGGCTTCCAAACGAACCAGCGTCTTGAACACATCTCGTGGCAGCACATGCCCGCGCTGCTGCTGGCGGGTCACATCCCCCATGTGTCCAAATATAGAATTGGATTTGCGGCCAAAATGGATATACATATATATATCATTGATACAGATACTACGTAATTTAGCACTGGGCGAGTCACAACGAAAATCCTGAACGAGGCTGACTGGCGTGGCTGCCAACTCAACGCCATAACACGGTGTACCGTTATCTGCAATGACCCCGATAGACGTTTTCCAGATGCGCCTCTGCTACATCGTACGACGTACCGCTCAATTTGTTTTGGAAGCACAAGGAAATTTGGTACAGAATGAATGACTAGCTATGAATACAGCAATTCTATTCTACACCTTGGGTAGTTTATCTTTGGGAAACGCCGACAGGTCCTTGTAGTCCCACGGCACGCGCTTGGGGGGGAACCGTCCGCCGCGGATCTCGTCGAATGCGTCCTGAATTTCGCGTCTTGTGTTCATGACGATGGGGCCGTGCCACGCGATGGGCTCGTTCAGCTTCTTGCCCGCGAAGAGCATGGCCGCGACTTTGGACGAGCCTGCCGACAGCTCAAAGCCGCGGGAGGCGTCGGACGTGGCGTCGAAGAGCGCGACATGATTCGGACCGGCGGGCTTGCCCCCCACATGGCCACTGCCTTCGTACACGTACAACATGCATGTGTCAAACCCGTTTGGAATCGAATACGTCAACTTGCTGCCCGGTTCGAGCTCGAAATCCACCATTTGAACAGGCTGCACGGCTTTGAATGCGCCGGTGCGGCCGTCCAGGAACGGACCGGCGAGCAGCCGCGCCTGGACGCCGTCCGCCAATTCCACCGTCGGGATCGAAGACGCGGGCTCGGTGCCGTACGCCGGGTCAGCCAACTTCTTGGACGCAGGCACGTTCAACCAGATTTGAAATCCCTTTTCGACCTCGCCGTCACGTGTGGCGCCGCCCTCGGCATGCTCGATCCCGCTGCCGCAGCTGATCCATTGCATCCCTGGCGTTGCAAACGTTTCCCGGTTGCCCATGGAGTCTCCGTGCCGACCGACGCCAGTCTTGATGTATGACAGGATGTCCATGCCGCGGTGGGGGTGCCAGTTTATCGGAAAGTAGTCCGGGTCGGACGAAATGCCTTCCGACGCAAATGCAAAGCTGTCGCACATCAAGAACGGATCGCTCTCCGCCGACGGGATGCCGGCCGGGAATGCTTGGTGCACCGTGCGCTCGTCGCCGAAGGGGTGTACTTCGCCAGCATTGGCAATGCGGATGAGTGGCATCGGGATGTGCGTTGTCATGGTGGATAGGAAGCGGATAGGGCCTGGGCACGTCAAAGCCATTGATCGAATGCCAAGTCGTCGCAGGCGAAAGGTTTTTTGGAAGGAAGTTCCTTCAGGAAGGTCCTTCTTGGCGACTGTTTTAATAGTAGCATATATCAAGGGTATACAAAAAACAAATACAATTGCGGATAATTGTGACCGATTAATTACCACAGTAATTTATCATAATTGGCTGTCCAATCAGAACGCCCCTCTTAATTTTTTAACCAATGATCATGCAGTAGTGTTTGATCGATTTGGCCCAATAAAGTACTACTCATCAACATTGTAACCGATACGAACGGGTGCATTTTCGTTGAAAGTGGTATGGACATCGTCGAGGAGGACGGCGCAGGCGACGACGGTCCTACAAAGACCAAGGCGGCGCCACCCAAAGCCATCCCTCAAGGCTTCGATGGCGACGGCCGACGGATCATTCCGCCGCAATTGCAAGCCGAGTTTACCACGAACGAAGGCGAAGAAGTATAGGATAAGGATATACAAGTCACATCTCCAATATCTCTGAGTGCGTCATGTCGAACGTAGCTCATTGCGCTGTTTGAGAGCGCAGACGAAGATAAGAGCGGGTCCGTGGACGAGCAAGAGTTCCGCAAGTTGCTAGTACGCATGGACATTTGCATCGCCGACGACGAAGTGGACAAACTGGTGGTTGAGGTCGACACCAACAACAACGGTCTGATCGAGTGGGACGAGTTCGTCTCGGTACGCACACAGCTGACCCATTCATTCCACGTCTCATATCGTATGGCAACCGTCACCACGAAATGCAGATGGTGGTCAAAGCCAAGCGGGGGGACGTCCGCTTCAGCAAACTTCACGCCATGACCGCCTCCCTTAAGACGACGCCCGTGGCGCTGCTCGAAGCAGAAGCGGGTAGGTCAATGCTTTCCTTAGCCTTATGACGACTTGGTCTTGCAAAATGCAGGCAAATTCGGGCTCACGGTGGCATTTCGGCTCTTGGAGGAGCGCAAAGCCACGAGTTACAACCCCAAGACGTACGTGATGCAAGTGACCATCACGACCAGCGAACGAACGACCGAATCGTACGAAGCCATTGGATTTTCGTCCCGCGAGGCCAAGTTCAAAGTCGCCGAGCTCGCGTTGGTGAAAATGCGCAAAATGAAGCCTGGGTTCGAGTTCCCCGCCGGCGTAATCCCTCCAACTTGGGACGACTGGACGTTCAACAACCTCAACAAAGGGGTGGCCCCTCTCAAAGTGGGTCGCCCTTCCCCTTGTCGCATACCCACTTGCTAGTTGTGTGATTTATTACTCTGCACCCAACCATCCGTAGCAGCTGCCTTGTTAATCTACAGATCCATCAGACACGTGCTCATTCGTATGTGTACTGTTGTTGTGATAGATCCTCAAAACGTTGGTGGACAAGGGCTTTACACCGGCCGAGAACCTAACCTTCATGAAGCGCGTGTCAATCCACGTGTCGTACTTGCATGTGAAAGCCACTTATTCAGACACTACCTTGGTGTATCCCAACTCGATGGCGCTCACTACACCGTGGTGCCGGTGGGTGGACGAGCAGGTGGCGCGAGGGATGGACGGCCCGCTGGTCCTGCACGCGCTGTGTCACAACGGTGGCGGATACAACCCATCGAAAGATCCGCATTTTGTCCAGCGACTGACCAAAATGGGCGCGACGTCGCCGTACGACTTTTGGCAGTGTGTCCACGCGGGCAACTTGGCCGAAACCAAGTTGTTTGTGTGTGGAGGCCAAAACGTCAACGAGGAAAAGCTCGACCGACACGCGAAAACAGCCTATACGCCGCTGCAGTTGGCCGCCAAGCACGGGTACTTGAACATCGTCGAGTACTTGCTGCAGCACGTGAGTTGACAAAGACTACTTATTGCATTCAATTGGTGAGATTTTCACATGAGAAAATTTCGGTGTGTACGTAGGGGGCAGATGTTGGTGCCGCAAACAGCTTTCGACGCACGGCCTTGCTGTTTGCAGCTAGGCATGGCCACCCTGCGGTACGTTCGTTGTATATCATGTACTATATGTACGTGGCGTCGACTACAGTGCCGGCTTATTGGTAGAATATATCAATATAGTATTTAGTATATACAAAGGGGGTCGTTCAACGAAGCCGCCACTATATTTATTCAAAGATAGTATCCTTGAGAAATATTGTGAATTCGCTATAAACTTCCAAAATTCGCATGGTTTGTCTAATCAACATTGAATCACGCAGGAAATCTGATTGGTTGAATATACTTGTCCTTTCTGTAAGAGCCAATCAAATCCACTCAAAATTGGATCAGCCAATAGCGTCGATTCGTGGTTCGATTTGGCGGGGTCTGCGCCGAATCCACAATATTTGATATTGCTATACCTTTAGTTTTCATTTGTTTTAGGTGATCAAACTGTTGCTGCGCCATGGAGCGTCCATCCTCGACCGCGACAACCTCGACAACACCCCGCTGCACATGGCGGCGATGGCCGGGTGTACGAGGGTCCGTGTCATTCGATCATTTGAAGAGGTTTTGGTCAAGTTAAAACCCCTGGCTAGTCTTGCGTGGAATTGCTCACGTTCGAAGAAGAGTATTTGCGGTCGTGCATTGTCAACACCAACAAGAGCCTGTCCTTCATGGACGAATCCAATAGTTTCCGAGGCATATTGCGGAGGTTGTTTGGGGACATGATGCACGCCAAGCTCCCCCGCAACGTTCGACCGACGTTCGCGTTGGCGTGGCTACCCGAAGCCGTCGATTTGGCCTACACTGTACGACCCCCGCCTCTAACTAAACGTATCCACTTTAGGTCATATAATTGTTCATCGTGTGATGGGGTAGAAAATCATCGGGGACAACCCAGTCGTATCGAAATACGTGCAGCGCCCGTCCCCCCAAGTGATCGGTCGAATGATTCATCGCTTTCGACATCTCCAAAACGACATACCCGACACGGGGGACGAAGTCGAAGTGCTGCAAATGGAGCAGGACAGTCGCCAGTGCGTACTCAATGCTGACCATCTCCAGGCACGTCTCGGCTCTGCCTAATATGAACGACACAACTAAGTACAAGGTGTACATACATACGTAGGTGTACATCGAACAGTGCTTTCTCGAAGCGTACAAGAACACTACGAATCGCCAAGGTCGCACGCCGCTGCACCTAGCGTGCGACGAGAATCTCGTGTGCACCCATGAAGTAAGTACACTCGTACGCATATTGTATTTAGTATTCCGGTATATGAATCGTAGGGGGCGGTGAGGACGCTGGTAGACATGTTTGGGTGTGACACGCACATCCAGGACAACATGGGGCGCACACCGTTGGAGTTGCTCCTCCAACGAAAGTACCGCCCTGGGAGCCCCAAGGACAACCGGGAGCTGGAGGTGACGCTGCAGAGCGCTCGGCATCGGCGGCGGACGAACCATGCGGTCCAACGGCAGCTGGAAAAGGACGCCGTCAAGCGCAGGGGGTTCGAAGAGTCTTTGCTGCAGCAGCTGCCACGTCAGCCGGTGCGATGATGTATTCCGTGCATAGCGAGTTTGAGTCTTGACAGGCGTGGGCATCGATAGGAAACGAACGATGTGGACTTGATGCATGCCAAGGACACGGCCATCGTCAAATCGACCATCGCCGGGTGGCGGGTACGTCAACAACCACACGTCGACATCCTGAGCAAGTTTGTTGCGTGTGCGTAGGAGTACGAAGACGGTTTGAGCCACAACCACTTTTACGAGCACATCCACACGGGGCAGCTGCAATTGCACATGCCAGACGACGTCCGAGCGGCGCTGGAGCTGCGCAAGCAATGGTACGTCCGGAAACTATCGGCGCGGTTGCTTGAAAAGCGAGGTAAACATGTTGTCGACACTTATAAAAAGGGGGAAGGAAGGGACGACGGACTAGGAGCATACAGGAACAAGGTGACGAGTGGGTACCATTAGGCACCTGGACAATGCACAAACATGCCAAGAAGCAGCGTGTGTTCTTCTACAACACCGAGACGGGGCAGTACCAGTGGACAAAGCCGGCGGTCATCGATGGATGGGTCAACATCCCCCCCAACATCAAGCGGACACTCGAGTCGAGTCCAGATCTGGACGAGGAAGACAGCGACGACGAAGAAGAAGGCGAGCATCGAGAAGCGATCGATCAAGTCTCCCAAAAGCTGTTGCGGGTGTTTGGCAGCGTACGTAAGACGAAAGTCGACTTGGTTGATCAAAGGAGACAAGTGAGACAATTCTTCGTTGATTGTATTTGGCCATGGATTGTAGTGGGAGGAGCACCACGACGCAGTCACGGGGGGCCGGGTGTATTACAACACGGACACGAGGCAGTTGACTCGAACAAAGCCCGACGCGGTGTACAAGGACGAACTCAAGCGACAAGCGTACACGTTGCTTATCCAAACCGCACAATTCAAAGATCGCGTAATGGCCTATCGTTTCAAATGACTTGGGGCTTCTGTTGCATGTATATGCTTTAACACTTGAGAATAGATTGGGTTGTGGGACAAGTACTATGACGGCAACACGGACCACTGCTTTGTGTACAATCGGGCAACGGGCGAAGGGCGCCACGAAACCGAGTACAATGAAGCTGACCTCCGCCAGGTTGGTTGGGAATGCAATGTGTGTATGCATGTGTGTGTGACAAAGGGGGTATCGCATTGAGAAGGTATATGTGTATATATGACAAGGGGGGTTGTAGGAAGCAATGAGCCAGGCGGCTCAAGACGCCACAGGGCAGCTGGTGCGACGAATCACAGACGAAGAGTTGTCGAAACAGCGAGACAGCGAGCAATGGCTCCACGTGCTGCAGCGGGCGCGGCGTCGGGATACGCTCAAGACACTTGTCAAGAAGGACGTCGTGGACGAGGCCACTCGACGTCTCAACGACCTGAACGATTCCGTACTTCGAAAGTACAAAACCCAATCCAGTTTGTAGCAAACATAATCCATGTCGTTTTGGCGGGGTAGGATTCACGCCGACTTTGGTGGTCAAACCATGGGGTACCGCGACGCGCGCATTGCCACCGAACAGCAAGCGTTGAGGAAAGCCCGGGCGCTGGGGTTGTTTGTGTCGGAGAAAATCGTGGTGCCGTTGACAAGGGCGTCCGTGGAGGCCATGGAGATGACGCAGTGGCTTCAAGGGGAGGAAGCGGAAAGCCAATCAATTGAAGATACGGACGCGAACCCCAGTGACAGCGCCCGTCGCCGCCTCGTCCGCCTCATGGAAGACGCGGCGTGGCGACTGGATGGGCAGCATTCTCTGTGCTTCTGGGGCTGCCGTCTGTGGAGTTTAGTGGGGAGTCAAAAGAACGACCACGAGCACGACGAATGCAAAAGGCGGTACGTGCAAAAAGGCAACCACAGCCATTCATTTGGCATGTGATATGAGTTTCGGGGTTTCGGGGTCACTGATGGAACGGATGGGTATACATTAGACTGATGGTGTGTCGGCTGGGCTGCCCCGTCGTGCACGAAGCGTTTCAGTGGCAGCAATCCCACGGCGGCGACCACACAGAACTCGAGTGGCATGAACTGTACGAGTGCAACTCAAGACTCATCAAGTGTCCGCGGGACTGTGGCGCGTGGGTGCCCAACGACGCCCTGCAGCACCACACCGATTTTACGTGCGTCAAGCGGCCAGTACCCGACTTGGAGTGTCGCGTCGGCTGCGGCAAGGTACGCAGCAACTTCAATTTCATGTATTTGGGTTGTCGTTCTATTATTTTCCTTGTGTCGTTCAGGTGTTTAACGGCGCCAACAATCGCATCTTGGAGCTCGAACAAGAGCGCAAATGGCACGAAATGGAAGCGTGTCCAGATCGCATCGTCGTCTGCGCGTGGCCAGGATGCCAAGAGGCCATGAAGGCCAAAGACCGACCACTGCACCGCAAGAGCCATCTCTGCGGTAAGTGTTAGGGGGATGCTATTGCTTTTTCACAGGGGAATATTTATACTTATGCATCTAGCATCGGGCATCACGACGTTCAAAACGAACGGGTCGTTCAACTTTGTCGTGCCCAAGGATTGCAAACACATCAAAGTGCAAGCATGGGGTGCGGGGGGGGGCAGCGGGGTCCTGCACGGGTACAAGTTTGGGCACGGCGGGGGCGGCGCGTTCGTCGAGGCCATCTGTCCCGTGCACCCGGGCGAAGTATTATTCCGAGCGATGATTCCCCTTGTGGATTAGTATTATGAACCTATTCAATTAGACGTTGATGGTTGTGGTGGGCGAAGGCGGGCATGGTGGGGTGTTCGGTCAAATCAATCCAAGCCAAACGCTGGACGGACTGCCTCTCGTGTCCCAAGTATGAAACTCCGTTGTCAGCTCGTGCTTTTTACCAAAATGTTGACTTAATGTGTTGGGTTTAGGTTGGCCAGGCCTTTGGTGGGTTGCCTGGGGGTGGGTCTGGCCATAGCAGCAACAACGGATGGGCGTGTGGCGGCGGTGGAGGGTACACGAGCATTTGTCGAAAGGGGCCATTTGGCATCCAGACCCTGTTGCTCGTGGGGGGCGGTGGGGGCGGCGGATGTCGGGCGGGACTTGGAGGGGGGGACGACCAGCCCATCGACGAATCGGTCAAAGTCGACGCGCGAAACGGGGGTATGGGCAGTACGCCGCTCCAAGGCGGGTCCCCTGGTACATGTCGACACATTCCCTCGCTATACTGACATGTTTGTTAGGCCAAGTGAGTACCCCGAATCCGGCGTTTGGTGCCACGGGCGGCCAATTGTACCAAGGCGGCAGCGGGGCCGAATTTGGAGGGGGTGGCGGTGGCGGGTACTTTGGAGGCGGCGGGGGCGGGTTTTCACCTGGCATTGTCGGGGGTGGAGGCGGGGGCTCGACGCTGGTAGATCGATCGCTTGTGGAGAACGTCGTGGTGGAAAAAGCCGACAAGCGGGTCCCGGGGGGGGTAGACAGGCACCCTCCGGCACCGACGGACGACGACGACTGCGGTGGTGTGTCGGGCGAAGGGGGTCTGGGGACGCTGCGGGGCGTGTGTGCTGGCAACGACGGGTGTGTTCGGGTGGCGTTGCCTGGGTTTTACAGCAACATGGACTTTGATACGGTCGACGTGAAGTTACGAGGCAGTCCGTCCACCCGTCGACTTAGTCTCAACACCGTAGTCGTCGATATGTAAACACATTTAAATTAAAATTTGCCATTGTTACGCGCGCCATTTGAATCGGCTTTCCACCACGGACGGGTAGGGGCCGATTGGTGCAGTCGCGCCGACGCTTTGAGACTGGCGTAGATGCGCGTGCGCGTAGGTAGAGTCAACCGGTCGCTCGTGGACTTGAGCAAGAGTTTGCCGCCAAAGGTATGGGGAATCGGGAGCCCGCAGCTCTCGAGAAACAGCGTCAATGTGGCCACGCGTTCAACAAGTGTCGGGTCCAGCGCGAGCGCTTCTGGGCGGAGCGCAAACTCGAGGCGCGCATGCAGTTCCTTGGCAATCTTCTTTTCGAACTTGTGGCGAACAATATCCTGGATAATGAGTTTGCCGACGCGGGTATCTTTGAGGGCTTGGCACGCGTCCAACGCGAGGCAAAATACTTGGCCGTTGGGCTCGATGAACCGCTGGCGCATCTTTTCAAAGATCTTGAGGACGTGGACGTGCGCGCGGCCGTCCATGCACAGAAACATGCCGAGGCCGTACTGCTGCACGTCGAACAGCTGCGTGCTTTCCGTGAGCATGTCCAGAATGCCATCGTACTGTTTCGTGTTGCCCATCATGGTGATGATCGAGTCGACAACGCCCGACGACTTGTTGAGGAATGTCCGCTTCGAGTTGTACGCTTCGAGCAAGGTCGAGCCAACTTCAAACTCGCACTCGAGGCTCAGACTGTCGAGAATGTGCTCAAACATGTGCGGGAGGATGTGGTAATCGTTCTGAAGCATAAACAAGGCAACGTCCGCCGCCTGGGTCGTAGCCCCGCGCGCTAGCAGCCACTTGAGTCCATTTGTTTGCATCGCAGGAGTCAGCTGGCACGCGCGTCGTTCGAGGTAGTTGCCTACATATACAACCAATAAGGTCGTCACGAAATGTCGTCACAACTATATCGAGAATGGCGCCGAACGGATGGACGTACCCTGGGACTTTAAGAGCGTGACAACGGGCCCAAATTTGTTGAAGGCAAAGTACGACTGGAGGACCGCGTTGGGGTCGCACTTGAACTGTTTCATGACACGCTCGATCGCTGGAATGTCTTGCACCAGCAGGTACGAGTTGAGAATGGACGTGAGCACGCGTTCGTGGACAGGCTCGTCGGACTTGGCGAGGAAGGTGGCGATCTTCTCAACCTTGTCCAGCTGCTGGCGGCGCGAGTAGGCGCGGATAGCGGCGTTGTACGCGTACGAATTGGGGGTGAGCTGGAACTTGTTCATGAGCTCAAACACGGTGAGCACCATGTCATCGTTGCGCTTGGTGGCGTACATAGACGTGAGGCTGCTCAGCGTGTTGCTCATCTCGGACGGATCCATGTGGGTGGTGCTCATGTAATCCTCAAATGCAGTCAAGAGGCGGTGCACGTTGTCCGTCTGGTCTAGCTGCGCGTACGCTCGAAGGGCGCCAAGGTACGCAAACCCGTTGGGCAAAAAATTGTGCATTTCCATGAGCTCAAACAAGGTCGTGACCATATCCCAGTCGTTGTGCTGCGCAAACGCCGACAGGATGACCGACACCACGTCCGCCACATCGGATGTGTCGACAATATCTTGGTGGTACCGATGCAGCATCGAGATCATCTCGGTCGCCGCCGCCGTTGCCGCCTTGGGGAAGCCCGACGTCAAGCTTGTGAGAACGATGCACTTGTACGCGTCGATGGGGAACGGTCCGTGGGTCTTGGACTTGAGCGCGTACCATAATCGGGCCTATACACACACACATGCCACCGAATCAACACCCGGACAGAGGTTCCAAGCGAGAAAGAGAGATGGGGGGAAGAGAGGGGGGGAGAGGGGGCGGACGTACCACGAGCGCATGCCGTTCCGCACGGTACAGCACCTTCATGGCATTGCACACTGCAAACACGTGCTCGTCGTTGATGGTCGTAAACGAGACTGTTTCCAGCGCCAAGCTGTACGCAATCTTCCACTCGGGACTTTCGTGGGTGCTGTCGGCCAGTGTCTGCAGCACCTGCGGCTTGCCGCGGATATGCGGCTGGATGTCCCATGCCAGCGCGGCGTTGATGGTCTTGCGCGCCAGCGGCCAGTGGTTCACCTCGAGCAGCTTGGACAAGAAGTCGCCGACCACGCCTTGGGGCCGCTACTCGATGTCACATGCCCGTTAGATTGCACATTATGTGACATCGTCCGAGTATACTGGCACATGTATATTTATACGTACGTTGAACGCACTCGGCTCCATGATGGCCAGCAGCTCTTCCATGTAGTTCCAATGCTCGTACTTGACGAACGCGTCCGACGCCGCGCGGACCGACGCGTCGTTGACGGGCGCGCCAGCCTCGATCATCCGCTGGATGAAGGTCCGGATGTGCTCCGAGTAGTCGACCGATGCCTTGGCGAATCCCGACACGATGCCCGAGTACATGAGCACGTTGCTGTCGGCCGGGAGGTTCTCCCGCGTGTGCTCGAGCAGACGCTCCAACGAGTCGAGGGCCCCGATGCTGGCGAACGCCCCCGCCGCGCTCGCGTACGCCGGCGCGTGTAGCTCTGGTACGTGGCGGACCATCATGTCCCAATAGTGCATGATGGCGGCGCGGGTCGTCTCCACGGGCATGTCTACGTCATCATGGCTCATATATTGAATACTCTATAAACAAGGAAGGCGATCGAGGGGGGGGGTAGGACCAACCTGCGGGGGACCGGGCCAACGCATTGAACACGGCGATATATGTGGTGGCGTCGATGGGGGGGCCAAACGTATCGACAAACGTCTCCATAAGCTCCAACGCGCCCCGTGTATCCCCTTGGCGCCCCATGCCCCGGATCGCAAAGCTGTACGCGACGTTGGGTAGCTTTTCGTGACGCAGCTGCATCTGCGAAAACACGTCAAGAAGGATGTCCATTTCACCCGTCACAACGCAGTCATGCATGATGCCTACACAAGTCGCCATGATGAAACTATCGAGGAGGACAAAGTAGAAGAGGTACCCACCCATGTAGGTGGCGATGGTGGCGGGGCGGTCGTGGTCGCGGATGCGGGCCCACATGGCGTGCGCGGCTTCGGGGTTGTTGGTGCGGATGTACGCCAGGATCATCTTGGCCATGCAATAGTGGCTGGCGTGGACCCCCTTGGCGTCCATCGTCGCAAACAACTCTGTCGCAAGCCAAAACCCTTTTTTGTCACACAGTTTGCCGATCGTGGCGGCGTAGATGTTTTCGCCCAGGACGACCCCGCGGCGGTCGCACAACGAAAACACGTGTAGCGCTTGGTTCACCGCGCCTGAACACAAGAATCAGACACGACAGAATCACATGTGATGTAATCAGACGACAGAGAAGAATCAGACTCAGACAAGAGCGTCCGACGCACGCACCGACAGAGATGTGCGCGCGGATGAGCTGCGTGTACACGTCCACGGTGCCCTCGATGCCCTTCTCCTCCATGAGATGCAACGCGTGCATGGACAGGTCCGACCGCTTGCACACGCCAAAGCACCGGATAAGCGCGGCGTACTCGTCGGCACTCAGCGGTGTTGCGCAGTTGGGGGTGTCGCGCAACAGTTGCAGCATGGTTTCGGGATATTCGACTTTGCCTAACGTGGAGCACTCGCCCATGGCGGCTTGAAACGCAGGCAGACTCACCGGGTTATTTTCTCGTAGCCGATCGGTGACCACTTGAATGATCTTGAGGCCGTTCGTATGGGCCATGTGCGCCTGCACGAGCATGTCGACGGTGGTGGAGGTAGCCACGACGCCGTCGTTCTTCATAGTGTTCATGAGCATTTCCATGGCTTCGAACTTGTGATCACGACCTAAAGCTTCGATGGCCAACTCGTACGCCTCCGCGTCGGTCTCTCCGCGCTGATCCAACTCGGCGAGGATGTTCAACGCTGACTTCCAGTTGCCAGTCGATGCACATTTCTGGAGCGACGCGACTGGGGATGAGCTCAGCCAGCGCGTGGCAAAGGGATAGGCTGCATGTGATGATGATGGTACTGACGCCTCGACGAGGCGGCTGCTGCTACGTCCAAAGGACTTGTGCGCCGCAGCGCGAAAGGTCAACGATCGCTGCCACATTTTTTGCGCGACAGAAATTCGTATTCTGACAAAGGATTTGGCCACCAATTGCCAACCGCCAATCAAAACGTCCGACACAATGGTACCAATCAAAACAGTGTTTCGGTATTTCAATCATGGCTTTGGTTTTTAATGCTTTTGAAATGCTTTTCAAATACCTCCATTGAATACGAAAAGAACACCACGACGTATTTGAAATCATTTTGAATCATTGCCTACCAGATTGAACTGCAGATGAACATTTGAAATATTTTAAATCCTGTTTGGATTTCTTAGGCACTTCTCTCAACCACCACCAAGGAGGCGACGTCAGGATGGGTCGCCGCAAGACTTCGACGAAGAAGATTGTCACGCGCAAGAAGCAAGTCGTCGCGCGAGTGTTCAAGTGTCCGTTCTGTTCCCATGACGACAGTGTCCAATGCAAGATGTATGTTGTTTCCCTCCCATCGTGACTGCACGCACACATCCAGGATCCTCACCTGATGCCGTGCTCTGTAGGGACCGCGACCGCAACGTGGGGCATTTGACGTGTCGGATCTGCAGTGAATCGTACCAGAGCAACATCAATTATCTCAGCGAGCCCATCGACGTGTATACAGACTGGATTGACGAATGCGAAGCCCTTCATACGAATCAATAAACGCCTTAACTCACAGAGTTCTTCTTGGCTTGCTTCGACTCCCTCCGCACTCCCTCGCGGTACCTTTGTTCCTCGCGTCGTTGAATCCGCGCTTGTAGTATGCGACTTCGCCGTGTCCATTCCATTTCCTTGTCCAAACTCTCGTCGCTCGGACCTCCAGCCGCGGTCTGTTCGTCCAGCGTCAGCTTCATCTGCTTCAGCGCGCTCTTTTCCTTTCGAATGCTCACGTCTTCGTCTCGCTGGCGCTCCTTCTCGGCATCCCGAGCCGCCTTCTTGGCCGCTTTCGCCGCCTCGCGCTCCGCCACCGCCGCGTCCTGTCGCGCCTTCTCGAGTCGATTCTTCTCTTGCGCATACTCTAGGATCGACCGCTGCTGGAGCTCTGCTAGATGCGCTTCCTCTTGCTTCCGGCGCAGTTCCGCGCCAACGTTTGCCCGTCGCTCCAGTTCCTTGGCCCTAGCAGTTTCTTCCCGCTTGGACGCCGTGGCTTGGTCGTCGTCGTCCTTGTGCAGCGTCATGGCCACATGCGTCCGCGCGGCACAGGTGAGAATGTCCTTGCAGATGGACTGGAACGCCGTCATGTCGATGGGGCCCCTACACATGCCATCCATGGGTTGGTTCAGGCCAGAATTTGTAGTTCGGATGTATAAGATGCAAAGTGAACACAAGGCCAAAGTGATATGTCTGACGTACGACATGTCCAGTTGAACCTGAGCCCGTGCAATTTCCACCACAAACTCATCTCGAACGTCTGCACACATCTACATTGAAGGCATCAATGACGATGGAGTCCGCATCCACAACCAAATTGGAGGCGCAAGCAAACACACTCCATGAACCGCTGTAGTTTGCACCTGTCGAATAGCCATAGGCATGGCCTGCCACACTTCTCGCAATACATTTTGGAATCGCGTCCATGCCGCCTACAGCATCATTGCGATTGTGGTGAAACAATATTATTCATAGAGTCGTTTGTACGATTTGCTTCGAGTACGTACTGTGGGGGAGGACGGGGTGCTTTGCAGCGCGTCCATCCTCGTCGAGTCGATAAAGTTGTACTTGGCATACAACGGTTTGAGCAGGTTCGTGAGCGCCGTATCGGCTCGAATGTACTGTTGTACGTGGGGGGGTTCCGACTTGACGACGAGGTCGGTCCAGAAGGCGGTTGCGGCCATGGGGCAGTAGCGCCGCCACCACTGCGGCCACCGATTGAGGCGCTTCAGGTCGTGCAAGACGCGGACATTGTCGGCATGGACGACGTCTCCGTTCACGAGCGCGCTGTGAGCTGTTGTGTGGTCGGGCAGTGTTTCCTCTAAGATGGAAATCTCCACCAGCACATAGTTGGCCACGGCCGGGGCGAAGCGATGGGTGAACGCAATGCGCTTGTCCATGGTCGTTCCGGCATCTTCGTACCCGAACGGCCGCCCCGCCGCCGCGATTGGACCTACATCAGTTGCACCACCATCACGACACGGACGTGAATTGTTCAACAAAGTACCCGTGACATAATTGTGAAACCCAAACGACGTCGACGTGTCTTGTATAAACGTGTCGAGCCCAAAGCGGAGATTCCCACTCACCACGACCACGTCGCGGCCGTCGATCTTTTGCTTCCAGCGAAAGAGGAGGCTGATCAGCGCGTGCAACTGCGCCGGACACGCGAGCCAGTGCGCCGCCAGGTGCGTCGTGTTGTACAGGTCGTCGTTCTCCTGGTTAGGTGTCCCCCCGCCGTTGAAAGCGGCTGCAAACGCCGACACGTTGCCAGACAAGAGCAGCGGGAACTCCATCAACAGCACCAGCACCCGCACGCTCTTCTTTCGACACACACTCTACACAATCCAATATATATATATATGTACGTAAACCCCCACACTCACTCCATCACATTGTCAATCAAACTTCATTAGGTAGTGGCGAATGACCTTACCTCGAAGGCAAGCCACTGGTCTTCGCTGATCAGCGGACGCTCCTACAGTGAACCATGTCATCACCACTCCAAGGGAAGAACGCGGTTCGCACCGTTGGCGGCGTCGCCAATCGTTTGTTACACGTGACCAAGTCGCCGTCTTCCGTCGCGCGCATGTCAAACACAAACATGGCCACGAGGCCCATTCGAATGCTGTAAAACTCGTCCTTTGCATTTCGAGTCCGTGTTGAAACGTCGTTGTTGGCGTCGATTTCGTCGTCCTCTCCATCTACGTCAAATAGCCATAGCACTGAATCAACGTAGTGTCCATCATGTGCTTCTATGGATAGACGTACTTACCCCCATTCTTGGCGCGTTCTCCGTCCAGAGGTGCGTCCCCATCGTTTCGCCACCCAAGAGCGCCGTAGTAGAGCGCAGCGACATCCTTGGCACATGCCACGACCAACTGCATGAGCGCCACGTCCTCCTCCGATCGGCCTTCCTTGACCAACGACGCCTTGGACCGCCCAAAGAAGCTGGCGACGTCGGCGGCCGTGAGCACCATGAGCTGGCTCGTGTGGCTCAACACTGTGCGCAAGAACGGAGTGTTCCACACGACTCGATACTCTTGCTGGAATCGCGTGCGGACGCGTTCTTTCCACATCGTCACATCGTCAACTAGACACATGACAATATAATCAAAGCCAAAACACATCCAACAATACGAACGCTTTTTTGGCTGAGATTGTAGCCATCCAAGGCATTCGTTGGCCGCAGATTGCATCGGCGCTTGTCCTCCAACGTGCGCGACCACGTCAATCCCATGCCACGGAACTTGCAACCTGCCCAAATCGTATGTATATGCCCCCGTTTACTGTATTCAACACATTTAGTACCGAGTGTGCAGCGCTTCCCATAAGTTGGGCGACGACGTGGCACGGTCTTGGGGAAAGTTTGTGCTCACTGCGACGATGTTGATTGCGTTGAGTTGTGCGTCTGGGGTATGGAACACGCCTTGGCGATCGTCCCGGTTGGCAAGACCCTATTGATAACGAGGCCAAGTCACAATCATCCGACAACAATGGAAGGATCAACCACACCCCGTGAATGTAGTAGTACCTCAAACGTGTATGCGTATCGAGTGGACGGCTCCAAGTTTGTGCACCGAATGGTCGTGGGGGTATTGGGCTGAAACGCTTGGGCAAAGCGCAATCTAGTTCGTACGTTATGGGTCATGACATGGTCGAGATTGTCGTCGTCGTCGTACTCGATGTTGGCCAAGACATCCACGACCACACAAGTGATGGTTGCGGCGGCGTTCACTTCGAGCACAATACACACGTGCACCGTTGCGTCAAACGTCTGGTCGTTGTCGGGCTCGACGACTTGCATCCGCCCAACAATCGGACCCGTCTATGGTGCCGCCATTATACAATGTATCATCCAACCTCTACTATTTCAAATTGTACAATTGCATAGCACGGTTTCGTGAAAGGCAACCAGTGGGCGACGTGGTACCATTGCATCACGTCCAAGTCGGACGTTACATGCACGTGTCCGTAGCCTTTGGTCCCGTCCACGGCATTCTCCGCCTGCGACGATGGCTTCCCGTCGCGTCCTGTCGCCAATCAGGATTCCAAGATTTAAAAAAATATGTGACGTGGTTTGTACCGGCCATCACGTCCCGGGCAAACGTAAATCGCTTTGAAAAGTGACCCCCGTCTATCGGATACGAAGGCGCGTTCAGGCGTCGCGACGACGTGATCGACCCCACGGGGATCAGGCGGAGCGTCGCGTGGCTCCGCTGGTCTGTGACGATGTACGTGTCGGTCGTGGTCGTGCTCTGCATGAGGATGGCCACGTTGCGGTCGTTCAGGCGCTGGTTTTTCCAGTCAAACACCTTTTCCAGCAACCGTGTGACGCCGATGAGGAAAATGGACGCCATCGACGCTTCGAGGAGGTCGCAGCATACCACAACGCACATCAATTTGCCTATTTAAACCCATCAATAAACGATGGTCCTACGAATGTCGTACAGTTGTGCTTGGCACCAATGATAGCGTCATCCAAGACCAGCCAGGCTGCCGGTGGGAGCAAATTGTTGGCTTGGGCGACTTTGGTCAGGTCGATACCGGCGGACTTGGTGGAATTTCTCTTGGCCATTGGCTTTTTCGATGTAGTGGTGGAAGAAGATGGGGGGGGGTCGTCGACCACTGGGGGGTTGAGGTTCTTGTTGAGAATAGCTAGGGTGCAGTGACCGTACTGGACAAAGCTGGCGGTGCGTGTCGCGAGCACATCGTCTGGAACTACGTCCAGCCACAGCTGGTTCTGGTAGTACAGCCATACGAATTGCGCGATTTCTCGAATGAATTGGACAATCTACCACCACGCGTTCACGTGGTGTTTGTTCGAGGGGTTGTGTATGTACCTCGGCCACGTCAGCTAAGCGGTCGTCAAACGTGGACTCGACTAAGGACGCGGAAAAGTACAGATCGGGTTCGTCCACGAGCATGACGTTGCCGCACACGCGCAGCGCGTCTCGGAATGGAGGGATGTTCCATTGCACTCGATATACTTGTTGCATGCGGTGTTGGATCTACATACATATATAGCATTGTCATTTGTGCAGTGATTCTACTACTGAAGTGAAAATCGACACGAGAAGTATGCAGGATATAAGAGTACCTCTGGTCGCATCAACCTATTCCATTCGTCTTTGGGCATGTCAAGCATCCGTCGCACCAGCGCCACGAGCTAACATTCCACCAATCAAACACTTTGTTTAGGAGTAGTTGGGTTGTAAGGATTGACGAATGACCTCTTTGTCTGTGAACGCGTGTTTCATGTGCACTTGGCCACCAATGTGCACGAGAAGCAGCGGTCGTCGGAGTGGAAGGGCCGTGGTGGTGTCGTGGATGGTCTGCCATAGGTTGTCCCGACGGTTGAGGCCATCTCCGTTGTTGGTCGCGGTGGCAGCGGCATCTGTGGCGTGATACGGAGCACTCGTGAGAATCTCCCGCCACAACGACCCGTCGTTGTCTGTGAGATTCCTCCAATCGGAGTCGTGAACCAGCACGCAGTCAAACGCAAACGGGTGGTTGTGGGGGGTTTGAAACGTTGTCACATGGGTGTCCACCGTCCACGCGATGCCCTTCGTTCCCATGTCACGGAATGATGATATATATCCATAGGGGGATTGCTACCTCGAACGAGATGGCATAGTGCGAGAGGGGCTGGAGGTCAGACACGACAAAAGCTGCAGGAAGACTTGCTTGCATGCTCCGAGTGTGGATATGGCTACAACACAGCCCACGTCAACAACTAGGGTAGTGGATCGCTTGGTCAACATATATTTGTGAATGTATACCGCTCTTGAGTTTGAACGTTCGTGCACACACACGTGCAAGCGTCCACGGCACTGTTCACTTCGAGCAAAACGCGGACCGAAGTCGCGGTGATTTTGCCCAACACTGGCCCCACTAGCACCTGCATCCTATGAGTGTGCATTGAAGAGGAAACGTACCTTGGCGCTGGGCTGATGGGTAACCACTTGATGCACACAAAACTGTGCGAGACTTGGATGCGGCACCGCCGTGACCGTGGCGTACTGTGTGTCGCTGGTGCGACTGCTGCAGGAATGGTCGACCGTAAAGCGATCGAGAAAGTCGCCGGACTTGGGGATAATTGTGGATTCAACTGGGTTCGCCACGGGGCCCACCACGAGTTGTTGGACGGTCACGCCGGTTTCGTTAATTTGTATCGTCGACTTGACTCCCAACGGCCCACCGCACACAAACAACACGTTGCGCGCCTCATCCTACCTACTCATCACGACGGTTGTTCTCGAAAACATGTAGTTGCTTACATGGGCTTTCCACGCGGCGACCAATTCAAGCAACTTGCGCAGTTCGGTGGGGTACATGATCCAATCCCGCCATAGCAACGTTGGCTCGACGTTGGAACGCGCAACGTGCCATACAATCGGCACATCGCACGTGATCGCAAGGCAGTGCGCCGTCGACGACGTCGGTGCCAGCACCTGGTCCACCAGGGCCCACTGCTCGGGACTTAACAGTTCTGGCGTCTGCGATAACGTCATAAGAACATATTCACGATACATGTATATATATAAATATATATGTACATGTTGCAGATACGTGTGTGTCGTGGCCAGTCGATGCTCGAGCACGTCCAAGTGGAGCACCCCAATGGCTGCATGGCCTGTCAGGGTATGGTAGCTGTATCGATGCAATGCTTGGGCACTGGTTTGGGCATGCTGCTGGTACTCCCACGCCACGCGTTCGGCACACTCGACCACGCGCTGACTCAGATGCAGCACCGTGTACTGGCTCCAGTCCCATCCAGACCCGACAAACCAGTGGCTCCCCCGTCTCAAAATCAACTGGTTTTCCTGCCAATGCCTGCGAATGGCATGTCGAAAGCACGTCGAGATGCCGTCGGTGTTGCTTGGATCGGCTTCCCACACCCGCATGGCTTCGTGCGCTGCATCCATCGTGGACAAATGCTGGCCAACATAAAGCGTCGCGTCGGAGCTAGGAAACGTCAATTCGTTCGTGGCCAAATCTTGCCAGGCCGACACTGGCATTGAAAACGGCACTGCTTGGTCTTGCCGGGGAAACAGTTGGTCGTGCGAGACGCACGTGACGTGGAGCGCTGGGGCGTTGACTTGCCTCGTGTGAAACGTGGCTGTGGATTGCAACGAGGGTGGTAGCCCCTACGCGACACCCACATGATACAGTATGTAGCTGCAGCAGTTCTCTTACTTGAATTTTAAAGTCGTAGCATCTTTGGGGAAGCAAGTTGGTGAGCTGCACTACCACGGGACGATACGCCACCGTCCGTTGATGACATGTGATCCTACATCTTGTGGTTCAAATCACACCGAACCAAGCAACGCATGTACGTACGTGGCCTGGGTCAGGCGATCGATGACGTGGCATACGAGGACAACTTCACGGTTCACTTCGAGCAAAATGGACGCTTCCGACGACGTGACGAGGCCGACTACGGGGCCCACCTACGAATGAACTCCTGACAGACCATTCAGATACGATTATTTACAAGGCTTACGAGCAGCTGCAATGGTTCGGGGAGTTGCGTATTGACCAACTCGACTGTGACATCGTCAGCCACTGTGCTTTCATTCTCCTAGCCAGTGTATCGGATGGGAACTACGTCTCACCTTGTCGCAGGATATCGGGGAGAATCAAGCAGTACCGAACGACGTGACGTTTGAATGCAAACAACAGTTGCAATGTGAGTGTCCACGCGCACACTGGTGGTCTCGACAACAAACTTATCGAGCACGTACGAGGCCAACGATGCAGTCGAGTCGCTGGCAAATGGGAGGGTTGGCCGCAAAGATCCGCACACGAGATGGACAAACGACGACGAAGTGTTCTGCAACGACACTTTGGCCATGTATCCTGGCGAAAATGGAGGCGCGCACGCCACGACCACCAGCCTCGACGTGTTGGCGCGCAACTTCCACGTCATGAACGAGTCGACGAGATCGACCGACGAATTGGACGGAGCCAAGGGCAACAACGGAATCGATGTGACAACCACAACCGTTCCTGTGGTTGGGCCAGCCAAGAGACGTCGTGCAATGTCGTCGTGTGGAGAGCGCTGCAGCAAGAGGCGGACATCGCCGCCGAACGAGATCGAGTCCGTGTCGGCAGGCCACAAACTGTGCAGGTACGAAATGCACATGTGTTGAACTTTGGCCTCTAGCCATTCCACTTGATGGCGCGGGATCTGACTCAACGCGGTCTTGTCTTCTGGTGTAAAGTGCCCATACATGACGTGGCTCCACGACGTGACAAACAGATTCGACGACACGCGGTACACGTAATGATACGCAGCCAACGACGCCCGGAAATGACTGGCCACGCGGCTGCACGCTATGTCTTCGTCCAAGCGACGTGTCGGTTGGGCCTAAATGCAATGTGTGCCAGTTAGTCCCAGGTATTACACAGCTACTACTAACTACGCCAAGCGATCGCAACGTTTCCAAGACCATACGCGGCGCCATGCACCCTACAAGGCGTGGTGGATTCCTGGGAAGATATATATGTTGAATGAATAAACCGACCGACGTTCCAGTGGACACTGATGGTTTGACTTGTGGGTGGTGCGTGATGGAGTTTGTCGAACGCTGCGTCGTACGAAAGCCGCTCGTTGTGCCCTAGTGTTGTCGTTGAATGGCTTGTCTTTGGACTCCAGTGGTTGAAGAATTGGATGGACATCGCTGCTGTCGTGGTTGGAAGCGTGGTTACTTGCGCCACTGCCGCGTTCGCGTCAGATGGGGCCATGTCGTTCCCCATAAGACAAAGAATATAGGTTGTGGCAGGGGTGAGGGCCTTGAAGTGGGCCACCAATGGCTCGTACGGTCGCAACGCTAACTCGACGCGTTCGTCCAAGATGAAATGGGAACTGCCCACGTCGGACGACATGTGCGTCGCTGGATCTGTAGGTCGGAAGGCGCAACATGACACTAGTGTACGACATGTAAATCGTCAAGCAAAGGAGGTTACCAACCAACACAGTGTGTACCAGAAGTCAGCGGCGCTGCATTGAATTCGTACATCACTCGGCATTCCCGAGAGGTCACCTGTGTGTGTCATGGTCGTCCTGTGATTCTCCCCAGCAACAAAGAATACGTACTTGTCCCACGACTGGTCCACACACAACGCGAACCGTGCCACGTAATACCGGTCTGTCGGGAGCTGGGTGCAACGCTAGCTGGAGAAGGTAGTACGGGTCGGACGTCAAGTACACTTGCTTGGCATGGACAACGGCGCTCATGTTGTGAATCAAGGCTCGGGCGCGGTACCCGCAGCTAAGTTCACATGGACCTCAATCAACGTGGATACATATCGATGGCAAGGCACATACGTGATAAAGTCCATGAGAGATTGCGGGTCGGCGTGAAAGATGCACCAGGTGAGAAACTGGGTAAAGTTCATTTTCGAGCCGTATGCAATGTCGTTCTGGAGGAACCCCCGCGCCGCCATCGCACCGATTTCGTGAAACGAAGGGATACAGTCCAACACACGGAATTTGCGCAGGCCATCGCACACGATCGTGATCATCATGGCCAACTCGTCTTCGGCGATCTCGTCTTCGATGTCAAAGTCCAAGAGTTGAAACATGAATTGACACTTCTTCTCCCATGATCCGCGACTAAGCACGGTGAACGTGAGCAAGAACTCGAGCAAGTCCATTTGATCCCGTTGATTCGTGGAGGTGTGCACTTTCATGCGATCAAACAACTGCCGCGCTTCGACGTCCTCGTCGGCGGATGTCCCTTCCACGATGTACAGGAACTCGTCAAGCGTGAGCGAGTACCCTCCGTCCATCATATGCGGATTCAACCAGCGCCTGTATGTCTCCCATACCCGTTGGATCCGCTCCAATGTGAACCGCTTGTTCAGAAGGTACAATTCCTCGACGACTGCCAGCAGAGACTCCATTTTGATGATGGATGGATCTTCTATCAAAGAACTTGGCGCTTTTGATTGGAGATTATCCACCAATCCAAAGCGTTCAATTCGTGAGTAAACAAAATATGATTGGTTAGAACTACTATTTAACATTAATACGCCATCTACTAGTATAAACTACCAACTTTTCACAAAATTTTCTGACTTCTATTTCATCATGCTATTATTTTTTTCATATCATTTTGATATTTAACCTATGGATATTTAGCCATAGGGGTGGCCGCTGAGTTGTATCTTGATTTTTGTATGTGACTCTTATCCGTATTTTAACTGCATTAATTGTACGTTAAATACTAAAACCTCCACTCTTCGATTTGGCCAGTTGGAAGTTTTTAGATGATGTGCACCATATGAGTTTGCATGTTGAGGTGAAAATCGACGGAAATTCCTCGTGTTAAACCTTATTCCTCGACGTATTTGGCAAAGAGGTTTTCGTGGTTTGTCATGGCCTTGAACTCGAGGTTATTCCCGCTCGGGTCCTTGAAGAACATAGTCCATTGCTCGCCTTTTCGGCCGACAAAGCGAAGGTGTGGCTCCACGATGAACGGAATGCCCTTGGACTGCACTTTCTTCGCCAAGGCATGGAATTGGTCGACACTCAAGCACACACCCATGTGAGGGACAGGCACATCGTCCATGTCTTTAGGAATCGTTACATCATCCGTACAACCCAAGCAATTTGGATGCCCTTACCAACAGGGTTGTGGTAATCAATGCCTTTGTACGTAGGACCCACTTCGTGGACAACCAATTGATGCCCAAGCATGTTGTAGTCCTAGCGGGAACTCAATTCGCGCTATCATTTGTAGAGGTGTTACCTGCCATTGCGTAGACGATCGGCCTTCCGTGAACCCAAGCAATCCTCCGTAGAACGCTTGTGCTACATCCAACTCCATAAGACTTCAGGTCACGGCTTACGGAGTACCAGCTTTGAGGTTATGCACAGGAATAGCAATGTGGAAGGGTGCCACCGACGACACGCGGCGCACGGACAACGCGAGTCGAGACGACAGCATGACTGACCACACGAAAGAGAAAAGTGCAGATGGCAAAACAATCCGGACAAAATCAGATCTTTATCCGGACAGATCGTTCTTCAATAAGTGCAGCTCGCCCCAATCGTTGAATCATGTGACACCTATTGAAGGCGCTTACGTTAATGCCGTATACTAACTGTAAGTACTCCAAAGTACTAGTACTACGTAGTAATATATTAATAGTACTGAGTATTAATACTACGTATCAATAATAGTAGCACCCATTGCAGCTTTGGGATGAAGAAGTGCTCCGGATGTGAATACCATAACGGATGATTGGATATTTTTTGGAAATTGTTTTGAGTTTTTGGTAAAAAGAATACACTATTTTAAGCGTTGTGTATTGTGCGCGAGATTCTACAGTACTCTACACAGTCTTTACTGAATCGTTCTTGGCGCAACAATTCCTCTGTTGCTTACGTTATCGTGTCACTTGTTATTATGTCCCAGTCAAATGCAGTGTATACCAAACCAAACATTCTAGCTAGGGGTAAAGTGCATCACCAGTGAAATGTACTTCAGTAACCCTGAATAGCAACAGTAGGGGTCCGGGGGTTGCGAGCTTACAGGGCTACTGGTTCTTTTGATGGGAAATTCTTGCGTACTATTAAGTAACAGTGGAACTGTCGCTCTCAGGGAATTGTTCGTCTTGGGCGGGACACTCCGGCGTACTGTATGGTTAGACATCAGTGACACGTGACATCCTTTGGTAGTAAACATGCAGCATGGCTTGGCAAGAGTTACCTACTAGTACAGAGCGGTTCTCAATCCTTGGATGCACAAGGCAGTGCGGAGACCTCATTGGCGAAGTGTGGAGGATCCTTAACTTCAGGGTGACAATACAATAACGTTATGGTACATATCTTTCGTCGTTGCCGATGTAATCACTGCATTGATTCGTCAATAATACACCAATCAAAACCACGAAACCAGAAAATTTGAGTTTGGTTGGCCAAATGAGCCTGAACATGTGTTTGAACTGTTCTGACCAACAAAAGTGCCACATTCGATCCGGCGGCAGTCCACGATGATCATTCGGCAACTCCATGGCACGACTGAAGAGACCGAGCCCGTGGCGATGCTCTTGCCGTATACGTTGGCATTGACCATGTCCGCTGGCATGTCCTTGGCCACGTGTTTTACGGTATTCAAATGGACGAACGTGATGCGCGATGCAGGCCACGGCACCATGTTCATGGTGTTTGCGTCGGAAGGTCTGTGGTCGTTGCTCAGCTTGGCGCGCATGGTGGGCGTGTACATCAATAATCGATTGAGCACCCTCGAATACGGCCCCATCCTCCACATGACTATCTCGTCCGAGATCTTCTTCAACACGACATCACTTTGGTTCATGGCTGTCGCGTACGAAATCCAGCGGCGGGCCCTGAACGCTCGCTCGGTACAGAGCAGTCGCGTGGCCATGACATGGTACACGACCGTGATATTTGGACTGACGCTCGTGATGCACATTACCATGACTCTGCTGGAGCTCTTGGATGTCAAGATTCCAATCACAACCAACAACGGCGATGTGGAGATGCAGCACTTGGTGGACCACGTGTTGAACTACATGACCTGGTTTACGTGGGGCACACGATCCGTGTCTGTGGTGTTTGCTGGCCTCGTGGCGTTGTGGCTCTACTGGCAGCGAGCCCGGGTGTCCTTCCACAGACTCCCCACTGCCCTCATGTGGATCGTGTCGTTGTTTTTCGTTCTCAACATGCCGTACCTGGTCCAGCATACCCTTCGGGACGTAGGCGTGATCGAACCAAACGAATCGCCGATGCTCACAAGTGCACTCAAGTGTGCGACGTTTTTGCATGGAGCCATCATCTCAGTGATCATGGGCCAAGCTGTTGGGGGCTTCGACGTGTTTTTTCACGTTAGTAGGCAGTTTGGCGGGGCCAAACACCTCGAGTTTTTTGTCTTTTCCGAGAGCCAAAGTGTCATTCGGTACTAATAATACACCACATTGCCCTTTTCTTAAATCACTTTGTAGTACGATTATATTGTAGCCAATCAGAGGCACATATTAAGCGACCCATTTGGCAGTAAATAATCCGGATAACGCTCGTTGGAAAACTTCGACCGCGCGATTGCCTGTTGGGATTGTACTATTGTTCGAGGGGTTCAGGTTCATTGAGGGGCGTTTGCGCTTCAGCTCCTATGTCTCCATTACGACAAACATCCATCAGAAGGCCTAAAGAAACGTACATTCATTCGATATTTGTCCACTGCTTTTGACCTCGCCGAGTCTGATGCCGTAATTTTCTTTATGTCAAATAACGTTCTGACAGAGAATTCCCTTTTCAAATGCGACGTGAGAAAATACTTTCAACAATTTTTGAGGTGATCTCTGGATGCCATGAAGGAATGAGAACTATTACTCAAAAGTCATACCGGTAAAACTTGGACAGTTGCAGTTGAATTATTATTCTGTCAGAAATCAGTAAAAATTCGATGTATTGTGTCCATTTACTCCGGAGTATATAAAGCTGTCGTTTGAAAAAAAATCATAAAATATTTCTGAAAAGTTGCAAACATTTTTTTTGTGGCGGCCAGAGTGGCCCTAAACAATTAAAAACTAGTATTAATATTTAATTGCAACCATTTCGTCCGACAATTATTTCTTTGTTTTTCGCGATTGCATCTCACAACCATTTCAATTTGCCATCGCCTTGCAATTAATTTCTGTATTTAATATTTTTTCCCTGCTTTTGATGCTCTGCTTGTCTTGGTTGCTGTAGTCGACGAGGGTCGATTCCAGCATGACGTCCAAAAACTTCGAGAAACGACGCACATTTCCGATCAACTCGGCTTGCGCCACGGCGATGTGGAAGGTACTGTACTTGACCCAGTCGCTATGATGCTCGGCGACTTGATGCTCTGGTTGTGGTAGTCGACGAGTTGAGAAGCGACCTGAGACGTAGAGTCTTTGCAAAATGTGTTGATGTACCGCTCGGTGGTGGCTGACGGCCAACGAGGCTCCATTCCATCGTCGACGGAATGGAGCCTCGCTTTTAGGACATGATTGTGGATAACACAAAGAACTTGGTCGACTTGTCGGTCAGAGACACCCCGCCTTGGTGAGGCATGCCACTCAGCTACATCAATGCGTCCAAGACAGTGTGTACTTCGCATGGTGGATATGCTGAATGATCCAACATGACGTACTATTACTGTAATAAAGTACCTCGAAGTATAACGTTAGCGTTAACTTATTTGAGATTTTATAGTAATGACAAGTGAACAAACGTTAGAGAACTTTACGGCCAGAAAAATAGGGTAAAATAGGGTGTACTGGTCACTTTACTACTACGTAGTATACTATATTTACTGTTAATACAGTAGAAGTACATTAAGTGACATGTCGTACTTTTTCACAAACTTGTCATTTCAAAATGACCTAGCCAATTAAATCGCTAGATTTGAGCTGGCCCAATTGGATTGGCCCAGGAGATGTGACACTTCTGAAAACGAAAAACAAAGCCAGTACAGCGACCATGACCGTCCGACGGTACCTCCATGGCAGCGGCGACAAGCGCGAAGAGCCTGAAGCGATGCTCCTCATGTACACATGGGTCTTGGCAATGTCTGCCGGCATGACTTTGGCCACGTGTTTCACAGTATTCAAATGGAACGATGTCAAACGAGATGCAGGTCACGGCACGATGTTTATGGTGTTCATGTCCGAGTGTCTATGGTCACTCATGAATCTCATTCGCAACTTTGTCGTGTACGTGAATAACCGACAAGACACACTTGACAACCTTTCGATCCTGCGCTTGTCCATTCCGTGCGAGGTGTTCTTCAACACGACGTCGCTGTGGTTCATCCTCATTGCGTACGAGATCCATCGACGGGCGCTTCAGCCTCGCTCCGAGTGCAGCAGTCGTGCCGCCATGTTACGGTATTCCCTTGCAATCTACGGGCTCGCCGTATGCATGGTCGTGTCGCTGGTCGCGTGCGACGCCCTTGACCTTGAATTCGACACCATCGACGACGAAACTGGTAAGCCCAAGGTGGAACGTGTGGCAGAGTTCGTGTTGGAGAACATGTCGTGGGCCACATGGGCCGTTCGGTTGGCGTCCGTCTTCTTGGCTGGCGCTATGGCCGTCCTGCTCTTTCGCAAGCGGCACCACGTGGCATTCCACAAACTTCCCGCGGCCCTCGTCTGGATCGTCGCGTTGTTTTGCCTCTTCAACATCCCGTACCTGGTGCTCGAGCCCCTCTGTGACATTGGCGTGATCAATGTAACACTTGTCCCATGGATGCCCAGTGCTCTGAAATGTGCCACGTACATGCATGGAGCCGTCATCGCCGTCATCCTCGGCCATTCGGTGTCCGGATTTGACCAATTCTTCCTCGTCAAACCGCGGTTGCGCTCCAAAGCCATCGACTTTTTCGTCTGTTCCGAAAGCCAAAGTGCCATATTGAGTTAAAAGCATTTGTGTTGTTTTGTGTTTAATCGCACGTCAAAACCATAGCAACGTGCCGAGTGTAACTAGTTATCGACGACACAACCAATTGCGCTTAACGGAGAATATTTTGGCCTAAATGTCATCCGGATAATGTAACCGGTTATGCGCGATCAAACCTCCGGATAAAAGGCTTATACGGATGGCACCACCACAAGTTGATAAAACGCCTCACCGAGGAGACCAGACATCGCGATGGCTGCGTCGATGTGCATTGAGTGCGAAGACACAGAGGCCAGTCTATCGTGCGTAGAGTGCGACGACCTGTACTGCGACTTGTGCTTCCAAGCACAGCACCACTCGGGGAGTCGGTTGCGGCACACAAGAACGGTCCTCGCAACATCGTCGTCGTCTGTACCTCCTCCAAGTCCACTTGTAGAGTTGCCCATCATCGACGTGGTGCCAATTCAAGTGGACGAAACCATGGAAGATGTGTCCATGGATCAAGCTACGTTGGCGAAGGAGACCCAGCTGATCCTCCGCCGCGCCAAGGTGATGCCTATGCGGCTCAGCGACAGCGAACGCGTGCTGTTCAACCTCCTCGACGCCGGGCTCAACGTGTCCGAGTACACGGACAAAGTGGACATCCTGTCGTACCAATCCCCCGTGAAGCGCATATTGAACGAGCTCACGGATCTATTCAACATCATGTCTGGCATGTTGGTGGCCAGCGACTTTCGGAATGGCAAGAAGCGCATTGCCGGCCAAAAGTACCACGACAACGCCGACTTTTTCAAGGCTGTGTTTGAGATCGGTCGGCGTTACAAGATCATGAATCCGGGTACGACCTTTTATCCGCCTTTACTTTGTCCATCTTCGTATGCATCCATCAATCATCCCAAACCCTCATATGACCTAGAACGCATGCGAAACAACTACGGCAAGATGATCTACCTCTTACAAGATGCGAGCATGCAGGAAATTGAAGACCACTTCGAGTTTAGCTGCATCGAGCCGACGCATACTGTTCACTCGTTCTTGGCGGACAGGGAGGGCTTGGACTTGCTGCAGGACGCCGACGTGCCCGTGGCCACCCGTTCCCTCGCCGACTCGTGTGGTGTCGGTCAACGGGCGATCAAGTCTGCCGCCATCGACGCCATCATCTCCCGGTAAACTAATACTCCTAGCGATACATCCATTTCCAAACACTCTTAACCCGAGTGATTGGGCAGGCACACGACCACCTTGCTCGGTGCCGACGACATCCGCCGCGTGCTGAGCTCGATCGACGACAACAACAGCTACCTCGCGCTCAACTGCACCCCCATCACGCGCATGCAAGCGTTGCTGGAGCAGTACTTTCAATCCCCCGCGCCCTTTAGCCTCGAGATCCGCGCCGGAAAGAACGGCGCGCGGCTGAGTCACTCGCATAAGACTCAATATGCGTACGCGATGCAGTCGCTGTCGTTGTGGAGGAACATCACGCTCGAAATGTTCCCCCTGTGGTTTGCCGTCGAAGAGGACTTGATCCACGGCGGTGGGTACCGACTCCGGGTACTCTTATTCTTGTCAAATTCTATCGTCAACTCGTTTGGAGTACTCATTGTGGTGTTGGGTACTCATTGTGCATCGTGACCTCATTTGGGTACTTATTAGTGTGGAATTGTGTTGTTGATCGTCACTTTATTTGGAGTACTCATTTTTGAGAGGTGCTCATTGTGCATCATCACTTCGTTTGGAGTACTACTCGTTATTGCGGGGGTACTAATTGTTCATCATCACTTCATCCCAAGTACTCATTGTTGGTGGGTACCCATTGTTGACCATCACTTCATTTGGAGTACTCATTGATGTTGGGTACTCATTGTAGCCATCACTTGTTTGGAGTACTCATTGTTGTTAGGTGCTCATGGTGTATAATCATCACTTCCTTCATTTGGAGTACTCATTGTTGTTGAGTACTCATCGTGTATAATCATCACTTCATTTGGAGTACTCATTCTTATAATCAGATTGAGTACTCAATGTTGTTGTCGAACATTCAATCCACTCATTTGGGTATATATTATTTTTAGGACACGGGCCAGGGATTGAACCGCATGCAGCGGGCACCGCACACGTCGCAACTGATTCACGCCATCCTTTCGCACACGCAGAAGACGTCACCGATGGGATGGGTCGGCTCGTCCGCCATCCACTTGGGCGACCACAACGTCCCGAACGCTCTCATGTTCATTGACAAGTACACCCAAGTGTCTCGGATCCTCAGCCCCGTCGTCCAAACGTGTGACTTTGTCACGCGCATGCAGCATGACGTGTACATCCAAGGCCTCGGGGGCGCCGAATTTGTGCGGCAGTCCATCCTGGCGGACTTTTTCAAGCACGCGTTCGACGGCAGCGGCGCCGACAACTTCTTTGACGCAGGGTCGTGCATCGATGGCCGCCTCACGAGTGCATGGAACTGGTGCTCCAAGATCGAAAAGAAGTCGTTTTACCACGTGTTCCTCATGGCCGGGTTTGTCGGGTTTGACGGGAGCTTTGAAAAGTGATATGCCATGTCATCATATACATGTACTAGTATCATTCACCAAGAGCATATTACTATGTAGTACTAGTACGACAAGATATAAAGTCCTAAATATAGACAGACTCAAATATGGAACGGTTCTTTATGCTTGTGGTGTTGAGGCTGCTAGACTGAGCATATATTATGCCCATGAGTAATACTAGTAGTAGCAAGGGAAGCACACACGAGGACGACCAGCCTCTGTCCAAGCAACGCGACATGCCAAGGCGGGCCCCGAAACGGAACCACCGAAAGCCGGGGCTCCTCGACCCTCTAGGCGAGCTAGTAGTAGTACCCATTGTTGATGAGTCGCCGGCCCCGCTTTCGCGGGTGACAAGGTCGCCCGACCGCCTCTCGATGCGAAATGACCAGCGCCAGGACGCCGAATTTGCTCGCCTCGTTGGCGCCGCCCAAGCATCCATCCAAGCCAATGCCGACGCCATGGACGCGGCAGCCGCCGTCGCGGCGGTCCTCTCGCACGTAGAAGAACGTCATTACGCGTCGTTGGCCCTCCGCAAGCAACACATTCACGTGCTCCAGCAGCTCGAAGCGGACTTGGAAGCGTTCGAACAAAGCATGGACGGCACGCGACAGCGTTTTCGCGCCGTGGCCAACCAGCATTTGCATGCGATCGCCGAGCTCTTGCTTCGCCACGAAGCGTCGTCGTCGTCGTACGTGCCGCCACCTGCTGCGTCGACATCTTCGGTATCACCCTCTGGCGTGACGGCGGACGAAAATAGTGTGGCCATGCACCTCCACGAGGCTGGCGCGGCATACAAAAAGGCTGGGGATCAGCGGTACGTACTACCATGAGGAACCAAATGATGTTGGCTTAAAAATCACTTGACCATCATGACTTTTACAGACACGAGTGCGTGCCAGTGTTGGCACACAAAGCCCAAGGCGATCGGTGCTTTCATGATGCTATCATGTTGGTTCGACGAGGGGGAGGCGGCGGCGACACTGACTTGGACACGGCGGTGCTGCGCATGGCGGAGGCCGCCACCGCGTATGCAAAGTACCGCGAGTCGCCGCTCTTTGACCAGTGTCAGCTCATGCTGTCAGTCGCAGTGAACGACATTGCGTGGTCTCATGTAAGGAAATAATCGTTAGGGTGGCACCATCTACGCTAGTTCTGACTCGTGCGTGTAACGTTAGAATGCACTGAATGACGCCACGTACAGCCTGGACCTGCGCATCAAGAGCGCCAGGCGCGACTTCGTCGAATCCGAAGCTCGGGCGTGCATGGTGGAGGCGCTGGAAAGTGCCAAACAAGGCATCGTGCAAGCCAGTGGGGGCCAGTATGACGTGGCACTGCTCAAGCACGTGCAAAGATGCAATCAGTACATGTCGTGGTTGGGTCGTCACAACCCGGCGACACTTGCCGCCACTGGCGTCACTCCTGCGGTCACGGCAGCGTTGGAGAGAAAAGTGCACAAGTCGAGCATTGCTTATGGCTGTCGCACGCTGCCCGGGCGTTCCGAGTACGAGTGTGAGCAGCTGGTCGGTCACTGGACCGCCTTGGCCAAAGGTGACGTCGAGCTGGCGACAGTTCTTGTGACAGAGTCCGCCTTGCAACAAGCAACCTCCGCGGCGCTAACCGCCTCGAGGGACAAGCAATTCCCTGCACTTTTGGTCTTGAGTGACACGCTGTTGACTGCATTGGGAGGTACCTCCGTGTATTGGGTACTGTCTGTATACAATTGCATAATGAGCATGGTAGCGTCGATGCCGCCGGCGTTCACGTTGACATGGCTCCCGTTGCTGTGCCAGATGACGGCCGCAGCCTCCGACCCCGTCATCGTCCCCGCCCTCCTCCGTCGTCTTGAGCATCTCATGGCCACCAAACAGGTCGTGCACCACGTCGTATCCAAGTGTGGCTTGGTCGCGTTGGTCCAAACGCTACGGGACAGCGACTTGAGTCACCAGGATATCATGCAAGCCATTGTCGCTGTCGTCGCCAAATGTACAGCCGTCCACCCCAAGTGCTTCAACGACGACGCGCACCTCTGCGTGGTCCTGCCTGTCCTTTGCGCCATGTTACTTCGACACGCCAAGTCGCCAGCCCTCGTCGCCGACATCATCTCCCTTCTAACCAGCCTGTTCAGTAACTGTACCAACCTCACAGCGTCCAACGCTGCCGACTGCCAACTGGTGGCAGCTGTCGCGCCAGCCTTAGCTGCGTGCAACCCGCCCTGTCAGGCCTCGGCTCTGCTTCTCCTGCGAGACTTAGCCCAATCCGATAAACGCGTACTGGCTCAATGTCGACAGCACCGCGCTGCTCTTGTTTCTGCCATTTCCCCGATGGACCCAGCGTGGATCGTCGCTTTTTCCGACCAGCTCACGTCATAACCCCTCAAATTATATTGTATTATTAATAACTGCCCCACACAAAGTGTGAAATCACATTGATGTTCACATCGCCATCTAACAAGTAACTTTAAATCATATTTGCGGCTCATTATATGGTGGCATGTCACGGCTGCTGCTTGTGCGTGTGATGAGCTTTGATCGTGGCGGTTAGCTGTTCCAGCGCCAATCGCAACGTGTTGGCGTGGTCATGCACCGATCGCAGCACGGCTTCGCTTTTTGCCGACGCTTCCAGGGTTTCTGCTTGCATGAGCGCGGTGAGGATGGACGAGGACTGCGCCATGAGGCTGCCGAGCGACGTCGGGTCGGGGTCTTCTGTCGACGGATTGGGGTTGGTCGTAGTGACGGCTTCCACAGACGACGGGCGATGGTGTGATGGGGGATGCGAAGGACGAGATGATGTGCCATTGGGGTGGTGGCGCAACCTGGATGTGACACTGTCAAACACCCACTGTCCATTGGTGTGATCGAGTCGGTTGGCGTCAGGGACGTCCGCGGCGTCCGGAGCCAGCCGCCGCACGCGCAGCTGCTGGTCGTCGAGCACGTGGCAATGGCCATGATGCTCGGAACCCCACGAGCCCAATATCCTGGCCTTGGATTCAACCGTGATGCCCCATACCCGCGTGGTTTTGAGCATCGTCGCGTTGAAACTGAACGAGCAGTCGAGGCGCTTGCTTTTGGAACGTCGCGTCTTGACTCCGTCCTTCTTGGGCGTGGGTCGGCCGCCCAGATCGCATCGGTACTTTTCTAAGTCGACACCAGAAGCTCTCGTTGTGTCCATCGTGGGCAAAGCAACCAGCAGATGCTACTACGTACGTGTACAGATCTCCTTCACGGCACGGCCATCCACAAGATCCACGCGGGATTTGCGTGAACACTTGACCATCGGCATGTGAAGGCGGTTGAACGACGCAAGGATAAACTCGTCGAACGCGTCTTTGTGCGGCGACGTGAACTCGAGGATGCAGGCAATGTCGATGAGATCGTTCCCGGGTGGTGGTGGCTCTTGTGGAGTGGGAGGGGCCACCGTCTCTGCCGCCGACGCTGCCGCGACGTCTGGATCACACGGAGATGTCATTGCGAGGTCCATGCGTTGGTTCCATGCAGCAAGCACAAGAAAGGCACAGGGGAAGCTGGGAATAATTCAGTAAAACGCGTTTAAACGTGAAGTTGTTGAAGTGCGAACAGTATTATTTTAAATGCGAGCCGTTTGTATGGGAACGTCACAACGACGGCCGCACACTCTTCATCACGATGACATGCAGCGAGCGCAGAGTCGCTCAAGATTGCCCAAGTATGATAGCCGTAGAAGTCTCCTACACTTGTGCGTATGATGGAGAAACATTGCATGAGAAATGGACAGTTCATACTTTCCCTTGGGCGCAGTGTACAAGGTCGCCGTAGAGTAAATTTGTTAGCGGGCGAAGTGGCCACAAAGCAGCCGGTTGAAGTTGGTGAGTCGAGGGTTGAATAACGCACTTAAGCGGAGGGTTTAACCATACGTTTTATCCACGTGGTAAGCCTTTTTGCACCACACAGAATGTCATTTTTGGATTTGACGGTCACGACCACACCATGCGATCTGCGTTGCTCCGAAGTGTGGCGCTGCGTCCGTCGCACAAGGCACATGTACGTACTGACGTCATCTTCCTCTTCATTAGGACGGCATCTTGACAATGCTGCCTTAGATGCCGATGTGGATGGCGGCATTTTCGTCGACGACGGAACCGGTGACCCCGGCCGCGCGCAAATTGGCGTTCAAGAAGAAACTCGACGAAACGCGCGCACAGGCGCTCTTGGGAGGTGGCATCAAGCGCCAAGAAGCCCAGCACAAAAAGGGCAAGCTCAGCGCCCGGGAACGTTTGGAATTGTTGTTGGACGAAGGCACGTTCCGCGAGTACGACATGCTCAAGACCCATCGATGCAAGGACTTCGGCATGGAAGCCCAGCAGTACCCTGGCGATGGTGTGGTGACCGGTCACGGCCTCATCAACGGCCGCTTGACGTATGTCTTTTCCCAAGATTTCACCGTGTTGGGTGGCAGTTTGTCGGAAACGTACGCGGAAAAGATCGTCAAGGTGATGGACAAGGCGTTGAAGATGGGCGCGCCCGTGATCGGGTTGAACGACTCGGGTGGTGCGCGCATCCAAGAAGGTGTTGCGTCGCTCGCAGGGTATGCCGACATTTTCCAGCTGAACGTGCTGGCGTCGGGCGTGGTGCCGCAGCTCACGATGATCATGGGTCCGTGCGCAGGCGGGGCCGTGTACTCGCCGGCCATGACGGACTTTGTATTCATGTGCCGCGACACATCGTACATGTTTGTGACGGGGCCGGACGTGGTCAAGACGGTCACGAACGAGGAAGTGACGCAGGAGCAGCTCGGCGGCGCCGTCACGCACACCAAGACGTCGGGGGTCGCGCACAAAGCATTCGACAACGACATTGAAGCTCTGCGTGAGCTTCGCCGGTTCTTCGACTTTTTACCGCTCAACAACAAAGGTACTGACTAACTAGCCATTGGATTTGCTGCCCACTGGCTGACATTACCGGTAGAAAAACCTCCCGTCAAGGACACCGACGACACGCGATTCCGCGCCGTGCCGACACTCGAGAGCATCGTGCCGCCCGACCCGAACGTCCCGTACAACATGCATGACGTGATCCATCAGTTGGTAGACGACGGCGACTTTTTTGAGATCATGCCTGCTCATGCCAAGAACATTCTCGTGGGCCTCGCGCGCTTTGAGGGCCGCGTGGTGGGCATCGTGGCCAACCAGCCCACCGAGCTCGCGGGCTGCCTCGACATCAACTCGTCCGTCAAGGCGGCGCGCTTTGTCCGGTTCTGCGATGCGTTCAACATCCCGCTCGTGACGCTGGTCGACGTCCCGGGGTTCCTTCCAGGGACAGACCAAGAGTATCACGGTATCATCCGCCATGGCGCCAAGCTCCTGTACGCGTACGCTGAGGCCACGGTACCCAAGATCACAGTCATCACCCGCAAAGCGTATGGCGGCGCGTACGACGTGATGAGCTCCAAGCACCTCCGCGGCGACGTCAACTATGCGTACGTGTCACAGTCGTCGTCTATTGCTTTTGGTTGAGAGATATCTTGTATATCTTATAGGTGGCCATCGGCTGAAATCGCCGTGATGGGTGCCAAGGGCGCCGTGGAGATTATATTCAGAGGCCAAAACGTCGAAGCCAACACGGCCGACTATGAAGAAAAGTTTGCCAACCCGTTGGTATGTCCAATATATATATATATATATATTGAAAATATGTATAGGTGGCTGCGCAACGGGGGTTTGTAGACGACATCATCGAACCGACCACGACGCGCCTTCGGATTTGCGAAGACCTGGACGCGTTGCAGACCAAGTCGCTGCAGAACCCATGGAAAAAGCACGGCAACATTCCTCTCTAAAGCTAGTTAGTTCATTAACTAAAGCGAGTTAGTTCATTAACTAGAGCTAGTTACAGTAGTTCATGGTGTCACCATATCTACCTTGCTCTGCGAATCAATATCTACCAACCAACCCTAGTACGACACATTTATATATTCAAATTGGTGGTCCTTTACAGTTAATAACTGCAAACAAAAAGTTATTATATATATATTGTGCTTTCGAGTGTAATTTCGTGTTGTGGTTTCTCGTGGGAATTTAAATCGATTTGATTGGCTACCTCAGATGAGATTAAAATTATTAACCAATCAAAACCTTCTCAATGAAATTCAACCAATCAGATCGATTGCGGATCGGTTTGGTCGGCGCGATTCGATTCCCTCCCCAAATTTGTATCAAATCGACAATATTATAGTAACTTTTTGTTTGCATATAATCGTCCATATGCCTGTCTAGTACTACTATAAATAGTACAAACTTAGTACTATCCAAGTAGGTGTAGTCCATCATACTAAAGTATTAGACTAGTCCTCTGAACTACTGTCGTCGAAAACGATGATTAGCGCCAGCAGGTTGTCGCTGCTGCCGCGCACAAACGCTTCCACCACCACGTCGGCTGCGATTTCGTACAAGTCGGCGTCCGTCCTCAGTCGCTCCGACACAAACTGGCCGACGTCGGCACTCGTCATGCTTTCCCATACCCCATCGGACGCGACGACGACAAAGCCGGAGGACGGCGGCAGGGCCACATGGTAGATGGTCGGGTCACAGCTCACGTACTGACTCAGGTGGCGGTCCCCGAGCGACCGCGACACGGCCAGCTGCCCCATCACCCGCCACACGCCCACAAACGACACAAAGCCTACCCGTCCATTCTTCAATCATGTGACACGGTACGACACCTACTATGCACTACCTCCGCTAGACTCGATGCGGCGGCGCTCGCCAGGGTCGTGGGGTGAGTGGTCTTGAGTCAGCTGCACACCATGGGCTCGGCGTGAATTGTCCTGTGTATGATCCATTCCGTCTGTGTACAGCACGGCGCGGGAGTCGCCGACATTGGCCACAACCAGCCGCCGGTCGTGGCGGAAATGCACCACCAATGTGCACGTCGTCCCAGAAAAGTCGCCGTCGTCCGCGTGGGCCAAGAATGCCGCGTGCACGTCCGCCAACGTTTGCCGTAACGCCAGGTCCTCCAGCAGCCTCTGTCGTTGTTGGGCCTTGCTCGTTGTCGAACTAGTACTACTATTACTACTACTATTGGCAGGCCGCCCCACAATGTCTGCAAAGAGCAGCGCAAACGTGGCCCCAATATGCTGGCGGACAAACGTCGCTGCTCCTAGCCCCATGTGGCCATCCAATACCACGTACAAGTCGTATGCTGGATGCGACTATAGGCACATAAAGCGCCATATGAAAAAGAATATATATATATATATATAAAGCGCCATTTGAAAAAGAATATATATATATATATATATATATACCCGTCGGTACTAGTACCTCGATCGCAATCGTGTCTTCCATGTACCGCCGTCGTCCGTTGAACATGGCGTGCCCGTGCGCGAACGCTGTCGAGTCGACCACAGGTCGAGGAGGCGGCAGCTGCTCGCGCAACTTGGCGGCGGCGTACCGGCACGTCGACTGCTCCGGCGTCGCGTGCCGTCTTGCGTGCAGGTGCCGATTGCATGCGTCGACACTTGAAAAGGCGCGGCCACACGAGCAGAAGTACTCGTCGGGGAGGTCGTCGTGCCGCTGGAGGACGAACGACCGGTGGAGCGTCCGCTTGGTATGTAGAAACGCTTGGTGGAGCACCAAGTCGGCCTCGGTTGGGAAATGGCGGCCTGTTTCGTTGCACACGTACGGCCCTTGAAAGTACGCCTACGACGACAGATAGATCATGCGAGATATGTGACACGGTAGGGTACGTGGACGAGCGCCTCCCGCGCTGAAATGCGCTTGGCGGGGTCCCATTGCAGCAGTTGCCATAGCAGATGCAGCCCATATGGGTCCGTCAGCCCCCGCCCGAGCGGATCCCGCGCCTGGATCGTCGTGTTGAACGTTCCAAAGTTACAAGATCGATGGACCAACGCATAGTCTGCGTGATATCGCGCAAGCGACGGCGGCTGGAAAATGCAGAACTCTGTGAGCACATGGAGCAAGTAGCTCTTGGTGCGGATGGCTTCCGACTACAGAGATCGACCACAACCACAGGACTCTTGATATATGCTGTCGAGAAGAGTACGACGTAGAAACATATACTAGTAGAAACATATACTAGTACTTGACCAGTAGATAAACATACCAAAGAATATCTCTGAAGCTGGAATATATATAACAGCGGTACACGAAACATGTTGTAGTATATCTGAAGCAGTAAGTAGATATAAATATATATATTGACAGTTATAAAAGCGGTACTAGGAACATTACTAATGTACTGTACAGTGCATCTGAAGCTGTAAATATGTACAAAAGTCTATTTGAATATATATATTTACAAACGGAGTAAAACATTTTATTTGGACAGACATACCTTGTCTCGCAAGTGCAGGTCGACTTTGGCCCGAGCTCGTGATGAAATGGAAAACACATGGGGAGACCCGAGCAGCAGCTCGAGCGCAACCACCCCCACGGACCACAAGTCATACGAAGTAGGCGCCGCGTAGTCGTACGGGACGTCGTCCCCATGGAAAAGCACTTCGGGGGGCTGGTACTCGCGGGTTTCTTCGGCCTGGCTCGGTCCTTTTGCGCCGTACAAGTGCTCATGTGTGAATGTATCCACGGCCGATCCAAAATCTATCAGACAATATATATAACACATGCGATGACGTTCTAGTGTGGTTGGGTTGATGGTCGTCTAATACTATATCACGTATATCAGTGGTACCGGCAAGCTTGACAATAAAGTTGTCGTCCTGGCTAATGAGGATGTTGGATGGCTAGACAATGTATGAGCCAAATATGCCAAAATGACTCGATAACCCAACTTTGATGTCCCGATGGGTGATGCCTTGGTCATGAAGAACCGCCACGGCCTCTAGAAGTTGCCGGAGGATCTCCTTGTACACGCCCGCGCCGTCGTCTTCCAATCGCATGCGTTTCCAAAACAGCTAGGCATATATATATATATATTATTGCAAATAATAAATAAATAAATATATGACAAACATGACATGGCAAACAAATAACCATATATATATATGTATATATGTGTGACGAGGTTTGGATGATATACAATAATCGTACCGAGGGTTCAACGAGCACAGACATGTGGGATTTGGTTTTCGAGTACATGTAATGGCGCAGTGAAATGCCTTCGTCGTAAAACACAAGCCAGAGCTCTTGCAGAGACGTTGCATTGGCATCGACCACCACCGAGTCTCGATAGAACGACTCGACAAACCTATATTCAACCCATATCAGTTTTCAAGAGTAATGTGGAGAATACTTCTGCGACGAGGTATAGCATTCAACATACCTGGCAACGTGGGGCTCTCCCCGCAACTGGTGGCCAAAGTGCACTTCACGCTGGCCACTCAAATGCGTCGCTTCGCCCAGTTCCTACCAACCATCCATCCATCTATTCGTTATATACACTGTATGATCCATCGTCTTTTAGACTGTACACACCACAAACATGCGCTTGAGTACAAACGACGTTGTTTCTTCATGTGCGTTGTTGTCGTCGTCGTCATCGTCGACATCGTCGTAGGACGTGCGGATGGCGCGCCACACTTCGCCGTGGGCGCCGCCGTCGAATTTCTAGGGCCATTCAACTACTGAATGGACATTCCAACTGTGTGACATACCTTGCGAAGGCGATAATTCTGGTTCACGAAGATCGACTCGATGTGGTCGGTCGAGCATTGGTATTCGAGGGAAGGACCTTCCAGCAGGAGCGGCTCATCGTGACCATCCATTCCCAGCTGCATTTGGGTCCAAGGTACGCGATACGATGGTGAAGAGGTGGTGGCATGAGGCGCGTCGTCGTCGCCTACCACCACCAACGACGTGGGATGTTCGAACGCGTCGTGGCCGCAGAGACCTAGCACGGCTGTCCGCTCGATCAATTGATACTTTTGAATGGCATCCCCCGGCGCAATTGCCACCGCCCAATTCGACGCGAGGTTCGGCCGAACGTGAGCGCGAGGTGGAACATACGTCTGCAGCGAATTGGTTCCTGCATTCAAGTCACTCCAGTAAGTTTCGTCGTCGGCCCTGCATTGCCCAGACGAGAGATGAAGGGCCTGCATGAAGAGAACTCGATGGTGTGTCGCGATGCACATGGCTTTCGTGTGCACAGCCGCGGCTGTCACCCCCGCGCATGCGAGGCCGACAAGTGCCCACCGGCTCATTATTCCACACCGTCGGAGTCGTCATGGACTTGACATCTTTATCCGGACATACGGATAACTCCACGAACCCGTGCGAAAATGTCGAAACCTAATCATCAGCGTGAGTGTTGCGGGATGCGTCGGATACCCTTTCTAGTCTTCAGCCTCTGTGGCATGCATGTAGCACGCGCCCAATCCTTGGGAGATGTTCCTTTTCGCACTGTGGAAGGTATGGAGATAGCTATCCTCGTTCGACCACAGATCTCAGCATGTCCTTGTTAGCCCTGTGGAGCTTCCACGACGGACTGGACGATTGGGCGCAGTCATCAACGGACACGATGCGCGCCGAAATCAATCCCCGCGATGGATACATCCATGGAACTGTCTTGGCCGACGCGCCGTTCGTAGACTCTCCGCTTTTGGACCTCGAGATCGAAGATCGTCATCACTTTGTCGTCCGCATGGCCTACGACGGAGCATGTGCTCAAGCTGGTCTCCATCTCGAACGGCGCGGCGCTCCAGTCACCCCCAAAACGAACCCCAAGGCTCCTTTCGTGAACCCCATCGTCGTTCGGTTCCCAATCACGTCGGATGGGTCGCAACATGTGTACTACGCGCCACTGTTTCCGTATGTCCAAGGCGACATTTCGCGCATTCGGTTCTTTCCGTGTCTGTCGGGGAATGATGGTCGCCACCAAGGCAATACGTTTCACATTGATTGGATCATGGTTGCCAAAGGTGAATCATCATGTTGTTGTCTCCATGATTCATTGCATTCATGTAGCTCCCACCGTGACCAAGGTCCGTGGCTGTATTGACCGGTACTCCCAGGTGCCGCTATTACAGCCCCTCTTGGCCCCATCAGCCAACATCTCCATGATCACGACCTTGACCAACGGCATCCATCCTGTGTTTAGCACCCTCTTCCACGCCATGATACTGCCCTTCGCATCCACATACAACTGCTATCCTGGAGACGAGATCACTGTCCAAGGACGTAACTTTGGCGATGCCGCCCTAGTCCACATCAACGGCGCACCGTGCCAAAACAACTACCCCACTCTCGAGTCGATCCCCGAGTTGGCATCGGACGCACCAGACGAAGAAGTGTTGACGTGTGTCCTGCCAGCCAACTTGCCTCGTGGGCCAGCTGTGGTCACCGTCACGAACGAACGCTATCGTGGCCTTGTATTCAATGGCACAATGGTGGCCTACGCAGGTACGACGCCTTGTGGTGCTGCCACGTCATATACGTGTGCTAGTACCCGTCCAATTGACCACGGCCCCGTCGTTGTCGAATGTCATGGCACATGCAGTCGACATCACGTGGACACCCCCCCCGAACGACGTCTGGACCTGCTTGACCATCACGGGGTACCTCGTCATTGTGCGTCGTCTTCGTGATAACGTCACTGTGACCACCATGCTCGGAAACGTCACGACGACGACGCTGGCGACCTTGTCCGCTGGTGCCCCGTACAGCGTAACGGTCTCCGCAGTCGTCGAATCTCAAGTATAACCCCCATCGTGCTTGGTTTCTTGTCCTGATGAATCTTCAATCCAGAACACAACCGACTGGCAACAAGTCGACATGTACGGTCAGCGCCTCGCGTTGCCGTCGGCCATTGTGGGACTACCTTCGCCAGCTCTAGTGTTTTCAACACTTGCCCTGGGTACCTAGCTACCTAGCTAGCCGCTGGATCCTTCAATGAAAGGGTGTGATTCTCTCCTTGTAGATTTCGAATTCACCACGTTTTCTGCCCAAGCGACACTGAACCATAGCATATCAGTCCCCACCGCCGCCACGCTGGGCCCCACCGGAGACGTCGGGGGACAAGGCCTGCTTGGGCTCACACTTGTGGGGCACGCCCATGTAAACGATAGTACCTTGTTGTCCATGTTGATGTAGCGATGTCGCAGGTCGAGCACTGTAATGCGACCAGTGCATGCTGCGACTTCGACAGCACCGGACAAACGTGCGCGTTTACGTGCCGCGGCAGCACGCCGTCGCACATATCAAGTGCCCCACAATCTACCTCCAACTCTGGCTCGACAACAGCAACCACAGCAGGAGTATCGTTGCTGACATTGGTTACCAACGTCACCTCCACCCCAACTTCGTCGCCCCCCCTTCGTCCGTGCGGCCCCGCCTTGCGACTCACGTGGTCGGCGCCGTTCTTGACAGGGGCGGCATGGTACCCTCGTCGGCAAAACGTCCGCGAAGGGTTTGCGACATCATTTCAATTCCGACTGTCGAATCCGTCGCTGCAGTGCAAAGTCATGGACGACGTGTCCACGCACTGTCGGTACGCCCCTCATTCGTTTTCCCGTGGACAGAAATGTCTGCTGTCCACGTTGTACCAGCGAACAAACGGGGTTGACACGGAGTTCCGTCGGGTAGGGCCCGTGGGGGCGACGGGTTTGCATTTGTCATCCAAAACGAAGGCGGGGCGTCGATCGGGCGCGGGGGGCATGAGGTCGGCTACGGCGGCATCCGCAACGCCGTAAGCGTCGAATTCGACACGACTTATAACGCCGACACGGCCGACATGTACGAGAACCACGTTAGCATTCACACGCGCGGCAGGTCGCAGCCCAACTCCGCGCACCATGCGTACTCGCTGGGCGCAACGTCCGAGTATGTACATACACACACCCTAACCACACACACAGGACGTTGTCACATGATCGTCCCGCTCTGTCTCATCATCGTAGGGTCCCAGACCTGACAGACCGTGTACACACGGTGCACATTCGCTACGTTCCTGTCCTCGACGACGACATGTACAGACACAAGATTCATCCCCATATTGATCATCACGCTCGTGTTTGGTTCATGCATGTGCCATGCTAGCGTAGGCCGTTTGCGCCGCACTTTCAAGCGTCGGCGTACGTGTCGCAGTTCTTTGCCAAGACAACCGGAGCGAGTGCGTGGGGGAGTGCCGGCGTCGGCTGCCTCCAGGTGACCGTGGACGATCGGACGGTGCTCAGCGTCCCACTGCATTTGGACAACACGCTCGACTTGACGGGCGGCCGCGCATTCGTGGGGTTCACGGCAGCCACGGGAGCGGTGGCGTGGCAAGCGCATGACATTTTGTCGTGGCAGTGGGAGTCGCTGCGCATGTTTCCCCTTCCTCCCGCCCCATTCACACACGTTTAATGGCCAACACGCCACCACAACCGTGAACGGGTGTTTGCACTTGAAGTGGACTTTGCACTGCAGTAGGCAGAAGCCAACAATGTCCGACGACGGCTACAGAGCTGGATCGACCAACGTTATACACTCCACAGGGAGTTCAACCACCATAAACGACTCTATGATCTCTTCCTAGTGATCTTTTCTTATCTTGACTTAATGAGCGATGCCTGCGGCCGCCAACTTGGATTCCAATTCCGCGACCTTGGCTTCGAGTTGTTGGATGTGGGCGTTGGCGGAGCTCAGCTGATGCTGCAGGTCGCCAGAACCAGCCGCGACGGGGGCCGGGGGAGGAGTCCCCGACGCCGTTCGAACCACTCGCGTCGGACGCGCCGACACGGGGGCGGCGGTGCCGGCCTTGCCGCGCGACGTGATTTCGCCAAAGTTGCGCGGGTTCAACGACGACAAGCTCGGCGTCTTCTCCGACCCGGCCAGCCATTCATCCGCCGTGTGCGACGGCACCCCAGAGAACGTGTCCGGGAAGATGTCGTCTTGGAACGCGTCCGACTTGCGCGGCACATACACATGCAACGGCTCCACGGCGTTGGTCGTGAGCTTGAGGAGGCGAGCCGTCTCGCACGACATGATGTCACACGCGCGCTTGGGGACGAACGCCATGCCGCGGGCCGCGGTCGTCGAGCGGTATTCCGTCAGGGGGTACGCAAACGGCTCGGCATCGTTCATTTCGTAGTACCGGATGTTGCCGTCGCCCTTGCCGCACAAGTAGAGCAAGTTCGTGTCCGCGTCGTAGAACGGCATGATCACGCCCGCGGCTTGGTCAATGTCGACCTTGTGCAGCTCCTTGTCGAGCTTTCGCGGGTCCCACACCTTCATGCGGCGCTGGGACTGGCGGGAGAACCCGAGCGTGACAAACAAGTTCTTTTCCCCGAGGAAAGCCAGCTTGACACTCTTGCTGCCTTCGTGCGCTTGGACTGACCCGGACAACCCGCCCGATCGCGCGTCGTACATGCGCACGAGCTTGTCCTTGCTCGACGTAATGAGCGTGGACCCGGTGTAGTTCCATGCCAAGTCTTGCAGCAAGTTTTCTGAGTTGTACTCCATGTTGGCGATTTCACTGCCCTTCTCGATATCCCACAAGCGGACCGTGTAATCGGCCGAAGTCGACGCCAACACGTTGGACGCCGTCGGGTGGAAGCCCAGCAGCGTGACCTTGCGACCGTGGCCGGTCAAGTCCACGAGGGGTTCAGTCATGGTCTCGGTCAATCCACCTTCGGGAATGCCCCAGATTTTGATAGTCGTGTCGTCGGACGCAGACGCGATCAAGTGTTCATGGAACGGGTTGAAGTCAAAGTCCATGATGGCACCGCGATGCCCACCGACAAGGGGGTAGTCCGAGTCGAATTTGCCCACCTTGTCATACGGGACAACCGCGAATGCGCCGCCCCCTGCTTGGATCGCCACGGCAAAGAACTTGGTGTTCGCTTTGATGTAGTTCTGTTCCCCTGTAGCAGTGGCTAGACGCAGGTTCGTGTAGCACTTCTCGATCTTTGCTGGTTCGATGTACACATGGCGATATTTGGAGGAGCGGACGAATTGACTTGTCATGATGGCCACCGCACAACAAAATCGAATGTGAAGACATGGAGGCCCCAAATTGACTTCAACGGCATTTTAGCCAATCACATGCAAGCAAAACTCAATGTACCCCGTACATTAGGACGATTCCGTACGTACAATCCACCTACTAATGGTCAAGTTTGACATGGTACAAGAAGTCGATAGCAGGGGGAATGACTGGTTCAAAGAGCGTAGTAGTGCCCAATGTCGATATATATGTACCGGTAGTACAGTACTGGCTCAACCGACTGTTTGGGATGATGAACCACGATGTCCAAGTCATTCGATCTGTTTGTGCAACCTCCGGAATGGAGCTTGTATCAATTAAATTTCGTGACAGTGGGTGCCAATGCGATGAGCTTGCCTTTGGACCCTCCAGTAGCATGTATCTTTACGATGAAGAGGACACTATCAACGACTACCATGGACGAATTCCGCTACACTTTCTCTGCGACAAGAGGTGGGTTTACCGGTACACATCGTGTGGTTCGCCGCATGCCCCACCATCCCCCAGCACTCAGGCGTCTAACGTTCGACGAAAATTACTGTATGCGAAGTCCTCTAGCTATAGGCGCAAAAGATTCCTCAGCTACGTACTACGTAGTAGCTGATAAACGCGAATAAACGTCATTATACATATACATACGTGTGTCTGACTGAACCTGTGAAAGTTACCTATCGTGTGTCCTTGTGTTTGTACCAAGCCAGAAATTACTAAGGTTCGAATGTACGATGTACGATGTACGAGTCCTTACAATCCCTCAACAAATCGATTCTCCAGCCAATGAACGACGGGCAATTCTCATTTGCAACCAAGCTTGGTAAGATGGTGGAATGGGAGGACATCAGCCGATGGTTCGTGAAGGCGCCTAGTTGGGTGCCATACGTTGTCATCTCAAGTGCCGCTGCCCTTCTCCTTCTCATCATGGCATGCACCTGCCGAAAGGTGTGTTGTCGACGGAGACAGTCGAATTACGAAGCGATCACAAAGGACCTCGAAGGCGAAGAGCGCGAGTTCGAGCTCGGTCTGTCGTCGGACGAAGACGACTTGGACGGTCACGTAGTGGGATTCAACGACGAAGAACTCAAGCAAATGGAAATGCTCGAGTCGTACGGTGTCCAAACCGACCAAATGACGCCGGATGCGGATTTACCGCCGTTGTCACCGACTGCGGCCACCACGTCGTTCCGGCCCAAGAAAGCCCATCTTGATGGCAACTAATCCCTTAACGTTAATCGTATTTATATTTCCCAATGGGTTTTCAGCCAGGAATGACCTTTCAGGACACTTGACTGTCCAAGCGACCCCACACCTGTACATACGGTATAGACATGTCACGGTTCTCACGAACGACTTATCCATTAATCACGCGTTCCATGTCGGTGAATATGGTCTCTAACTGCTACATATCCCTGCGAATACTCCCAGGTGTTCCATGCCTTGCTTCACTTCCTGGCGTTATGTTGTGAGCAGTCTACACCAGCACATCTTGGGGGACGATGGAGCGGTGCGAATTTTGGGAATCGTGTTTATGTATTGCTGGAGGTAACTGCTATTGTTATTCATTTATAGAGGTATGCAACGCGCCATGTGATTGGTTGGTCGTTTGATTGGATCTCCAATCGGCAGAGAGCATCGATCGAAGGTCATCGGCACAAGCGACATCGGCGGCGGCAATGGACTACGAAGGGAAGCTCTCCAAGTCTGCCTCGAACCAGCTGGTGCAAAGCATCCGTGAATCCGAAATTGGTCGGACCAAGCACACCGGACGGGATGACCGCGCGACGTCGGAACAGGTGCTGGATCCGCGGACACGCATGATGCTGTACCGGATGCTGAACCAAGGCATCGTCACCGAGATCAACGGGTGCTTGAGTACAGGGAAGGAAGCGAACGTGTACCATGCCGTGCTGGGCAGTGGCGGGGAAGGCGCGATCAAGGTGTACAAGACGGCGATCCTCGTGTTCAAGGACCGCGACAAGTACGTGTCAGGCGAGTTTCGGTTTCGGCACGGGTACTGCAAATCGAACCCTCGGAAAATGGTCAAACTGTGGGCGGAGAAGGAGATGCGCAATCTCAAGCGACTGCGGGAAGCCGGGATCCCGTGCCCCGACCCCATTATGCTGCGCTCGCACGTGCTGCTCATGACATTCATCGGCCACGACGGGTACGCGGCGCCGCGCCTCAAGGACGCCCGCCTGAGCGAGTCCCAAGTCCGCAGTGCGTACGTGAGCTGCGTCAAGACGATGCGCGTCATGTACCAGGTGTGCAAACTCGTGCACGGCGACTTGAGCGAGTACAACTTGCTCTACTACAAGTCGACATTGTACTTTATCGACGTGAGCCAGAGCGTCGAGCACGAACACCCGCATGCGATGGAGTTTCTGCGAAAGGATTGCAAAAACATCACCGACTTCTTCTCCAAAGCGGTACGACGATCATCGCATCGTCGCATGTTCGTTTTCCGTCGTCACATATATGTGGTTGTTCCTCGTGTAGGGCTTGGACCCGATGACCACGATCGAGCTGTTTGAGTTTGTGATCGACCCGCGCGTGCTGTCAGAGGAAGACGTGGACGCGATCCTAGACACGATCCAGCTCAACATCGAAGGGCGGTCCACCACCCGGACGAATGAAGAGATCGTCGACGAAGCTGTGTTCATGCAAACGTTCATTCCGTCGAGTTTGAGCCAGGTGCTGCATTCCGAGCGCGATCAGCTGGCGTACGCGGAAGGCCGTATGGAGAAGTCGATCACGATGGCGATTTCTCGCTTGGATGTGCAACCGCGGTTGATGGATCTGTTGAACGTCGACGAGCTGGAAGACTTGGACGGGCTCGACGACGAGTCGGACGACGACGAGGATGACGACGAGAATGAAGCATCTGGTGATGATGGCGGTGACGATGGTGACGACGATGACGAAACGGAGTCTGACTCGGAAGACGACGAGGAAGTCCGGAAGCAGAAGGCCGCGTTCCGTGCCGAGCGGCGGGACGAGCGCGAGAAGCTCAAGCTCGCTGAAAAACTCGACAAAAAAAGCAACAAGAAAAACGTCAAGGAGGAAAAACGCGAAAAACGCGCCACGAAAATCCCCAAACATGTCAAGAAACGGCATAAAACGCTCGCCAAGCAAAAGGGCAAAAAATAGGTTTAACTCAATTTACTCGTCGGTTCCGTATTTTGCCACACTTTGTTGGTGGCTGGCATCATGTCCTGCAAGCATGTTGCGGTCACACGAAGGGCTTCCTCGGGCGCAACCTCGGCATGAGGACGTATGTGACGCAGCCACACGCGCCGGCTGCCGTCGTCAGGCACGAGGTGGAACGCATTATCACTCCACTGCCCCACGACCTCCCGCGACCCGCGCATCACAGCGACGGTCACAAAGAGTGCGGCAGCTGCTATCGACGTCTCCACGACGATCTCAATTGCAGTCGCGTTTTCCGATGCAATCCTTGCATGGACTGGGCATGCCCCCGGTGAAACGAGCAGATCTTTGAATGGAGCGAAGAAGGTCAGGTCTCGGTTGGCGCCACGGACGTCCAGCGTCACGTCCAGCATACACGTCGTGGGTAGGCAAGTCGAAGATGAAAACAAATCGATGAGCTCTTGATGCCAGACGTCTTCCCGCGACTACCATGGAACGCCATGTACATCACCATCGTCACTACCATCATCAAATGCAACAAACCTTGGTCGCGTGCCACGTTCCCACGGCCTTGACCACCTGTCCGTGCGGCAAGGCGCGCAAGACGGCCGTGACAGCAACATGCGACAACGTCGTGCGCTGGCGTCGGTCGTCCACAAGGGTGACGTGCACCATCGAGCCATTGACATATGTGACAGAGCGCACCGGTTCAAACGCGCGCTTGGCGATCGCATGCAGCGGTTTCCATCGGCCGTCGACTTCGATACTCGACCAACTGGGGCCAACCCATACATCGTTGAGCTGCCAGTAGAGCATGCCCATGACACCCCACCGTCTCCACGTCGAGATGGCCATGTCGTAGCACGTTGCTTGCTGCAGCTGGGTGATGTGGACCCATTGGGCAATGTACCGATGGACATCAGTCTTGGGATTTTTCCCCGTCGTCGTCGGCAACAGCACTGGGAAATGCATACGCACTTGATGCACCATGCGCTCCGTGCCGTTGGGCGACCGCTGGCGGAAGGCCAGAAACTTCTCCATAGCCGCCACCGACGCCCAATCCTCGGTGGCGTCGGTCACTTGGACAAGCGACGCATGCGACGGAAAGCTCTGAAACCCAAACTCCGACACAAAGTTGGCTCGGGGTAGGTGTTGCCACGCCATGCAATCGTCCACGACGTTGTAGTAATGCACGTCCCTACAATCGCACCTACTAGTAGTACTACTAGTACTACGATCAACGTATACGAACCCGTACGCGACGTCGGACGTGTTGCCCCATCGCTTGGTGTAGATGGGGGTGCTGCCGTAGACGCCATTGGACGGCGACGTGTCGACAAATGGACGGCTGGGATCGAGCGACGCCACCACCGGCTGCACCACGTCGACGAACAACTTTGTGTAGTCCACCACCGCCACGTCTCGATTGAATGCAACACGTGGGGGCATGAACGCCCCCGATGCAAACTGGTCAAACATGGCTTCGTTCTCGTTGTTGCCGCCCCACACGACGATGCTCGTGAACTTCTGCAATCGCCCGAGCTGGCCTTGGACCTCCGATGCCACCGACTCCAAAAACGACCGAGTTCGGGGGTACGTACCACAGGCAAACATCAGCTCTTGCCACACCATGAGCCCAACTTCGTCGCACATTTCGTAAAACTCATCCTCTTCGTACCTCCCCCCGCCCCATACTCGGATCTAATAGCTTGTGAACACACCAATGGGGGGGGGCTGTACTACCATGTTCATGTGGGCGGATCGCGCGCTCTCGAGAAGGTGGCGCCGCTTCGCCATGGCCGTGACAGGGGGGAGGTAGAATGCGTCGAGAGGCACGTAGTTGGCACCTTGGGCCACGATGGGTTGGCGGTTGATTTGAAAGTAGAACGATGCGCCAGCATCGCGATTGGAAGGGGAACGGAGCGAGTCGTCTTGCCGGAGTTGGACGTGACGAATTCCCACGCGGCCCAGTCGAGTGTGCACGACGCGTGGAATTTTTCCCCGTGCCGTCGAAATGAGGGACATGTTGATCGCGTACAGATGCGGATGGCCATAGCCGTTTGGCCACCATAGCGTCGGAGCTAACAGCGTGTGCCTGTACATATCAACAGTGACGCTGGTTGTAGCCAAAAGTACAATGACTTTCATTCCGCAGGTACATTCATTCTTTGTAGGTAGGTAGGTACCTCAAAACTACATGGTGGCGACGATGAAGTGGCGACGTCGCGACCACATGTTGGTCGACGGACAACTCCGCTGTGACACCGAGGCAGTTTGAACCAGTCAAGTGCAAACACACTGTCACATGAACTGCAAAGTCAGTGGCGTTGGGGAAGTGCTGGTCGACAGTGTAGTCCCGGATGCGGCAATCAATGGCTGTCGTGTGGTCGTCTGTCCAGTGAACTGACACGTTGCCACGTAAGCCAGAGGTCAGGAACGCTACAGAATGACGACGACATCACAAGTAGAATCGCATCAGACATTGGCGCTTTACCAGGTCCCCAGTCCCAGCCAAAGTCAGACCCAGCCTTACGCAAAAACACTCGCTGCGTGGGTTCGGCCCATGTATTGGGGTTGATTGTCGCTGGAAGAATGTACGGGTACCGTGCCGCCTTTCACGACGTGAGTTTTGCAAATCTGAAGGCCGCCATTTTGAAGCACAGGGTGACTTCGTACCTGGTCGCGGGTGTAGTTCAAGAGAGGCTCAAAGCGAACTTGCACTGTGTTGTTGCCCTGCCGCACGAAGGAGGACACGTTGACCGAGTACGACACGAACGAGTTGGCGGTTGTCGCCACAACGACGTCATTGACCAGAATGGACGCCACGCCGTCCACTTCGTCCAGCGCTAGTGTCGCGTCGGCGCGAGACGAGGTCAGCGTGAACGACGTCTCGTACACCCACGTGGCCATCGCCACCCACTGCAACCGGCGCTCGTTGTATCCCGCCACCGGATCCGGAATTACTCGTGCATCCCGCAGGTGCGTATGCGCTGTGCCTGGAATCGTAGTCATGAAGTCCACGTGGGGGTGGTTCAACAGCATCGGGTCGGCAACATTGAAGAAACGCCAGCGCTGGAGCGGAAGGACATGTGCGCCACACACGACGCCGACACCCAAGCCAGCCCACCACTTCATCACAAAATCGGTCACGTTATCCGAATATTTCGGTTACGATTAATTCATAGTATCCCTTGCTTGTCATTTAGGATGTTAGGTTGTGACGGCGAATGTACTATTAATAGAATGAATTTCATACTTGAAGTATTGGATTCGACCCCCCATGCCTGCAGCAGGTTCATGCGAGTCTCGTGGGAGCTACACGAGGTCACATGATGCAATGATTAGGGCTGATCGTCCGAGTATTGCATAAACCTATCAATTCAAAAGAGGTGGTCTTCTACTGCCTTCTCGCTTATGCCATCGTAGCGAACGCCAATGCAGCGCTCATTCGTGGTCATAGATGCTGGTTCAAGTCGATCTGCTGTCTGTACTAGTACGAGGTGTCACCTACACTTGGTGGACAAAATTGCTCCTGTGCTATCAGCTTGTCGAATGTAGTGCAAACTGTACTTGCAAGTGTACCTACCTCTAACGTTACAACCAAACCGGTGTGGCTGTACTTTGCGCAACATAGCATGGCGAAATCGTCGAATAACCAGGATCTGACAACACAGGTCCATCACATTTGAAGAGTTGCTATCGACGTAGGGTAGATACATGTATGACGCACATGCAGCCGACAAATTCGAAAACTCTATCACTTGTCAAGCAAGACGTGTAGGTAGGTATCCTTGGAGTAATCTACCTTTTGACATTTCCCTTTACGTGATCGTCCTCTAGCGCAGTGACTGGTAGAATAGTGACGTCCGAATCACACTCGGCAACTTGTGAGCGTAGGACTTAGGTTGGAACTTGAAACAATTCATTACTCAATTACTCATCATAGTAACTATTGCATCTGTATGCAAAACATCGTTTTTGTGCGTCACAATAGCACAGCCGGCGCAGGTTGTGTTTCTATCAAACAAACCCCGACGTGATACAACTTACGGAGATGCACCATTCGACAGTGGGCTGTCCTAGGGACCATCAACAGTGGAGCCATCGTTCGACGGTTCCTGGGGCTCTACAGGTTGGACCGGCTCCACAGGTGCGATGGGCTCCACAGGTTCAATGGGCTCCACAGGTTCAATTGGCTCCACAGGTGCGATGGGCTCCACAGGTTCAATGGGCTCCACAGGTTCGATGGGCTCCACAGGTTCAATTGGTTCCACAGGTGCGATGGGCTCCACAGGCTCGATGGGCTGCACAGGTGCGATGGGCTCTACAGGTTCAATTGGCTCCACAGGTGCGATGGGCTCCACATGTGCGATGGGCTCCACAGGTGCGATGGGCTCGACAGGTTCGACCGGCTCGGCAGCAGCGAAGCCACCACCGGGACGGGGGATGTTTTCATCGCCACCAATGATTTGACTTTGCCCTTGCGCTGGAAGCAAAGCTGCTTGTTCAGCACGCAAGTTGCGTTTGTGACTACCTGCGACCATCGCTTGGTTGTTGTCGCCGTGCAGTCCAGCGACAAGAGTGGCGCACAGTGTAGTGATGAGAACGGTCGTCTTCATGTTGTATTTGCTGGTGTGTGTGGGAGGTGCCCAATTCAAAAGTGAGTTCCTTCTGTGCTGCCTTCCGTAGAAGGTTGTGAAACTACCTCCACGAAACCGATGCTGTTCCTTCTATTTATAGCGTCATGTAGCCACAGTCTATTCATCACGATGAGCCGAAAATAGGTGGAATGTCCACGTGGCAAGCCTGCACGCTACTAGGATATGCGGAACCGTCGAACGATGGCTCCACTGTTGATGGTCCCTAGGACAGCCCACTGTCGAATGGTGCATCTCCGTAAGTTGTATCACGTCGGGGTTTGTTTGATAGAAACACAACCTGCGCCGGCTGTGCTATTGTGACGCACAAAAACGATGTTTTGCATACAGATGCAATAGTTACTATGATGAGTAATTGAGTAATGAATTGTTTCAAGTTCCAACCTAAGTCCTACGCTCACAAGTTGCCGAGTGTGATTCGGACGTCACTATTCTACCAGTCACTGCGCTAGAGGACGATCACGTAAAGGGAAATGTCAAAAGGTAGATTACTCCAAGGATACCTACCTACACGTCTTGCTTGACAAGTGATAGAGTTTTCGAATTTGTCGGCTGCATGTGCGTCATACATGTATCTACCCTACGTCGATAGCAACTCTTCAAATGTGATGGACCTGTGTTGTCAGATCCTGGTTATTCGACGATTTCGCCATGCTATGTTGCGCAAAGTACAGCCACACCGGTTTGGTTGTAACGTTAGAGGTAGGTACACTTGCAAGTACAGTTTGCACTACATTCGACAAGCTGATAGCACAGGAGCAATTTTGTCCACCAAGTGTAGGTGACACCTCGTACTAGTACAGACAGCAGATCGACTTGAACCAGCATCTATGACCACGAATGAGCGCTGCATTGGCGTTCGCTACGATGGCATAAGCGAGAAGGCAGTAGAAGACCACCTCTTTTGAATTGATAGGTTTATGCAATACTCGGACGATCAGCCCTAATCATTGCATCATGTGACCGTTCGTTAAGTCCTCGACGGTGCAAGTTGGATTAAGATGGAGCGTAGCATATTTAAAGCAATACCTTGTGGGCGAAGTTGATAGCGCGCAGTTTCGCATATCCTAGTAGCGTGCAGGCTTGCCACGTGGACATTCCACCTATTTTCGGCTCATCGTGATGAATAGACTGTGGCTACATGACGCTATAAATAGAAGGAACAGCATCGGTTTCGTGGAGGTAGTTTCACAACCTTCTACGGAAGGCAGCACAGAAGGAACTCACTTTTGAATTGGGCACCTCCCACACACACCAGCAAATACAACATGAAGACGACCGTTCTCATCACTACACTGTGCGCCACTCTTGTCGCTGGACTGCACGGCGACAACAACCAAGCGATGGTCGCAGGTAGTCACAAACGCAACTTGCGTGCTGAACAAGCAGCTTTGCTTCCAGCGCAAGGGCAAAGTCAAATCATTGGTGGCGATGAAAACATCCCCCGTCCCGGTGGTGGCTTCGCTGCTGCCGAGCCGGTCGAACCTGTCGAGCCCATCGCACCTGTGGAGCCCATCGCACATGTGGAGCCCATCGCACCTGTGGAGCCAATTGAACCTGTAGAGCCCATCGCACCTGTGCAGCCCATCGAGCCTGTGGAGCCCATCGCACCTGTGGAACCAATTGAACCTGTGGAGCCCATCGAACCTGTGGAGCCCATTGAACCTGTGGAGCCCATCGCACCTGTGGAGCCGGTCCAACCTGTAGAGCCCCAGGAACCGTCGAACGATGGCTCCACTGTTGATGGTCCCTAGGACAGCCCACTGTCGAATGGTGCATCTCCGTAAGTTGTATCACGTCGGGGTTTGTTTGATAGAAACACAACCTGCGCCGGCTGTGCTATTGTGACGCACAAAAACGATGTTTTGCATACAGATGCAATAGTTACTATGATGAGTAATTGAGTAATGAATTGTTTCAAGTTCCAACCTAAGTCCTACGCTCACAAGTTGCCGAGTGTGATTCGGACGTCACTATTCTACCAGTCACTGCGCTAGAGGACGATCACGTAAAGGGAAATGTCAAAAGGTAGATTACTCCAAGGATACCTACCTACACGTCTTGCTTGACAAGTGATAGAGTTTTCGAATTTGTCGGCTGCATGTGCGTCATACATGTATCTACCCTACGTCGATAGCAACTCTTCAAATGTGATGGACCTGTGTTGTCAGATCCTGGTTATTCGACGATTTCGCCATGCTATGTTGCGCAAAGTACAGCCACACCAGTTTGGTTGTAACGTTAGAGGTAGTTACACTTGCAAGTACAGTTTGCACTACATTCGACAAGCTGATAGCACAGGAGCAATTTTGTCCACCAAGTGTAGGTGACACCTCGTACTAGTACAGACAGCAGATCGACTTGAACCAGCATCTATGACCACGAATGAGCGCTGCATTGGCGTTCGCTACGATGGCATAAGCGAGAAGGCAGTAGAAGACCACCTCTTTTGAATTGATAGGTTTATGCAATACTCGGACGATCAGCCCTAATCATTGCATCATGTGACCTCGTGTAGCTCCCACGAGACTCGCATGAACCTGCTGCAGGCATGGGGGGTCGAATCCAATACTTCAAGTATGAAATTCATTCTATTAATAGTACATA